CCCTAACCCTAACCCTAAACCCTAACCCTAACCCTAAACCCTAAACCCTAAACCCTAACCCAAACCCTAACCCTAACCCTAACCCTAACCCAAACCCTAAAACCCCCAATATCTATAGATCTCCTTACTATTAATAGATCCCCCTTATTAATTAGGGGATGCCTTATATATGCTAGGTCTCCTCCTTCTAGTAATATTAGAATAAATAGAAAGGACACTAGGTTAGGGCTATAAGGAGGGAAAGGATGTATACTTAGTAGAAAATAATATATACTTCGGGGAAAATAATGTGTACTTAGTAGAAAATAATATATATTTAGGAGATATCCTACTACTATACCTATGGAGGTCTTTCCTCTAGGATTAGATTACTAGAAAGTACTCCTCTATATTAGTTAATTAATACTTAAAGAATAATAAAATAGCTAGATCCAAGGACATAGATCCCTAATAATATCTATAATTATCCACCTTAATAACCTTAATTAGAACCCCCCCTGTGGGAGATTTTTAATCTAGAGAGGGATCCCTAGCATGGACAGAATATCTATAATTAAATAATGCCTAGACTAATGCTAAGGATGCTGGGTTAGGGCTATGAGGAGGGAAAGGATATGGACTTGGGTGAAAAGGATGTGGACTCCAAAGATAATGTGCACTCCAGGCAGGGGCCCCCCCCTCGGGCCCCCGGCCATAGTGCATGGCACACCCTGCATATATATAATATATAACTCTAGATATTAAACTATTCCTCACACAGGACTAGCCATGACTTATAACTAACTAACTTTTAGAGAAACCTTCTAAAGAGCTTAGTACACCATATACACTGCAATGCTCCATAAAGTGAAAAATGGGTCTTGATTTATTGTATTTTTTGCGACCTCTGTGGCTGGAGAGGTTTCTCCAGTCCTGCTGCTTGAAAGATTATCAAAACCTAGTGCCGTGTATTTTGAGTTTGGCTTTGGCTGGGATCCTGCTATTTATAATGGCCCCCTTGTTATATTTATTTTATTTTTATTTTTACTTTCTTTTGTTTAGAGTAACATATGCATATATTAGGCATCTGCAGAAACCAGTGTATAATACAGTACTGAGTATCCCATGCCTCATCCAGAGGCAGGTCCGTCTTCCTCTGAAGACCCTGTCAGTGCCAATGATGACGCCGGTCATGTGAGCAGGATATTAAGTGAAGCTAAGGGGTGCGTGCCTGATGTAACACAATTGGAGAATGGTACTTTTTCATATCAGTTGGCTGAGAAACAGGTCCTGCGGCCTGGCATTCAGCATTCGACTGTGCACTCAACTTGATCCTGCTGGTCAAAAGAGGCCGGCCAGCGCTGCTTTAGAGACTGGGATTGAGACAGCAAGCGGCCCTCCAACAAGGGCCAGAGTGAGAGCTTAAGCAAGAACCGAAGTATCCTGTTCCTTGCCTACGTGTCGCAGGGCCCATCCTTATTCTATGGCTGCAGACGACCCCCGAGGGAGATTAGTGGCTAGAGGGCTACCTTGGGAGCAGATTGAGAACGAATTTGGTCAGGTCTTTGCTAGGCGGAATAGTAGGACTCTGCAGGTGCGTTGGTTAGTGACGGCCTTCTAGGAACAAAGGGCCAGCCCATGTGCTTTGCCAGTCAATGATGCTAGTGATATGACCACTATCGTTGATACAAAATATTAGCAGTGCCAAGGTTTGGGTGCCATAAGAACTTAGATGCTCAACAATCGACGACACCAATATGAGTTATGAAGAAGAGCTGGAGGTCTCTCTCGTATGGCCGTTTGATATATCAGGTCGTGGTACGGACAGAAATGCCTGAACAGTCAGGTTTCTTGAGCGAAGAGATGTCTATTTCCTGTAAAGATAACCCCCCCTTCTCACCCATTCGCAGGTCTCTTTCACGGAAGCCACGGATGGGAAAGCAGGTCATCCGGCGTGGCCCGGTCCTCGGGCCTCCAGCGCAGCATTCTAGAAATAAAGTCTACAAACTGGCGCATTCCGTCGTCATCATCAATTTCTTTAGCCATGGAGACCAGGTCTTTTTGTCCAATAAGCTCGGGGAATTTGAATTTTCCTATCAAATCAGTTAGCTGCGTCTAGTTAGGACACAGTTAGCATACCTTTAGCATCAAAATACCGAGATGTTTCTTTTCCCTGGCCGAGGAGATCAAGTGGAGGGGGCCCCAGGAGAGAAATGATCTGGCCCAGATGGGCTTCGTCTGCAGAGCCTGAGCCGCGCGAGTCCGGTGGTGTGTCGAAGGGTCCGTGGCCATAGAACAGGTCCCAAAGCTGATAGACTATTAGTGGCGATCAGGAGTATGATAACGAGGTCTTTACCATAACTCCCAAGTTCCAAATGTCAACACTGTAGCTCCAATCGTCCCCGAGACAAACTTCCGGGGCCCGATATCCCTCTGGCTGGATGGGGTGGCTGTTAGGGGGGCCGTCACCTCGCACGGCAAGCCCAAAGTCAGTTATTATCGATCTACCCAGTTCGTCGGGCGACAGTCCCCAGTAATTTCGGGATAAGTATATGTCCCGATCGTCCAGTTGTTTCCGTGGAGAGGGGTTGTTCATCTCATCTTGTGCGACCGAGTCCAGGATAGACGGGTTGCGTAGGGCCAGTAAGATGTTATCGGACTTGAGATCTTTGTTTGTCCGTTAGCTGTGACCGATCCTAGGAGTGGGTCAGTTGAATGACTAGTTACCTGTGTGAATAACATGGCATTCGGTATGGAGGTACCGTAGTCCTTCTAGTATGAATTTAGACACCGGTTTCAAGACGTCGAGAGGGATGGTGTTTCCTTTGAAACGGCGCTTCAGCATCCATAGGGGTTCACAAAGCGCATCAAAGACCATGCAAATATGAGTGCCGCCCAGGCTAACAACACGAAACGAGTCTAACAAGGTGGCGACAAAGTTGCGGCCTGGATGCTGGGGGTTTGCTTTGGTTATATGCTCAGTAATGCACAGCTCCTTCTCCGCAGATTCTTGAGATGCATAATTGCTTGCGTTAACTTTGATGGCCACATATCGGGGCGGAAGCCATCGCCACCTTTGACATAGTGAGACAAGGCTTGAATACATTATCAGATAATCTTCACATACTGGTGGAGATCACGTGCTAGCCATACTGTTGAACTTGTTCCCCAGCCTATTTTGGCAGCGATTTGGTATCGGTTGTTGAGTATCTCATAAAGACGTACAGGATAAAAGTGCTGAGGCTCATAATGCGGTGTGTGCTCTTCCTCAACCAGATCTGCTGTAGGGAGTAACTTTGCTGGGATGGGGAAGGGTTTACAGGGAACAGACTGAATAATTCTTTTAAGGTACATGGCTACAAAGAAATGAGTAACTTGCTCGCTGCCCACTCTGGCGTTGACCCTTGCTGGTCGAGTTGAAAGAAGGGGAGGCAGGCTTATATAGGCCGAATGTGAGAATCATGCACGGACCAACGAGCAACTTGTCATGTGATTTTTATTTACATGCCCTGTTGAAATATCCATTTAGAATAACACTTCGCTAGATGAACCCCCTCTTCATGGCTAGTCAAATCAATTATTAAAGGTGTTCCTTGAATACACCACTCACCCGTCCTTATACCAATGCCCGGACGTAATCCGCATTCCCTCCTTGTTGAATATCTGCCCCGATACGCGCAGGTCAGGGTCTGCTTTAGAGCCATGTTCGTCGCCCCTAGCAAAATGATAAGCAAGATACTTGTTTTGTAGCAATCTGCGTTACTCATGCAACTTCAATCCTCTTAGCCCATTTATTCAATTTTGGGTGTGTCTCGATTGAGCAGGTAATCATCACATCATACTCTGATTTTGCTTGGGTATTCTTCCAAAAAATATCGAGCATTGCCCGCATGGTGGTTGAGAAGGATCGCGACATACTGGGAGTTGGTGATTGCTGTTGGATGTTGGATGATACTAATGGTGATACTAATGGTGAAGGTGAGAATGGACTGTTGTATATAGATATGAGGTAAATAGAATGATGATGGAGATGTTCTCATTAAACTCAACCACAGTTGTTATTTATATATCTTGATTTCCCTTAACACCGGCCATCTTCCACATAAGCAGAGTGCATATTCATTGGTAACACTTAATCGGTGCTGAAGAGGCTGAAACTAACTTAATGCTGCGGCGCGTCTCTCAGCGCCAAACCTGCACTATGCTATTTTCCCAGGCAGCAGATTTCTCTTCTTCAGGCTTCCAGAGCGCAGAGTGCAGCGAATCCGGGTGGACAGATACAGTACGCCTACAATTCAACCAGAGTAGCTGTAACTAACACTGTGGACAACTAGGAATGTGGCTTTGTGTCTTCAGTGCTGGTGGACAACTGTCGCGCGCCTGCACCAATCACAGGTCGCGCCGTCGTGGACATAAGACAGACTGTCAGGACGACCCAGTGCATCCGACCCTCAATGCCCCTTTCGAGGAAGAAGCTAAGCCTATGAGTAGCAAATATCATAGATCACTTGATCGCCAGTTGTCTTACGGGTTCCTCCTGGCACAGAAACCCTATTACGTGAATGGGGTGAAGGATCAGACAACAGAGAAGTAGCCCATTGACCCGGACTCTAGTAAGGGAAGTTGTGTCTCGCGCCCGCTGGAAAAGTAATTATACTTTGACGTTTACATCTCGGGGTCAGCATGAGGAGTGACGGCGATCGGCTAATGGGTGACAACCCTATTTCAGCGGCAGATCTCAGACCATTTTCGGACCTCCCTTCTGAACCACGGTTCAGAATGTCAGCCAATAATAACTATTTCGTGGAGCATGACTAATACTTGAACCAGAAGCCTATCTTTAAAAGCGGAAATTCTTGAGTCCTCACTGAAACTAGTAAGCAAAAGTAGTGAGTGCCAAGAAATCTCACATTCCAAGATTATCTTTCATGATAGTCAAGCTTCTTCCCTTTAAGCTGAACCAAAAGGTAGCTTCAGTTATAAGGAGCGTTGGAAGTCCTATTGAGGCATTCTTTGTGCTGACATCATGGGTCTCTGGGTCCCACATGTCCTCCTTCCCCTTTATGGTATAGCTTACTGGCACATCACTTCATTAAAATACATTACATTCAAAAATACAATAGTTAATATCAAAGAACTTCACTCTTTGCTCTAATATTTGTGTCTCATAACTTCTTCCTCTGCGACCCTTATTACTCTGCACACACCTTCATGCCATCTATATGAGTGTCCAGTGCCCCTTGCCTTTTCTACCTAATCTTACTTTTTCTTGTTAGAACTGCAATTGCGCCCTCCTCTCATCCCTGCTGTGCACTCCTATCTCTTTAGCCATAAACTAGTGTTAAACTAATAGCCTTACACTTGATAAGTCAAGCACAGTCTGCCTACCCATCTCACACAAAAGTTAAAATATCCTCATATGGCGGCTACACTGTTTCTTGGCCAGGTTCTGAAAGGCCAAAGAGGGCTTTACACTGTCATGAAACAACTGCAGGATTGTGTCTGGCTTGCTATGTAAGCCCTGTTGGCATCCTGCTATTAAGTAATGATTATTTAACAATGATCACAGGAATGAACATCAGGAGAAAGTTATTGCGAAGAGTGTCCGACACTTCAGATTACAGAATGAACAGGATATTTTACTTCATTTCCAAGACCAGACGCCCTGTATTCGCCCTCTAATCGAAGAATTTAGGGACTCCACTGTTCCTCCTACCCTCATATTAAGATACCTGGATGATGATGCTCTTCGTGCATCGAACAAGCAGCGTCTTACTTGTCTAGAGGTGAAGTATGTTGCAAAAAATGTGCTGGAAGCACTTTCAGTGCTGCATGATAAGGGATTTGTACATACTGGTATGCTCCAGCTATTTAGGTTTCCTGCTTTGTGAATTTTATTAATGGGGATGGGTTGTAGATATCAAACCAAGCAATGTGTTAGTGAACTATGGTCACAGTGATGTCCATTTTACAGAAGTCCAATTAGCAGATTTTGGAAGCACAGTTCACATGGAGTCTCTTTATGCACAACATGGCGACCCTATTGGCACGCCTATCTTTAGAAGCCCTGAAGCTCACCTTCAAATGACATGGGGTACTGCAACAGACATTTGGTCTTTTAGTGCAATGGCAAGTCCAAACCTCACACTGGAAGAGCTTAGACCTAAATTCTAACATCTAACTACCACACAGCTTATCAGTCTTCTCTATGGAGATGGGTTCCACATCTTTAAGCCGGATGTTCCTGCAGATCATGATGCGTACGATGTCATGATTCTCATGAAGCATCATAGATGCTTTGGGCCATTTCTGGAATCATATGAACAGATTGCGGACCGGCAGCGACCGGCAGTCCTTATTTGGATCATGCAAAACAGCCCTCCTGAGACACTGCGACCATTTCATCTCACCAGTACCCAAGAGATCTGTCAGGAAGATAAGGAATTTGTACTAAGAGCAATGAAGCTTGATCCTCGGGATAGACCGTCAGCACGGCAGCTCTTGGAAGATGAATGGTTTCATCACTCTTGAACGCAATGTGCTGTCAGGAGCTCAACCCCAATACTCAATTTTGCCAGTTATTATCTGCACATACATCCAGCATTTTTTCCCTTTAGTAGACAACTCCTCAGATATTTATTAAATGTAGACAAATCTTAACCATCCTTTTATTATCCACCTCTCCTCCACTTCCAAAAACTAAGTCAGTCGCAAAATCAGCAGTCTAAATCATGCACTAATAACTAGTGCTTAATAGGAAAGTGCATACTCTTTCTATCTCCATTCTCATTAAAACAGACTCCAGTATAGTGGTCTCAAGGATCATTGCTTAAATATTAACCTTCCCTGTTCGTGATTTAGCTCATACCCAGATGTTAGGGTTAGGACTGTTGCATAGACCTCTGGCAAACATCCTTAGTTCCTGATGGCACTAGGTGTTTAGAAGCCTTGACTGCACTCTTAAAGTCTGGGCCTTGCTGGAGAGCTATGGACTCAGGCCTGAGCCATTCAGAAGTTTAAGTAGCTACTGAGAGTAATATCTCTTATCAACTTTTAGTAATACTACTAATTAGGACTTTCTTTAGAATGTAGTTAAAAGACATGTTAAATAAATAATATAGAAAAATTTAGTAAATATAATTAGAAAGTCAGGGCTGCTTTTAGGCTATGGACATTTAGTGATAGAATATGACTAGGCTTATATATCACATAATGAGGTGGGGGATGCTGTGGTGTAGCCTAGTTTAAAAGAAAGTATATAAGCTAGAAGCCTAAATAAGTAATCTAGGTAACTCTTAGTTTTGCTATATAACCTTCCATAGATAAAGCAAACCCCAGTCTAAGGCAGTTATAGTATACCTATAAGGCATTTCACTAGAGCTAATATATTCTATCCTTCAGGCAGGCACCAGTAATGCATAAGAGATCACAGTGCTCACCTATCTGATGCATTAACTAGGTAGGTTAGGTAATACCTTCCTAGGTTAAAAGACTATTAAGTCCAGACTAGGGAAATATATAAGTGCCCAGTCATTAATAACAGCCTTATCATGCCAGAGACAGGACTCCTCTAATGAGCTGTGGTGGCACAGACTAATAGCATGGAATAAGCACTAGGCACCTCACTAGTTCCTAATATACTTTCTAGCCTAAGAGGCTTCCCCTTTCTATAGTGCTTCCTGAATAGTTAATAGAAGAAAGCTAGAAAAGAGAAAGAACACCTTATTTTTAGCGTGAGAGCAACATCCTAGCAAGTAGAATTTAATAGAAGTAGTAGTGGTCCTGTGCACTCTTATCATCCACCTTTTATATATTTTAGTGACTCTATTTATAAAAGGATAGTTAAATGACTATAACTTCCATACTTATTTTGCTGGTACTATGAGGTTCACAAACTTGAGTTAGGAGTGTTAAAATAGTGCCTTATTAGCTGGATCCTAAGGTGCAGTTATGCTGGCCCACTAGGGTGCATAGGGTTACAGGGATTAAGATATAGTTATTTAGTTAAATACTACTCCTCTTCTTCTTAGGTCCTACTCTATTTACATGAAAAGGCATCATGAACTCAGTTTAAGTGATATTAGAGGTAGTGATAGTTTTATCTAGGATAGAAGATGTAGATAGATAGTATTTACTCTTATATTACTATAAGCTTAAGTCTTCCTTTATTAAACTATAGATACTTCTATAATTAGTTTTTCCTTGAGCTACTCCACCATCAATAATTTTAGAGACATTATCTAGCTCAGATATATATGCTACTCTTGAGCACCCTCACGCTGGTAGCATCCCTGCATCCACTAATTACTGTTGTGCTAGCTACCCCTGCTGTGCCTACTACTTTAAATATTTTTCTAGGAACACCTCACCCTAGCAATATTTCATTAAGTCCTGCTAGCGCTGCTCCTGATGCTCTATCTGAATTCCTGAGTCTAGGTTCTCATGATTGCTACAATACCAACAGGAACCAGTTCCTAGGTCTAGTGCAAGAGCTCATGAAAAGCCTAACTAGACATAAAGACAAGATCCTAATATACTTCTATTAGCAGCCTAAGTCTGCCATGTTTGCTAGCAAAGATTAGACCTCAGAAGATCTACATATTATTAATATTTTCTAACTGGATAATAAAAAGTCCACCCTAGACGCAAAATTCTGATCTGGACTGAGCGCGCTTTCCCTAGAGTATGAGTATACTAAATAGGAAAGATGGCATTGGAAGGCAAGAGTAGACTCCTTACTGGAAGATCTGAATAGTATAATAAGCAGAAGGGCTGCTGCATATAAAGAATATATTAACATCTGTTCAGATTAGTTCCAGGATAAGGTGAAGGCTCGGAGGCACATTGAATATAGTGTTAAATTCACTGTTTTTGGGAAGATATACTCAGCTTTAGCTAAAGTAAGCTCCTCAGTTCATATCTATACGCCTCTTAATACGCACTGCGGCATCCTTGGGATACTTTCATTCATCTTCAGGGAATTTCAGTGCCTGCAATACTCTTGCCTTCCAATGCTTGCCAAAGCTATCCTAATATCAGAATGGGAAGAGTATGCCGAATCAAAATGTCAATGGATTCTCAAGTGCATTCAGCATCGTCATGGTATGCCCACAGCTCAAATCTACAGGCATTACTAATCCTCCAAATAGCTCGGATTCAAATCGTTTCCTGAATTCAAAAACATGTTCTGGAGACAGATAATACAGAACAAAGAAAGCACCAAGGATTACTAGACAGTCCCAATGATGTTATATTACCACATATACCCTTATTACCACTTCCTGACCTTATCCCTCTCAAGCACATCCAGAACACTTACTCTGAAACTCTGCTGCATGGCACGCCAGCAATGCTCCAGCATCAACAGTCCTTTAAATAACTGTCACTGTTACAGCATACACCATTATTACCTCTTCCAGACCTTATTCCTCTCGAACACGCGCAGAATATTTCCTTTGAAGATCCCTCTCTTTTGCAGAGGACATCTGATATACCCCAGCCTATACAACACACATCTTTCCAACATCCATCTATACGACAAAGTACACCGTCACTACCTCTTCCAGACCCCATTCCTCTTGAAGTGGCACCCTTACCCCAGGATATTGATAGTGAAGTCAGGACCTTCCTTTCCAACTTAGACCTGGGGAGCCGTGTGGGTGAGAGCATCATCTCTACTGCAGTGCAACTCTATTGTGCAGTTATTGGTGGCTGACCATTATTCTATGATGTTATTTGTAATTCAAACTGATGTCACACGCGAGTGCGTATTAAGTATTCCCCTAGTTCACCTGAAAAACATCCCAACTCTATTTCTTGTCATTTTCCAGCACAACAGTGATAATGTCTATACCGTCTCCGAAGAGGGAAGGCTCGTCTTTAAAAAAGTAACATGACCCAGGTAATAGCAAATCACCTTGTATAAGAGTCAGAGTTCCATTTACTGGGATCAGGAATAGGCGGAGAGTAGGGCTCTTTTTATTTGCGCCTCTGATACAATAATATGCATTGCATTCAATGACCTACATGACCCTGTTAGATGGTCACACTGATTCAGTTCAGCACTACTCACTTTGTTGCCATCTTTGCTTATCTCCTCTTGCAGCTTAGTGAGCTCGCGCAAGAACTCTTTGCTCACATACTTCTAGACCTCTCCCACCTTCTCTTCTTTAATTACAATCTTATTCTCTATGAGTTTCCGCATCATTTCAACAATTTGTTGGGCACCTTCAGATAGTATTTCTGAGGCCATGTTGGCAAGTAGAATAAACTGAACTCGTCAGGAAGAGAAAAATCTGAAAGATTGAAACACTCACCTCAGCATGTATGAGGGTAGGTAACAGATCAAACGCTTTATGTGGGGATATAGGGGTAAGCAGGGATTTATGCCTGACTTTGAAAATTGTGTCACTTGATTGTTGGACATTAACTAGTTGTCGATGTAGATGAAATACTATATCCCACTACTCCGTAGAATCCAGATACCATTTTAGTGTAGCAGTATTACACAGATTTCAGTTCTACAACACTACTCCGTAGTTAACTAATCTATCTTAGAATGACTAAGTGAAGGAGCCAAGCCACAGGGAGATCGGGTCACATCCTGAGAGATATAAGGGGTGCCCCTCAGCAGTTCTTCTTGGTCCTCACAGCAACTCATCAGCGGCTCTACAGGGAAGCAACGCGAACAAAGACTCTGATGATTTAACTGGTTTTATCAGTGAGATGCCTCCTTGGAGGGAGAAAGTCAAGCCAGTAGGTAGCAAATGTTATGAATCAGCCGATTATGGGTGGACAGGGTGGTCTAATCATTAGCATTGAAGATCAGACCAAGCTCATTGTGCTTGGCCTACAATATACTTGGGGACATGCTCTTTACCTTTTGTCCTCCAACTTCTCGAAAGTAGAGTAACCCAGCGGCTATTTGCACTCGAGCGAATATTCTGAGCCACATTTGTCTTACCATGCGGATCTTAATAATGCTTGTGTCTTCCATAATATTCTGTATCCTTGGGTCTGAATATCAGAGCAAGGGCGGGAAAAACTACGCAAAGAAAGGGATTCATAATACCACTCACGACTATTCTACTCCCTCTGTCTTGGTACAGCCTCCTTCATACAAAATATGAGTGTGTTTTCAATTATCCAACTCACCATCTACTTGGTTCTTATGTGTCCAGCATTATATCTCGCACTTTCCCATCGTCAATAGGGGCTATTAGGCTGGAGCTACTTATTATTATTTTGTATACTACACATCACAGGTGGTGCCCTCTCAATTCAAGGTAGTAGCTCTGGGGCAAAAAGTACTTCAAGTATTGGGATATCGCCCATGCTGCTTACCCTAGATGGGATACTACACGAAGCGTGCGTTATCATTTTGGTAGAACAGTATGACATTACTAACTTTCAGAAACAGAAGGGTGTACCGGAATAGGAGCGTAAACAAAGGCTTAGAATATGTCTACAGATGGATATACTAAAGCAAGAGCTTCGTAGGATCGGCACACGGGCTCTCGACAAAGTGTTTGATGAGCAACAAATCACTCTGCTTGCAGCTCCAGGAGACTCTCCATTATGTGTTCATGCTGCTGCTGCAGGTAATTCACTCTTTGACCTTGTCTTCGACTCTCCGTTTCTGACAGGTCCAGGCTATCCTGGGGCAACAGTCCCAATAGGACAGCTTCGCTACAATAACCGGCCCTTCGGTTTGTGCCTTGTCGCAAGAGCCAACGAGGAGGAGACTCTACTGCGGTTCATGAGTGCGAACGAGAGGTTTTCCAACCCTCGCCCGGTCCCGGGGATTTAATTAAGGAAATGAATTTCGCTTTTACGGAAACGTAAGTGATACCTGCTGAATGGGTGGAGATTTCACATTGCCAGTTTTACCGCGTGCTTCAGTCATCGAGGAGCATGGGCCGCACCGGATTCACAATCCAAAGATAGAGGTACTTCCGTCAATCACTATTGGAAGGCAACACTGGAGCCTATGTTTAGATGTGATTTTACTAGAGTTTCTTGTCATCGCTTGGTGAATTCAGGGGCTGCGTAACGTGCCCTATCAGGGCAAATTGGTATGTATATTCATGGAATCTGGTAAAATTCCCCGTCCGCCATGGACTCTCTCTAGAGCGGTGATTGTGTAGTTAAGAGAGCATTACCTCCAGAAGGTATCCTCCGTATGGGAACTGAGCTATTATTAATCTCTGTATTGGTGGATTGAATGTTTCCATCCGGAAACTTATACCCCCTTGGAATTGAAGTTTCATTCGGCGATATGCCTCCGCCATCAAAAACCTCATATCGCCGACTTAAGAACCAGCTGAACAGCCATGTCGGCGATAATTTTTTGGTATTTTATATTGCGCTTCCTCCTCTTCAGGTAGCAACCTTCTTTTTTTTTTTTTTTTTTTTTCTCAGCTATTGTCTCCTGATAACAGAATTGAGAATGATTTCACTTTCTCAACTTCCTTTAATGCAGATGATGCGAGCTCGATTTTATCCATCTATTCGACCATTATACTCTAAAATTAATATTGAATTACATGACGATATTCATGCGATCGATATACATCGGAGATGCAAGGTCCTTTCGTCCCAGTTGCGGGCATCCTCGAGCTGGCAAAAGCACACAGTCACAGACCACTCGCTTCCAACTTCGTTCGGCCACAGCAAAGAAGAAAACGCCGGCAAGCTACACCATATATTGTAAGCTCATATCTTTCCTTACAGTCGCAGCGTACTACTAACTTACTCAGAACAACAACCGATGCTCTCATCAACTGGGCCCGCCAAGGCTCCCTTTGGCCCCTCGCCTTCGGCCTTGCCTGCTGTGGCGTCGAGATGATGGCTGCGTCAATGCCACGGTATGACCAAGACCGACAGGGAATTATCTTCCGCGCGTCGCCCCGGCAAGCTGATGTCATGATCGTTGCTGGGACAGTGACCAACAAGATGGCACCGGCGTTGCGCCAGTTGTACGATCAGATGCCCGATCCGAAGTGGGTGATTAGCATGGGAAGTTGTGCAAATGGGGGCGGGTATTATCATCATTCGTATAGTGTTGTCCGGGGTGTGGATCGGTTAGTTCCGGTGGATATCTATGTGCCTGGCTGTCCACCGACGCCAGAGGCCCTTCTATATGCCGTTTTCCAATTGCAGAGGAAGATGAGGGGCACAAAGGTGACGAGGATGTGGTATCGCAAGTAGGGGCAAGCGAACATCTGGCTATCCTTACGCATAACAAGCATTTGATGAAGTACTTGATAGGAGTTAAGCATTGCCCGCCTGGTCAAACGGGTTATTAGCTTGTCCAAGAATACTGTCATTCAAGAAGCTCGAGAAAGGAAAATAGTCCATGGCCCCAGGATCGGCCTCCTCTGTCATTGTTTCCGCCGAAAATGATCCGCAAGGGGAGTCAGAAATGTTGCTGGATTGCGGCTGCCTCCACTGAACATGAGGAAGCGGTTTAGCCGTGTCTGATGCTCCCATGGAGCGATCCTGGGGAGAACGAGTGTTATGTTTCTCATCATCTGGAATTTCACAGCCCATTTTGCGCAAGATTCGTAGGAATATAGAATAATACCAAAGGAGCGGAGGCCACCGATCTTGCAATGTTTTCAGGACGAGCATACAGAAGCGAGCTCGATGCTTTGATATTTCGGTTCCTTCCGGGTAGTTTCCACTTATGTTCGCTATTTGGACGCTGAGAGTGGCGAACACAGCCGGTAGTCTATTTTCAATCAGTCTGTTCTTGATCGCATTTGGTAGAGATGAAGAGCATACACTCGTAGGGATGAGACAGTAAGAACCTCAGAAGACATCATATCCTCGAGGATCCGCACAATATTGACAGCAGCGTCAGAAGGCAGCGATCCAATCTTCAGATGACCTGGGCAATGCAACCCGTTCCTGTGTAGGAGAATCTGGCATGTACTACAAATGTCCGTCAGTGAGCAGTCATCAAACTCCGGATCGACTGTATATACTTGTAAGTCAGGTGGATCAAAGACGTCCAATAGCCGTTTTGTAAGGAAATCGGGGCGGTAGCCGCCTGTAGGACTGGGGGAAGGGTCCTTTGCCATGAAGAGACTCTGGTAAGGCTGTTTTGTATGGTGGACTCATCCAAGTTGGCACCAAAGAGGGCTATGAGGCACTGGCTGGCTTGAAGAAATCAGTATTGTTCGCCGACGCTGGTAAATCACCTACTGCGCTTGGCCAAGTCCGCAAAATACACGGGGTACAGACGACTTTCTTGAGTCCAACTTCCGAACAGCTGTGTACACTGCGAGTCATCCTCGTCGACTTCGTCGTCCTCAGTATCTGCCTCAGACAACAAGGGCACGCTACAATAGGCTTCATTGACGTGCGGAGTATTCCCCAAGGCGACTGCCATAAGGATATCATGACTCTACAATCGGGTCAGCTAGGCCTTGTCTCTCAGCTCACACGTACATAGATCGTCCACCAGAGACGTCTCCACAACTTCTGTTGCGTTCGTGGCAGACCTGCATATGTCTTACTGGATTAAACAATTAGCATCCTACAGGTTGGAGCAATATTGCGGTTCAGCAAACCTCTGGTGCAAACCGAGAGTTTGCGCAAGGCCAACAGCAAGCCCTGTCCAGTGCCATGTATCCTTCTGCTCCAGCGGACTACCCCACCAATAGGACAGGAGATATAGGGCCTGCACTGTAGCAATAGCATCCGATTCATAGTTCGCATCGTACAATTCCTTCGCCCTTTGATAAAATGTAAAGGTAGCCATATACCGACTGGCAAATCCCGCTTTTTCAATCCATGAATACTCACAGTGAGCCGCTGCCACGAAATACATCGCTTGTAAAACAAGCGGAGAAATCTGTTCTGCCTTGTACTTGGTGCGGAACTCTGACAGATCGAAGATGGGACTGATCGGATACACTACAGCGAAGAATGCCTGGATAAGGGCGTCGCTTATCTCCTTGTCGAGACGCTGGACTGCGCCCATTTCTTGTAATCGGAGGCGCTCACTATGTTCATGAGCGTTGAGATATTCCTTCGTCGGTTGGTCTAAGCGGTCGAGATACAACTGTTCGATGCTAAGCGTCAAGGAGGTGCTGTCAAAACCACCCTGGAACGGGTTCCCCATTTCACGTAGAACGTAGTTGAGATTGAAAGAGTCTCCGTAGTACACCATCTCCTTACAACGACCTGGGTCATCGGCCCTGTGATTCAGCTCTGGACTGTGCGGTTGGTCACATCCACAAGACTTTTCCCCAGTTGTCCCGAAGAGTGTCGGATTTTGATGGTTGGTCTCTTCTTGAGCGCGTAGGGGTTGCGTCCTTGGACTACAATGGCTCCCATCTTGAGAATGGACAGCTGCTCCAATCTGATCTCGTTTGATATGAGAACGTTTGTATCTGAATAGCTTTAGAACGTGTATCTGGATAGAAATTACAATCAGAATGATAGGTGGTGTTGGTACTTTCCACGTCGCGAGAGGATGGGCTGGCATTCCTGTCTAGACACTCGACAGTTGGTGCAAGCTCTGTCCTCGGTCCGGTCGCATTTAACCCGGCGAAGATTACAAGCCTTACAAGCCACTTTTGTCTTGCGATTTGAAGACATAGTCAATGGGAGTCTTGGTTGGGCATGGTCTGTGGTGCACTCCCTCGTCGCGCATCTCACGAGTTAGCCAGGTGGATTGGCTATCACGTGAGTGATTGTCGGGGAATGTCGGATATACGCGGAAACAATGCCGATACTTTCCGTCAGCAGCACAATGCTTTAATGAATATGAACAGGAACCAACGCAATGGCATTTTGAACATGTGTGGTAGACGAGAGGTATGCGTTTACAGATCTTCTCCCATAGTCAAGTCATTTATAAAGAGTGCGTGGGTTGCAACTACACCTTGACTGGCTGTATCAGCGCAGGCATCATTAAACCTCCAAACTTACAACTATATATATCCTGACAGTGGTGCAAGTATGTGAAGCTACCCAAGCTTCAATGATTAGGACCCCAGCAATCAACACAATGGCTATTAGCTACATTGATATTATGTATATTATGAGAGCCATTGTCTGGTTAGCCAGTCGAGACCCATCATCAATCTACGGCAAGCGTTGTAGACTATAGCTCCACGCTGTAGTATGTGCTGACCATTGTGACTGCCAGCCTCTAACTGATCACTGACGGATCATCGACATTATACACCATTCCTTAGAATACAAATTTTAGTGCGAGACCATTGCTTTCCCTTACAGCCAGCCTGCCTGACTAGTTTTCTCTGGTGACTGCTTGAAGAATGTATCTCGTTGAACTTCTCATCCGACCACTACAAGGGATACGCTATAAGATTTACTATTACACTGGCGCATTGAGGCCGAGCAACGTGCAGACTTTGGGAATGTCAGAATGCAATCTATTGTATAGCGACTGGTTCGTCTGCCCAGCAGATGCTGCAACTGTCGAAAGATGAGGGCTACAAAGAACACGTATATATACAAATGTGAGAGATCGCTCGAGCCTTGCAGTCAACCAATTGATATCGAATACCGACACCACTGGCTGCCACTCAAGCCGCCATGAAGAACTTCCATGTGGCATCCGGGGCCAGGGAGCTTCCAACCCCAAGAGGCGCAGCGTCGTGGCCGCCATCGTAAGCAATGAATGAGACTGGCTTGGAGCAGCCTCGGAAGTCCGTACGGACGGAGCTCCGACTGCCAGACTTGGGAGTATGAATCTCGGATTGATGGCAGCGGTTGTTTTTGACAAATCTGTTGGCCAGGGAAATGCCTCCATTAAAAGGCAGTACATTATCCTTGATGCCATGGATGGCCAGATACGCAATTGGATCATTACCACCACTGCACCCACTGATCAGGCCTCCACTCAGGACAGAAACAGCCTTGAATTGCTTCGCACGCGAGCAGGCCAACGCGTAGGACATGCCGCCACCCCAACTGAAGCCAGTCGCGAACCGAGAGCTTTGATCGACGCAGTAGTTGCTCTCAACCTCCTTGATGATAGCGTCAAGAAAGGCAATATCTTGACCACCAGTATTGGCCCAACCAGCACTCTTTCCATTGGGGGCAACAAAGATGGCACTGCCATGAGCACGCTTCTCCAGGCCATACCACGGTTGGACCCCTTCACCCTTTACCACAGCCCCCATGTTTCCTCCGCGCCAGTGCAGGCCAAAGACCAGGTGGTATGCCTTGTTCTTGTCGTAGTTGCTGGGTACCTTGAGCGTATATTCGCGACCATTGATCTTGTGAACACCATTACTGAGGTTCGGGAGCTTGCCACAGCCAGGCGATCGAGCCTCGGCGAAAACGGGGGAGAGAAAGACGCTTAGCGCGAGAAAAGTATAGAGCAGAATGGAATGCACCATGATTGGAGTAGGGGCCCTTGGAAAAGAGGATGATAGCTTTTCGAGTGAGAATAGGACAAGGATGTGAAGTTACCAATGGGTATAACGGTAACTAAATGAGAATAGCGTATGCAGGTATGGCTATGATTCGGATATTGATGCCTGCAATGCAGCCAAGGACTCTCTTCCACTGGGATGGCTCCCATCCTGGCAATGGCGCCCTCTGTCTACTTGTACTCTTGCAATACTCATATCAGGTGATGATCATGGTCCCCGGGGCCGAGTTTCGATGAGAATATTCCTCGCGTGCCAGAACAGGAAGGCTCGGAACGAGTCGTCTCAGTGAATATCGTCTACTACAGCTCATTGCCCACAGCGGCTCAAAAGCATAGCGGCAGATGGATTTTTCTACACTAGTGCAAACTCTAAAAAAACCCAAAAATATGGGGTCACTTGTTCCAGATTGACGACGACGAGGAACGAGATAGATAGCCAAGCCAAGCCACATCAGGTGTTTTAAATTGAGCCAAGATGGTACGGCTTCAGGATCCCGTGCATATGGGAGGACTGGGCTGGTCAAGAGGGACCGTGTGAAACGCGCATGAGACATTTCTTTTCGCTATTATCCATCCTCATCACTTTGTTTGCAGGCGTCTTGTAACCATTCCTGTGGTAGGATCGTCGTAGATTAAGACTGCTTAGCTGGATCGAGCCTAGAGTTTAGGGTTCGATCGGCAAGGACTCCACTACTGGGAGCCCATGGAACATTAGACCAGGACCCCTGGAGCCCTGATATTTCCGGTCCACCGTTGAGACGCAGGTACCACTTGGTAAAAGCCTGAGGAGTCATGGGCAGTTTAATCGCACTGTGCAAGATCCAAGAGATACAGAGTTACAGAAATCATATGCTCTGTATAAATCACGCCAAGCTTTGCAGCCACTTGATGGAATCCCCGGGGCTATGATCCTCCTGACTCTCAATGTCCTTGAGCTTCCTCAGACGCACGAGGCCGAGGCTGCCTCTATGCTTGTTCTGCACATGTTTGAATCTGAAGAAGCACCCGCTATCTTGTTCTTCAGATAGATGGTTAACTTATGAGGGACTGGATTACTGAGTAGCGGAAATCTTTGAGCAACCGAGTGCAGCTCACGGGTCTACATGAAAGGAATGAGCTTTACTCCGTAGTCTATCTAGCTCGTCGGTAACCCGTAGTCGGTGATACTCCAGTTCTACCACCAGACTAGTCCCTGGATAGTCGCTGGGCCCCTGTTTCACTCCGACAATCTTGGAAAACTAGGGGTCTCACAAGTTGTGAGACACAACATAGAGACAATAAGGTGGTACTTAGTACTGCTGTAGCAAATTGGAACGCCGTGCCATATCCGGTAACTCTATCCGTCTCTGCTTTTGGCAGCCCGAGAATCAGGGAGAAGCCGAGTGGCTTGACAGGGTCCCTGGATGGAACATGGCGCTCCTGACTCCCAGCAAGGAGGAAGCTCCATCGACCTAGATCTTGAATCTAACTAGAAATCCCCGGCCACCAAGGATGATATATACTGAAACCAGGGGTCACAGCTAGGTGCTTCGAAATGACAGCCCGCTCAGCCATCTACCCCACTGAGATGAGACGTTGTCTAGACTTGAGACTTGAGAGCTCTCGGGAATCTTGGCATATCTTGGCGCTGTTGGAAATTCGAGACACGAATTGTCCGAAGTCAAGATTTCGAGATTGGGACTAGCAAGCTCCGCAGAGTCAAGGGCCCAAGGCATGGTGCGCTTCCAGAAGTATATAAGGATGAGCCCATTCCCATCCATCTACTTCCTCAACAGACTCTCAAGCATCTCTCTCTTTTCTGTTCCTTTCCCTTTTTCAATAATCTCATTCTTGCTAATTGGGCTGGTCCCTTTTTGACACTCGCTACACCAACTACAATCTTCCCGCTCTTTTAAACACTTCCCGCAATGAAGCTGTCCGTCATCACCGCTGTGGCCCTGGTGCCCTTCGTCTCGGCTCACTACTTCTTCGACAAGCTGATCGTCAACGGCAAGGAGACTGCCAGCTTCCAGTATGTCCGTTCTAACACTCGCCCTAACAAGTACAACCCCACCAAGTGGAATAACGTCCGCGACAACATGACACCCGATATGTCTGATTTCCGCTGCAATAAGGGTGCTTTTACCTTTGCTGGCAAGACTGGTGTTGCTGAGATCAAGGCTGGCTCTAAGGTGGCCCTCAAGTTGGCTGTCAACGCCCACATTCAGCACCCAGGTCCATCTCTGGTGTATATGTCTAAGGCCCCCAACGGCGTCAAGAACTACCAGGGTGATGGAGACTGGTTCAAGATTTTTGAGGACAGTGTCTGCAACAAGAATGCCGACTTCACCAGGGAGGCCTGGTGTTCGTACAACAAGGACCGCGTTGAATTCACCATCCCTGCTGATACTCCCGATGGAGAGTATCTCATTCGCCCTGAGCACATCGGTGTCCACGGAGCCCATGCTGGACAGGCCGAGTTCTACTACTCGTGAGTCTATTTATTCCCTCTGTTACCCAATCAAGCGTGTGGCTTATTCTGACCTACATTTTCCAGCTGTGCTCAGGTCAAGATTGTCGGCGGTGGTAAGGGCAAGCCTGGCCCCATGATCAAGTTCCCTGGCGGCTACAAGAAGACCGATCCCTCGTTCAACTTCAGCATCTATAATGGCTACAAGCCCTACCCCATGCCCGGTCCCAAGGTCTGGAATGGTGGTGCCAGCTCCGCCTCTAGCGGCCGCGATCACCGCAGCCACCCCCGTGACTTTATCGCCGAGCCCGAGTATACCCCTGAGGTTGCGGATGAGGTCGAGGTTGAGGCCGGTGAGGAGTAAGCGCACAACTGTTTGTCCAACCGTCCTGCGCGAAACTTCCAGGAGACGCATCGAGAGGGAAAATGTAGCTATATTATATTCTTTTCTACTTCTACACTTTTTACAATAAGATTTATCCGGCGAGGAAGCTTTCTTGTCAAATTTTTGGATATACTTTCTCCGTCCCAGCATCCAAAGTATCATTTATCTATTTATCAATGTATACTGTGCATGCAACAAACCGGGCCGGAACCGGCAAGCAGCAGTACCCCGCGATGGCCAAGTGGAGCGAGATCGGCCCGTTGTGCTTCCGAGGCCACTTCTCCCGCGCGTCGTTCGAATAGTTACATATATCAGAGAAGATCACCCCGAAAGTTGACAGCTGCATCTCTGTTGCACCCAAAATTCATATAAAACAGTATCGAAATGGCCTCCCTTCAGCAGAGCAAACTCGCCTTCATTGGCGGCGGCAACATGGCGTCGGCCATCATCAGAGGTCTGGTGAGCCAAGACATCAACCCCCGCAATATCCTCGTGTCGGAGCCTTGGGACGTCAACCGCGAGAAGATTGCCGAAGTGGGAGTGCAGACTACCACTTCCAACAGCGAAGCCGCCGGAGACGCAGATATCGTGGTGATCGCCGTCAAGCCCCAGGTCACCAAGGATGTTTGCCGCGAGCTTGCCGCTGCCTGGTCGCAGCGGGCAACCTTGCCAGTGGTTGTGAGCATCGCGGCGGGCATCACCCTGAGCAGCTTGAAGGAGTGGCTCACGACCAGTGATGGACGCAGCGCCCATATCGTTCGCGTCATGCCCAACACCCCCGCCCTGGTCAAGGAGGGTGCTTCCGGCCTTCTGGCCAGCGACGACGTTACTCCGGAGGAGAAGGAGCTCATCGGCGCCCTGCTGCAGAGTGTGAGCAAGGCCACCGAGTGGGTTGATCGTGAAGAGCTGCTGGATGTTGTTACCGGTCTGTCTGGTAAGCAATCTCGAGTCCGGTCGAATTTCTATGAATGACACGCTGGTACTAACTCCGACCAGGCTCTGGACCCGCTTACTTCTTCGCCATGGTGGAGCACTTGATCTCCAGCGCCACGGCACTGGGTCTTTCCAAGGAGCAGGCCACGAGGCTCGCCGCACAGACGTGCCTTGGTGCAGGCAAGATGCTCGTGGAGTCTTCGGAGGAGCCTGCACAGCTGCGCAAGAATGTGACCAGTCCGAATGGAACCACCCATGCCGCCTTGCAGACATTCGAGGCCTTGAACTTCAAGGACATCGTCGACAAGGCCGTGCAGTCTGCCACTTCACGGGCCGCAGAGCTCGGAGAGACGCTTGGAAAGCTGTAGAGGGGGTTTGGTCTCAATGGATATTTAATGAAGCATCATGTCTGTCTGTCTAATTATGAATAGAGATTATGTCCAAGGCGAATGAAAACTTCAAGAGGGAAACCCCTGTATGAAACCTCCACCGATCCAAGCATATCCGGCAGCATTATTTATCTCTTATAAGGGTATCGTTGACATTATATAATACATTTACGCAGCAGTTCGTTCAAACCTTGGTGGCAACGCTCTCCCGTCGGCTCCACGACGAAAGCCGCCTGGCACGCCAGGAGTCTATGGTAGATCGTGCTGCATCCTCGTCTGCATCCTCCGGCGCAGGTGCCGATCGAACCGTGGCCTTGCGCTTCTTATAGAACCGCCAGGATGCCAGAACAATGAGTGTGAGAGGAATCGTGATTGCCGCCCAGAGCCACCACACCCAAGATACCTCGATGCTGTGGCCGTCGCTCCCTGTCGACAATATCCCCGCGTCTAAGATGGTCTGGGGCGATGTCAGATGGGCGCAACCGATAGGACAGGATGTGAGGAAAACTCACCGCGATAAATGTGCCAGGAAGAAAGACCATAGTCAGGGCGGCGATGCCATTCATACTGGTACTGTCTTGTTTCATGCTGGCTGCCAGCTGAATATTGCTCGCAGCATCCTGCTGCGTCACGAGGTTGTACACCAGCGCCATGGTGCTGTCCTTGCGGTTTTTGTAGTTCAGGAACCAGATCTTTTGCTTCTCCATGGATTCTATCACGTAGGTGATCGAATCCGATGCTCGCTCATGAATCCGCGCCGGACTTGCAATGGCTTCGTGTAAGCGGGCATGCGCTTTGCGGATCGCAGTGGCCGTGATGATCGCGACATCCGCGTTGATCAGATGAGAATCGGCATTCTGCGAGATGACTTGGATCTCCTTGGTCAGTGCTCCCAACTTGCGACGGTCGTTGGTCTCAAGTCCCGCCAGGTGGTCGTCCACTTTGTTGATTTGGGTCCACATGAATCGGCGGAATCGCGCGACGTGGTGTTTCGAAGCCTCAAACGACAATGTGGAGAGGATGACGGCGATGTCAAATGGATCTTGCAGCAAGGCGAGGGTCTTTCGATTGGGTGAAGCTGCCCTGACAGCAAGATTTAGAATCTCGTGTAGCGCCTCGATACTGGTATCCGCCATTTTATGTGAAATGATATATGCTGTCAGATTCAACGTCACATTATAGCGTACATAGACTGAGACGGGGGCGCCTTGGTAGTGCAAGTTCCACCGCGGCTGTTGGCAGAAGAAGTCTATCAGATTGTCGTCAGCCAAGGATTCTGTTCTTTGAACTAGGCGGGCATGACATACCACAGGCCAGCAGGTTACCCTCGCTGTCTGTTTCCCATCGAGTCTGTGGTGCCCAGTAATCTGGTCTTCCTAGTAGATTCGTGATAAAGAGGGGATTCACTCTCAGACGATTGAACAATTGCTTGGTATTGTCTTGAGTCATTGCAACCCGACTACCAAAAGACGTGTCTCTCTCCGGTATTAGCGGTACAAAGCTACCTCTTGTCAGTACTACACGGTCATGCCAGAGGTAGTGGAATGTACAATGCAAGTAGTCTGCGCGGCCGCATATTCCCAGGCGCCGGAGGAGGTGCTTGATCGATGTTCTTGATCCATTAGCCTGGATTGACCTGTGCAGCCATCTTCCACCTACCTTGAGCAGATCGGAGAGTGGTGCCGAGTCCAGTTTGCGCCAAGCTGGATGGTATTAGCTGCAGCTAGAGACTCCTTGACATGACATGCGTTGGACGAACTGGTACTGTCTGCGTTCGCGTCAAGACACTCGATTCGAGTCTGATCGGAGAAGTTTCGAGTGTTTTTGGCGTGCGCTTCGTGCTGGACCGCAGAGAAAACATCCTGGAGCGACTGGAGGTCATCCAAGGGATAGTGGCTGCGATCGAGCCCAAAGTCGAACTCCAGATCTCTGGCTTCGGCATCCCCGGCCTGAGTATGGCGGTTGGTGTCTTTCATCTCGATGGAGTTCGCTCGTGGCATCACCTTTGTCTTGACAAAGGACGCTTCCAAGCGGGAGAAGTGAATATCATCCTCTTCTGCCATGGTGATAATTTGAAATTTTTCAACCGAATTGATAACTTATGTGATCGGATTGAACAGCCACTGCATGAACGGCCATGGTGGTCTCGACGGAAGTATATAAGGCATGAAGAATCTCAGCCTTGCATGCCATCAGTAGCCTCGTATTTCTGCAATCTCACACGCCACAATCAAGGTCTGTGCTCATTTTTGTTTTCAAAGACCCTTCTATCTTTCACTCTGACTTGAGATTCGCTGCTTGGCTGACTCTGGGGGCCAGAAGCGGCCGATCCCAGCAAGCACCAAGGACCAAGCCACCAGACCACTGGCCAAGCCGACGCAGTCAGCAACTAGGAATCAAACTGATTGAATGGCTGCTTGACAGCTGTCGTGCCAAGAATTATATTCCATGTCTTCATCCCGTGTTGGTGGTGTAGGCTGACTGCCAAATTAGACTCGTCTGGAGAAAGCCTCGGGATGTGGAAAGCCTCACTCTATCATAGAACAGCTGACGATTTGGTTCAAGCTACTCCCCTTGAAGTCCCGGGGCTGTCCACCTAAGGCCTGGGGCGTTAGCGTTCCTGTTCGCCTGGCGATAGACCGCGACGGTCCTCCCTTTCGCTGTCACAATTCATCTTGGCTGCCTTCTAGGCGCAGTTAAACTGGCCCTTCCTTCCAGCCTGATCACTGTCCACACTCATCTTTGACTTGGATCCCCTCCCCCACCTTGCTCAAGAACCGCGATCTTTCATTCTCAGCGGCCCTCAATACGGGACTGCGTCGCCCTGGCTCTCTCGAAGAGCTTTCATCGGGAACGGAAAGTGACTCCTGTCATGTCTGCTTCGGGCAACTGCAACAGTGTCTTTGACATGCGCTGTCTGCAATGAGTAGTGGGTAGAACACGACATCCTGATCTCACCCCATCCTGAGATGATATCCAATCGTGCAATGCCACTAAGAATATTGGATCGCTCATGTGAGTTATTAATTAACCTTTTGCCCCGGAAAAGAGCATTAACTTCTTCATGGCCTGTGACGCACTCGTGTAGCCTATAATGAAAGAAATCAGCTGTCCTGTTATATCAATGCTGTCAGCCTCACGGTTGTCGTTCAAGCAAGTCTTACTTTCGATGATAAATACGCGATGCTCAGAAAGACCGATGTTCAACAGGGGATAGAAAATTCGTCAATCAGAACTATTTCGATCATTCCCAACATATCTCGAGGAAATACACCAAGATTGAAATCACCTCATCTTTGTCTGGGGTAGGGAGACCCCTTGCCCTAAGTTTTTTGGTCCTCGACCTCCTCTTCTTTGGCGAGACTGGGGTGCGGTGAGGTCAAAACGAAAGAGAATCCATTTCAAATCAACCAACAATAGTGAACTCGACAAAATTGGATGACGGGACCATTATAACCGGTCTTCCATCATTATCAGCGGGCTCAACGACATGAGCATTCAGCCAACATGGTAATTTCACGACTGTCTTCGCATGTTCTTCGCGATCACCCCAAGTCCACCAGTCAATGCAGCCACCCCAGTACTGGTATCGATACGTGTCGCCGACCACTGTATCAGGATGCAAATCAAGATAGTGAAGGAAAATGTGTCTAACGAAACTTTCCCCTGGTTGGAGGCTGCGGAAAAACATAGAATCCGCGACGTTGACCTCAACGTCGGGTTCATCGACAATCATCCAACCCGCATTCCGTTCGTCGTCAAAATAAGTCTTCCACTGTGGGGGAACCTCGTCCGAATTCTTCGACGGATCGTAATCGTGGCAGCGGCGTTGTATTCGAAAGTGATCACAAGAAAAAGGATAATCGTGTATGATGATCGGCTTTGCATCAGCAGAGATAGCCTCGTAATCCTCGTTTGTCAGACCATCATAGGTGATCTTCACTGTGATACAAAGTTGCTCTGTTTGAGAGATTTCCGATGGGCCATCCAGAGACACACTTATACAAGGGGTTCCAGGGCTGCAAAGAGAGTGTATCAGTCATAAGAAAGATAGAACATCACGTTCAAAGATTTCTCACATTCGTTCTAACTTCCCCACCCGAGGGTCATCAGGCTGAAAGTTCGAAAGGTCTTCCTCATCTACGCAAGTAAGAGAACAACAGGCTCCCCCTGGGATGACAACACGGGGTAGCCCCAGATTAACCCCAATTGCTTGATCCCAATGCTCGCGCACGGTGCCTCAAGCCCACAAGGCATATTCCGCCCCCGGCCAGAATAGCTCATATCTCTCACCAGCGACCATATAATCCCAGAAGGGATACGGTCGACCTATATTTCTCTGGAGAGTTTGGCCAGGAAGAAGTTCTTCTGTCTCAACTTCATATCCCGTAAGCTTAAAGGTCTGGGGAGGTGGCGACTCGGGTGTTCCTTCGACCCTTTTTAGACCGTCTGACGTGTGTTGAAAGAGCACGAAGCCAGAAGGACCCCATCCATCATGCAGGAAGTTCCAGCGAAATATACAAGGCTTGCTACAGTCATCTTCTGCCCGGCGGATAGTGATGATGATCCCTCTCGGGTCCTTTAGAGATATAACATCACTAGGCCTAATCTCCATGGATAGCCTAGGCGTGTTTGGACTTGGAGATGTGTGTTAGTTTCGAACAATGTACAGGTAGGGAAAATCTCACGCTCTATCATGTTCAAAGAATCTGATACTTGATTCCAGATCAGGATTCATGGCAGGTTAAAAGAAAGCTAAGGGGAAGATAGGGGAGGTATGGGGAAGCTATGTATCTGTTAGGTTTTCTGGAAAATTCATTATTCTAGCTCCAGAGAGAAATACTCACAAGCTGATAATGACCAGCAGCATATTGTGCAATCACTGTTAAGACTCAGGAGTAATAAGGTTAATAAACACAGTATAATGAAAGGTAAGAGAGGTGCACGGATAATGAAGAGAGAGAGAATAAATATAGGGGTTAGATTAATTAATTAATAAATAAGCCAATAATAATATCTACTCTATAGAAAAGTCGTACTCCTAGTACTAAGTAATACTAATAGATGATACTCCGTAGTAAAAAATCGATTTTAGTAGCTTTATCTTTATATAAATAGTCCGCTATATACTCCGTACAGCCTCACAGGTATATATCCCTGTTGCTGAGGACTGCTCCTTATTCAACAAGTCGGTCGGATTCAAAGAGAACCCATTCGGGATCGATCATCCTCCTCGTGATGATGTCAAGTGTTCTCAACTACGAGGCGCTCCTGGCGACCTTTGATGATTTGGTGGCCAGGCAGATCATCTTCTATACCCCGCCAAAGACAGTCCGGCTAGACGATGAGGCGTTCCCAGTGAGATCTGATTCCGCGGCCAATGCAAATATTCTTCCTTCGCATGTACACTAAAGAAGAAGTTGCTGCAGCTTGAATTCCACATCAGTACCTCGCTGCTCACCAAGCCTGCCTCGGGCGAGTCCATCACTGCAAGCGACAGTGCCCACCCACCTGGCTGCTTCGGTCCAGGCAGCGACATTGGCTTCAGTGATCCCAGCATACTGATCGACACCATTCGCAATACGCATCTCCTTGTCGTCAACAAATTTGCCGTTTTCCGACCGCAATTACTGCTGTTGACTAGTGATTCGTATCAACGGCAGCATGAGCCGCTGAGTCTGGCGGACTTTGCTGCGGTCTGCACCGTCCTTGACTCCCTGAAGTCTCCCCACTATGCCATTTACAACTGTTCGCCGCTGGCGGGTTCCAGTAGGGAGCATAAACACCTGCAGATACTGCCTCGTCCAGGCTACCTGTTTCCGGACGATCCTAACCCCGCTTCCCGGGTGATACCATATCAGTACTTCATTCGGTACCTTGATGCTGTCGACTTCCAAAGTCTGGACGGGTGGGCGACGATCTTCAAGGCTTACCAAGAGTTATTGGCACAAGCCAAGCAGGCTTGGAGTGGTCATTCCAGCAACGAGCAAAACCCGGAGTACTATCCCCACAACGTCGCTCTGGTTCGAGAATGGATCGTCGTCATTCCCCGGCGCAGCAACAACTTCGAGGGGATCACTGCCAATGCCGCGGGGATGATGGGGTCGGTCTGGCTCACGAACGATTCACAACTCGATCGTTGGAGAGAGGTGGGACCTCCGAGAGTCCTATCTGAGCTAGGAGTGCCCAAGCCATGATCGGGTACCATACTCTTCGGAGCAGGGTTGAAAACATGATATAGGTCCCTACTGGCGATGTTGAGATCCCCAGTATAGACTACAAGGTAGACGGATATACGGAATGCCGTCGCACGGCGGCCGGAGAAATTCAAATTTGTCATTCCCATGTACAGCTCATTATCGTTATTGCACAGGCTCAGTCATGAATCCGTCTAGCAAGACATGACTCTAGACGGGTTGATCATTATAGAATCTTCATAGCGGCTTCCGCCAGACTCACTGATTCCAGTCCCTGATTCTTGACAACCGAAATCAAATAGTTCGTCCCGTAGTCGGAGACAGCCCGGACGATGACATTCTCCCCATAGCCGCAATCCTTCTCGTTGGGCTCGGCCTCGGTATACGCAGCAAAGCTGTCCTTGGTGATTTTGCCCTCTTTGGACAGCAGGACCTTGCTGGCCAGCTCTCTGGCCTCTTGGTAGGTCCGGAAGACGCCTTCGATGTCGATGTCGCGAACTCGGCTGCCCTCATCGGCGTCGTACTCGACGTCGGCCTGCACCACGTAGTACAGCGACCCGGTGACATGGCCTTCAACGACGTCATCGGCCAGTTTCGCATCCACTGGAGTCGTAATGATATGGACCCGGAATTCGGTGCCGTCCGGAGCGACAGCATAGACAGCCAGGCCCGACCGCTCAGGAAGATTGTTGCTTTCAAATAGCTCCGGCTTGGTCTCGTAGGAGGTGAACCACTCCTTCTCGTAACCGGCGGCAAAGAGGCAGCTGTATGCGGCAGCCTTGGCGGCTTGTAAAGATGTGTAGCTGCCGGGGATCCGAACTTTTTCGATCACATTGTTGGGGTTTTTATTGAGATGGCTAGTGGTGAGGAGGATGTGGAATAGTTCCCGTGTATTTGAACCCATGGTTGAGCGTGGAAGAAATGTAGGAATGTGCGTACGTGTAAATGTTGTATATTGTTGATTTGCTGATGTCTCTATGGTACCTTTCCATCGCCCGCTTTCTTATATATTCTATTCCTATCCGAACATAGTAGCGAGCTGCCGTTCATGAACCCCCGGGGTAATTCTAATTCGTATCTGGTGGCATGTTCTTACTGTTCTGCTAGTAGCGACTCGTTCATGTTCATATGGTCTGACGCGACGTTGTTCCACATCCTCGATCGGGATTCCGAGGACTCTTCCCCGGATTATATTCTAGACCATACATCGAATCCGGTAGATATAATTAGTTGCCCCTCGATCCTGCTCTTCCGTTGCTCCGTGTGCTATGTGACTGGTCCCTCACCCCAACTGATGATAACATCCTCAACATTTCTAGCCGAGTCAGCTGGATAGCCGGTTTGATCTTGACTCCAGTTCACGCCGGTATATAATCAGCCGGAAGTAATGGCTCAATCATGAGATGTCACCAAACGACAGTGGCGTGGTCTTTGCATCACCACTTGCGGCTGACCCATAAACTCGGCGTCAAATCTTCGCATGATAGACAATCCATGATTGACCGTGGTATTTTTACCCCCAATTAAGCCGTTGTAATAGAGTCAAAATGTATCTGTATCAGCTGAGATCGATTTTTGGCAGATTTCAAAGTACCCAGAAGGCGTTGTATTGTCCAAAGTCTGTCAACTACTACTTTCGATCCTACACGATGGCGACGGAACGAAGGGTCAGCTCGCTCCTATTGGAACAAAAGAATGGAGAGAGATACAGTCGAAGCTGATGGTTCCAGATCCCGAGCAAGATGAAAGGATTGATTTACGCAGGTCCCAACACGTACCGCGTGGAGGACCGACCGGTGCCTGATCTCAGAAACCCCACAGATGCCATCGTCAAGATGCTCTACAGTACCATCTGTGGAACGGATCTGCATATCCTCAAGGGCGATGTGCCAACCGTGGAGCAGGGCCGCATCCTGGGCCACGAGGGAGTGGGCACGATTGCATCGCTTGGGCCCGCCGTTCAAGGTCTTGCCGAAGGCGATCTGGTGTTGATCTCGTGCATGACCTCGTGTGGCGTGTGTCCTGCTTGCCGAAAGAACCTGCACTCTCATTGCCAGACGGGAGGCTGGAAGCTGGGTAACACCATCGACGGCACTCAGGCGGAATATGTGCGCATTCCCCATGCCGCCTGCTCGCTGTACAAACTCTCCAGCGAAATCGACCCCAAAGCCTGTGTGGCGCTGTCCGATGCTCTTCCCACGGGCTGGGAGTGTGGCACTATCAACGCCACCGTGCAGCCCGCTGGCAGGGTCGTGATCGTAGGGGCTGGGCCCGTCGGACTCTCGGCGCTCATGACTGCCAAGCTGTACACTCCGTCCCTGATCGTGGTGGTTGACCAGAGTGACACACGACTCGGACATGCCAAGCGACTCGGCGCGGACGAAACGGTCAATCCGCAGGAGCCAGGGGCAATGGAAAAGTTGAATCTCTTGACGGACGGAGAGGGATTCGACTCGGTGATTGAGGCCGTGGGCATCCCAGCGACCTTTGAGCTGTCCCAGCAGCTGGTGGCTGCGGGGGGTCATATCGCCAATGTTGGTGTGCATGGCCAGCCGGTCGCATTGAAGCTGAACCAGCTGTGGGATCGCAATATCAGTGAGCGGCATTTCCTAGTGTGAATCGACTTCGAACCGGTCTAACATGACGAATTTCCTAGGTATCAAGACTCGCTTGGTAGACACTGTCACCATCCCGTCTTTGCTCCGGCTCTATCAGTCGGGCAAACTGGACCCATCCGTTCTCTTCACACATTGTAAGGGTCCCAAAGACTGTCTGGCGCTCACGGCAACTAATGATCCCTGTAGATTACCCCTTTTCGAAGATTGACGATGCGTATCACAGTTTTCAGAATCCCTCGGAAGGGGACACACTGAAAGTTGGAATTGAATTTTAGATACGGAAGACATGACATGCTGAAGCGTACTTTCTTCGACGCACGAATGCAAGGACATTTATGACAAATGGAAAATTTCCCTGAAATTCCTTAGTAAATACATATAGCCTGTTTCACATCGCTGTAAACAAGAATTATATGCCCTGCCTGGGCTCGTTGGCCTCAACGGGTTTCATCATCCGTCACCACCCATGTGCGGGTCTCTCGAATGATGCCGGCTTGGCTCGACTGGCTATCAGCATCCCAGGCCGGCGACGCTGAGACGGTCGCTAAACTTCGGCCGTTGTTGATAGGAACCAGTTCATGCTGGTCCTCCCGGCTGGGTTGAGATCCATACCGTCCATACGATCGCGACATCGGAGTCTTGCTGGTGGACTGTGGATACTCCTGGTACTCGACACCGTCAAGGCGCAAGCCGTTGGATTTAAGCTGGTTGAGGAAGGGTTTCAGTTGTCCCCAGCACGCGGTGACAATACTGGCACATTGCACGACCTGCGAAGCAATGGTGCTAGGACTGTAGTCGTAAGTGGGATCCTGGGTGTCGCCCACACGGGTGAGCAGGATGATCTCGGAGAGCGTCGCCAGAATCACACTGCACAAGAACCGAGTATCAGTATCAGAAACGGGGGTGATGGAGCGAAACCGAGCGTGACCTACAGGATTCGGGACAGGAATATGCTCGCGAAGATGAACTTTTTCTTCCATGTCGCGTGAATCCCCGCGATCAGAACAAGGGCTTGGGCGACAATCAGGACGTCCGTTCCAATGCTGGACGCAGCGAGGAAGTAGTTGAATGACATCTGATCCCCGGTGAGCAATTAGTATAAGGTGTGCATCTTTCCCTAGCTGTCTTGACGATCAGAGAGAGTAGGCGCCGTACTAAGTTGAAGCATTTCCCATAGACGTAGTCCCATGGTCGCGGCAGCTGGCACCGGAAGGCCGTCCCAAAGATCGCAATCACGGCGAGAACCACGATCAAGCCCTGGAGAATGGCGGCATGGAGATGATCTTTGTGGACCGGAGTGAGGTTTCGGATAAACATCGACAGCGACAGCTTGGAGAGGCAGAGACTTCCGATATACAGGATGAAGGCGGCATACTGGGCCTGGCAGTGTTCGGTCCGACGAGGTTAGTGACGCTTGCATGAGTTTCAGAGCGGCTGGAGAGTCTCCATCGGACATCGATCTATCGTGCAGACGTACCTTCATGACCTGGACGAAATCCTGGGTGGAAACCGTGTCAAAATGATCTCCGAACCCGTGTGCTACCGCGGTGGATACTGCGATGGATTGTCCCACATTCAAAGCCTGATGGATTTGATGATGCCCACGTCAGAGATGGGTCCGAAAGGAGCGTAGATCTACACGGACGAGTGTAAACTGTATCGACATACCAGCGCGGCGACCATCAGATAATCATCGTTGGTCAACCTGTTGAAGATCCGTAGCTTGGTTCCCAGCCGGATGAGCACGCTCAAGATCGCAACAACCAGCAGGAACCAATTGCTGATGTTGACGGCGGGATCTCGCGTGTCTATATGGGCGAAGCGACCCATGATATGATGATGGCCAGCAGTCCCAGTCCCCAGCGGTTGAAGGGTGGTGTTGATCGCACAGACACAGGAATCATCTCAGAACGAGGGATACATTATAATATTAATATTAGGTATTAGAGATCGATAGCATGAGAAGTACAGACAAACAGACAAACAGACAGAAGAAGAGCCGGAAGTCCCCTTGATATTGTAGATTTATAATTATTCTTTTAAATTTTTATTGGCATCGAGATGAGTTGACCTCTTGTGTGTGTGTGAGAACGAGTCGGACCAGGACAGGGATTGCGTCCTTCCGAGCCATCAAATCTTACACTTTGCTGATAAGAGGATAAGTCCGCTGATATTTATGACCAAGTCCTGAGCATTGTGGTCACTGAAGTGTCTGGGAAACGTATAGCCCTTTTGGTTTTGCTTTTTTTCCGGGCTTTTCGCCTCGTGTGGTTCTCCCACCCTCGGCGTTTCCAGATGGATGCAGCCGTTGTCCAACAATCTATCTACCCCAGAGTCAGGATGGACGATGTGGTGTGATCCTCATGTTCCTGGCCACATGTGTCTGTCTCGGGCTCTCAATGCTTTGGGAGATCAAAGTCACGCTCCCTCATCAGTCTCTAAAAGGAGACGCAGACACGGACTTCTGATCGTTCCATGCCAGAAATGGAGTAAAGGTCGTCCATCCCTCTACTCGGCCCATTGGCTGATTGCCTCTTCCTAGAGAGATACCCTTCCTACGATGGATCTACCTGCTGTACTCCTCCCTCTGTACTACTCTGGGCCCTTTCTTCCCAGTTCCCATAAGGTAAAACCTTTTGAATCAGAAGGCCAGGCCGCCAGAAATCCAACCCCCCTCCCCCCCTCTCCTCCTCTCCAGGGAAACTTCCTGCTACTGAAATAGTCCCAACTCTCTGTCTGAAACACCAGGACGGCACGCATCCTGGTTCGTGCATTGGTCGCCTCCACTCCTGGGGAGCATCGGGAAGGATTCTCGCTTCAGTAAGCGTACTGAGTGTAGCCACTAGCCAGAGGTTACATCGTTGACATGAACCCCCGTCGCTGCCGAGCCGCCTTGCGTACAGGAAGTGGGCTCCGGACGGCTGATCGAGCTGGAGTCTGACTGGACAGTGCCGCTTGCATTATTCTCGGAGTAATCTGCTAGTTAAAATAATACCCATTGTTCGATCCTTTGGCGTCTTGGCCGGAAGGGGTTGCGTGATAGCCGATGAAGCGACCAGATCTTCCAGAGCCACAACGCCTTGCTAAGCACCGCGATCGATATGCAATCCAAGGTTCAATAATGGGGGGGGAACTGTCAATCACACGGTCCGGGCTCTAGAGGAACAGGATCAATTCTGATATAGGGTTGATATCAAATATGGTTCATCACTCAATGATCATGACTCTATTTACGTAGTCGAGAGACGCTCCAACCAAACGTTTGATATCTTATTTCCTTTTTCCCCCTGGCTTTTCCCACGGCCGACCAATTTCCCCTCTAACTTGTACAGTCCAGGGGGGCAACGGACAGGGGTCAGGAATTAGGGCCCTGCAAAAGAAACGCAATAAATCGAAAGGAAAAAAGAAGAAAAAAAAAAAAAAAAAGTCTCTTATTATCGGCTTGGATCGGGGATTTTTCCCAGCCATAATAAGTGTCGGTCGGTCGCTTCACTCGCTTGTACCTCTGCATTCATCACTAGAACCTGTTAGGAAGGTTGCTCCTGGATAGTGGCCAGAATCGTCTGAGGTGGTCGGATTGGACTACCGGATGATAATTGGGACCTGATTTGCACTATGAGAACCCGCCGTTGGAATCCTATATATCCTACAGCTCTCGCTTCCTCCTCTATCGAGACTTTCCTTTTGAGTTCGCATCCAGCAGCTGTTCAGATTGCCGCCAACTAGGCTTGTTGAGTCAAACCCACCATGGATTCGCACGAGTTCAAGCATCGTACCGTCTCGGCCAACGAGGAGATCGGCTCACCGTCAGGAAGCCAGGATCGTGATGTCGCCGATCTGGCACGTGTAGGGAAGAAATCGGTTCTGAAGGTAAGGACGATTTGGATGTACCCGTCCTAACTAGAGGGACACCATCACTGATCTGCGTCCGTGAAGCGAACCTTTGGCGTCCTCTCCACTCTTGGATTCAGCTGTACGATCCTTGCGACATGGGAGGGACTGTTCAAGTGAGTGAATCTCTCTCTCTATGCTCCGTACTACTCCCTCCGTCCCAGACCGAGACTAATCTGTTGGTGATAGTGTCTTTCTGATGCCCTTACAAAAGTCGGTCCTTATCGTTGTCGCACCCCACCATGATAAAACAAGCACTGATCTGATAGCTTTCCAGTGGAGGACCCGGAGGCGTCGTTTACACTTACATCTTCGCTTGGTCTGGGACTGCCTGTTGTTTTGTCGTTCTATCTGAATTGGCCTCGATGTAAGTGATGGATAAAACTTCTATCATTTCGCCGCCACCAGGGAGCCAGAGTAACTGACCGTGGTCTCCTTTAGGGCCCCAACTTCCGGCGGCCAGTACCACTGGTGTGCCATGCTTGCGCCCCCCAAATACATGAAGTTTCTGAGTTACATGACTGGTGAGCAACTCCGGGAATCATCTCCTCGACGGGTCGCTAATTGCGGTGCAGGCTGGCTCGCCGTCATCGGCTGGCAAGCGGCCTTTGCCTCATCCTCGTTCATTGCCGGCACCCAAATCCAAGGAGCCGTGATCCTCGCCCACAAATACTATCAGCCAGAGCCCTGGCATGGTACCCTCATCATGTGGGCCGCGGTCTTCCTGGCGCTGGGAATCAACCTGGTTGGAGGCAAGGTCCTCCCCCGGCTTGAAACCCTCATCCTGGTGATCCATATACTCGGCTTCTTCGGCGTCCTGATCCCCCTCACCTATATGTCCGAGAAAAAGACCAGAGAGGAGGTTTTCGACACTTGGGTCAATTCTGGCCAATGGCCCACGCAGGGGCTGTCATGGTTTGTCGGTATGACCGGGTGTGTCTTTGCGTTTGCCGGCGGTGACGCGGCCGTTCATGTATGGCTCTCATCCTCGTCTGTTGCCTGCGATCCGATCCGAGCTCACATGATTTCTTGGTGTATAGATGGCCGAAGAAGTGAAGGATGCCTCGGTGGCACTTCCGCGCTCGATTCTCCTGTCTGTTCTCCTCAACGGAACTCTCGGCTTTAGCATGTTGATCGCCGCGCTCTTCTGCATGGGTGACCTGGAGGCCGCCCTGAGCACTTCGACTGGATACCCCTACATGCAGATCTTCTACCAAGCGACCGACTCCATCTCGGGAGCATTGGGAATGACCTCCATCCTGTTGATCATCGCTGTCTGCACTGTGATCGGCATGCTTGCTGCCACCTCCCGGCAGTTCTGGTCCTTTTCTCGTGACCGAGCCGTGCCCGGATGGCGTATCTGGAGCAAGGTACCCTCTCCCCCGAATGTTTTTACCGCTGTATGGAAGCACCAAGCTAACTCTAAAAAACTCCAGGTCTCCGCCGGCAACCATCTCCCCACCTTTGCTATTCTGTTGACCATGACCGTCTGCTGCCTGCTCGGGCTCATCAACATTGGCTCGAGTGTGGTCCTGAACGGGGTGACCTCCATGGCCGTGTCGGGTATGTATCTGTCCTACCTCATGGTCGGATCGCTGCTGCTCTGGCGGCGCTGCACCGGTGCCATCTCACCGCACGATCACAGCGAGGACGGGATCGTCAATGTGCCCGGCGCGAAGCTCGCCTGGGGCCCATTCCGGGTGCCGGGCACCGTGGGAACCGCTATCAACGCCTATGCGATCATCTATATGATTATTGTGATTTTCTTCAGCTTCTGGCCAACGCAGATGGAGGTCGACCGCACGACGATGAACTTCAGCGTTGTGGGCACAATCGGAACCATCATCCTGGCCTTGATATACTATCTGCTGCGGGCGCGGAAGGTCTACCAGGGACCGATCATTGAGGTCGCTCGTTAGTCTTTTATGCAGACGGCAGCCTTGGACGTTGTGTCGACTGTATGATCTATTCTAAAAGCAACGATCGCGCTGGAGGTACGAAACGCGCGTTGGGAGGATTTTTATATCGTTTCATTGTGTATAGCCCCTAATGAGAAGATCTTATATTCAATTCAGAACAGGCGCAAGGCTGCGTATCTAGACATTCTCTGGCCCCGCCTCAGTCTGCTGGAAAAACGCCCGGTTACACAGCGGACATTGGAAATGATTGCCCAGAAACCACTGCTCCAGGCAGGCTGCATGGTACACATGGCGACACGACAAGACATGCATCATATCGGACTTCCTCACGTCGTCCAAACACATGGAACTGGTGCGAGATTAGCTGGACGTCGGCTCAGGCAACTGAGATCCTCTTGGAACCTTACCATATGATGTCGGATGAATCGCGGTCAGACAGATCTTGTTCGACTTGGGCGTTTTCTAGCCACTCTTCGCAGGATTTGGTAGGACATAGACTTTCGAGCTGCTGAAGCATTTCGCCGTGGGCCCTCTTTTCCGTCGTCTCTTTTGTTTCGGTAGAGGCTGAAGCGGGGCGGGATGCTCGCCGGCGTACTTGGATTAGAAATATTCTGGCGCAGGTTAGCATGTTGGCGTGTGGGATTTCAAGCGGACCCTCGTACAAGATGGCAACAATCACCAGGGCAAATGCCCCAATAATCACCCCAATAAGCGTGGCGGGGGTTGTGGATTCTTGAGACATATTTCAGTGCGACCTCTGATGTCAAAAGCGATCGCCATGGACGTACCAGCTGGGCCCGATGGCGATATTTGAAGTAAACTCCCCGACCGAAGTAAACACGTCCGTGTGTCCTGCTCTGAGGTCTTGACAGAGCAGCATCCATGGCTCACATTGTTACTCATGTGGCTGTGTCACTCATGTGTCTGGCGGGATAGGACAATGGCTGGGTCTTCCCGTGGGCGAAACATGTTCGGTTCGCAACGCTGATTGCTTCGTTGTCACTCGACGATGTAATACTTCGAGTCTAGACTCCATCGGAGCTTCTCCAGGGTCGGGATTATCCGAGTGTCGAAGATCCTCCAGCATTCCTCATTGTCTTCAGCCACGTTGTTCGGTTGATCAGGTGGACTGTTCCTAATAGAAGACTAGGATGAAACCGTCAAGCATTCCTGCCATCAAACCATCTGAATTGGTGTGATACCTCCCCATGAAACTACAACAAGTAAAGATGTCTATGCTCTCGGCAATCATGGAAGCACGATACTGTTATGATGCGGATGAGCTCTGTGTGACCTCTGAAAATCACCTCTCCAACGCATGATCGAGGGACCGTCTCGTGGTACATTATCGACGGAGCAATTTTGCTGTATAACGGCTGTTACTACCGTGTCTACAGATTCTAATCGGTATGCCCCGTGGAATCATCCGGAATAAAGACTCGTTTAGATTCACCACATGGCAATCGGTCAGGGCGTTCAAGCATTTTCCAATCCTCCCTTGAAACAAGTAAGGGCAGCTCTGAAGGTTCTGCTCCCTGATACGGGGTTAAGCGATGAATCCAGCATTCCTGAGGTATCCGTGTTCATTTACGGATTCCCACATTCTACATGCCACGGGTCTCATTCCTAACGGCCATGACCGTCGTATCCTCCCTGTTGGGACGGCGGGATCTAACTGCCATGTGCTGCGGCTGACACTCACGATCCGACAAATCTCGTCAGGACGAAGTTTATCCCTTTGGAATGAGAGCCACAATCTCATCCAATTCCTGCACAACAGCAGTTGGCTGCAGGCCCGGTATCGCCGCATCCATCCAGCCACGACGACTGCGATCCACCCAGATGGCGTTGAGACCACTGGCGCGCGCACCCACGATGTCAAACGGGTTGGCACTGATCAGCCACAGATCAGCCATTTGCTGAGGCGATTTGCCCATTTTCCGGGCCAGGTGGGTGTACGCCGCAGGGGCGGGTTTGAACTTCTGCACGTCCTCGACCGTGATGACGCCCGCGAAGACATCTTTGTGAGGTGACAGGTCCGGGGAATGGTGCACCGAGTTTGTGACCATGGTTTGAGTGCCATTTGAGAATACTACGACAGTGGTGTTGTGTAAAGCTGCCAATTGGCGTAGCGTACGGTCAACATCGGGAAAGATCGATAGATGATCGTACGCCACGAGAAGTTTGTTGACAACGGCGTGATCCGGGGCTTCCCCGTGCTCTAACAGAGCCTGATGCAGCGAGTTTCGCGTGATGTCGTCGAAAGAATCATATCGATCTACCATTTGGTCACTCTATGTCCCTATCAACGAACGAGCTGGTCTTCAAATCAGACATACCCATACTGTTGAGACGCCAAGTATATTCCAGCTGATATCGTCTCCATGATGTGGAAAGAGACTGAGCTATTGGTAGAGGGAAATGTCCTTTGAGCTGCTCCACAATGGAGTCTGTGGACAGTATGGTGCCATAGAGATCAAAAGCAACGACGGGGTTTCTTTGAGTACCCATTTCTGGACATTGATGATGCTCTGCAGCGTCGAAATCGAGAGGACCCAATCCCTTTTTTTATAGCCAGGGATGATGTCATACTACGATAATCCATACGCTCCTGTCAGGGGGACATCGATATAGATATGTTTATATTTGAATGGTACAAATCGATATGAGCAGATCCAGGCTTCTGAAGCATGCTATCCTCGACGGATGGCTACGAAAGACAGAGAAGGACATCTTGTGTTATAAGCACATGATCCTTGTCCAATATACGGGACCACAGCTGTCCACATCCAGCCTCAGTCTCACAGCCTTCTCATGGACAAGCTCATCTGCCGTCTGTGTAGTGCTTCTCGAGCTCAGTGCGCACAAAGAAATCCTCACTGCGATCAGGCGATGGAACGGCCGTATTGACAATGTATGATTATTGCGGTATTTACATCAGGTTACTTCTTCTTCTTCTTCTTCTCCACCACAGGATATTTATCTAGACTCTCATACCACTGAATCCCCGACCCCAACAAGAAAGCCCAGGACCCCCAGAACGTCGCCAGCGTGCTCTGATACGCCACCCCCGAATTGGCGCTCGCAGGCCCGAGAACGCCGCAGAGAGTGAATCCAATCCCCCCGATAAAGTTCCAGAGCCCCGTGTGCCAGCCGAGGACTCTGGGAGCTGGGACATACCACTTGGGCTGCGTTTCAATGGTGAAGAGCAGGCCGCTGATGACGAAGCAGGCACCACCCACGATTTGGGGCACCCAGTAGACGCCATTGGTAACGGCCTGGGACAGGTGATCCTGGATGCCGGGGAGGCCCGTAAACCCAGAGATCCAGAAAATAGTGGCCCCGATCAACTGCACAAAGGATGCCTGGAAGCCGATCTCCCGCACGTAATGGGTGCGCAATTCTGCCCGACTGGGAAACCATCGGAATGACTTGGGGGAAGTCCCGTGAGGATGATCCGATATCGTCTCCGAGGGTTTGAGGATTGCATGCCGTCGAACGTGGTGGTGGCGGCACGTCTGGAAGTCCGACTTGACGCGGACAACAGCCTGTTCGATTCGATCCTCGGCTTTCTTGGAGACGGTTTCTACCGCCCAGCCAAAGCAGCCGGTCTGGTTCTCGTTGATGGCTTCGAGAACGAGAAGCACACTGCCAACCTCGAAGACGGTGGCACCGACAAACGCGGTGATGCCTCCACCGGTCAGGATTTCATGAGGGAATTCTGTCCTGGGCGCTGCCAACGGCAACCAGACGAAAAAGGCGTTGATGACCCAAATGACCGATCCCAAGGTGAACAGCCAAGCCACGAGGAACGACACATCCCAGTACGGAAACATGGTGAGCATGCGGATGATCCCCTTGGCGATGGGGATCGGATGTGCTGTATTGCGGGGGTACCTCTTCCCCTCGGGCCCTGGGGGTCGCCAAGATACTCGCAGGGCATGTCGTCCTTTGCGGTTATCTCTTGTGCGCCAAAGTCGATCGATCTCAGGTACTACTGTGGTGGGCTCTGTAACAGTGGGCGTGGGTGGTTTCTCTGCCCGGATCCTGTCGGAGAGACGGTAGTCCGCCCGTGTTGGGTTGCAGAACGGTATAGGGCCGGAGACAAACCTGGGCGGCAGTTGGACCGCTAGAGCCTCGGGGAATGGCTTTCGGCCGGCGTGGAAGCTATGCGACCGAGCCATTTTGAGCTCTTGATGTTCCTCAATGGATTATTGAAGGTGGAAACGAAGGTGTAGACCGAGATGCATGTTGTTGGTGCGGGTGATGACGAGTGAGAAGTGATGATGATAAGACTGTGCGAGCCAAGAAAGGAAGTTTTCTTTATATAGGTATGGATGAGGCGAAGTTGTTCATTGGCCACAAGCTAGAGCTCTAGTCCTAAATCGTACCACCTTTTTTCCCCAAATCATTACTACAAAGGTTAGAATCTATGGTGGGGGGGAGGGGGGGCATGTCGGAATAGCTTCATGTTGCCGCCGACTGGGCAGGCTTTGCTTCACACGGTCGCTCTTCATCAATTCCCACGATAATAGACGACCAGTAAAGTAGCATCGCTCTTGATCTATAGATTTCCTGAGCCATTTGATTCTCAATACGATGGTTACATCGCTAGTGATCGTTGCGATGATCCTTCTGAGGGGAAAGGAGAATCCTCGTCGGTATATATAAACAATTAGTGATCCCCAACCGATTCTGTCTTGATCAATGCTTGCTTCGTATGTTTCTCTAAACCAACATGCCTTTGCATCTCCATCTTCTCTGGCTTTTCGCCATCACTACTACTGTCACCTCAACTCGTCCCTCCGACACCCTTCGATTCGGCTCTCCCGAGTCGGTTGGTCTCTTGTCGGCTCCCCTTCGCCAGCTTACTGGCAACATCACTGGTTATCAGCAGGCAGCCAACTATGGCCCATTTACCCAAAATGAGGTGCATCCGATTGAGCCCTCTTCGGCCGTGATAGTCAGCCATGATCACACCATTGTCTCGCTCTCTGCCAGCGGAATGATGTCGCTCTATGCCGACGCCAATGGGACTGTACTCCCAGTCTCGCAGCAATTGCCTGCGCGCACCAACACCATCTACGATCTGGCCAGTCTGACCAAGCTGTTCACGACTATTGCAGCTCTGAGACAGATCGACGCGGGATCACTTGCCCTCAATGCCACCGTGGCATCCTACTTGCCTGGATTCGCTGTCCATGGGAAAGAAAGCATCACCGTTCTCATGCTGCTCACCCATACCTCGGGCTTTGCTCCTGATCCAGAGCCTCCGCTGTACGATTCAGTATACAGGACTGTTGCAGAACGAAAGGCCTCAATTTTGGACCAGTCGCTGCAGAACAGCCCGGGGTCCACCTATCTCTACTCGGATCTCAACTTCATGTCGTTGGCGCTGGTCCTCGAGCATATCACGCATAAGAACCTGGATGAGCTGGTGTACGGATTCACGCATCCGCTGGGGATGCACGACACCTTCTTCAATCGCGGCAACGTTGACGGTGCCGCGTTTGCCCCGTATGCCCGCATGGCGGCCGAGGAATTCCAGATCCAAGTCCTGGGATCCATGGAACCAAAGCGGCCCCAGCCAGTGCGTGGGACCGTTCATGATGAGAATGCCTGGGCCTTGGACGGAGTATCAGGGCATGCCGGACTGTTCTCCACGGTGGAAGATACAGCCATCCTGTGCCAGATGATTCTCAACAACGGCACATATGGCGGCCATCGCATTCTGTCTCCGGAAGTGGTAGACTTGATCTTCCACAACTTCAACGAAAGGTTCCCGGGAGATGAGCATGGTCTAGGCTTTGAGCTGAACCAGTACTATACTGCGGGGCCTATGGCAAGCCTTCAGGTGCGCTGTTTGACTGTCTTGGACCGATAAATGTCTTGCTGACCCCTTGTCTGTTGCAGACGGCTGGCCATACTGGCTTCACAGGCACGACGCTGGTCATCGACAGACCATCCAACACCTTCTTCCTGCTGTTTGCAAACCGAGTCCATCCCAATCGCAACTGGTCGTCCAACAATATCGCCCGAGAGGCTCTGGGATACTGGGTTGCCAAGTCCCTCGGTCGCGATGTGCCATTTCCTCCCTTGTAGCATCGGCGTGTGTATATGCATACACTACGGCTCGGGAGATATCGCAAGAGATAGGGGCTGTATCGAGATGAGGACATTCAAACAGGGCATAGAAAGTCATTGTACATGCATCAGATCTGATAGAAAACGAAGAGCGCCAAAGAAAATATCCATAAGATGGTCGTCACGTCCTCCATTGCTGGTAATCTTGCCGCGGTGCCCTCGACCACAAACGAGACCAACTCCTCGGGGGTCGATTGATTGACATGGAGCTGACGGGCTGACTCGGCACGGTTAAAGATCCCCGAGAACGAGACGTTGTAGCTGACCGGAAAGCGCACAGCGCTCTCCCGAGATATTAGGTTCCCACTGTCAAACATGGCGTTTGTATGCCCGGAGATTGTGAAATCCATGGTCCCGTTGGTCATCGATCCGGATATCACTGTGTTGTTGTCGTAGCCGATCAGCACCGCTTTCCGACCAGAACAAGTCCCCGCGGGGAGGAACAGGCGAGAGGAATAATAGCGGTCATCAAACCCCTTCGGCCTCGGAATATCCTTTGAGAAGGCCGCGTTCAATAGCGCGACGTTTGCATCGTTCGCTGCTGGCGATACCTCCAGGTCGAAGAGATCGAACCCCCCGGACACGCTGGGTCGCCATAAACCGAAATCCTCACTTGTAGCCAAGCGCACGATAGTCTTCGACTTGCAGCTATCGTACGACTGCGTGAGATTCTCGAGCGGGTAATCTGTCGGCCAGGCCCTGAACCCCAACGTCAACGAATTCCTCAGCCCTATCGGATACGGCGTCTGGGGCCCGATGTGCGCAATGGCGAGCATGCGAATCGATTGCGGGCCGCTGGGGCAATTCTCCTTGGTCAGGTTGGTTGATGGCCCAATGGTATAGTCGAAGAAGGCTTCGCCGAAGTAGAACGCGCCGTCGTAGTCCGTGGAGGAGTCGTTCCTCCACCAGTACGAGGTGTAGTTCATCGTGTATGAGGGCACCACGCTGTTGATGGAAAGGCCAGTGTTGCCGCAGGCTGGTGCACCGCTGGAACCGCTCGAGGAGGAGGAGGAGGAGCTACCGCTGCCGCTGTCGTTACTATCATCGTCGCCGTAGTCGCCATCGCTATCGTCCTCACTGCTACTGCTACCACCCCCTCCGCCTCGTCGAGAGAGGACATGATGAGGCAGAGCGAGCACTATCAGTGCTGTAATCCACGGTTTAACCAGCATTTGTCTCCCTCGCTTCTTCTGGAATGACTGCCGTGGCTGCTGGTATATTCGTCAGGACATGGCGCATCGGACGAGCGGAACCCCTTGGACGAACCCATGATGGGCGGCAGGCTTGATTTAAATTCTTCAGCCATGTCGATCTCGTCGCCAGACTTACGCACAGAATTGTCCTTTGTCCACATTTCTTTGGCGATGTCTAGCCTGAAGACGGCATGTCGCCAAGCAGGCCAAGGCTCTAAACGACTCTCAATCTCGTATTGCTTTGGGCCTCATTCCGCGACGGGAAAATGCACAGCAATCATTGGCGGCTCATGGAGGCTTTGCACTGAATCCTTCATGGCTATGTTGGTGAGATGGGTGTCTTTTCTTGTTGTGGAGAGAGACGATGGGCCAACCATGTCAAATACCCCTGGGATGTCTTCATCTCGTGCGGAGACAACATACTCGAACCCGACGTCGAGCTGCTGCGTATAGAGGCTCATCGTTTGCGCCCAAACGGCATTGGAGATGCTGGCCGGCGTCAGACCATGGACGACGCTGAAAGAAGTCAGGGCAGCGGCCGGAATATCGGGCAGATCGATGATGGTTTTTCGGAGACTGGGATATGGTACTGATGAGGCGGTAGATGCAGGGAAGGAGAGCAGAACCTGGGGCTGCTCAAGCAGTATTGAAGGCCAGTATTTGCGATCCTCTTCCCAGCGGCCTGGTCGCAGTTGAGCCGTCATGAAGTTCTTGTATGACAGCGGTTAGGGTGGAAAATACTCCGCTTCTCCCGCCTCATAGGCCTCTAACAGAGCTTCCTTGATGATCCTCAGCGACCAGAGATCAATCACCAGGTAGTCTAGCTGACCGTGCATAATGAACTTATCCCTGCGCTGGGAAATCAGCGTACGGTGACGCAGGAAGCACTCGTCGGGTTCCCAGGGTCTCAAACAATGGCTCAGTGCGTCCTACGGCTGCCGGGAAATAGACCTAATATAAGCATAAACTCTCACTAAGTTAAGTAAGTACCCCCTTAGATTAATGGCTTAAGTTCTCTGCTTAATGCGGTAACATCAGCAATCTCTATTAGAGGCACTACCGGTAGGATCTGAAAATCTGCCACCATTGACAATAGTACCTGTTAGGTGTTCTATCCGGCTTACCATTAAGCCCTCTAATGAGTGGAGAGCTTGAGAATGAGTAACTTAGTTAGTCTAGAGGACTGTCGTCATTATACAAAGCCAGTCATTCACAGCTAGAGCAGTGCGGATGAGTATTCTTAAGACGTTAGTGTTTATGCAGCCAACTCATGACAATCATATTCATGCACTAAGATTATCTTGGATCTTTTCATCAAGTACAACAGAGAGAAGAGTCCCACCCTACTGCCATTGACCTCGCAGGTATCTGGTTAAACCTGAAGCCAAAGTCCTAAAACCATATCCTTCGACACCTCGTCAAACTCATTTTTAGAAAGGCCATGCGCAAGAACAACCCGAATAGCATAGTCGCACTAAGCGAGTCAATCTCCAGCTTTTGATCACTCACGACCTTGACTACCTGAGTGAGCAGCCTCTCGACAGGAAATGGCTGCTGCGCACGAAGAACGCAACCGGCCGTTTCAGCATGGATGTTCAACACAATCATGTCAACGGCTGGTGGAGTGCTTTTTATAGCTGTATCTACCCTGGAGTAATCCCTGCTTGGGGGACCAACAGTACACAATAAAGCAACTAAGAAACTTGGCTCTAAGGCCAATAGAAGAGTTGCAGGCCTAGCATCGGTCATCCTAGTCTTGTTCTTTGTGTTCAGGCGGAAACGTCGTGCTGTGCACAACAGCCCAGGAAACATGGAAGTTAAGCCTGAATATTTAGAGGGCTTTTCCAGACGAGAAGAATTGGCAGGTACAGAACTGAGGCCAGAGTTGCCTGCGAAAGAAATACCATATGAATTGGGGCATGATAGCAATATATATGAGTTGGATGGGAGAGATACGGGATTTCATAGATGATGATGGCACTTGGAACCAAATCATATGTGCTAAGCTGAAAGATATCCAGATAGCAACATGGCTTGACTATGGACATGCTTGATAGTAGAGACGACAGGCATGGTTTTCTCAAAAACATGTCTACTACCGACGATAACTATCTCTAAGATATCACATCACTGACTGAGAAGGCAAACTCAAAATCTCATTGACAACGTCCATCACATTCTCCAACACAACTTCCTTTGGCCGCGCTGCATTGACCACAATCACATCTGTCTCCAACGGATCCGGATCCTCGAACACCTGGAGCTGAGATGGAACCATTGTTGAGCTCATGTAGTGACCCTCGTCGGTACTGCGTTTTTCAAGTCGATCCTGCAGCTGCTTGCCGTCCCTGATCGACAGCATCAGAAAAACGACCTGAACCGGTTCGTCGAAGAGACGGCTGAGATGCCGAAGCTGGTCGCGATACACTGTACGAAGAGCAGAACAGGTTACCACGATCCCCGGCGCTTCGGTGTTCTGCAGACGATTCATGACGGCACCCCGGAGGTGGGCCAACCATCCCCAGCGATCATCGTCGGTGAGTGGAATCCTGTTGGCCATCTTCCGTCGCGATGCTGGGGAGTGAATATCGTCGCCCTCGATCATGGGAAGCTTGAAACGCTCGCAAATGTCCTTTCCGGTTGTGCTCTTGCCGCAGCCGCTGGGTCCAGCCAGGATGAAAACCGTGCGATGTGTGTCTAGCAGAGAGACACTAGTGCCTGGCAGACGCAAGTCAAGATCGGCGAGAAGACGAGTGACAGCCTGCTCATCAAGTCCACTCCCCTGACGCAGTGCTGGGGCATAGGCCTGGGCTTTCCTTGTGTCGTATGCAAACTCCGTGTTGCCATGGCCATCACACTCTTCAAGCTCCAACTTCAAGGAGGTGGTGCGATTCGGGGTCGATTCCCGAAGACGATGCTCCCACTCATCCACCGAAAGTATTTGGAACTGAGAACCGAAACGGTGGAGCAAAGGAAGCAAGCCATAGCCCCAGTGAATGAAGGTAGGATTAACGACGTTGAAAATCCCAGTCACGTTCGGGGACAGAGTCAATTGGATTACACTGGTTGCAATGACATCCGCGCGATCCCATTTAATGGTGGCATCCAGCGACGGAAGGGCGTGGATTTTCTTTCCTTCCCGGAGTATATCAGCAACACTATCGTCTCCTCTGGTACCTGCAAAGCTTAGGTCTCCCAGGTTCTCCTGCGTACGAACCACACAGGTACGCAATTTAGTTCCCTGACCAGCGCGATGAACGATATGTTCCGCCACGAGCTTCGATTGAGCATCTCCGCTGTAGTCCGCGCAGGAGAATGACCCAGGGAGCGCTTCAGGGGCAACATCACCTAGCGTGTGCATCACGGTCCTCACGGAAGAACAGAAACAGAAACGAGCGAGCTCCGGACGCTCGGTATCCAGGCAGAGATCTAAAAGACGGCGAGTACTTGCAATGCACCACTCGAAGCTGGCGAGAGGGGCGTTGGGATCGCTCATCCAGTCACAGTGGATGATCACAGTCGCGAATCGACGCAATTGACCGTACGCATCGTCGCCCATACCGAGCAGATGAGGATTGGAAAGATCGGCAGGGAAGGCGATGATCTTTTTGCCATCCTCCACGCTGATATCATACCATAAGCCGTGCGTAAGAAGCCTGCACTGCACCTCAAACGAAGCCATGTACTTCGAGGGTGTTCGAACAAGACAGAAGACGGTACGGACTTGCTTCATTCGAACCAGTTGGGCCACAAGATGAACACCCAGGGTACTTGTTGCATCCGTTATAACCACGTACTCACCATCCGCAGGATGCTCCTGAGGCTCATGGGACTTGAAGTGACCGCTGTATTTGTCAATCAGCGCTGCCATTTGTTCTTCCACGTCCATCTTTTTGCCCAGAGTCATGGGGACGGGGCTTTCGGCCATTTTCGTTTCACGATATATCTTACGAATTCCTGCGGGGTCTGTTGGTGTGATGACTCTTACCAGTTGAGAAGACTCTGGAGAATTAATGAGGCAGACGGGAGGAGCGGATAGAGACAGAGGCCATTTTATACTGTATCTACCACAGTGCTCCTTGCTGAGCTTCGCTCGAATCATGATGATCCCGTACATAAAAGGCGGCAAACGACTTTCATGCTATGCCGGGGTCTTTGCTAGTTTTTCCATTCTAGAGCTGCAAGTTCCCACTTTCTGGATCAGATTCTGCAGCGTTGACAAAGACCTGAGGAACATGTCTCAGATGACAGCGTAGCGGGTAGCAGCATTCCACTGAGATCAGGTCTGCTACGGCAAAGAATAGAATACACTCTGCATGTCAGCCATTTCCAAAATCTTTCGCCAATGTGGTGTGGTGGGTGCGGCTATTGGTAGCAAACGCCTCTATTTTCTACCATAAGCCATAGTCTAACAGCTATCCGACGGACTCTCAACAACAGTGACACTATCCGACTTCTCTGACTTCAGCCCTGTCTTGGTTTCCACATGCTCCTTGTTCAGCCGGGCTTTGGAGATGAAAGCACCAGCCAGGATGCCCAACGCAGACATGCAGGTGTACAGGATCCACATATTCCGCAGGCTCCAAGCAAACGCTTTCTTGACAGCCAGCAGCTGCGCAGGGTCTTGGATAGTCTTGATGATTTCAATATTGGCCGCAGCCGAATCCCCAGACATTTGGGATGCCAGTTCCGCCGACATGCCCACGGCAAGGAGCGAGGATTTCATGCGGCTCATGGAGTTCTGGAAAACGACGCCTCCAATCACGATGGACGAGGATGTCGCTAGGTTTCGGATAAAGCCGAGGGTCGCCGTAGCAGTAGCCGTCTCATCCTGAGAGACCATAGCTTGAATCGCGATGATGGGGGGCTCGAACATGAACCCCGCGCCGATACCACTCAGGATCTGGTATCCGAGAATCTCGCCGAGCGACGAGTCGACATCCAGGTTGATGTACATTCCATTACCGATAGTACACAGGGTCATTCCGAGCCAGATTAACTCCCGGTAGCGGCCAGTGCGGTGGATGATGGCCCCGGTGACAATTCCGGCAAACGCCTCGGAGAGAACCAGAGGAAGAACAAGGATACCGGAGCGCATCGGGGAGGCTTCTTTGACGGACTGAAGAAACAGGGGAATATAATACTCTCCAGCAATGAAAACCTGCCAAGTATTAGCGCAGCCTAATCACCCACAACGGTTACTGTTGTCACATACAAATCCATGAGCAAAGGTCACCGCGAGAGTTGCCACATTGGTCGCCTGTGCAAAGAGGCTCATCGGCATCAGAGGATACTTTGCGAGCCGTTTCTCGCTGTAGATGAAGAGCAACGAGCAAAGCGATCCAAAGACAATCAAGCAGATCACCTTAGGCGAATCCCACGGGAAGGCTTCACCTCCGAAATCCAGTCCCAGGAGCAGCATGAGAGTCAGACCGAGGATGGAGAGACTTCCGAACCAGTCGATGGCCTTGAATCCGTCAATCATCTTGGTTTTGGGATTATGCACGTCAAGGAAGAGCAGCAGCAGAACAAAGGCAAGACCGCAGACCGGCAGATTCACCCAGTAGCTCCACCTCCAGGAAACATACTGGGAGAATGCACCTCCGAGAAGAGGACCGATACCACCTGCCAGAGCCCACATGAACTCCATCATACCCAGGTATAAGCTCCGGTGTCTGGCGATGTCAGATTCAATAAAGTTAAGCAAAGAAGGTGAAGAACCTACCTAACACTGAAGAGATCGGAGATGACAATCGTCACCAACTGCAGCAGGCCGCCACCGGCAACACCCTGCAGCGCGCGTCCAGCGATCAGCATGGGCATATTGACCGCAGTGGCGCAGACGATGGAGCTGACAAAGAACCAGGCCACAGCCAGCAGCAGAATCGGCTTGCGACCCCAGATGTCAGAGAGCTTGGCCCAGATGCAAGCTCCGGCAGCATTGGCCAGCAGATAGGCACCGCCAATCCAGGTATATCCGGCCGCGGAATGCAGCTTGGCCGCGATGGTGGGAATGGCGGTGGCCATGATGGTCTGGTCCAGGGCAGCCACAAACATGGACAGCTAGGGTTCGTCATGAGCGGGAGTCAGACCGATGTGAAGAGCGAGGAAGCCATACCGAGAGAGCCACCATGATGGCAAAGACCCGAACCTTGCTGCGCTGCAGCTCTGGGGCCATTTCCATTGTCTCCATGGCGGGTGCTGTTTGTTCAATAGCACACCGACGATCGTGGTTGTTTCGAAAGTCAGGTTAGGGATATGAAATTCTTGTCTTGTCAATTGAGTCAGAGGCGAAGAACCATGTCTATCGTGGATTTGTTTTAGCGTACTACTATACTCTTCTCGATGTAGGCGACCAGTCTAAATGGCAAGAAAGACTATGGTTGGTTGCATAAGAATCTTGCGGATATCCAGTGGGGGAAGTGTTTGCTTGCAAATTCTCCACTTGTCGATAAGGAGAAAGAAAGTTGAGGAACAGAAGCAAAGCGTGGAAACAGCACACTCGGCATTTCTCCCAAATATAGCTATCTTGAACTCATGACTCGATAGAGGGCGTAGATAGGCTACTATGCGTCGATTTTCTTGTACTCAAGTGGGCGTAAGGCCGCAATACATATGCACCCTCCTCCAGACACTGCTCAAGCCTCTTCGCTCTTTGCTCGATCTCATGCTTTAATATACCTATGGATTGAGGAAATACGGTGCGCTATCAGAGAGATAAACATTGGGACTCTCTGCACCTTCTTTCTCTTCAGACTTGTATGGACTTTCTTTCATAACCACCACTCCAAGTCTAGCACAAGATAGGCCAAAGACAGAACCTGCAAAGGAACTGATCGAATGCTAAGTCCATCTATCTTGATTTCTCGCTGCGAACCAATCGAAGAAAGATCACTCAGGATGGCGCTGGCCGGGGATCGCCGCTTTGCGTTCATGAAGTGCTAGCTATCGAATATGGTACAGGAATAGCTATTCCAGGGTCTAGTAGTGCATATCATCGGGATTCATCTTTTGGTATAAATAACATATTAGTATACTATACTTTCGTTTCTTCTTGCCTGCTCATCCGGCGCCGCTTGTCTTGCAGAGCCGCCAGGTCCGATGCCACAAACAGAGTCCGATCCAAGATGCCGTTGATGGTCAGGCATGTTACCAGAATCCATAATAAGACCACACACAGGGATAATATCTGCAAGCCATTCATTAACTTGAGGAAATGTCACCGAAAAAAAGCACTTACTGTGCCTAGTACTGCATAGAACCGAGACGGCAGCTCCCGCCCCAGCTGAACAGTGCAAGTTGAAAAGACCCCCAGAGGGAAAGTAAATGCCCACCAACCCAATTTGAAGGGGAATCGTCGGACATAGAGGATCGAAGCAACGGCGAAGAAAAGCCACAGTAGCCCAAATCCCCAGAGCAGAAGACCGAGGAGCACACCCACGTCGTGGAGAACGTCCCCAGCGCCCGCGCGCAGCGTCTGGGTTTGAGGAAAGACTTTCTGGGCGACATCTCCCAGTTTTTGGATCCTACGAATGTCAGCAATTTGTTCAACTATCCAGTTAGAAGATTGGGCATACCCAAATCCACCTTGACCCAGCGGCCCCAAAGGCAGAAAGGTGCTCACGATGATGGCTCTGGCGGGCAGTTTGTGCAGCATCAACCGCATGAGATAAATCCCAATGATCATCATGGCCAACGGAACGCCAACGCCCCATAACACATAGCTAGCAAGAAGAGTGCCCAAGGCATGCTGGGGGTTAGGCAAGACACTGGCGACAATGCCCCCGGAGGCTGCCGCGACAACACAGGCTACGATGGGCAACAACCACGCCGGGCCCATGGAGGGGAGCGTACTTTCGTTTTTCCTCGTCATCCTGTGAGTTCAGTCAGTAGTTGGTTCAACTGATACACGGTGTCCTACACCCACATGATGAACGGAAGGGCAAAGCAAGTCATGACGGATATGACTGCATCCGCAATCCAAAGTCCCCAAGCCACATAAGCAACCCAGGAACCCCAGGCCGGAACACACACTAAACAAATCATATTGATGATAGTGGCCAGGCCCATGGGAAATGTCCCGAGGAAGAGCGACTGCACAGGATGCCTGACCATGACCGAGAAGATGTCTGGATACACGATATAGCGCAGCAGACTGCAGATTAAGAAGACGAGGAACAGCAGAATATTCAAGACGAAAATGACTACGGAGATCCAATAGAGCCATCTACCATTGTACGGCAGTGTATTGAGCAGGATCGAGACAATCCCTGTGCCCATGTTGGCCGAAAACCATCTGTAACAAGGTTAGCCATGCTCATCCAACACCGCCGACGATAATATGCGAATCATACGCGGGAGTGAAATTTCGGACGACATAACGCCATCCTATCTCATGCTTGGACACCTCAGGCTCCTCGTTGACTGGCTCCAGGCCGCAGGTAGATAATTCACTTGGAGAGAAGGGCTCATGGTGCGTTTCGCTTGAGCGACGGTCATTCCATGGCGATTCGCCACGGCCTCTACTCATGGTGAAGGCGTGAAAAATGTGAGAGCAGGCGGGCCAGAAAGGGACATCTAGATTAACCAAAGTAAAATCAACTCAGGCATGTATACAATCTTTCACGAAGAGGAAACTTGTAATGCATGGTGACCGTTGCTAGGATCGGCTCAAAAGGGCTTCAACTGATCGATGGAAAAAGAGAAATGGATCTCTGGAAAATTTATCTCCAGCCATCTGGGAACGTATGACGCTGCCCTGTGATCTGAATTGCTACCAAAATTGCAGCGTTTCTATTAAAGCAAAGCCAGACTATGGCCGGTCAATACAATTCAGGTGGGTCAAAGGCAAAGGCGATTCATGAAAACGAGACTATGACACTAATGACTACTTTTTGCACGTCCTCGAATCCAACGGACAGACCCCGGAATTCGCCCCAGCGAGCGAGTGGGCCATGTCTTTCTTCTGGATTCCTTCTGTCAAGTGGAACTCTTAAGAGTTATGGCTTTCTTTCCTTACATTCTTCAGCTGTTCGAGTTCGGCGACTTTGGGGATGTCGGGGACCGAGTGGACCGGAGAGGAGCAGCACCAGGTCGGCCATTATTATTCAAATAAGAGATCCCGTCAAGCTGCAGTCGATACCGAGAGAACTTCTGTCTTAATTTTAGCAGGAAGCGACAGACTTGGGACACATTGAGTTTGTGGTTCCCGAGAGTCTACGTCATGTTATCATGATGGCGGCGTCGTCCTTGAGGAATGCGGCCTCTACAACAACACCGAGGAGCCCGATATCCTCATTCTTAAGGAGCACGCGAGTCGGCAGTTCGCCATCTTCTATGTTCGTTGCGAGTCCGCTGTCTTGACAAAATGGAACCAGTTGTCTACCCGCTCTTTGAAAAGAAGACGTCGACATGGCAGTACATCGTCGCCTGTCCCGAGACTCGCGAGGCCATGATTATCGACCCTGTGCTGGACTTTGATCCTGCTCAGTTGACCATCAGCACCAATTCCGCCGACAAATTGCTCGAGATTATCTCATCCGAGGGTTTCCAGGTCGTGCGACTGCTCGAAACACACGTCCACGCGGACCATCTCACGGCGGCCTACTACCTCCAGCAAGAACTCCTACGCAGGACAGAGAAGCGAGTTCCCATCTGCACGGGACATCGAATTCGTCAGGTTCAGGAGACATTCGCCCGAAAGTACAGTGTGCCTTTTGATGAGCTAGACAACGTCTTCGACCACCTCTTCCAGGACGACGAAACGTTTCAGCTGGGGAAGCTGACCGTCAAGGCGCTTCATCTTCCCGGTCATACTCCCGATCACAGCGGATATCAAGTCGACAGTAACGTCTTCACCGGGGATTCAATCTTCAATCCGGATGTGGGCAGTGCGCGATGCGACTTCCCTAATGGCGACGCCCGCGACCTGTACGAATCCATGACCAAACTGCTCGCTCTGCCACCACACTTCAAGCTCTACACGGGACATGACTATCCGCCGTCGACCCCGTCGGACTCCCAAGCCGGCTCCCAGGCCAGTCGCGATCCCATGCCGTACGTCACGGTGCAGGAGCAACGAAACAACAACAAACACGTCAAGGAAGGGACCAGACTGGAGGATTTCGTGCAGTGGAGACGGGAAAGGGATGCGACACTGAACGAACCCCGGTTGCTACACCAGGCCTTGCAGGTCAATATTCGGGCGGGAAGACTACCTGCGAGTGCGGATGGCAGCCAGCGGACGTATTTACTGATGCCCATCAAGATTCCCAGTTTGCTGGCGAGCTCGAAATCTCAGGGTTGAGAAGGCGATTGTCTCATGTATATAGCGTTTCCTGTTCGATGTATCTTTTCCCCACGATGGCGCGTACTTCCTCAGCAATCCGTGTCTATCAATAGATCTCCGTCCCCCTATATCAGTCACCCCTGACTTCCACCTCCTGGCATCATCTTCACCGCTATCTAGCCAGTGCATGATGCTATCAACGCCTACCGACGGTTAATCTAGGGAATAGGGATATCATCATATCACAGGGCCCATGACGCTCCTTCTGGGCCACCCTCTTCATGGTATTTGCTAATGAGAATGATAAAAGCGGTCCTCATGCCCAATTGATAGCCAATAGGGAATTTTATGCTGCTTTGACCATGGGACAAGCTGTTCAAGCTGTTCCACCAGTATGCGACACAGTCTCTGCTGATTGGTTCCATGCGGACGATGCCCCGGATCAATCGCCGACTCAGTAACTGGATCGGCGATTGACCCCGATAAGGGGGGATACAACGTATATCACCTCAACATCGGCAGCTGGTGTGAACATTAATGCGTGAATCTTTTAGTATTATTATCCTCTTAGAGACCATCTCATCCCCCCTCTTCTTCTTTATCCCATATCCAAAATGTCTCCTGCGTTGTGTGCTCCGTTTCCGCTGGCCGGTCACCTCCCGTCGCTGGACCGCATCCAGAACTATACCGTATCCCGAAGACCCAACACACTCTACACCCTCGATCACCTGGTAGAAGACATCAAACAGTACCTAGGAACCTCCGGCATTGACGATGCGCATGTCGACCATACCGTCCTGATGAACTTCATGTCCAAGTACACATCTAGTGCCGCAGACTGGTCCCGGTATATGCGCAATGACCCCAGCAAGAACTATACTCGGAATTTAGTAGCTGATGTCAGTGGACGGGCGAACCTGGTATGTCTGTTGAGTCTACTCTTCTGTTGGTGTCCAGTACTGATTCCACTAGCTGCTGCTGGTCTGGAACCCCGAAAAGGGATCCCCCATCCACGATCACGCCAACGCGCACTGTATCATGAAGATCCTCGACGGCGAGCTGAATGAATCCGTCTACCATACGCCATCTCCGGAAGACCACGATGGCCCGTTGAAGATCAAGAAGAACACGACGTATCAGCCGAATGAGGTGGCCTACATCAGCGACGAGATCGGCTTGCACCGGGTTGCCAATCCCCAGAAGGATCGGATCGCGGTGTCGCTGCACTGTACGTCTCTCTTTATCCACGACCATCGTTGTCCCTACTGACAGCTGAACAGTGTACACCCCTCCCAACGCGGCAGACTATGGATACAACATTTATGACCTGCAGACCGGACGGTCCAGCCATGTCTACCAGGCGTAGACACGGACGCTTACGACGTGATGCTATGATACCACTTGCTTTCCTTTTGGCGTGTATGATACCTGGTTGAGATTCCTGCGTGTGTTTATTTCGGGATGCTGCTGCTACTACTATACCTTTATCCACTGTGTTGTGTTTGTTCCTATTCCGAGAGTCGGTCGAACTGGACTTTTCATTCTATCCGCATGTCATCCAGATTGAGTAGTTGATATTCAAGATCTATTATCAGAGAAGCCAATCAATAACATGATTCTCTTGCTGTGTAGACTTGGCTATATCTATTGACGGCAATGTAATAGCACAGATAGTTTCAGTATCTCCATGCTCATTCCTGCCTTAGCATAGGGGGGCACTCTCATTCTAGATAACTATTTTCTATAGTTATTCCATTTTGTTCCTCTTCCACCACGTCATACATATATATATGTGTAACTAGTCTTAAGCCCCAGAGTCAAACACGTATCATAAACCATTTTTCTTTGAATTTCGAGAGATAAAGGCACATCACTTAGCCCAAAGAAGGACTATCTCTCAAAATAATGATACTTGATTGATTGAAATAAAGCACATGATGGTCATCTGCCGGATGTGGCTGAGCTGAGTCATCGGTGGCGGTGTTGCTGCCTGAACCATCAGGCTCTCGAGCGGTCGGCGATCAAAAGCGGCGGAATCCCCGAAGGCGCCGTCGTCCATTCTTCATTCCTGGCAGACTATGATGATTCCACAATAAATAATCCCCCACAATGAAACTCGGAGAGACCAGGGGGTGTATCAGATCAGGATGAGCGATAAACGAAGAGCTTCATCCCCCCAGGGGTCGGCAGTGCGTCCGTCCCCCCTGGCATGCACCGAATGTCGCAAACACCACGTCAAATGCGACGCCAAAAAGCCGTCCTGCACCCGATGTCTGGATGCCCGGCTGCCGTGCAACTATCTGCCTTCCCGACGGGGAGGCCGGCGGAAACCTCGTAGCAGTACCTTGCAGCCCATGCAGGGCGTGGCCGCGGACTTTCCTGGGATGGTGTATCAGACGCCGCTGTCTGAACCCACCAGCGCAAATCTGCCCGCAACCCAGCCCAGTCCGTCCGTGACAGGCAAGGAGGTGTCGTCGATCAGCTCCAGAGATTCTCCCCAGAATGTACAGCTGCCTATCGTGCCGGATTCGAGATTGGTGCGACTGTACTATGAGAATTTCCACCATGCCCACCCAATTCTGGTGCCAGCGACTTCGTATGAAGAGCGCAATTATCCCAGTTATCTTCAGCATGTTGTCCGGTTCATCGGCAGTCATTACTCGCTGCAGGTGATGGGTGACTCGTATAAGGAGGCCACTGTGCTGCAATTGAGCACCGCGACTGATCGAACGCCATGTATGGTCCAGGCATTACTGTTATACTCACTTTTTCTGTGCGCACGGAGCGAAGCCACGGAGGCGGAGAGAGCCTTTGTGCAGGCGACAGATATCGCCCTGGAACTGGGCATGTTTCGCAGGGATTTTGCCACCACATTCTCCAACGGCAATGAAATCGAAGCGGAGAGTCTGCGGCGGACCTGGTGGGAGCTGTTCATTGTGGAAGTGTTCATGGCCGCGCGACCCCCCAAGGTTGTCTTGCGCTGCGGGAACGTCCCGTACGATGTCCCATTACCCTGTGAGGAGTACGTGTACGCCAATCGCAAGGAGATCCCCCCGTCTCCGACCTTCACCGCGTTCAAAATGCGCGTGTTCACCGAGGAGGACGAAGACACACGATTCTCCCGATATTCATCCTTCAGCTATCGTATCGAGGCGGCGCTCATTCTGGCGCGGGTTCTCGTGCTGAATAGCCTGCCGGAGCCCCATCGAGATCACCTGCAAGCCGTCGAGAATGCACTGATCAGCTGGTCGAATCACCTTCCCAGACACAAAGTCGATATCGTCGACATGTATGGCAACGTCGACGAGATGCTCTTCCATGCCCACACGACCATTCAGTACGCCGCCATGCTCCTGCATCTACCGCGCAGCCATCTACGACCCGAATTCCCGGACCTCCAAGTCCCCATCTGTCCGGTGACGCCACTTCGACTCTCGCCGTCCTGTACCCGCCATGTTCACGACGTCAAAGCCACCGAGGCCTCGAAGCAACTCTCCAATCTCCTATCCATGCGTCCCAGCGCTCAGGGATACAGCCCATTGGTTGTATCCGCCCTCGTTCTCTGTGGTGTGGTCCAGCTGGCCACAAGTCGGATCCACGGCCCCGATTGTCTCGACCACCACTGTAATCGCGTGGTCCTGGTCCTGGGCTGTCTCAAGCTCCTAAGTTCGAACTGGCCGCTAGCGCGCCAGGCCCATCAGCATCTCCGACGTGCGGCTGCGGAGTCCTTCACCGCCTGGATCGAGTCGCAGCATCCCCAGGATGCCGGTGGCCTGGCTCCTGCATCACGGAACGAAGCCTACAAGGATCCCGCGGCTGACCACAATGCGTGGTACAACACGGGTGGTCAAGGGCTGAACGCCGATTTGCAGAGTCTCTTCTCTCCGGGGCTTCTGTCGGCGTACATTGATCCCACCTGCAGCGACCCGTTGCTACTGAATACAATGTCGGATTTCGACATGACATGACATGACATGACATGCTTTCAAATGTCTTTCTTCTCTTACGAATACGACTTCGCTTAGTTTCCAAGAACTTTATTGCGAGCTAATTTGCAAATGGCTTCTTTCTTCACCGCGCCGCAGATCCAGTTGTCCCTCAAAAAACAAAAAAAGGTGTCGCTACACCTTGACAATGCCATTGATGTGGTGGTGTATGCGAGTCTTCCAGGCGCTGCTCTTGGAACAACAGCCCAATATGTTCCAGACGCAGAGGTCAGAGATTTTCGACCAGATACCCAGCAAGGCCCGAATGGTATCTAAGCGACGCCATGGAAGTGGTGTTGGTGGTTCGCGGTCAATATAAACAAACAAAGTGCCAAATCAATCACCCAGAGATTGGCCTACAGCTACTGGCGGACTTCTCATGTACAAGGCAATTTTTAATCCTCAGCAATGCTATTTTACCTAGAACATATCAAAGTCCCTGCATTTCATTCAATCCACAATCCCCTGTGGCAGCAACACCACATAATCCAAGGGCGCTGGTTCCATTCCATCGGGCTTGCCCACAATCTTCAGCCGGTCGCCCTTGTGGATCTTCACATCGCGGAAGGTGATGCGGGTAGCCGAGTGGCCATCCAGATACACCGAGAGTTCATGGCTGAGCACATCCTCGTTGTTGCCCTGCCACTGTCCCACGAGGCGGTCGTTGAGGTAGGCGGTCCACTGTGACTTGCCACCGTAGAAATCGTAGTAGTTGATGCCCAGATCGTATTTGCCGGTCTTGAAGTCCAGCTGGGTGCTGGCCGTGCCCGTGGTGGAGTTGGTCGCCGTGACGATGGCCTTGGTGTTGGACGCCGTCTCGAACGGGTTGACGTCGTAGGGCACGTAGCCATCGAGCTTCATGTCCTCTGCTTCGATGCGCCAGGGGTGGTGACCGACCCGCTGCTTCTCGTCCGCAATGCCAGAGAGGTTGTGGTAGAACTCGTTGATGGCGTCGCGCCAGACGATGGAGTGGCCCGCCTGGTAGATGAGGCGGGTGAGGACATGCTCATAGCGCTCGGGGTCAATCTTGCCCCGGAGAGACTCCCACTGCGAGACGAAGGTCTGCGCGGTGTCAGCGCCGGCGTAGTGCGCGTCGTAGAAGTGCTGGATGACCGTCTTGCCGGACTGCAGACGCTGGGTGTAGGGGACATGGTGGAACCAGAGCAGCAGGTCATCGGGAGTCGTCTCAATGTTCTCGTACACCTGAGCAACTTCGGCGGGATACTGGCCCGTGAACTTGGTCCCGTTCTTGATGGTGCGGTCCATTCCGATCGCCTCGTGGTCTGCACGGGTCCATTGGCCCCAGCCATTGCCGTCCTGGGAGGCCGGGTTGGGTCCGTAGTGGGTGTACAGAATGTCGGTCAGGGTCTGGATACCCAGGTTGCCCGAGTAATTTTCGTATGCAGGCCACGACTCCATGGACATCTTTGTGATCGTGTCAAGCACACGGCGGTCGAGGCCGAAGGTCATGCGGATCCAGTCCTGAAGGATATCCTGCGAGTCAAGGGTGGGCTCCCAAGCGAGGCGACCGTAGGCATACAGATTGGACAGGGCGAGGTGGCTTCCGAGCCAGGTGGTGTTGGTGCCGACGTTGACGACCGCGGCCCAGCCGCCGAGGGGTCGGTTGAAACGCTGCCCCGAGATGATGTCGCGGGTTGGCGAGGGCTTTCCGTCAACACGGAGGTCGAACCCGAGAATCGTTTGCCAGAGAGGCGGCAAGTAGACCAGATGTGACTGCTGTCCGAGGTACTCCTGTGTTACCTGCAGCTCGATCGCGGTGTTGGTCTTGTACAGGTTGGCGAAAAGGGGCGAGACAGGCTCGCGGACCTGAAAATCGATGGGACCGTACTTAATTTGCACGACCACGTTCTCTTCGAACTTGCCATCGAGCGGCTTGAAGAAGTCCACGGCAGCGTTGGCGCGGTCGTTGTACCAGTTCTCCTCGCTGATGTGGTGGTCGTACACGAAGGCGCGGAACATGACTATGCCGCCGTGAGGCTTTAGAGCGCGGGCAAACAGATTGGCCCCTTCTGCGAGGGTACGGTTGTAGGTGGTGGGGCCGGGCTGACCCTCGGAGTTGGCCTTGACCAGATATCCAGCCATATCCGGGACACGCTTGTAGAGCTCATCGGTGATGCCGCCCCACCAGGAGATGACGGACTCGTCGAGGGGATCGTAGGTGTTGAGACCGCCGAGGGTCGACGGGGAGGCGAAGTTGAGGGAGATGCCAACCTTGACGCCGTAGGGACGGAAAATGTCCGCAATGCGCGCCAGTCCGTCCATGTTCTCGGGCTTGAGGAGCGATGCATTCGCGTTGACATTGTTGACGATGATACCGTTGATGCGGATCGAGGCCAGCAGACGAGCATACTGCTTGACTCGGGAGAGATCTTGAGGAATGACACCGTCCTTGAAGAAGATAGACAGGCCACCGTAGCCGTGTTCCATGCTGCCATCCATGTTGTCCCACTGATTTACCCAGCGAATGGGGGCATGGGGGCTGGTGGTGTAGGATACCGGAGCGAAGTTGCCCTGTGAGAGCATCGACAGGTATTCATACGCACCGTAGAGAGCTCCTCGCTCGCTCTGACCGATGATCTGGACCTTTCCGTCCTTGGTGTTGAGCCAGAAGCCATCCTCTTCAAGCTCGGGGACCGGATCGGCATCCTTGCATGCATGGTTATACGCATCGAGAGTACCGATGATGACGGAGGATCGAGTTGAGCAGCCTTTAGGCTCGACCGTGGCGTGCATTTTGAACATTCTTTGCAAGCCATCCTGGATCTCCTGACCGGCGACGGAAATTGGACTTGACTCGGTGGGGTCGAGGGTCACGATATGAGAAGGAAGCGACTTCTGGCATGCTCCATGGCAGCTAACAGGAGCATAACGCAGCCAGCCATCGAAACCATTCTCTGCAACTGCCAGGCCGACAGAGGCAACCAGCGTCAGGGTGGTGATGACGCTCCGCATCTTGTTGTTGTTGTTGTCGCAGAATGATCAACAGAAACGGTGCAGGGGTCCATTGAGGATTTAAATACTCTCTCTGCGAGCTTCATGAGCTGTCAGTGCCATCTACCACCTCGCCATTGCTCCCAAGAGCTCTCCATAATTTTCCGATTCAGGCTATATGCAGAATGCGGGGAAAGACTGGCCTTTGTCGGCAGTCTTTGCATCTGGGGAAGGCATATTGGATGATTTCAAGGTCCTGGGATTTTTTCTTTTTTCATTGCTCGAATGACTGTGCATGAAGTATCAGGAACTGAAGTGGTTGAAATGCACTTTGACAGAATAGCAGCAGAGTCCGATGTCCAGCTAACATAGTAGTATCAACAACGCCAGTCTACTGATTCCTGAACGGTATCGGTGTGGGGTGAAACGCGGGGGACAAGCAACGGGGGAGACGGATATCCTCCGATTAAGCAAGAGAGGTATTTAGCCTAATAATGGCACAGATGAAGACGGTGATAGTTAATCAAAGTCCAGGATGAATACGAATCTGGGTGATGATTTGGTGTTGAGTTGAAGCTTTTGTGAGAGAGCGAGAGAGAGAGAGAGAGAATAAGGACGCGCTGAGTCAGCAGCCACCGTCGTCAACGCGTCGCTTCAACAGAACAACATCTCTCCCTCTATCCAACTCTCACTCTCACAGACTGACCCCTTGGAGAGCTACAGATCGCAACCAGGTCGTAACCATGACGGACGGCACTCCCTCGACTGTCCGGACCTCCTTTCGTGCCCGTGCTGTAGGCTTCTTCCCCCCCCCCCATTGTCGGCAGAATATTGGAGAATCCTATTATTAACCCAACCCCACAGTGTGACAATTGCCGACAAAGAAAGGTGTTTGAAATTCCCGTTTCTAGGCATGCACAGACCTGACCAAGACAGATTAAATGCGACAAGGCCATACCATGCTCCAGCTGTGGCGCTCTTGGGATCCCTTGCCGAGCAAACGGGGTCACTGTGAGCACCCCAGAGCATCCACAAAGAACAGCAGAATCTGGAGAGTAGTATGCTTAGAATGGGTCATTCTGGCTGATTTTAATTATTGTTGACACTCCGATAGCGAGAAGAAATTCGAAGCCATCCAGGAACAACTGCTAGCGATCCAAACGGCTCTGCAGCAGATCACCCAATCCGACAGCCATCCTGCCGTCCCGCCATCTATTCAGCCTGCAGCTGCCCAAATCCCCTCTACTCCATCTGCTCCACTCTTTGAGGGTCAATCCTCCTTTAACAATGAGATCCTCATTGCCAGAGATGCCGCCTTCTCTGCCGTGGCAACATCTCAATCAGGAAGAATCGATGACCAAGTCTCCGCCGTCTTGTCGTCGTTGCGGAACAGTCTCGATCGACAGCAGACTTCTGCAACGGTGGTGGAGTCATCTGCACAGTCACAAGCTGAGCTGCTGCCCCGGGAGTTCCTCATAGCGCTCATCAAAAAGATCAAAGGTATGATTGCTCCACCTGGTGGGTTGCCTTGCTGATCGTTGCCATCCGATGACAAGCGACACCCCCATTCTACCTGGTCAGTAATTCTTGGAGAGACATGCACCAGGTTGAGTCCCTATGCCATGCAATCTACTTTCCAGTTGATCCAATCTCAGCGGGCTCCTTGACTTTGTTGCATGGCTTGTTGTACTACATCATTCGTGGCTATCTCCATGAGGAATGCGCAGAGCTCGCACGCTTCAATCTCGCCGCATACGCAGAATTCTGTGAACGACAATTCTCCAACGGCCTCAACAGTTATGAGATGATGCGGGATCCTACATTAGAGAAGATACAGGCTCTCCTCATTGGGGTATGGTCTTCCCCCGCCGCCCAAAGCCGCAATGTAGCTAATTCGAGAAGATAACCAAGGCACAAGAAGAATCTAACCTCCAGTTATGCTGGACTTATCTTGCCCTGGCGTTCAACATGTGCCAAAGCATGGGCCTTCATCGAAGTGCAGCGTTGAGGCATGATCCTTTCCCAGTCGCCGAAGCCAAACGTCATGTGTTCTGGTCGCTCTACACCATCGACAAGAATCTTTCGTTGAACCTTGGTCTGGCTTCTCATTTCCAGAATCACGACATTGATGCCGAGTTCTTTACGCCGTCAGTCAATCCGCAGTACTGTCCCTGGGATCTGATGACACTCACCACGATCGACTTTGCCACCCTCCAGGGGCGTATCTATGACCGACTCTATTCTACGTCCGCAGCCCATGCCACCGAGGAAGAACGGCTGAAAGCGATCACGGAATTATCAAATGACCTGATGTTGGCTCGTGGCCGTCTGCTGGGTGTAGGTTGAATTGTCCCTTTTTTGCGTCCAGCGCTAACGGTATAGATCGATGTGAGCCAAGGTCTTTATGCGGAGTCACTCCATGGAATGGCTGCCTGCGCCGACTTCATCACCGAGTCTGTCTTGACCGTGATTCTTCGAGCGCAGACGCGAGCTAGTGATGCCATGGCAATCACGTCTCGTTGTTATGAGGCGGCTATGCGAGCTTTGCAGAGTCACCTCGAGTGCTTTACTTATTTCCGCGGTCGCAAAACTCACAAGCAGACAGAATATGTCAATTGGTACGTTGCGCTCGTATGTTTCCGGTAAAGCTCTATGTTGACTTTCAAAGGATTCTACTCTATCCCTCGTTCACGCCATTTGTTATTGTCTTCATACATGCAATTACCACTGCCAGCACTGCCCATCTAGCATTATTGCAGGACACTGTCCAGTCCCTGGAGTTATTCAAGGGGCTGTCCCGCGGTTCGGCTCGTTTGTATACGATCTGCGCAGCATTCTATCGGGCAGCACAGGTTCTGGTCTCCTCAGAAGAGAGGTTGGAAGGTATAACTAAGAACCGCGATGGGTCGCTCATCATGCCGGCGCTCGACAGGACCATTGCGCTTCCTAATGTCGAGTGGCCGGAGAATGTGTTCGACTCGCACATGAATAGCGCGGATCTTTCGATGTTCCTCAACGAATTCATCGGAGCGAATCGCTCGGTGATGGATATTTTGAATTCTGACTATATGAACGAGTCGTGACATGGCTGTCACATCTATAATACAATTCCTCATCTCCCCACCCTTGATTTTCGACCGTTTAAATGACATACTATCACACGTTAGCTCAATTGTCCCCCAGATGCGGAAGAACACATACCGGAATGAAGAGATATGGGACCCGACGCTCATATTCCATCCAGGCCTCACCATACCGTTCCCGACAACGCAGGATATCCCGTTTGGCACGATGGATGATCATGACGGTAAAGAAACAGGGGTAGAACCATGGGAACGGCGACTGGAAGCCAGTGACCAACCCCCAAGAAAGAGCGAAAAACAGGTCACATGAATAGTGCACCTTGCGCGCCATGCCATCTGCTTTCGTCAGCGGAAGATCGCCGGGACGGAGGGAGGCTCACTTACACCATCCACTGCACAAGATGGAATCTCCCGTCTTTGTCCGGATCGACTGGGGATTCTTGACGGATTTCCAGGGCAGCTGGGGGAATGCCTTGCGGTCCACAACGACGCCCCGTTCCTGGGCGCGGAAGATATTCTTCTGACTATTGCACGTGTCCCAAACCCAGTACACGAACAGATACGCGACCGCCCACACGGCCAGGACCATTGGGTTCCAGTGATAGGCGGATGGATCCTGATACGCCAGGTACAAGGTGCAGTGGCAGTAGCTCATGGGCACGCCAGCAAGATTCCAGAAGATCAGCATGAAGCCCCATTTCTCATAATACATATCCCTATCTGTGTCAGGAGGCGATGCCATGCGGCGCATGGGAGGGGAAACGTACCAGCTGGTAATGATCAATTCTTCGCCCTTGGAGCATGCGTTCGCATACAGGAAGTGCGCCATAAGCAGGAACAAAACCTCACCGGAGACAAATCCGTACGTCTCGAATTGTTTCAGGGCCGTCCCCAGTGTCAAGAGGAACAGGATGTACCATGGGATCCGGACTTCGAAGAACATCTTGAAGTCCAACCAGCCGAACAGCCGAGGGTTCAACTCCGCCCCCATGAAGAAGTCATAGACGTGCGAGCCCGTCATACGGTGTTGCACTCCGCGCGCCAGGGCCGATAGGTACGCAATGATTGACACCAGGAATCCGGAGCAAATGGCGACGGACATGAGCGGTCCGAACTCGTCGACCAGGGTATACAGCTTGAAGAGGCCGGAGAAGTGCAGGGCCAATGCCGCGATGATAGTCACGCACCAGGACGAGACAGCGGAACAGTAGTAGCCCAGTTGTTTCCCGTTCAGATGCGGGAGCGGTTTGCCCTTGCCGTAGACCCCAGGGAGGTAGAGATATCCCACTCCTTCGAGGATGAGGAAGGTCCAGTAGATGATCCAGGCTTTTCGGTGGGGGAAGGCATGGGTGTAGGCGAGGTTCCCCAGATGGGAGACGAAGTCCGGCCAGGTTTGGTTCGCGTCCGGAGTCGGGAGGTGTCCACCGTAGAAGACGGCGCCGATATACATGTAGTACATCAGCCCGGGGAAACCCAGCATCAGAAGCGCCACGCCCGGCGCACCGCCGAATTCGAATTCCTCTTTCGGGTGAGGCTGTACCTCTTTGGTGGGTTTTTTGGATTTGTCTGCCATGTTGTCTATGGGGACTCTTCCTGATCGTGTGAGTGATTGCCGCGAGCAGGATCCTACTCATTCATGTCCCCCAAAGTGTCTTTTAAATATAGAGACTGTTGAGAGGGAGATGGCTCTCTCCGCGACCTCCCCGGTTGCCGCGGGGCCCGCGGAGGACACGGAAACCACGTACACCACGGTTGTCTTGTGGATAACATGTTTCGCCAAGTTTTTTTTTACTGGGGAATGACAATGCTTGAAGCCTTGAAGTTGATCGGCCCGGATTATGACAAGAAAAATAAGGATGTCTTGCAATGTGTGGGGTGCATGACCTCTTAATAAGGGTATGGTTTGGAGTATGTCGCCAGTTGGCCAGGGCAGCAGGGAGAAACAAAAAAAAAGTCGACATAATACTTCATCAATTCCCGTTAGTCTCATGTCTGACATACATAAAGTAAAGACAATCCCTGCTTGCCAATGGAATGGAATGCTACAGCTCATCACCAGCACATACCTGCGACCAGTTCGTCACCGCATATGCACGACTTCTGCCATGGCTATTATTGGTCGTCGCAAAGACATCAAGATGATATTGGATGATAAGGTATTGGATGTTACCCCACCCCGTCAGACTGAGGTATATAGGTGTTGATGGATATATTTCAGGTGGCTCTCAGAACGCACTTGGTTATCTCTCTAACTCTTCTACAGTAGTGCATCAACATGTGTCAAGTCAAGGGAACCGCCTTCATCACTGGAGCTGCCTCGGGTACGCTTCCCGTTCAATCTGAAATTTGTCGCTAACAGTGCTAGGTATCGGGAGAGCCACGGCGCATACCCTGGCCAAAAACGGCATCACCGGCTTAGCACTCTTCGATACGAACCATGAGCTTCTGCTCGAAGTCCACCGGGAGTTACTGTCGCAGTATCCAGAGGTCGACATTACCATTGCTGAGCTCGATGTCCGAGATGAGACGAGTGTCAACCAAGCCATAGACAGCGCGGCAGAACGCTTCGGCCGGATTGATATTGGGGTGAACGCCGCGGGGATCAGTGGTGCAGCTACTCGTTCACATGAACTGGCCCTGTCGGACTGGCAGAAGGTGATCGATGTGAACCAGAAAGGGCTGTGGCTCTGCCAGCGGGCCTTTATTCGGCAGATGCTGAAACAGGAGTACGGGCTGTATCTGCTGACCGTTTGCCTAAGCTAACTGGGTAGACCTCGTGGTGTTCGCGAAGGACGAGGCGTGATTGTCAATGTCGCGGCGAAATTCGGTGTTGCTGCTCCTCCAAGGGAGTTTAGTGTTGTTGCTTATACCGCGTCGAAACATGGTAGGTCTCCTCCTCCAGGTAGGATCCAAGGACCATACTGACCCGTCAGCCGTCGTGGGGATCACCCGGGTGGTATGTTTTCTACCTCGTCTAAACACCACGGTTGATGAATAGAAGCTCAGGAGAGCAGGACTCCAAAGCATACGCCAAGGATGGGATCCGGATCAATGCCGTGTGTCCCGGGTATGGAATGCCTTGAATGTGAAGCCACCCCCCCTACTAACAATTCCAGATACGTGGACACCCCGATGACTCATGAGGCCATCCAGGCCGGCATCATCGGCGAGCAGGCCAAGTCGATTTCCATGGGCCGATTTGGCATGGTCGAGGAGATTGCCGATTCCATTCTCTTTCTTGCCTCCCCGATGAGCAGCTACATGTGTGGAGAAACGTTGGTGGTGGACGGGGGGCTCGCAATTTAGTATCAGCACCCTCCGTTCCGACGTGAAAGATCCGTGTCATGATGAATCGTCTAGTTGCTATTTACATCTTTGCATGCTCATCATTTAGCAGACTGGCTGGTGGATAGTCCACATAGCACTTGGCATTATCCTCGAACGGCCCGTAGAACCGCGAACGCTCATACGGCGTGAAGGGGATCTGCTTCTTCAAGCGCTCAACAAGGTCCGGGTTGCTGGTGAAGTAGCGACCAAACAGCAGCGCATCGTAGCGGCCCTCCTCCAGCACACCCCAGGAGTTGCTCTGGTGCCAGCCGCCGGCCGAGAAGAAGGGGGTCGAGCCGAAGATCTTGCGGAAGCTGCTCAGGTCGACGTCGAGGAGACCCCAGCTGCGGAGGAAGGTGTCCTTCTCCTCGTAGCTGAAGATTTGCTCATAGCGCTGGATCATATGAGCTCACTTTCGGGAAATTTTGGGCAATCGGGCAACACTTACTGGCTCGATGAAGCTGACATATGACAGATTCGGATGCGCCTCCTTCAACGACTGGCACAGAAACGTCCAGGTTTCCAAACGCTGCTCGCCGCGTGCCTGGTTGAACAGTCCAAAAGGTGACAGACGGATTGAGAGGTTCTCCTGGCCCACTGTCTTCGCCAGCTCATCCATGAGCTCGAGGACGAACTGACACCGCTTCTCGAGGGAGCCACCGTACTCATCGGTGCGCTTGTTGACGTTCGAACTCAGGAACTGCTCGGGCAGATACCCGTTGCCAGCGTGCAGCTCCACCCCATCGAAGCCGATCTCCATGGCCGTCTGCGCGGCCTGGCAGTAGTCACGGATGGTCTGCTTCAAGTGCGGGATGGTCAGCTCGATGGGCGGATGGTCTGCATACCGGACGGGGTCGGTGGACCCCACGGGGGGGTGGGAATAGCATTCGGTGGGCGAGTCCCAGACGGTGGCCGACGCGGAGACAGCAGGGGAGCCCGTCATCTGGGGGATAGTGGCCCGGCCCGCGTGCCAGAGTTGACAGTAGATGTAGCCGCCTTTCTCATGGACGGCGTCGACGACCCGCTTCCATCCTGCGGCCTGTTCGGGGAGCCACAGACCGGGGACACCGGGCATACCATTGCTCTGGGTTCTTGCTCAGCGGCCGTGATCTCTTTCTTTTTTTTTCAGGATGGAGCGAAGTCGTACCTCTAGTGAAGGAGGAACACCCTCGGAAATGATAAGGCCGCCGGGAGTCGCGCGCTGCTGGTAGTACTGGACCATCAGATCTCCGGGGTACCAGATGCGGTTGGGCTGCTCCGGAGTGCTGGTGGGATTCATCGGAACTCCCCGATTGCGCGTCATGGGAGCATGTACGATACGGTGCGCGAGGGTGAGCTTGCCATTAGCGATGACCAGGGGCTGAAAGAGCCGCGAGTCCTCGCTGTCGATCTTGCGAATAGTCATGATGATGGTTTATGGGGTCCTGGGTCAGGCGATCTCAGACGATCTGTTTATTGTAAGGTTCGTCAACAATCATACCGATATTGACACTCAAGCGAATACACCAAGTAAACACTATTTATCGGGGAAAAGAAAGCATAGATCGAAGCCTCCAGGAGATACAAAGTGCATGGATTGATAGCTGATACAGTGGAGATGGGACGGAGGACACAAGTCCATATCTCCTGCTGTCCCTCGTTTCGATTTTCCCCCTGAAACATCTCTCCTCGGGGTTCTCTGGTTATCGAATCAGCGCAGTTGCAGGCAATTACTGACAGCATGGCCAGGAATTGTGGGGGTTTTTCCGTGCAGCTCCCATGGCGATTGCTGGCTATCCCCTCTGGACGGACTGGGACGGAGTGGATATTGGCAGTGGGTCAGTGTGAAAGTAACTAAGGACTCGCTATTATTAATATGATAGTGATTATCCACTTACGTGATGCTTCGAAAACACCGAGCTCGTTATATTGTGTTTGATCTCCCGGCGGGATAAATAGCATAGACATACTACATACTCCGTAGTAGTTTGATAGTCTATCGACTTAGGGCATGATACCATATGATGGGAGCGTGCTGTATTGCAACGTGGAGTCCAATTCCATCTCTTCCCAATTTTGCACTATCGTTCCTCATGCCTCAAAAGGCTTCCAAATGATCAAATCATCCACTTGCATGAATAGTCTGGTGGCTTTTATCAGGATGGAGTAAAGTCGCTTGGGCGGTCTTGCCACTAAGACTGGAAGCGAAAGAGGTCCTTGACGGAGCCGTCAAACTCTCTTCTCCAGTGATCGTTTGATTCATGACGCTTTTCTCTCTGGTAAGTCCAGTAATGTTTCCAGGAAATGCCCATCGAGCCCACTTTGGCCGTGGCGTCGTTGATCGTCCGGTTTGCCTAATGCCGAACCAGGCTTTAGCCGGCTTATCCGTTCAGTCGTCTCTCGTCTGAGCTATTAATCTGGGAAGATTGTCCACATTTATTTCCTGACAGTCGTAGAAGAATACTTCAAGCTTGAAATCAGCCAGGCACGGCCACACGCGAGAGTTACTTTGGCCACGGTGCTCAGTCTTCTTGCAGATCATGGCGAAAAATTCCCGCACTAATGAAGGGACACCTCTGGTTCTCCAATCTTGCGGTTTTGATCTTATCGAAGGATGCACTATCACGCTCGAGTTACGATCCGATGGAGGACCGTGCAATCGTCGTAATTATCCGGAGGAGAGTCCGTGGATTGGAATGTACAACAGTGGATGCACCATAGACTCCAGATAACAGGGGAGCTCTGTCAACAAACCAAGGTCCTGCAGCCAGGCGAAGCTAATCTCAGAACATCAATTCCGGCCCCGATTGAGGCGAGGATGATTGATGATCCCTGTCATTGATTCATCTGTCATCATCGCTTAGACGTTGACAGAACGTTGGGACGGGAAGCCGCAGAGTCGTGGACACGTTCTCCACGGACTGAAACCAGGGTTACAGTCTGGATACCTCGGCGCCTATCACGATTGACTCGGGCATAGGACTGGGAGGAAAATTCCTAATCCCTGCATCGTGCATAATAGTCACTATCACTCTGTGCGCTCTTGGGGGCCACAATCCACTTCAGCGTCCCACTTGGCCTGAAAGAGTACCAAAAGATGACAATTCAATCTCCAATAGACGATTAGAAACTATTTGGGCCAAAATGTGTGAATGACGCTCATGCTCGGCCTATCACATCTGCAGAACAAAGGGCTTGCTGTCTTTTCTCGTGGTGTCTGGCCCTGAGTCTCAAGTCTCGAACGACGGGGCGATGTCATGTCAGTGTGGACACTGATGATCAACAGGAGATTCTGTCTGCATTGCTGCAAGTCACGAAGGGGGAAAGAAATTTCCAATCAAAGCAGTTAGGCTGGGAATCCTGGAGTCACAGCCAATATATGCCAGGGCCACCCAGGTGCCGATAGATCGGGTTGACCCAGTGCTCTCTGCTTCCGACCGGGGTCCGATCTGGTCCCTCTGTCTTCTTGCATTGTGTGAATTTTGCGCTTTCTCTAGGGCCATGATCTGGGATGGTCACTATGATTGCGGACACGAGTGAAGAGCCGGGTGACGTCCTGCATACCGTCAACCTGATCACACAATGTCTGTGTATCCCGATTGTCACACTGTTCGTGGGCATGCGGTTCTCCATCCGCTTGTGGTATCGACAGTTTGTGGGGATTGAAGACTGTATGTGTCTCTTTGGAGTTGGAAGGAAGAGCAAATACTGACATCAACAGGGTCATGTCTCGTCGCATGGGCAAGTATTCTCGTTGTTTCGTTTCTCCGCCACTGCGCCATTCCTAATCGCCAGACAGGCTCTCTTCATGGCATACTGTGCGATCGCCATTGTCGGTACGCTGCCTTCCTTCCTCTTCCTCCTCGTTGCCCATCTCAACTCACTCACTCTTTAGTCGGCCGATATGGTGGAGGATATCATCAAGTCGAAGTGTCCGACAGCGACCTCACCCGGTTTAGGAAGTTCTGCTACATCGCTACCGTGCTGTACTGCCCGATGGCCCTCTTCGTCAAGATCGCCCTGCTCTCGATCATCATCCGCATCTTCGCTCCCTACAGAACCAAGATCATCTTCATCTATGTCCTCCTCGGTTGTCTTTGCATCTACTATATCATCGCCGAGATCGTCAAGATCCGCATTTGTGATCCCGTTCCGGCGTACTGGGAGGGCACCCCGGGGGCCTCCTGCCTCGATCAGCGCGCGGCGCTGATTGCAGACTCGGTGATCAGTGTGGTCAGTGATCTGATTATCTTGATTCTACCGCTGCCGTTGACCTGGTCGCTCCAAATGTCGCGCAATAAGAAGATTCGCGTGATGGGGATCCTGTCCGCGGGAGGACTGGCCACGGGGTTCAGTATATATCGGTTAGTGCTGGTGCTGCGCGACGGCAACACAAGTGACATGACGATCATGTTCACCTGTGTGATTCTGTCCGGGTATGTTTTGCCTCCCTGTGGCCTGCCCCAAAGGCGCCCATAGCTGATTTGACTTTCGCGCAGGAACGCTGAAGGAGGCGTCGGGCTCATCTGCGCCTGTCTCCCCACGCTCAACATCCTGATCAAGAAACTGCGCACAGTTGACTACAGCTCCAACAAGTGTTACGACCAGGAGCAGGACTCGACCATGCAGCTGAGTCGCATCAAGGGAAGTGGCGGCAAGAGGCTGTCGAAACGCGGCTCCAAGTCGAACGACACCTTCACCGATGCGAACGAGTTTGGCTGCGACCAGAGCCATTTGATCACGTATGCAGGCACAGTAGATATGGATTCGCGCGAAGGAGAAATGGTGATTCAGAAGACAGTGGATGTCTCGCAGACCGTGGAGGTGCTGGACGAGTCGGATCAGGCGCATCTGGGTCGGGCTCGGTATTGAGATATACTGGTGTATATAAATATCTATACACACATACATCAATGAGACGGCGTTTTTGGTTTCTGGATAATCGATAATATGAATGACATGAGTCTATTCAAGTCTTAGTTCCCGTCGGATATTATTCTTCTTCTAGTGACTGAGTCTCATATGCCCAGCCACTCAGCCCAACAGCCTCGTTCAGCCGCAGCCAAGTGATCACACTCCTTCCATGTCAGCCAAGAAGACGAGAAGACTTCGTGAAACGCAGCTTCTTCATCATCGATGTCTTCCTTGATCATCGCACTTTAAGCCGGTAATAGAATATATATCCTGTGGATTTGAGTAAGCTTGATGGTTGATGGCTGATGGCCGATGGCTGAAAAGGCAGGTGAAGCCTAGTTCCCTCCCACTTGAGCTTCATCTAACAAACACAGACGGAACTGCATCCTCCCTTCTGTCGGTCGCTTCACATCCTACAGAAGGAGACCGCAGAAGATGACCCCCAGGCAAAAGATGGCCGCGTTACAGAAACAACTTCCGACCTCCTCCAGGATGTGATGTTGACTCTGCCGACCATTTCACGGACCCCGACGCATCACGTCTTCCTCGTCCAGGATGATATCCAAGCCTTTCTGAATCACGACCTGGATCTCAGTCGCGTCAACAAAATCCACCATCTACTGTGGATGGCTGGCCGACCGATGAATGCTCGTCCCTTGCAGCGGCAGAAAATGGAGGGCTACGAGATCGTGCCGACCGAGCGCGCCGACCTGCATCTGCTGAAATTCTCAACGAGCCTACTCATCAAGCCTCTGCCGGAGTATCTGCTCTCACACCGCTTCTGGACGCGGTATCTCTGCCCCTCCAAGACCCTGCATGAATCCGCCTGCGGACTGCTCCTGTCGTACATGTGGCTGGTCTGTACACCGCTAGACTTGCGTCTCGCACAGGAGCACCATCTACTCCCTCAGGAGATCACCTGGCTGGCGTGGAGGGACCTGATCGCCTCGTTCTACGCGCATGTCGACGTCAACGCCCTGGATCAGGTCAATCCGCGCTATCACTTTGGCGAACTGCGCCTGGGCCGCATCAACACCATCTACCGCGTGCGTTTCTTCCTGTCGCACTTCATCCGCGGGTATCTGTACGGGTACAACCGCTACGTAGTCTTCTATGAGCGCAACTTCGCCTGGATGCTGATGATTTTTGCGACGTTCTCGCTGGTTCTGTCGGCCATGCAGGTGGCGGCGGACGTGCCGCGCCTAAACGACAGTGTGGCCTTCCAGAATACGACTTACGGCGTGGTTATCTTTTCGATCGTCATCGTTGCGGTGTTTCTGGGCGTGCTGGGGGTTTTATTCGGAGCTATCTACCTGTTCAACATGGTTGCAGCCATCTCGCACTGTCGCACGGAGCGGTGCCGGCGGGAGCGATTATCCAAGGAGCGGAAAGCGAGGAGTAGTTGATCATGCATCATTTGTAGGCAATCACTATAAACAGTCTGATTAATCCATCACATTAGTCCTGTGGACCAGTTGAGTTCGGGGTGCAGACTTATACCACTCTCTACATATATCGGTTTACTGCCATTGAGTGCATATACTTTGATCTGTTTCTAAGCGTGGGGAGAGAACTGAATAATTTCAGAATTAATTATGTATGTAGAAATACTCCGTAACCATCATGCAAGTTCCCATCGTAAATTCATGTCAAATTCCTGGTCCTGTCGAGTCATGGCATCATCATAACGGTTGGATCACGAAGACCGCGCGTACCGAGATAGTGTGTCGACAAAAGTCTCACCCCATTCGGCACTGGTATGGGTGTCGATGAATTCCCGCAGCGACTGATATCGCTGCTTCTTCTCCTCTTCGTCCATCGTCACGGCCTGGTAGATGGCATTGGACAGCTCGTGCGAACTGGACGGATGGAAGGTGACACTCCCGTGGTGCATAAAGGACGCCGCGCCGGCCAGCTCGGACAGCATAAGCACGCCCCAGCGACCCTCCTGGCAGGCCACGTACTCGGACGCCACGAGGTTCATGCCCTCGCGACGAGATGTGATCAGACAGGCTTTGGAGATACAGTACAGCGCCGTTAGCTCGGGGAATGCGACGGAGCGGTGGATGTAGATCAGTGGGACGCCTTCCGGGGTCGCTACCAGCCCAGTCATTGTTAGTCTGTCTATTCCACTATTCAACCTAAATAGGAGGGGATATAGACATACCATGATTGCCGCAGATCTTCCCCACCAGGGTGGAAATCTCCGTCTCGAGCTCCTGATACTCCTTGACATCCTCGCGACTGGGAACGGCCACCTGGATCAGAACAACCTTATTCTTCAGGTCCGGGTGCTCATTCAGAAACTTATCGTATCCCTGCAGCTTCTGCACGAGGCCCTTGGTGTAGTCGAGGCGGTCGACACCCACAATGACGGTCTTATCCTTGTACTGCTGCTCGAGCTCCTGAATGCGCTTGATGACCTCGTCGTCCTTCAGGGCGCTGTCAAACTTTTCCGGATCGATGCCCACAATAAAGACGCCCACTTGGGCCCTGTGTTCTTGCTACTCAATTTCGTTGTCGGATACGTTGGCACCCCTGCGTCCGTTAGCACCATCCACCAAAAGCTCGGCCGAGAGAAGACGTACAAACTCTGCTCGCAAGCCTCGGCGAAATTGCGCTTGTACTCCTCGGTATGAAAGCCGATCACATCGCACGCCAGCAGTCCGCTCAACAGATCCTTCTCCACGGGTAAGGCGCGCCAGAAGTCGCCCGCCGGAAACGGGGTATGCAGGGTAAATCCGATGGGACAGTTCTTGCCCTGTTTCTTGAGGCGGTGGCGAAGGAGTTCGGGGAAGAGCATCAGATGGTAATCGTGGACCCAGATCAGGTCCCCATCTTCGGCCTCGCTGGCCACGGTATCGGCGAAGATCTCGTTGACGCGCTGATAGGCCTTCCAGGGCTCTTCCTGAAAGTCGACACCGGATTGGTAATGCAAGATGGGCCAGAGGATGGAATCTGTCGCGTTAGAGGTGGGGAAGGGGGGTTGGGGGAGAGGAGAGAAGCGACCTACTGGAGAATCCATTGTAATGCGCGCGGGCCAGCTGTTCGTCCAGGAACACCCCCTTCACTCCCTTCTCTGCGAGCGATTCTGCCGCTTTCTTCTGCTCCTCAGGATCAGGGAGGTTGATGCCTGGCCAGCCGAACCATTTGAAAGTCGTCGGGTTGGTTAAGCCGGACAGCGCCGTGACGAGTCCACCGCTGGAGAGAGTCGACTCGAAAGAATCGTCGATCTTTTTGAGGGAGAGAGGCAGACGATTGGAGACGATGATCAAGCCGCGTTTTTTGTCTTTGGTGACCATAGTGTGTTGTCTTGTATTTGTTGCGTGGGTAGGTCGGAGTGTTGAGGAAGAATCGTAAAAGAAAGAGAAATGGGCGATGCAGATAGATAGATTATATCATTTCTCTACTCTACCTGTATAGCTTCAGCAATGCATGACGATTCATTTGGCTACACTTGGCATGGAAGAGAGTAAACCATTCAGGTACATTCGATACATATCCTAGACTATATGTAGACTAGGAAGCAACGTGGTTCTTTATGCTTTTACACATTCCTGTCTTTCTTGAGCCACAGTCATCATGCTCGAAGACTACATACTATAACTCCTGTAGTTATTAGTCCCTCCCATAAGTGGGAATATCCTCACCGTGACGTTGGCCCCCAGCCACACTGACGATCCTCCATGTTAATCCACTGACTTCTTCACCCCCCCACTGTATCTATTGAAGTAAAAATCTTCAACCCAAACCTTCTACAGAGTGATATAGCCATGAAATGGCCATGAAATGGCCATTGTTAAGAAAAGAGCTATCGGTCTAGCTGTACACCTTTTGTTCATGATCCAAAGGCCAAACTGGACTCGGACACTACAGAAACCAATCACCACCAATCGATATGTCTTGGTAGAGGATTATCTGAATACGGAATCCATTGTACGCTCTATTCCAAACATCGTCACCGATTGGGTTCGCTGTCGATGAGATCCGACCCGACCTCAAACGACAGCATCACAACCCAGGCTTACTATAAGATTTGTGAATACAAAATCATCCTGGTTTTTTATCAAGCCTTCCAGAAGGGTGTCCAGATGGTTGCCCCATGGTGGATTATTAAACACGCCGTGAGGGATCTGATATGATCACCGCGGGAGTCGATGCGCGCGATCCGTGGTCGATCATCCAATGAGGGCAACTTGACGCCATTGGAGGTACTGTTGGGTAGAATATCGATCTCACCATTGAGTTCTGCTCCACAGACAATCGAATTGAACCAGGAGGTCGGTATCAATCTCATACACTTCAGGCGAGTGATGAGGTCGACTGCGGACAGGAGGATATAAACAGGGACTCTTTTGGAGGCAACGACAGTCAGTTAAGATCCCAGATAATTCGCAGGACACATAGACGAATACAAAATACCATTCTCACTATGTCCTCCGCTGAAGACTGCATCAACGCCAGTGCCACACATACCCCGGGAGTGTCAGAGCAAGGGAAACGCAGTGCCGCCGACAAGGACAAGCCGCAGCTTGGTGAAGGTCCCCAGGAGTAGGACCTGTGCTATATTGCCGTCATGGATGTTCAATGTACCAATGTATACTAGTGTTAGTGATGTGATATGCTCACTTGCTTTGTTCTACATCCCGGAATGGGAAATGATGGACCATCTGGGGAATGAGCATGACTGGCTTCGCACTTCCTCAATCGAGTGATCATCGGCCTGGCCTTTTGAGGGACGGGAAATTCTTCTCATGTATTCCTCACCTCGATCTATCCCATTATGCGTTCATTGTCCTGGCCGCGAGACAACTCCCCGCGCCCAGCCAAGGTTTTGCAGAATCGAGTCGTTATCTGGCAAGCCCTGATTTCGAGGAATCCCATCGCCAAGTCGGTATCACAGGCCGCAGAACCATAGTCTGTTGATCCTTTTTGAAGCGGATAAAATGATCGGCAAGTAGACCAGACGCAGCCGATCAATGCGGAATTCTGGAACATGACCTCCAGCCCCCCTCCTTCCGCCGTTTCGTTCCTCTTGCAGATGCTGGGGGATACCCCCCAGTTCATGAGCTCCTGCGGAGCGGTGGTGGTGCTGGTCGAAGCGGCACAATATCGGCGACAGAACAGGTTATTTCCACTATTTTACCCTTGATTGCGCTGGTATCCGGGATATTCGAGCCTTGGTATTGAGTTCTCTCGCGTTCTGCCCAGCCTGCACAGACTGACTCGGGTGATAAATCAGTAGGGATGTTCATACGTGTCTCTTCCGACAACCTTGACCACACTCACCTTGGCAGTTGATCAGTTATGTCTGAAGCCGTCTGGGGCCCTGTCGAAGTCTGGTAGATTCATTAATATACAACACTGCCGAGCATCACCCCCTCTGGCTCAATTGCAGCACATGTTCCTCATCATGGCAGTGCTCGTCTCGGCAGCGCCACCAGTCTCGATCGAGCTCTTGGCGTGCATGTCCTTCTTGTTGAACACGTCTTGCAACCTCCTGCAAAGCGATGGCGATGGTTGCCACACGCTGACGACTGGTGGCTTGTTTGGTTGGACTATATCTAATTCAGGCGCTTAGCAGATAGGATCAGTTACTATCCACTCCGTACACTGCAGCACTCTCCCCCGCCCCGTCGGGTAACTTGATTCTCGAGCAAAATCGGTTCAAAGTTGAGACAATTGTCGACATGCAACTACAATCACGGAGACTGTCTCCGCGAGAAGCGATCCAGTGCATCCATATATGCCAAGAATCCCTCTCAGCACGGAGTGAGAAAGGCGCGGACTGTGATCGATTACTGGAAAAAAGACCCAGTCTCAGACTCTCAGGCGCTTTGTCAGACGGGCAGCGCTTTTTGGACAATCCTTTCGCAGGAAAAAGTGCACAATTCCCTCGCACATTGGGTCTCAAGTGGGCCCTCCCGTCTCAGAGACTGGAAGTCACAAATTCAAGCCCCACGGAGATTGCAGTGCTGATCTCTTGGCTGGCCCCCGGGTATGAGACACTGTATACAATAGGCCCAGGGCACTTGAACGTGCGTTCCTTCGTGGACAGCTATCCTTGTCTTGTTTCATCTGTGAACGGGAAAAGAGATTGCGAGTATGGAAAGCGTGTCTTGGTGGTCTTTATTACTTGCTTGGCCGTGAACTTGGGTATGGTGAGATTGAAGGGCAGATGGCTCTGAGGATGTAGTCCCCCCCCCCTCTGACCTTCCCAGCAGCCATAGAGCCAAGGCAGAGAGAGGAACTCCATGCCCCAAAGCCGAGCGTTGTATCAAGTCGGCACTCCGGTTTCTGGGGTGTAGAACGAATCACAACTTTGCGATAGTGGCTAAATGAGTGGAATTACTAACTCCATCTGACCGGATTGATAAGAGTCGTTTGAATGGACAAGTGATGATTCGGAATACGATTCATTCTTCCTGCGTGGTTTGAGAAGGATCAGAATGACCGGGAATACACGTCAACTGCCTACACTGCGCGATAAGACTCGATGAAGCCTCAATTATCCATGCATCTCACATCCTGTAGGCTGATTCCGCGTCACTGCATGATTCGGGGAGAAAAAGTTAGGTGATTTTTTGCCTCGCTCGTCACCACGAGAAGGAAATGGCGATGTCCTGTTGTTCCCCTCCTCCCCCTTCCCCCCTTCGGGGTCGTTTCTGTGCAGACGCCATACCAGTTATTGATCTGCGGAGAGGATGTGACTGATTCCAGAATTGGGGGAAGGCCGGGGAATGAAGACAAGCACATACGTAGACTGTGGTATCCCAGAACATCTCGCTCGTGATTTAATTGCTCTCTGCAGGTGGGAAATCGGTAGCGGCAGTTCCCCCCTGGTCACTGCATTCGGCCTTATTTAGCCTTGATAAGCAGATGTTTCAGTACATCACTATCACTATTCTGAGAGCGGGTTCCAATTTTCTCTCCCAGGCATCACTCTTGGCAGCCGTTTCGATGCCGGTCCCCCTCGCTCGATCAACTTCACACGACGGGAGGTCGATGTCATCACTTCCGAGCAATACCCGGATAGTTGGACGAAATAAGAACGAATGGCCAAAGGTTACATCCATCGTTCGGCACGTCAATCCATCTCCTGTCACGCCAGCCAAGCCGAGTACGAGGAGCGCGTCAGCCAGCTCTGGCCACGCCGCCCAACCATTGGCAGCGGCCGAGGGACTAGTCCAGCATCTATTCACGCTGGTTGGGCTTGGCATAAGATTCTCGACGAATACTGCAATCGCTCCATTGCCCCTTTGGGTTAAGGAAACGCTAAAGGATTGCTCTTGCATCCCCAGCAGGCCAGTTGTCGTGTCCGTTGGAGCTTCGTTCTGGCCGACTTTCTTTTCCTGCAGAAGTGCCACTGACGGAGACTCTCGAAGCCGCCCCCTTCTCCTGTGCACTTGGAGAATCGGAGTTGGAGCAAGAGACTCTAATTAAAGACTGGCCGTGAGATAGAGTCGACGGGCCGCGGAGCTCCATCCGCCCCGAAAATCAGCGATCTGTCTTAATTTGTGAACTCTGGCTCTGTCGTTGATTGCGTATCATTGCAGGATCCACATCCCCGTGCGAGGAAGTTCAGTAACAGGATTTGGCATGAGGGAGGGGGCCCCTGATGCCTTTTTTATTTCCTTTTTTTTTTTTTTTGCAATCATGGCAGTAGGGAACCGTGGCAGCCCAGCACCGACATTTGAAACACTCCGGTACCATTTTTCCCTTCACAACGAACAGGGCCGCAGGGTTCGTAGCAAAACCGACAAAGTTCCCGCCACAACTCTTACATTCAAAGCTTGATCCGGATAGGAGATAACTGTTAGTCATAAATACATGGACAGAAACTCTCGAAGACTCAGACTTGCCTGTCAGCCGCTGAGCGCCGTCTCTCAACAGCCTAAGCCTTCTCCACGACGGACGGATGTCATCCTTCTGCAGCCACGAGGATAATCACGGCAGAGACATGTGGATGAGTGGATGTAGCCGTCGTCGTATCCACTACTGTTACAGCGTCTGCAGGCAGCAAGTCGTTACGGAGTAGGGGGGTCGATTGACGACTCGAGGGGGGGGGGGGGGCCTGTGTGGCCCTGGATGAAATCGTTTTCAATACTCGGCTCTGAATATCGCCGATACAGAAGGAACCGTCGTTTAGCCAGTCGGAAGGAAGCATCGCAATTCCTCAAACCGGTCTAGGCCCATGCATTCCTGCAGATATACAGTTAGTTGCCATAGGCGGCTAAGCAGCAGCAGCAGCAGCAGCATGTAACCATGAGGTGGAATTTCTGTTCTGCAGGGACTTGGCGTGTCGTTCTCCGACAGGCAGTAGTCGTTAACTACTAGTCGTAGGAGACACTGCGGGCTGGGCTTGCAAGGGTCGATATCACTGATTATTCTCCTTTGGGCCAGCCTTGCTCCTCGTCCATACTCAGCCCCCCTGTTCGTTTCGGCCATGTCCATCCACTCAACAACGACGGTACGCGAGTAAATTGGTCGTCAGCACCGGCCAGAGGTCGATCAGGGTCTTATCCGTCCGTCAGATTCAACAGACGCTGCTGTGTGGATCGGAGTGTTTCTCCTTATTTCCCGCGGACTTTTCCTCGACTGATTTATATCCTCGTCCCGCTCTGCTGTTCGCGGCTCATAACCCTTCAGGCATCTCCCCTCCCCTTTCCCTTGGCCCACTTGGACAAGAAGGCTGTCCATCTTGCTATATAGATATCTATATCTATAATCTATCTATCTATCTATATTGCTTTGATCGTCATGAGTGACCACGACACACCGGCTCCCAAGCGGACCAAGAGCAAGCCAGCTGCCATCCTCCCAGCAGCGCAGGAACCGGCGTGTGATGAGTGTCGGATCCGCAAGGTGCGCTGCAACAAGGAATATCCCAAATGCTCCAGTTGTCGCAAATCCAACCTGGCATGCGGCTTCTCCAACAAGGGAAAGCGAATCAACCACACGAAGAAGCTGTACTGCTCCCTCGTCTCCTCGTTAGGATGGTCCACCGCTAATTGAAACCAAATGTGTGGAAAATAGAGTCAACGACGTCGAAGTACTTGGAAACCGACTGGGAAAGATTGAAGCAGCCTTGCTTCGGTGTCTATCGGTGGTGGAGGGCTCCAGGACACCCCCGAATGGGACCACCGGACAGACTTCTACACAGTCGGATGACGGTCAGGTCGACCTCTCTGACGACTCACATTCGGATGCAGACAGCCGGGACGCACGGTCGACACCTTCAGATCAATATACACCGGTCGGGAGCGGTAGCCCGGCATCCTTCTACCACTCCAGTCCCACTCTCTCTCTCTACACACAGGCCCAGGCGGCTTGTGATCGTTTCAAATCTTCCTTTCCCATTCAGAGCCCACTGAGACAGTATAGTCCGGTGTCACCAGAGCTACACGAGAGCCAACCGAGCAATTTGCAGTCTCAGCTCAAGGAAGCAAGTGAGCTATTCCAGAAACTGGCCCGTGAGAGCCCGGTCCTGTCGATACCAGAGTCCGATGGCCTCCCTCCTTGCCTGCCGCCACAGGGACTACTTCAAGCCTGCCTCGAAGCATACTTTGTGCCGTTGGGCCCCTCCCTGCCCATCTATGACCGCTCGAGTGTCATGGCCGCGATCGAGGAGCAGTACAGTATCGACTCGCCCGACCCGGCATGGATCATCTCCTTCAGCACCATTCTCCTTCAGGCGTTGGACGTGCAGTCCAGACCAAGCAGATTGGATGTCCGCGGCTCGCTGCGAGACGAGCTGATCAGCAATCTGCTACTCAACTGCCGGCGGGGCTACAATAACTTTGAGAGGTTGTTAAGACCGCAAGTGGCCAACGTTCAAGCGCTGTTGAGCATGGTGAGGCGCATCACTCTCTCTGCATTATCCAGCATCTTCTTCTCTACTAACACTGCCAGGCTTTGGTTGCGCTGAAATACTTCTCCCTGGCCACCTTCGAAGCGGTCTTCGCGCAGGCATGCCAGTTGGCCAAATCGATTGGCCTGCATCAGACCTCTGGTCTCGTCGACACCATGGAGCGAAGAAATCTGTTCTGGTCGCTGTTTATCATTGATGTGAGTTCTGATAGTCTGAGGTTTCTCCCCCTTTCAATCGTGTTCTCGATGCTCATGTATAGCAGAAACATATGTCCCTGATTGCAGGGAAGCCAGGTTTATTGCCGTCTTACGACTGCGGGCTTGCACCTCCAGCCGCCAACTCCGGTCGTGTACTGGACGACCAGCTTGCTGCACGCATTTCTCTCGCATATGTTCAAGAGGACATGTACCGCAGCCTGTTCTCGGCCCGGGTCAGTCGCAAGGGTCGCGACCACATTACCCGCCAGGCACAGCGCATTGATCAAAAGCTGGACGACTGGGAGGTGCAGCACGAACGCAAGCTCTCATATGCCAGCGACATGCCGGCGGACGAAGCCGTCCACAATTCGGAGTTGCGATATACTCTCTGTACTCTGCGAATCCTCGTTCAGAGACAGATATCGGGTTCGGATCATCGACATACGCGGCTCCGACATGCTCGGTTCGGACTGGTACTGCTCAAGGAGGTGTGCGAGAGAAGACTACCCGCCAGTCCGCACTTGGGGATCGCTATGTATCAAAGGTTGGTCTTTCAACCCCCATCCACCCCATTGGGGCGGTAACTAATGGGTTGTTTCAGTATCTGTGTGAACTATTCCACCGTCCTCTTTCTCGAGCTCTTCATCGGTCTTCTGGTGGAACCGCAGCAAGACCACCGCACGGACGTGGAGCTTCTCTCCTCGTTCGCAACACATATGGATTGCTGTGCTGCACGATCCACGTCTACCTCGTATCCGTCCAAGAACTCTTACATGGCCACTCTATGTAGCCAGATTGCCACCAATATCCAAATGCTGCATGACGGGATCGCACCCCCGCTATCGCTCTCGATGCCAAACTCTCTGCCCGACTCTCCGGGAATGACAACCCTGTCCAGTGCATCTGCCTCTGCCTTTGAACCGGAAATGATGGAACCCTCATCCGCCATGGGGATGCCCCTGTCCACCATGGGCGATCCCGGGTGGGACCTGTCACTGGCCCTGGGGACGCCAGTTGACATCCACAAGATGGACAGCCTACACAGCAAGGTCTACGGGCAACAGCCTTTTGACGCGCACAGCCCATATTCAGGGTTTGGGTATTCGGAGCTGTCAGGGATGCCTCCTGTGGATTTTGACGCCATGCTGGATGCGTTTGCGTCGTATCACCAGGGTATGGGAGTGATGCACTGATTGATTGGTTGATTGATTGATTGATTGATTGATTGTTCTAGAACGAGTAGAAGAGTAGATCTTATTCCTACCTATTATGATTCGAGCGATGAGTTATGATTAATGATGATTATCTACACTATTCCCTGCGAGATTCATGCGTAATCTGACACTTCAAATCCCGCGGGAAGCCCGGAGCTGAATCGTCCTCTCCCTCCGTCTCTTCAGCCGTTCAGCGCTTCAGGGGATATGCCTCAATCTTACCAATCAGGCCGGACTGCGTGATTGAATGAAAAACTGCCGCAATCACGGTGTCAGGCTGTCAGCACGCGCCACATCCTCAGCGGGGACATCTTCCGAGAGACGGAACGCGCACGCCATGCGCCACCAACAGGTGTTTCATCCACGATACGAACATCGTCCCAAATGGGGGCCCCTTGGCCTAGCCCGTCGCTTTCAGCCGTCGGACGCCCGCTGCTGATCGTTTGGACGAACCAGGGAAGATCTGCAGACAGGTCGAGCTACGGGGTGATCCTACCGAGGTCCGTGGTGTTCCTATGGGCTATACTCCCGTAGTCTGACTGTATGAGGCTATGCTTTGTAAGTTGTAACTGTTACTATGTATGTTCGATGCCGGATGTAACACACTTCCCGTGGTGTTTTGCGCCGGCTAGTGAAGGCTTAAACCTCGACAAGGCGAGAGATATTGCTTATCGCGGCTTGACTATGCTTGTGTCTTGGTAGGGCAGCTTTGCATATATATATATACGCCCATATCTATGGTGTATCTAAGCCGTTATTATCTGTAGCCGAGATAGCCCCGAGCAAAAAAAACTTTTTGTGCGAGTCGTGGTCGGTTTTATATTGAACCATTCTGATCTGGACTCTCGAGTCTCGATACGGACTCCGCTATCATGCGCCTTGCACTAGACCGAGCCGTAGTCTTGACTTGCTGTGGATCCTTCGATTGGATCCCACTTGGTTGATTCTTCGCAGAAGAGGAGAGATATCGTGCTCCAAGGGTACTCTCTGAAGCAGATCTGCGTGGGGGAGGGGAAGAGATGGAAATGTCTGGACTCTGGCCCTGCTCTAAGGGGCTTGCTTCCATGGTGGGTAACAGATGAGACAAGTGGACCTAGGTATCTTCTTCGTGGTGAATTGAACCCATCGCCTCTGTAAGCCAAGTAGGAGGAATGCTGTATAGGCCTCTAGGTAGGCCTATAGGAGGCCTATAGGGTCGTGATCAATCATTCAGGAAATATGATTATGCCGATTGTTCTGACTCAGCTGCATTATTATAGATATAATATAGCATTATAGATATATTATAGATATATTATAGATATACTATCTGATTTGATCTCAAATGACATCATTTGGCCCAATCATCGATTCACGGTCTATGGGAAGAACTCGACTGCCTCCCAGGACTCTCCAGGACTCTCCAGAGATTCTATCTATATACCTTCATTCCTTTAACCCGTCATGGCGAAACGAACTCTCGAATCCTTCTACAAACCCATCAGTCCACCCAAAAGACCGCGCATCGAAGAGCCTCCTTCCACCTTCTCCCAGCATTCCAGCTATCCCTTCCCCATTGCGGATCTGCCTCAGTCTCTCGCCAGCGCTCTCACCGAAAGTCCTGCTCGTCAACCACGCAGCATCACCGACCAGCCTCATCTCGATCTACTGTACTACCAGCCGTTTATTTCTACGCCGACTGCCCGCGAGCTCTTCCGATTCCTCCGCCGTGAACTCCCGTTCTACCGTGTTCAATACACCATCCGTCGCGGACCGACTTCAACCCAAATCAACACTCCACGCTTCACCACCGTCTTCGGCGTGGACGACACCTCGTTCTTCAAAGACTCCCAACTCGTCGACCGCAAGACCGATGTCTCGATTTCCAAGGAGAAGTACAAATACCCTCCACGGCCGCTTCCTGCCTGTCTCGATCTCCTCCGCCAACGCGTCGAGGCTGCCGATGGGGGCAAATACAACTTCTGCCTGGTCAACTACTACGCTACCGGCGACGACAGCATCTCGTACCACTCCGATGACGAGCGGTTCCTAGGCCCCAATCCGTCCATCGCATCATTGTCGCTCGGCGCGCAGAGGGACTTTCTCATGAAACATAAGCCGTTTGGTGCGGAAGCGAAACCGCTCAAGATGCCGCTTGCGACAGGAGATATGGTGGTCATGAGGGGCGAGACGCAAGCAAACTGGTTACATTCAATTCCCAAGAGGAAGGGAGGAGAGGCGCATCGGGGGAGAATCAACATCACCTTCCGCCGGGCGGTGGTGCCTGGCGGCACAAATAATTATTACACGTATAATGTTGGGGAAGGACGGGTTTATCGATGGAGTGAGAAAGAGAGCCGAATGGTCGAGTCGACGGGGCCGATGTGATCTCTTACGGAGTACGGGCGCACGGATACGAGCGGAAATCAGAGAGAACCCCGCTCAGCTGAGCCATACATAAGATGGGAGTCAGCCGTCTTCAGCTCAAGTGGCTGCTGTCACTTCCGCAGCCATGTCTTCTGCACTTCCCTCCTATTCTCTTCGGGATGTTTCGCAGCATCGCACTTCGAAGGATCTCTGGGTTGTCATCGAAAAAGAGGTGTATGATCTGACCCAATTTCAGGCCGAGCATCCTGGAGGGGACCGAAGTAGGTGTGTTGTTGATCCGACGAAACAGGGTGCGAATCTAACCGTGCTAGTCCTACGAAAGGTCGCAGGAAAAGACGCTACAACCGAGTTCCTCGAGTCCCATGATGTCTCGATCCTCGCTCGATACCGGGAGAGATTACAAGTCGGAGTGTTGAAGGATACCCCAGAGGATACCCCAGAGGATACCCCAGAGCCACAGAAGGGCTTCCTCAGCAAACTGTTTGGATTTTAGTGCTGCTGCCTGATCGCTCCATGCATTACGATACTTGTCCCAATTCGGCCTCGATTTCCCTCTGGCTCTGTTCTCTCAACTCCCGCTCCAAGATCTTTCCACTGGCGTTCTTCGCAAATGCGTCCACGAACCGAACGCCCCCCGTCAGTGCCTTATACTTTGCCAGTCTGCCCTCCAGATACTGTTGGACCTCTTTCTCCGTCAAACCCTGCCCTTTCTCGCCTGGTCGTCGCACGACATCCGCCCGGGGCGCCTCTCCGTCGCTCTCGGGGAATGTAACCCCAATGACGGCGGCATCTATAATCCCCGGATGGCCTAGAAGAACGGTCTCTAGCTCCGGCGGTGCCCCCTGGAAGCCGCGAACCTTGATGAGTTCCTTCTTTCGATCAACAATATACCACTTCTGGGTTTGGCCGTCGCAGTAGGCAATATCACCAGTCTTGAACCAACCCTCTGCATCGAATGCCTCGGCATTGGCAGCATCATTCTTGTAGTAGCCCGGCGTGACGGTCGGACCGCGCACACAGAGTTCACCGCATACTTCGTAGGCAGATATATTCGCTCCATTTTCATCAATCAATCTAGACCATTAGTAAGTAGTTTCCCGCGCAAGTGAAAGCGTAGGACTTACTTCGCTTCCACATTGGGAATCAACCTGCCCACCGATCCTGTGTCGTCCTGCTCTGGATACTGGAAGGTGGTCACGAGGTAGGTCAGCTCCGTCATCCCCCACGCTTGTGTGAAAGGGACTCCGTCCTCCAGAAGCGTGTTGAACCGTGCCTGCACGTCTTTGCCCAGGGGCGCCGCAACGCAGATGGCCGGGTGCGCGTCAGCGGCGACTTGAGGATGGCGACGGCGATGGGCGGGACGATGGTGAACTCGGTGATGCCATACTTCTCGACGGCGGTTAGGAAAGTCTCAAGCTCGAAGCGGCGCATTATGTAGGTAGTGAAGCCGGATTTGAGAGTGCCAAAGTGCGTCGGGGGTCCGACGCCAGCGTGGAAGATGGGAAGGGCGACAATGCGGGACATCTACTCTGGCTTAGTGCAATCATCCTGGTGGGATCGGGCACAGACGTACCTGGTATGGCCGCGGGTCCATCTCGAAGAACGCCTCATGCTGGGCTACGAGGTTGCGGTGGGTGATCGTGACCGCTTGGGCGATCCGGTCGTTCCACTGCTGAACATCCTGGCGGCCGTCGGTTGTTCCGCTGTCTGTTGGTCGTCGAAACGCATCCAATCTTCTTCTCCATGATCGAAAAGTGTCCTCCAGGACTGTTGGCCAGGGGGGATACTCTGCCCCAGGACATCGAAGATCAGGACATTCTTTTCGGGGATGCCCGTTTCTTTCACGGCTTCCAGCGCTGGCTGTACGATCTCCGGCTCGGAAACCACAAATCGGGCTTCAGCTGTCCGGAAAAGGTGCGCCAATTCGGGCCGTGTGTAGGCCGGATTGGTGCCAGCGAATACGCCTCCAGCACCCACGATGGCCAGCACTAGCATGCAGTAATAAATCTACGGCAATTAGCAAAGTCACGTTCCAGGTAGAGGATGCCTACATACCTCATTGAAGGAGTGGATGGCAACACAATCGCCCGGTTTCACTCCCCAGGCCCGCAGTCCGGCAACCAGCTGGCGGACAATCTTCCTCGCCTGCCGGCACGAAATGGATCGAGAGGGGTCATGCACGTCGATGAGGATCTGGATCTCTATTAGGCCCGAACCCAGACGCTTGAAGAAATACTCACAGGTCGATCGACATCGTAAGCATTGTCGAAGGCGTAGGAAATCACATCCACCGACGGCAGGGAGACACGCTCCGAGGGTTTGAAACTCATCCTGTCTATAGGGCTGTGGAGAGAGACGACCTGGAGGAGTCGGACGTGCTATTTATCTAAAATCCTCTTCCTTTTTGGAGACTTCGCCTCCCACATTTCAAGCCCATAGTATAACCCGGGAGTTGTTGGCTGTGCCTGGGGAACGATTGGAAGTTCTCCCGGGGACAATTTCGATCATGCATCCTTTCTTACGGCCTAGGGATGAACCGTTCAGCGCAGCAACACCAAATGGCCGGGATTGAAGCCTCCCATTAGCTGGGGATGATCGGTTGGGCTGAGCAAGGGGATTCTATGATGACAGCACCTTGGACTACTATGATAGCACTGCAGCCAATGGTCCATCCTCTGTTATACTAAACTATGGCCTTGTCGTCATACCCACCGCGGGGCAGTGAATACCGTCGAGGTTCTATCGACCATGAAGAAGGAGATGGTCATTTGAAATTCTGGGTCGCGCTGGATAGTCCGGGGAGTGGATAGAATCGAAGATTGGGTATATCAGTTCCCTTATGGTGTCCCTGTATATCTTGTACACTTTCAATCTGGTTGCCTGAAATTCCTCCCAGCTCAAGACCGATAAATTAGACATGGTCTACAGCGAACCCCGTCTCCAGAGATATATATAGATAGACAGATATCTTCTATCTATCTATCTATCTGATGATGCACGATGAAGATCCCTGCAAAGAGGCGCATAAAGCCCCTCATTCCCCGACTTGAATACGAAACCAGATATCAACATCCACACCCGCCATGGACCAGCGAACCTACGAACTCGACCCAAAGGGAGACGTGGTTTTTCTGCTCTACGATGTTCCACACTCCCTCTTACACAGTCTAGACGAAACCCCGAGCACCAGCACCAGCACCTCCCCAGCCCAATCCATTCCAGCAGATAACGAGGACACTCCCACTCTCCTGCGCATCCGCGCGAGCTCCAAACATCTCACACTGGCCTGTCCCCAGATCGAGCGCAGTCTCTCCAATGGGTTTTCCGAGGCCAAGCAACTGCGCGCCACCGGCCACGTCGAGGTCGACATCGACAACTGGGACGCCGCGGCCTTCCTGTGCCTCATGATGATCATCCACGGGCGCACGCGCGCCGTACCGCGGCGCGTCTCGATAGACGAGCTGGTCGAGATGGCCGTGCTGGTGGATTACTACGAGTGCTACGAGGCCGTGGAGGTGTTCACGGAGATGTGGATGGAGGCGCTGAAGCGGAAGCCGATGGCGGGCGTGGAGGATGCCGAGAAATGGCTATTCGTGGCGTGGGTGTTTCAGCAGCAGGAGATGTTTGCCAACGCAGGCGTGTATCTCCAGAAGCGGCTCCGGGGGAGATTTGATACGTCGCTGCCGGTTCCGCGGCGCGTCCGGGGTGAGGAGTCTTCTTCCTCCGCGACGGAGGGGGTAACACTACGCTAACGGCGGTATAGATGCGGTGGATAACGCCCGCGAGACGGCCATCGAGTCGATCCTCGACCTGCTGCATAACCGACTCGCCGGGCTTCAGAGCGACGAGGTCCAATGCTCCTACGACTGCGACTGTGCGCTGCTCGGAGCGCTGACCAAACATATGCATCGGCTCGGACTGCTCCCGCGGCCGCCGTCCCCGTTCCCGGGCCTCGGGCTTGAGCAGCTGGCCAGGGATTGTCCGAACGTGCCGCTGCCGCGGTGGTATGAGCGGGCCAGCGGGGTGCATCATTCGTGCCTGGTCACCTTGGGATTTAACCAGTCGCTGCAGCAGACGCCGAGCTACCGGGGCAAGTTTGATCTGGCGGACTTGACGCAAGTGCGGAACAAGTAGGATGGCATCATCTAATCATTAAGTTTTGTTGGTCTGTGTCTATGTCTATGTCTATGTCTATATGTAACGCAAGGGCAATGCAAAATGAAATGCAAGGATTATAGCTGAACCTGAAAGCGGGGATGCGTACGGATGCGCGCGCCAAACTTCCAGAACAGAATCGGACACACGCACATGGCCAGCGCGATGAACGCCAGCAGGGAGTTGCCCCAGCCCAGCCCCAGGGCGTCGTACATGGCCGGACCGGCCAGCGGGAGCACGGCGCCGACCAGCGACCGCAGCGCGGTGCTGGCGGCCGTCACGGAGGCGGCGTGCGCGAGATACGAGTCGACCAGGTAGGTGTTGGCGGACATGAAGACGGCCATGAGGCCGATCGCAAAGACGCCGGTGCCCAGGATGGGCACGATCCAGTGGGTGCCGGCCTCGGCCGCCCAGCCGTACCAGAACAGGCCGACGGGGATGAACCAGCAGCCGACGAGCATGGGCGGCAGGCGGGACTCCGGGGTGAAGCAGCCGCGGGCGGAGTGGACGGCGGCGATGTGGTTGGCGACGGCGCCGCAGACGACGAGGCCGATGACGCAGCCGATGCCGAAGCCCAGGAAGGCCAGTCCCGCGACGCCCGGGGAGAAGTGGTAGTGCGTCTCGAAGATGGAGGTGATGGTGGTGAACATGAGGTAGAGGTAGCCGTAGGTGACGGCGGAGAAGAGCGACATGAGGAAGACGATGGGCGAGCGGGTGAGCAGCTTGCCGGGACGGGCGAGCGCCGACAGGAAGGTCGCCTGGGTCGGCCGTGTACTGTCGTGGATGGAGTAGAGGTTGGCGTTGTTGGTTTCTTTGCGAAGGCGAGCGGCCTTGCGACGCAGCAGAACCGGGGCATAGGATTCGCGGTAGGCCAGCATGCACGCGATGGTCACCACTCCGGTCTATCATCAACGTTAGTGGTGGCTGCCATACTGACTTTTGTTTTTTTATTTTGTTTCCAGAAAGGGAGGACATACCGCAATGGCAATCACCCAGAACACCCAGCGCCATCCCTCAGCCTCGGCCAGGAATCCTCCGGCTACGGGCCCAATCACCGGACCCAGGATCGGACCCAGCGCCCAGATGGCCATGATGCCAGCGCGCTTCTCCTTGGGGATCATATCCGCAACGGTTCCCGAGCCGATGGTCAGGGGACAGACACCGGCAATCCCCGCCAGCAACCGGAAGACGATCAACTGGGGCAGCGACTGGGCCACGGCACAGGCGATGGTGAAGATCAGGAACAGGATGTTGCAGGCGTGGTACAGCGGCACGCGGCCGTACATCTCGGACAGGGGAGCGATGAGAAAGGGACCGACCACGTATCCGAGCACGAAGACGGAGACGACAAAGGAGGCGAGCATGGTGTCGGCGGAATGGAATTCGCGCATCACCAGGGCGACACCGGGGGCGAACATGGACGAGGCGAGGGGACTACAGCGCGGTTAGTATGTTCTGCCATGGACTAGTATTCTTGCGGCGGTGCGTACGTGATAAACGTGTTGACCGCCATCAGCACCAACTGACGCATCTTGATCTTGGTGGGCCAGTTGAAGGGATTGGTGATATCGTCGGGGCCATCCCAAGTGACCAGGTTCGGGTCTTCTTGAGCGGCTTCATCCTGCTGCTTTGGATCTTCTGAGGATGTACTGGACGTCGTATACAGCGTGGCTTCGGATTCCCCGCCTTTTTCTAGCTCACTGGGCGTCATTGCGTCCCGCATGGTGGAGTGACGGATGTTGATTGTTGTTGTCTTGGCTGCTTAGGGTTGGAAGTGGAACAACCACGAACGATGCCTTGACAGAACGCTGGGAAACTAGATGTAGATTTCGACCGAGTCATATCAGAGGCAGCAGCAGCAGCAGCAGCAGCAGTATTAATAGTCCCTTCCATGATAAGCAGGATGCTAAAAAATGAAGCCCAAGCCGGATATCCAGAGCCGAGATGACAGGATATTTCGGGCTGCGCCAATCACACGCCCTAACAACCGTCCACAGTCGGGAAGTCGGGGCTCAAGAGGCCCGGCTGAGCTTGTTTTGCTGCTTTATTCGGTTTATCCTGTTTATCCCCGGTCAATCCGTGGGTTATGTCGAGTTCGCATAGTCCAAGTCTGGATCTCTCGATCTCCGTTCCAGATGCATAGTTGAATCACTTCATTTATGCGCAATCCGGATACTACTCCTCCCCCTTATTCCCCTTATTCTCCTTATTCTTCCGGCTTTCTGCCTGACACTACTACTATCAATCATCTGTCATTCCACCCTTGAAATTGCCTTCGTCTGCAGATCTTAGTAACATGAATGCTCGCGTCCATGGCTTGGGTTCAATAATGGCGGCTTTCCGTCCTTAAATTCGCCGACAATTCTACCATTCACCCTGTCGGACAATCCAACTTGCACGATCTGAATATCCATACCCTACAATCCCCTCCACTGCCAGCAATCCTATTCAATTGCTAAACATAGACAGATCGAGTAAGGAGCACCAGCTGCGGACCACCGGCTGCCCTCCTATCCGGCAGTGCTGGTGCACCTCACTGACGGAAGTGAAAGTTCTAGCGAGGGCTTTATCGTTATAGGACGAGAGGGTACCATGCAGGGTGTGGAAGCGTGCGATGAGATGACATGACAGCAGCCCACATCTACAAGTCTGGATGCAGTGCTTATATATAGGCTTAGGGGGTCTCGGAGTTCCCGATCGGGCGAACAGGGGGTGGTGACCAATTAACGATCTGGACTCAGCACTCAGCACTCAGCACTCAGGAGTCGAGAATAATAATTCGATAATACGAAGCCTGCAGAAGCCCAAGTGCCGGAGATTAGACTGACAGCGACGTTCTGATCTCTCGGAGATGGATGGCAGTGGGTCATTATTGGTCTCCCTGGTTGCTTCCATTCGACTCCGACGGGAGAATCCCAATCCCCCGTTCACTACCTATGACTATGGAGACATGCGGTGGATTCTACAAATACGGAAACACTCCACAATGGCCGTGTGGGCTCCGAGTCAGATGGACCGAGTCTGTCATGACTGATGATGTCTTTCAACCAGACGTCCAACCCCGTCTATCTGGGTCGCATCCTCGTCGGACGGGCCATCTCCCCGGTCCTCAATGGCAGCCTCGCTCCCTCCCAACAATGGTCCATTCCTCCCGGTTTTTACACCCCCCAGCAACTGGTCCACGCGCTGTCCCCTCTCCTCGACACGGTGGCCCACCGTCTCGGCCCCGATGCCGCCTACACAACCCCCGCCCGCGCCCTCCTCCTCGACAACATTGCCGCCACTCTCTCGACCGGGCGCCGTGAATCCGCCCTGCACTTCTCCCCGGAGATCCTCAACGCCTCCCGCCGCGAGATCATGCACCAGGCGCAGCGGATTGGCGCCCGCCTGCTCCGCTGGGCCCACGAATACACCAGCCCCCCGCTCCCGGACCTGACCCTCCGCCAGCCCAGCGAGGGCCATCCGCTCCTCCTGCAGACCGCCAAACTGCTCCTCGGCTGCCACAGCACCCCGATGCTCGTCGACCTGTTCAACGAGTACATCCACCAGATCGTCCTGCTGCGAGACGCACTCCTTCCCTTTGAGAACTTCGCCGAGGTCATCATCCCCGTCCCCGCGGGAGGGGTCGGACTGCGTCATCTCGAGCCCGCCAGGGCCCGGTTCGTAGCCGCGCTGTTCCAGAAGCATGTGAAGCATGCGTCCGTGGTGGCGTTCGCACGAGCGCTGCTGGCACCCACATTGCCAGCCACCCGGACGGGCGGGTATGGGTTCCAATATCCGCAAGGGGTGGTGATGCCCGCCGTGCTGGCCGGCAGCGACGCGCTGCATCTGCTACGATATGTCCCGGGGCGGGTGGCTCCGGTCGACGAGGTCCTCCTCTTCGACTACGCGTGGGACAACTCCGATGCTGCCCCGCGGGTGCACGTATCCGGGTCGCCCGTGGACCTGATGGGGTTTCCGCAGGTGATGGGGAGGGTCGGACGGGCTGGGTTGGCCGTGACGAGGGGATCCGATGCCGCCATTGCGACGCTCCAGTTACGGCTGGAGGTGAGCGACGGGGACCCGGGAGTGGTCGACGTGGACGTGGGCCAGATTGCGCGGGGGCACCGCTACGCATGTCGAGCGCAACCGTCCGGGGTCGAACGGGCGCTGCCAGCGACGATTCATCAACCGCTGGATCTCCTCCGGCAGACAGGGGATCTGGTGACCGCCGCGGGAGGGCTCCATGTGATTCCCGTGGCGGATCGGCTCGTGGCGCTGGCGCTGTTAGGGAGAGTGTATCCGGAGAACGTGGTTCTGCTCCCACGGGAGGGTACGCTGGCGGATGCAGACCGGTCCGGGAAGAGGTTGGAGCCGAAATTTGTGATCTGGGGGCTTCAATGAAGAAGCGGTTGAATTGTAAGACTGCTACTACTATCTACGGAGTCGAGGACACGGCGCGTGCGACCTCTCTCGTATGCGCCCACGACCATAAATACCCGCTTCATTGAATTTTTGTATTTTTTTGCTCCTTTTATTCTTAGATTCCAGGGGATATTGAACAACGTCCAGAAGAACACCGGGGGAAGATTCCCAAAAGACGATGGATGATTGACGGAGTATATGCACGCTCCAACTCCGTTACGACGACGGTCTCGCTATCCCCGACGGCTGAATCCAGGGGATCCTACTCGAATCCCTTGAGAATGGACAAAAGGGTCTATGGCTGAATGGCTGACGATATTAAAGACTACAGAGTAGACCGGAAATATTCCGTTCCTCTCTCGAGATCCCACTCCGGAGGACTGCCTGGCAATCGACAGAGAGAGATCGGACGCTTTCGCTGACCGTCGTAGTATTTCCACGACGTGGATTTATCCCCTGCGCATTACTGCGTGCCTTTAGCGCTTACTAGTCCTGCGTAGTCATTTGTCTATTATTGATTGATTACATGTCATACTGTCACTGTTGGATGGTGGGGCATTCCTTTCCAGTTCATATTGGAGCGTCATGCTGAGTACGACCAGAGAAACTTGGGCCTCGCACTTAGTCACTTCCTCAGGAATCAGGATAAGTCACCTCTGGGTTGGTGTCCTGTTGCTCTAAGCCTCTTAACTATCCGTCTTATCCTCATCAAGGATCGGAGCTAGCGGCAAGTCAATCATCCAAGTCTTGCTCGTGTAGCCGTCGAATAGAATCATCGGGGGGAGGACAGCCACCTATTAGACCCAATGATGAATGCTTTTTCATGGGACTTGTTCCTGGCCTTCCTGGTCGTTGCTAGAGATATTTGGCTTCGGAGTGATGATTGCACCTCGAAAGTCAACACTGCCCAGTGGAGCGTTCGTGCCTCGTGGACGCATGAATTGGCCTTTTGACCTTCTTCTGGCGAGCGTGTCACAGTCCGTAGGCTAAATCTGCAGCTAAAGATCATTGCCATGGAGGCCTTATCATTATGTCCTTCGGCTTCAACTCTCCTCTTTCGGAGATCTGCTTACGCCGTGCCAGTGTAAGGAACATCATGCATGCATGCATTGCATACCAGATGTGGCAGTGAGCGCCGAGTGCGTGGTCTTTATCTTCGCATGGCCATCACCTCTCGCCCTCATTGCTTCCTCTTCTTTCAATCTCAACTCCATCTATCTATCTGGACGTTCGGTTCCCCCCCCCCCCTCATCACCATGTCAGTGCTAGCTGAACCCATTCCCGTTACATCTCCCATGATCCTCGATCGAGTTGATGTCGAGGACCATGGTAAATCAGCAGTGACCCTCCCGACTCTCCACCACCTGCAGCGGCCATCCACTCAGCCCCGTACCAATAACAACAATGCCCAAGCCCAAGGACCGCTACCACAGATGCCCGATGCAGACTTTCGATGTGGGATCTGCAACAAAACATATAGTCGAAGTAAGTATACTTGCCTTCTCACCGACTCCGTGTATTTGACGCCCATCGCAGGATACAGCTGATACGAGGTAGGAGATCTGCGGGACCGACACCGCCGCCGCTGCATCAAGACAGTCGGCCAGGAACGGGTCTCCAAGCGCAAGTCGTGCGAAACATGTGCGCAGAAGAAACTGCGCTGTTCCATGACCCGACCGGCTTGCAGTCGCTGTGTCCAGTCGCGCACGCGGTGTAACTATCCGCCAACCTCGGTGCCTGCCAATCCCGCGGCGGCTGCGATCGCGGCGGCGCAGAGGAATTCCGATGCTTGCAAAGCTGGGTCCTCGGCGTATTCGTCGTCATCGTCGGCTTCTCCCAGGAGTGGCAGTGGCAGTGGCAGTGGCAGTAGCCACGGTTCGATGGCAGGTCTCGACTCGGGTGTCCCTGGTTCACTGGCCGCGATGCTCGGAGACATACGGACCTGTGTCGGTGATGCCGCTACTCGCTCAGATGAGCAGGGTCATTCAAAAGCCTCCAAACCCAAAGAGGCCTCGTCCTCCGGTTTGGATCCGCTCTCCACCTCGTGGAGCCCCATCCCGAGCTCAAATACCATAGACCTTATGCTGCGCCCTTTGACCGACAACTCCCTGTTTCCAGCCCATGATCTCCCGTCGGTCGGCTCCTTACCCTGGAATGACGATCTCACGTCGCTGTCGGAGCATATCTCCTCGGGGAATTCCTTTCCGGAAGGGCTCGGGGATCACGCTGGGGAGCCGCCACTCTTCATGTCCCTGCAAGACATTGTGAAGAACCCCCTGAGCACAATTGAGCCGACGAGTGGAGATTCATATCCAATCGACCGCGACCTATCACTTCCCTCTCATTCCTCCCTCTCCTCTCTCTCTCCGGACAGCTGGGAAAGCACGGAGGAGGACTTGCATCGGGGCCTACGCGCCGACCCCTCCACCCGCCTCATCTTTGGCCACGACTTCCTCCCCGACAGTCCCGACGACGACTACCAGGAAATGCTCCGGACAATGCGCGGATTCCCTGCTCTGACTCTGGAACGCGACTTCTGGTCACCGTTTGTGCATCACCGGCTGTACCGGTGCTCTCTGGGCGGCATGGCCGAGCCGCTCGGCATCGCGCTGGCTTGCGTGTCGGCGCACGCGAGCTCGGTCGGCTCGAACTACGGGTTCGTCGACCGCATGATCAACCAGGAGCGCGAGAGGCTGGTGCGCAATTTCCACGAGTCCTCGGACGCGCCGGAAACGTGTCTTGCCGCGCTGCATGCCGTCTGCATCTACCAGATCCTGGGGCTGTTCGGGGACACCTTCCCACCAGCGGCGCTGGAACCACACAGTCCGAAGGAGGCCCACGAGCGACAGCGCGAGGAGTCGGAGAAAGCTGCGGAGCTGCACATCTCGTTCCTGCTCAAGGTACCATCTTTCCCTTCCAGGGGCCGGACCCTCTACTGATGGTGTATAGATGGCGCGTCACCTGTACAAACTTCATCAAGACACCCTTCTCCTCCCCCATGAACAGGAAACCGACTGGAACCGCTGGAAACTCAGCGAGTCGCTGCGCCGCAACATTTTCCTGGTCCACATGATCAACATCCTCAGTGCGCGCGCCCACAAGCTCAACGAGGCCTACTTTGAGCCCCTCGGCGACGCGATGGTCTTGCAGCTGCCTCTCCCGGCGCCGGAGTGTATGTGGCGCGCCTGCAGCGAGGAGGAGTGGTTGCTGGCACGGGAGCATTCTCTGCAGCCTTTTTTGACGATGGAGGCTGAGAAGAAGCCACTACCTCTGGGGCTGACGGTCAGCCGGCTATTAGAGATTGACCGGACGGGGCCGTTGGATGTATCGGCCTTGTTGCCGGTAACCAGGATGGTCCTGGCATGCTCAAAGATGGCGCCGGGAGGGATGCAGGATGCGTAGCCTGTGTGACGGTCGTCTTTGAATTGGTTGGGTTATTGCATCGGTACACCTAACAGGCTGATTGCTGATAGGTTTCGGATTTTCCTATTCGGGGTACTGGCCGACTTCAACATGGCCATGCCCTTATGATCACGGATCTTGCTTTTTGTTTTGCTCGCACGGGCACTCCGACCACTGTGGTTTTTTTTTTTTATTTTCCGATCGAGTGATCTGGTCATCACCGTCGGAGCCCCATGGTCTTTTCCTCGAACCGAGGGTGTATTCAACAGAACTTGAAGTTCCAATTGCTCACGATTCTAGCTAGTCTATATATCTCTCTTACAAACCAATAATGAAAAAAAGAAAGAAAGAAAAGAAAAAAAAAGCCCTCAAAGATAACCTAACCGATCACATCCTCTCTCTTCCCCTTCTCTCTCTTCTCCTCCTCTCTCGTCCTCCCTCCCTCTCCAACAGAAACTCCGCCCTCTCCTCCTCCCTCAACTGTCGCACCGTCATCCCCACCCCTTCATACATCACCACCACCACCGCCTCCATCACCAGCCCCATGCACAACCACACCGTGACACTTCCACCCACCCAGCCAAAGAGCGGGTCATGTCCCAAGATCGCCAGAGCCGAGTACAAGAGGCGCACGGCAAGGAACGGAAGCGACAGGGTCACGGCGACCAGCAACCTCGTCTCACCGGGCTGGATGGAGCGCACATACACCCAGAGGTACAGCGCCAGGCCGGCGATGGCGATATAGCTCAGGATAAACAGGACGATACTCGTCTTCATGGTGGAAGGGAGATCCACCTGCTGCGGCTCGCCGGAGGCAAACGTCCCACTCGGCAGGGAGTTGGCGCCGACGATACTCAGGATCAGCGCGACGATGGTGAGTATCTCGACGAGGCGCAGGGCCTTCGTGGGGATGCCGGTCTGGGTGGTCTGGGACTTGTGGATGCTGCTGCGCACGCGGGCGATGAAGCCCAGGCTGGCCAGGAGGAGCGGCGAGAGGCCGACGCTGGTGAGCGTTGCGGCGGCGATGTAGAGGTTGATGTTGTCTGGGTCCTGGATTGTGGCGAGCTGTAGCGAGGCGCCGATGAGTCGGGCTAGGGAGAAGATGGCGAGGAAGAACCAGCCGTAGGCGCGTTGCCAGCTGTCTGCGTCAGCGTTGGATGCTCTGCTGACTTTTGGTGCTTATCTTATACTTACCCATGGCGAAGGTTGAGGTAGACTGCAATGAGAAAAACAGGGGCGTAGAAGACGATCTCTGCAACGGCAACGGCGTTGCGGTATGAGAGAGGCATGTTGATATTGTACGGACGCTCGTTTGTAGATAGCCCTCACCCCTTTCCACGGATGGGGGGGGGGGGGGGTGTATATATATATATATATATACGATACGATACTTTTTGGGGAGAACAGCCTAGCAAAGGGTAAACGGTAAGCTTTTTCTAGCTGCTAGGCAACATCCATCACGATATCCATTCTTTTCCAATGAGATGCAGACCGTCTCTTGACAAACGCTCATTGTCTGTGTGGCGTAGCCCTGCTTCATCCTGCACGAAATCATCCAGACTCAGCGAACTACACTACCGAAGAAAATAAACGCCCACGCCCACGCCCCCAGAAGGCTGTATTCACCAACATCGAATCAAAATCTTCAGATACTCGTCGTTGTCGGGCAACAACCGACGCCATGACGGAGTACTCCGTAGAGACGAAGTACATGCTACATCGGGTTAGTCATGAACTATACTCTAAGTGGAACCAGATCCCTAAATGGGAAAACGAGAAACGCGAGACAGCTACGTAGTATACGAGGAGGCTTAGTCTAGTCAAGCATTTGCCTGCGCCACGCTAGACTCCTCAGCCGTACGGAGTAGTCAGAAGAGTATCTGCTGGTTGATTGTGTTGTTGTTGTTTTTTTTTCCCTTTTTTTCAGGCAGGACACGTGGTATACCCTGTGGAGAGAAAGGGATACAGCTTCCAATCTCGAGGGTTGGCGATGACCCTCAAAGCGACATGATCTTGTCATGGAATCGAGGATTTTAACAGAGTAAAGGATTCATTTGCTTATAACCTCGATTATGTCTCGACTGATCTACACCGAACTTCTAGAAGCCCACCCTTTGATGTATGGACATATCTCGATGGATTCTCGTGGTATTATTACACGAACATAGCCATCGCCGATATCAAACACGCTAGAGCAATCAACGAGCCTCGTCATAGGGCCACTATTGGGAGCTGAATGGAATTCAATAGTCAATCAAGAGAAGAGAAACCCATCTGGCTGTATGGCTTCATATAGGGCACATGGGCTTAGGCGTAGCGAGCTAGCTAGCTGACTAGGTCTCTTCGCAACACACCATGTTTGTAGCACCCCAGACACGCATATTCGTGAAGCTTATAGTGATTGAGCCTTGTCTCTAGCGCTTGGGACAACCTTCCATCGCCTCCCTCCAGTATGGGGCCGCTTCTGAAGTCATCCGCAAGAAGATAGATGAGGCAGATGGTGGTAAGCTCGTCATTCCCAGACTCATTGTTGACAGAGTATGGTTAGCCTTAGGATCTATTGTGATAGGTCAGGGAGGAATTGCCTCTCTAAACAATACTGGTACAAAGCATATATTGTGAAGGGGAAGGACTATTCAACTGGAGCAAAATACAGCCGAATAACGATTTTTGAGCCGGACGATATATAAACCATAAACTGGCTGAGCTCTACATCAAAGGACTGGTACCTCAGTGGTAGAGGGTGAGATTGCAAAGACATCGTAAGATGACTACTGTAATATCTTGAGGTCCCGTGTTCGATCCACGGTCAGTCCTTTGTTTTTTTTTCATCTTTTAATTTATAGATCTAGTTTCTAGACCTAAGAAATAACTTTGATTAAATTCTTAGATAGGGAGTAAGAGCTTATCAGTCCCTTCTCCTCTCTATCATCAAAATACTGGTACACTACAGAGTACTGCCTTTGCCCTACTTGTCCTCTTCCAACTTCCAAGCGCTTCTAGGCACAGACAGCAAACATGTGGCCCATCTTCTCAACCTTGGACTTGATATACTTGTCAAACAGGCTGACATTCGTGGACTGACGTCCCCCGGTAAATCTCCCAATAAATGTCCGGTGAATATTACTAGCGCGCTAGTGTTGAGCAGATGGACGGACCTCTTATAAAGAAAATTCAATTTAGATATGCAGCATCTATCGAAGCCGCATGAGCTACTCCTGCACTTCTAGCCCTTGTTCAGCCAGATAAGAGCAAAGCTGTACAACCAAGATTATACGAACCTTGTCAAGTGATACTGAGTGTGGCTGGGGATCACCATGGTCCATGGGCATGGCTGGCTAGTAAGTCTTCCCTTCGCTGATCTACATCGGTTTGCAGAGCCGCAGGGGCAGCCACATAGATGGTGAGTAGAAATGTATGGCAAGCGATGGCCAGATGACGTAGCACAATGCTGGAGTAGGGAAGGGATCAATTAGTGTCTGCCCATAGAAACTCCCCCCTAAGACGGAGGATGGTCACCAGATGGCTATTACCTGGGATAAATAGAATAGATCTCTTCTAGACGGTTTTGCCACGAGGCAAAGATGTCCGGAGCTGGTAAGATGGTCTAGCCCCTGTTCTCTCTCGCGCCGTCGCTGCCATATTCCCTGGGTAGGGCAGGGTATGGTAGACAGAAGATCATCCTGACGGGAGACTAAAGGTGGCAGATGTAGCTTGTGAAGGACTGCAGTGTCCCCTTCGTCGTTCCAACCAGTTCGCTGAATCCGTCCTGAACGCACTACAGGTAAGGAGCAAGATATGCATGTTCGAGTTGCACCCAATCGTGGCGCGACTCCTTGTCATGATATGCTATGGAGCACCCTTGTAGGGCCGGCCTTTTGGATTCTACCTCCTAAAGCCGAACCTTGCACCCTGGTCTCCCACCTCCTGGGACAGGCACATCGTCGCTTGGGTTGAAGCTCCACGCTGATTAGCTTCAATTCTTGTTACCGTATGATCACCTATCATTCGGCGCTCACTGCCTCAGAAAAATCCCCGTGGTGTTGTTGCATACCTTCACCCATTCCGGCCGAGTAAAAGCCGTGCGAGTTCCTTAGTTGTTCTAGGAACCCTCAATGTAGTCAGTTCGGATGAGGTGGAGATGTGCACCCTACTTCCAGTCTCCCTTTCCTTTCCCTCCTATGGATTCTGTTCCATGCGATGCAATCTTGTGGTCCGCTGCCAATTGTGCCCTGTCGACTAGGTTCTATCGATTTTCCTCTTTTTCGACCCCGAGTCTGAGGCCGCACTCGCTGCCTTGCTAAACAGACTCTCCAAGCTCTGCTGGCCCTTCTCGCGCTTCTCAACCTTGACCTTCTCCGTTGCCAACACCGGTGGCAGCCTTTGAACCCGCTTCTTCGCGTCCTCCAGCAGCTCCACCTCCCTCTCCCGCTGTTTCTTCACCGTAGGGATCGACCACGAATTCGACGACGCGGATTTATACGCCAGTTTGTACTTCGAACCCGTCAGGTGCGTCTCGTACGTGTTCGCATCGACCTTCTTCACATGCTGGTGCGCCACAACCAACCAGCGATACTCCGTTCCGACAGGGGCGCCACTTCCCTGCGGCGCCTTGCGCGCGCGACGCTTGTTGGTCCTATAGTCTATTCGCCACAGATCCGGCTCTTCTTTGGTTTCTTTCCATCTACCCTCGTCGTAGGTCCAGGTGTGGGATCCACCGACTGCCATGCCGGAGTAGACCTGGCCCTGGAACGACTTCAGGGCGTTGTAGCCGCCAGCGTAGACGGGCTTCTTGGGTTTATCTGTCTCCGTGTCCGTGGTGTGCTCAGTCTCCTCGAGCACCTCCTCGTCTTCATCAAAGGGAATCGTATCTGCGATGTCGCTTTGCTGGGAGCTCAGTAGGCTTGTGTTGTCGGTGATTGGCGGAGGCTTGTGGGCTGGGATGGTATTCTTTTCCGACAATGGCGGGGATGGAGGGTTTCTCGCTGTCAATGCAGCTTTACTGGAGCGTGCGCGAGGCATTGTGTGAGCTCTGGGGTATGCGTGATGTATGTAGATGGATGCTTGTTGAAAGTTGAGCTGCGAGGGCGATGAAGCTCAATACATGGCCGTGACGTCACTAGTAACGAAACGCCATCCTATAGCGATCCAGACAGTAAAGATTTGTTGGGGCATTGTTTCTTCGATCTAAAGGTGTCTTGACAGCAATAATAGAATCGTCTCTCCTTTCGAACAATCCAGGTTACGGGATGGTAGAGACACTTCGACTGAACCCTCCTCTGTGTCATGATGATCCCAAACAACAACATTCTCCTACACTCCGGCCTGCTAATCTGTTTTGAGAATGACCTATTTAAGCTCTTTTCTTGACGTGCAGATTTCCAATCATCTACGCGTCTGTCTTCCTCCATGGATATTCACTCTACTACTCAAGGGGGATGTCTTCCCAACCAGTCAACGTCCGCATGAACGCGACATAATCCTGCACCTCTCGTTCCATCAACCCACATACATGCAAACTCCGTCTTCTGTCGATGGCCAAAGCGCATATACTTGGCCAGCAGCCAGCAGCGACTCCCTTCAAGACGGAATCACATGGATACCCCGCGGAAAGCCGCACCTACCAAACACTCGGTGACCCGTGCCTCCGTCTTCTTCGCACTAACTGCACATCCAAACTATGGTAGACAAAAAAACCCTGCAAGCTTTAGTTCTCATGCGCGGCGGCCCAGCTGGAGGGCGTGTGCCCGCTGTCGTATGGCCTCCGAGCGTCAGGGTATTGGCGGGGTAGGGCGTTGTCTGCGGGGGGGGAAGTGGGTGAGTTTGACGATGGCGATGGCTATGGCAACGACAGAGCCATTACTTGGACCACTTGTCGACTGCGGGGCTTGGTTTCCTATCTGTAACTTGTCATATTACATTAAAGTATGCGAGTTGAGAACTCATTGAGTTTCTCCAGTGGGTGCACTTTGGACTTGGAGGGGGTCTGATGAGGCGTCACATCGTTGAGAAACAAGATAACAGCAGCAGGTGCGTATGTCGATCATCAACATCAAATTGCAAACTCGGCTCTAGCTGGGAGTCAACCAGTGCTTATTCCCTCAGAGCGCCGGATGATGTGAGGATCTTTTTGTATATTATTCAGGCATCCAGGCAACACTCAGCCGATGACGTCACGGGCACAAGGGCACGCCAGACCTTCCTGAAGGATGCATCCATGACTCTATCAGATATCTCTCTCACACTTGAGAAGTCAGTTAACTACTCTGTAGAAGGCGAAGATACAGATGACAAATGTGGATAAAACTAAATATAGTCTCGGGTTACGTCGCAGATCAGCCGGATCAATGCGATCGGATAGACGGGTTGGATAGCGGTGCCAGGCGATACTTACTCGGTCAGTCAAAGGATCGACATCAGAGTTGACATGCTTTGATAGATATGGGGGAACACATTCCTGTGCTTGATCCACAGGCTTATGAGTTTACTGATACTGGAGTATGCGCTAGTCTATGTATTGTTGTCTACCTCAAGAGTGGTGTTGTTTTTGTGCAGTGAAGTCTGTCTGCGCCGTAGTGGCAAGATCGTATGTACGTACGAATGTATATTGTGATCATGCTCATGATTTGATTTGATTGATTTGTGTTGGTGGGATGATTCCACAATATGATGTAGTAATACATGAATGATTGCGCGTGCTCGACACGACCAAGTCTTCTCCAGAAAGGCAACAAAGCAAAAACAAGCGAAGCAAGATGGATGGGGTATACGGGGCGCTCATATTCGTAACATCATTGTCGTAGCAAGAGGTTTTTCTCGATCGCGTCGTCAGATAGGGTAGGTGGATAGCGAGATGATCCAGTCATATCGCTCATCGTCCACATGTCGTGGCCTATTTGGATGTCGCTCGTATAGTATGGTATAGGTGGTGTTGTATGATGTAGCGTAGTGTAGGATAGAGTATATTGCCGTCAGATGGTCCAATCGTCGCTCGTGAAATCGAAGAATCCAATTCTGATTCGGTCGATGGAAATAAAAGGAAAAAAAGTCGAGGCTCGTGAAAAGCGCATCAGGTTGATGACCGCCGCGGCGCGGTCAGCATCGTGCTGAGTCTTTTCCATCGGTGCGACGGCGAGGAGGAATTATCGCGGTCTGGTCGGTCACTGGTCTTGGTGGAGGAGCGCGGCCGAGTGACGATAGCTTCATGGTCGGCGAGGACATCTTCCAGGCGGACGTCGGATTCGGAGATGCGCAGGTTGGCATCGGCGGGGTTGAGGATCTCGACGAACTTGGAGGGCATGTCGCGCATTGTTTTTGGTATAGAGACCTAGGTGATGTGTGATGGAGGTAGGAGTTGTTGATGGTGAGTAGAGAGTGAAGGACGGCACAGTGGTTTTATAGTGCAACAGCGTTGAATCAACAATAGCCGACTGAGGATATCAAGATAAGATGAAGAGAGATGAGGTGCAATCGAGACATAACACACTTGTTCGGTAGATTGATTCTGGCGAGGGATTCTGCTGTTATATAGATAGAAGGACGAAATGAACGGATTCCATTTCCACCCATCGAAGACGCACCAGCAGACGAGAGTCCCATTATATATACACCCGACCATCGCAGCGACTCTTTCTGCTTCCACGACCCTGCAGCTGATCAGCGGCCAGTCTGCGGGGGCTTTGATTTTTTTTTTTTTTTTTTCTCTTCCCTCTTTACCCTTCTCTGACTGCGAATGACCTCCCAAGAAGCCCAAGTAACCCGAAACAGCATGGCGGTTGATGATGGATTCCCTCTTCTGGTGGGGAAAAAAGGAAAAAGGAACTGCCTGGAGGGGGCAACGATCGCCCTAGTCAGACTCGATGCCGAATGGGCGCTTGGGAAAGAGTTAAAATGGCGTCGGAGGATGCGCCCTGTGGCTGCGGACGGGAGACAGAGAAGACGTGTTGTCTTTCGTCAGATCTGCATCTGACTGTCTACTGGCCATTTCGACACACTCAATAGAAGTTGATGAAGAATGAGTCGACAGTGTGTATCCACAGTATACAGACTAGAGACTGTATCTGCTTGCCGAGTATCCCAAGACTCGACTTCAGCGTCACATGAAACGAGCACTTTTCCGATCTAAATCCCAACTGGTTTCACCTAATTTTTGTCCTGCTCATCCTGCTAGTCCTGCTACTTACTACGTAGTAAGAATATTTCAAATCCTCAAAGAGTCTCGACCCGTCCAATTCTTCATCTTGAGCTCCCCCCTACGGATTAAATCGACTTCCAGATCGTGGGTGCATTCCTCCAAGACAAATGACGCTGCACGGGTTCTAGATTATAATTGACACATCGCACAGCCGCTGACAGCATCATCCTCCATTCCTCTACTTCAACCCCTGCAATCTCACTCCTGGCCCCGTAATCGGAGGATTATAGCAAAGCATGCGGTACTCCGGTAATCCGGCAGTTTTTTCATATTTTACCCCTGTGCATCCTGGGCGTTTGAACGCCATCCTGCAGAGTATCCTATCTGCTTCCAGAACGTATCCAGATTCCAGAGATATGCTCCCTTTCCAGCCTAACCGCCAGGAAGCCTCGCCGTTTCAAACTAGAAGAACCCCTCCACCCATTATGTTTAGTCTCATCACTCGAGACCAATCCCACTCAGCCCCGCCGAGTGTATGCGTTTTCAATGCCGCATCTTGATCGATCAGTCCGGCGTCAAGGTCTCAGCAGATGGTGCTGGTGATAAAATCCACTTACTGGTTTGTTCTGTGAAGCCAGAAGCATGCAATGCTATTCACTTCGCTCGCGGTCTTCAAAACCCAGCTGTATGGCTCGCGTTCAAACTCCTTCAGCTTATGATCTAGGCATTGCACAGTCCAACGACTCTACCCCCTGGCCATCGGATCTTGGATGATTGCATCAGCGCCATGTCTGAAGTTGCTGAAGACGGCGATATACCAGGAATCCTCGAGTCGTATATTGTAGCGGTGTTGTACTTATCTGGATCACTCTCGCCGGTCATTGTGTTCCGGATAAGCATTAAAGATCCAAGCACACAGCTTCGGTGGGCTTCCGTAGCCCGTTACTGGGCGTATTCCATGCGTATGACCGGAAGGAAGCTGTGGACGTCAAGCTGATTGCAGTATGCTTGACCAGATAGGTATACGGAAGCGGATAAATAATGTCAGGACACCTTTTCAGCCTGGTCCTCCTCTGCGAGACTATCAGGGTTGAGGGAGAGGACCGAAGAGAAATGATGAAGAATCCAAGAGGTAATGGGCTGAGAAACACATGAATTTCAGGCACGAGTTTGCTAGCAAATCAGTGGGCGGATTTTAGGTGTGGTCATTGTGTTACAGTGACCCCATCAGGGTTAGTAACATACTCAAAGATTTATAGACTCCAGTAAGGGTCTATCTAGCAATCTTTCCTCCTCGATATCTGATCTACGGAGTACATCTGAACAATCAAAATAGCCTTGGACTGTCACACTCACACGAAGTCAGAATGCCAAGATACCAACAAGGCAGAGGCGGTACAACAGGCGGTCAGGCAAGAATTCAATATTGCCATGTTTTCCGCCCCTCATCAGCCACAAAGCTCAAATCGTAACAAGCAGCGCGTCTTGAAGACAGCAGAAAGAAATCAATTCTAACTTGTAATATCGGAATATCCGAGCCTTCAATCTGGCCCGGTGGAAGCTATTTAGATTATTCCACTATCGATCTTGTTGCATAGAAATTGGTGAAAATGTCGACGACTCCCAGATCCTCCACCCCAACAGTCTTTGAGCAGCAGCGAGAGGAACTGGTTCGGGAAATTGCAGTGGTACGTATTCAGCAAGATCGATAGCCAGAAACTTACCATTACATACCTTTCCCTCTGTCCTATGTCACTCGGTCTACTGTGGGGGTTGGTTATGGTCTTTTGTATTGCTGACGGCGCATAGGGCATGGAGCAAGTACTCCAAAACATCAACCGGTTAAATCGCAACCTAGAAAGTATCATCGCAGTAAGTGCTTTTACAAAGGATGGAAAAGATTTTTGTGCATCTGCTAAGGGTATTCCAGGTTGGCAATGAGTTCAGCTCCGTCGAAGCTCTCTGGTCACAGTTTGAGAATTTCATGGGCCGGCCGGAGGAAAATGACCAAGCCGGCTCGAGGCAGAACGAAGGACCTCACGCTTCGGAGGGCGACAGGGATGCTCAAGATCAGACATTCGATGAGGGAGACTCCACGAGTCACTAATACCATTGATCATATCCCGGCGTTGGGTGCAGATATCGCATGTGGGGGGTTTTGTTTTCTGATGCAGATACGTACTTGAAGTTAGGCTTTTTTATTTACTTGATACCACGATGAAGGAGGATGCTTTGTATAGAATAAGGGTTTCAACTTTATCATATCTTGAGCGTTTATCATTTCAGGTACATGGGATCGTTGTCTGCGCCGGTAAACACCCATCCCATGCATGCGAACAATGGCCTCAGAGCTAATTCATAACAGACATCAAATCTTTAAATAGGGCCAATCGAGCGAACAGAAAAAAAAGGGAAGGGTTAAAGAGACATCATAGGAGCTAATGGTGACAATCATCAGAGCAAAGGCAGGTATAGCAACATGGAAAGGGAAATAAATCAGAGAACCACCGAAACCAGCGATTGTTGAACCAAAAGAGTGGGTTATCCGTACCACATGGCAGTAGCAGCCTCTGCTTGTCGTCTGACCATGTCACGTAGAGGATAAGCTGCGGTTTATCGCGCCGCAGAGGCAACCAGGCCCCATATTGGCTAGTCAAAAACGAGAAAAGCAAAGACAGCCAAGTGAGAGAGAGGGTAGAAGGAGCGGGTCTACAGAATCTTGCAGGTACGCTTCTTGACTTTCTTCCCACTCACCCTGGGAACGGCACCACCGCCTCCCGATTTGCTGCTGGTACCATGATTCTGGCTACTGCTTGTCCATCCTTGCTCCTCGGTAGAAACGACGGTATCGACGGCGAGTGCAAAGACTTCATCCACGCCGCGCATCTCCTTGCTGCTGCATTCAACGTATGAGGCGTTCATTCTCCTGGCTACCGTTTCGCCTTGTTCCGGTGTGACGGGTGTCAATCCCTGGGTCTTCAGAAGTTCGATGCACGTCCTCTTATTCCGCAGGTCCGATTTTAAGCCCACAAGGATGATCGGCGTGGTAGGACAGAAATGTAGGACTTCGGGGTACCACTGGACATCCTGGTTAGAGTTGTTATAGCCACACATCCGGTGGTCAACATACCTTGTCCATGACATTTTCTAATGACGCAGGACAGTCGATAGCGAAGCAGACGAAGAGGAGATCTGTTTCTGGGTACGAGAGGGGGCGCAGTCTGTCGTATTCTTCCTGTCCAGCAGTATCCCAGAGGGCCAACTCGACTGTTTTCCCCGATGCTCGATGCGTGGTTTGTGTGATGTAGTTTTCAAAAACGGTAGGAACATATTTCTGCAGGTGATCCAGGCGTCAGGGTCATGAAACGGGATCGCCGACACGGTTTTCAAAATTTGAAACACCTACCTCTGGGAAATAGCCTTGCGAATAACTGATGAGAAGACATGTCTTACCACAACCACCGTCTCCTACCACGACGAACTTCTTTGAGTAGGCGGGTGGCTGAGTGATATTTGTGGCCTCGGACATCCGCCCACTTGATATGCTGGTATTTGTGCTGACCGTCCCGTTGCTCACCCTGACACTATGGCTACGGGTCCGGTTGTGTCTTGGAGTCAATGAAGGCGGAGGCGTGGCGAGAGAACGACGTCGCGCGGCAGCGTAGGCCTGGTCGTCATACAGCTGTCCTGACATGTTGATGTGACTAGGAAAATAAATTGGCACGAGGTACCCAGCGGACCCGGAAGGGGGGAGAATCGGTCTGATGTACCTGTTGGCGTGGCTGCTTTTACAGCCTAGCTGACGTATCAAAAGGACACCGGAGGTTTTATTGCTTTCCTCTATTGCAGGGGACTTGCAGGTGAAATAGCGACGGGATGCAGTTTTCGAACGGATAGAGAGCAAATAGATGCTTGGGATGAATGTTCCAATGGATAAAGAAGCGACTCAGAATAGTACTCGAGGAGTTGAAGGACGAAAGGGATGTCTCTGTGAGATTTCCTTTCTTTTGCTTTTTTTTTGTTTTTTTTTTTACACAGTACTTGGTGCACTGTGACTGCTTGAGTTGCGATGGAACATAACTAGTCTAGCTGCTGCTCCAACAACACGCACAGGCGACATGAAACTGCACACACTCAGAATGCGGTGTTTACGGGCGGACAAGCTGCCATGGCAACCAGGCGGATCTGATGACGCATTGAGCTCCATCCTCCATCCTCCTCCCATCCATCAGTCCAGTTCGAATTTCCCCCATTTGCACGTTTCTCTGGTTCTCGTCTTATTTTTAGCATGCAAAACAAGATCCGTGTGTGTGTGTGTTAATCTGGTCCACCGTTAATAACTACAGAGTACGGATACAGTCTATCCCAATCGCCATGCGCTATTGTTGGCCAGGCCTGACGGGAATTCTGGGTTCTTGGTGACCCTGGATGCCGCTCCGATCTGAAATGACTGGCGTCCGCTTATGGTTCGGTAGTCCCTGGATTGACTCCAGCTGGCCGAAAATCCAATGCAAATATCGATGACCAGATAGTCTAGTAGCCTACGGAGTGGTAGGCATGCCTCCGGTTCCTTCCAGGCTTTTCTCGTTAGCTTTCGTCCCGAAGGTGTGCCTTATGTGATGTTGTTGAAACAGAATCCCTGCTACTCTGTGCCTAGGACTATAGGATCTGAGGTGTAACAAGCCTTAGCATCCGATCTCGGCCTGTGATCCCTCGGACATACTTGTCTACTGACCTCTTGGTGTTGGTGGGAAAGTATAACTAACGTCTTATACTCTCAATCCCTCAGAGGATCGATGACTGGTCAAATTGTCGAACACGTTATTCTGTGATCTGGTCCTTATTATTTGGGGGCTTCACTCCTCAGGTCAATTTTGATCCAAACACTGCAATCGATCAAGCAAAACATCGCAGATATATATATAGCTCTACGGAGCCCGTCTTCACCAACATGGACAATCATCAGGGCACACTAACACCGGCGACCTCACAGCTTGTTCCATTTAATATTGGGAGGGGAACCTTGTACTGAACTACCAATCCTCTTGTCTTCAATCTGACTGCATAGCCGGCAGGCGACTTCCGAGTTGTTCTCGTAGACTCGTAATTTGGTATCTTCCGCAGTGCTGCTGAGTCAGCGGCAAATGCGCACAATCGTTATCGCAACAGCCGGAGCGCCGAGCACCAGCTCTTTTATGCCCCAAGATATTGGCGCGTTGATCCCGGCTGGCTCATCAGCCCCCCGTGTGTACTGTGTGGACTTGAATCCCCCTGAGAAACGCATAGACTTCGGAGGATCACAAAAAGGTGGCTGATTCGCCCAATCTTCGGTCTGAGCTTGATGTGCCCACGTCGTTGTACCTGCGTGTGTGCCGAGAGATAAGTCGTCATCAGCTGGAACTCTATGGGGAAAATTGCAATTTCATCACATTCCTTTCGAATTGGCCGCCTCCAGTATGGATAAGGCGACAAACGGCAATCCAGATGCTGGGCTGAGGAGCCTCAATCATTGTGAGTGAGAATGCAGAGGATCTCGCTGGTTCACTTGGGTCAATGCTAATCTCACCTTCGTGGTCTGCGGCTGCTGCTGAATAGATCGAAATCGACTCCCACTCTGGCGTTACCTGCCTCGACAAAAGCTTCTTCCTCTGATCCGCTATGAGACACCTTATCTGGCCTGGTTCCAGGAGAAAATACGGACTCCTTCATTAGATTCCTATTTTGCGTTTACCGCCAACTTGGGGACACATACTTTTTTCATGGTCTTTTTGCCCTTGTTGTTCTGGAGTGGTTATACAAATCTGGGCCGTGGGTAGGTATTTGCGGCTTTTGGACGCCTTGAGAGCCATCCATCGATACGGACGGGATGCACTCTGGAAATGATCATATCGGCTAACCATCTTTTGCGCTGGTCAGGTTTGTCCAAGTATTGGCATCTGGAGTGTTTTTTAGCGGCTTCATCAAGGACTTGCTATGTCTTCCTCGTCCGCTATCGCCCCCGCTACAGCGCATCACCATGTCCGGGTCCGCAGCGCTGGAGTACGGGTTCCCTTCGACTCATTCAACCAATGCGGTCTCTGTCGCGGTATACGTGATCACACTACTCAATTCGCCCGATGCGACTTTGAGCCCTCGCGCCAACTTCCTCTTTCAAGGCATGACTTATCTTTACGTTAGTTCAATCGTGCTGGGTCGACTTTACTGCGGTATGCATGGCTTCCTCGATGTCATCGTCGGCTGTCTTTTGGGGACCTTTATTTCTTTCCTGCAATTTGCGTACGGTCCTCTCCTCGATGACTACGTATTTTCTGCATCAGGGACGCAGATCGCGCTCGTCGTATTGATCCTTATAGTCCTTGTGCGCATACACCCCGAACCGGCGGATGACTGCCCGTGCTTTGACGATAGTGTGGCATTTGCGGGTGTGATTATCGGAGTGCAGGTGGCATCCTGGCACTTTGCGAAATCCGACATTGCCTGGTCCGATCCCTCCCCAGCTACAATCCCGTTCCGTTTCCAGGAAATTGGACTGGTCAAGACGATATGTCGCTTTGTTCTGGGAGTGTTGTTGATTTTCGCATGGAGAGAAACCATGAAGCCTCTTCTTCTGAAGGCTCTACCCCCGGTTTTTCGCGCCCTTGAAAAATTGGGCCTCTCCCTTCCTCGGCGGTTCTTCACCCGAGCTTCGTAAGTTGGCATGCAATGATTGATTATTGGGAACGGATTGATTAACTGTTACGAAAGGCTGTACCAAACGGTCCCTTCGCATCTCAAGGACCACGAAATCGTCCCGAGCTTCTCGGACATCCCTTCAATTCTCACCAGCATCCGCCATCCGCGAAGCCGAGCCATCTCTGTTGGCCCGCAATCAGAAGCTGACGCCTACGAGACACTAGCGTATCGCGAGAAACGAAGACGCGAGAGCTTGTCGAATGTTGCTCATGACTATGCGAGCGTCGTGTCAAGTGATGGAGGCACACCGAGAGGTTCTCTCTCTGAGAAGAGGTCACCCAAATTGTCACGGAAACCATCTAAGCTGCAGGAGTACGAGCATATGATGGGAACGGGCATACCACGACACAGCCCAGATGCTGACACGTCAACGGAACCCTTCCCTGCCTACGAGGACGAAAAAGAGCCCGATATGACGGAGATGTTTTCGCAAGTGAAAAAACCCCGTGTGCGGTACGACGTGGAAGTGGTCACCAAGCTGGTAGTATATTCAGGTCAGTCGTTATGATGTTACTGTCGATCATGACGATTCAGCTCCTAATCTGTTCTGATGTTAGGTATCGCCTGGGTAACGATCGAAGGTGCCCCCATCGTCTTCGACAAACTAGGTCTTGGGTTGTGAATAACGAGACCACGGCAATATACAACCATTTATGTCTTCTTGTCCTGTTGGATCATGTTTTTGCTTACTGCCTTTCGCAGGAATGGATCGAGGCTAATACTGTTGCAAGCGTTCCCCTTTCTGTAACATATAGCTTTGTTCTGTACATATGACCGTTGACGAATTTGGATTTCTACTTTATACAACGTTTAGATAACTGTACTTCTCTATCTTCCCTGAAGCTCTTGTAGAAATACATCATCTGGTTGATGTATCTGCAATCTGCGTAAGATAGCTTTGTGCGTTGTGCACTGCATTTCACACAGGGACTATTCCTATTCGGCTCTAGGGTTCTTTCTGACGTAAGGCTGTCCCTCACGTGATTCGACGCGCGGGCAAAGCTTCGTGAGAGCTTCCGCATCGCAGATAAATCTAGGTCTCTTATCGATCTTCATCGCTTCTACTCCTCAGTGGGAGGTCGCCATTCGGACTTTTGCCTCTTCAGAGGCTGCTTCGCTGTGTAGTCGATTGCTTCATGTGATGTCGCATATAAATGGGCTTTTCGCTATGGCAACGGTTTGAGCTGCTATCAAAGAACTGCGACCTGCACTGGGTCAGTGAATGGCGACCTCGATGTTTTGATTCCACCCTCACGATACCCAGCGTTTCTTTGTTACTTACCCCTCTCATTTTTTTCTTCCTCCTCATTCTTCTTTGCTGCTTCATATCATTCTCCTTCTACCTGCGATCTTCACAAAACTACTCCACAACAGCTTTTCCTCAATTCAACGATATTCATTCAGGCTTAGATCGTTCTTTCAAGGTCGACATGGCCGCCCTCTTTTCGGTTCAGCAGCCAGAAATGGCGAAGGACAGGTCTGAAGACATGCGTTTCCTTTCGACCGAGAAAGCGCAGCTGGACGTTGATAACACCTCATATGACCCCATGGATATCAGTCCCATCAAACCATCCCCTGCGCGGCAACAACCAAGCACAAACGGGCAGTCGGCCGGCTTCATCCCCCCCCAGAAATCCACTGCAGGATCGCCTCACCCCGGACTTACAACTTTTGACAATCGCGCACCGCGTCTGGTAGCTTCATTGGATGATCCGCATCCCTGGGGAACGCTGTTCAGCTCCCCCTACATCAGGCCTCGTTTCAGATTCTCCCCGAAATCGAAGGCTCCCAACCGCATCAAGCAGAATTCAATCGCGATCGTGCGGCCTGATCTCAATCGCGCCAAAATACCTCTGTTGCCAAAGAACAACTCGACCTTCGTTGCATTGAATCGTGAGACGCGCCCTGTGGGTGCCAGACCGGCAGTCAATGGTACTGGTCTCTTGACCGGTGGCATCTCCAGCAATCGCGGTCCGCTCCTGAACGGCTTCCATCAACTCAACGCCCCATCTGAAGGTAGAGATCGCAAGGCTGATCCTTTTACTTCCGTTCTATTTGGTCCACCTTCTCTACCTCGTAAGAGATCGGTCGATGACGGTCCGAGCGGTGACCAAGCCCATACAATACCTGAAAGCTCGAACAACCTTCCTTCTGCCCATTTTACCAAATATCGCCGTGTGGCTCAGAAGACTGGCTATACAGCTACGCAAGTGACATCTAGTGACGCTCGTTCCGAAACCGCCGACCTCCACACAACCCTTGGACAGGCGACAACTCAGCCCGGCGGAGGTCCCTTCATCACTCGCCCTCGCAATGATCACCCTTTTCTCGATTTGTTCTCCGATTTCGACTCCAGGAAGGGCCCAAACAACCAACCCCATGTTCCTGAGATCACTCGTGAGAAGGTTGTAGGCTCTCGCACAGGATTCGAACAGGCCATCGATACCCACAACGCCGGCCTTCCTTCCACCTCTCTCCCCCCTCGCTTCACCGAAGGTCCAAACCATACATCTGAGCCCGGCATCGGCGCGCAGGTCGGTGATGTTGAACAGACAACGGTCCACCCTCTCGGAGGTAACTTACCCGCTCATTCTTCCCTATCTATTTTTGGTCCCACCTCTTTGGAAATCTCCCAGGATCATGGCGCCAGCCATCCGTTTAGCGTGGCCCAATCGCTTTTCCATATTCCAGGCAGTTGGCCTGATGAACCTCCATTCGATCTTATTGCTAATACCCCTAAAGGACGCGGAGACTCGACGGACGGGGGATCCACCCCAGAATTTCAACCCTATATGTCAGGTGCGCTGGCGGCTGCCACTCCCGCCGACATTGCACCTCCCTCACAAGCTATTGGTCCCACCGATTCTTCTGGAAAGCTCGAAGTCGACCAGCAGACCACCAATGGATTTCAAAGCGAGCAGTCCTCTCCCTCATGGCAGTTTTCGTGGGGCTCATTGCAGAACACCCTTCACAAAGCTGCTAACAGTACCATCGGTCGCGCCATGACGCAGACCTTCAATTTTGCCATTGCTACTACCACAGCGCTTACCGGAAATGTGACACAACGCGCGTTGAAGTTCTTTCAGAATCGGCTTACTACCGCAACTCGTCGCACTGCGGCAGCCGCTGCAGCTTCTCCAACTCGAGCGAATCTTCGTTCCTTTCCGGAAGAACAGCGACGTCGGATCAAGAGCCACCAATGGCGCAAGGAAAGAGGCTATCCCACTGTTGAGGATTACCCATTCCCAGATCTATCTTTTGATGTCCCACGAAGTTCGGCCGCCTCTATAACCTCACCTGCATTAGCTGCAGAGCCTCAACTCTCCTCGATCACCAAGAAGCGCCTAGGAACAACTCCACGGCCTCGAAAGGGCATTGGACGAATCGGACCCCGTACAGCGACGCCAGCAAAAGGGAGTGTCCTCGGAGACTCCCGAATTGGTTCGCTTAGGCGGTCTCGAGTCCAGTCCTTGAGTCCTCAACTGAAACGACGAATGTTTGCGGGTGCCCACGTGAGACAGTCGAAACAGGCTCAGCGTAAGCGTGCGTTAATGCAGGCGCTTCGAACATCTGAAGATGAGCCACTTCGGCCTTTGCCACTGTCCGCTACTGCATTGCCAGAGCCTCATATCGGGCGGACACGTCCTACTCTCGCCAAGGCCAAGTTGCCGTCTGAACCTCAACGGAAGCCCAAGCATGTTCGCTTCCAAGAACCTTTGACCGAAGTTCTGCCCTCCACATCTGCACCGCTCCTTACGGAGCTGGCCCCTCACCTTACCCCAACGTCTCCTGAGATTCACCGTGTTGCCCAGCCCATAACAAAAATTGAAGAAGAGAAAGAAAATGTGCCCCCAGCCTCCACACTTCCCAAACATGTGAAACCTCCGCGCGACGTAGAGGTCCAGGCCAAACGTGACGACTGGCTCCATACCGAGTTCCCATTCGGACGGCCCGTTTCCGCAGTGAGGCTGTTCTATCCCGTCACAAAGCCACTTCCCCCGGGTCGCACAGAGTCTATTTATGCTCCTGCCTGGAGGAAGATCGAAGAGGAAGACAAGAAAAAGCGCAAGCCTACTCGAGTGCGACTCGAAGGCCCAGCTGTCCGACCACTTCCAGAGAAATGGGAAATGAAGATATCCGAGATCAAGGCCGTGGCTAACAACAAGCAAGTTGCTACAACTTTAGCCGGCGACCCTTTGACAAAGAGAGATCTTGCCACTTGCTACACTCCTATGGCATGGCTGAACGACGAAATCATCAACTCATATCTCGCTCTGATCGTCGACTATCTCCGCCGCACTCATGGCAACGCGGGGCGCCATGATAAACCTCGTTTCCACGCATTCCAGACATTCTTCTTTTCAAATCTCCGCGACAAGGGCTACCAGTCCGTACGTCGCTGGGCAACACGCGCCAAGATCGGAGGGGAATCTCTTTTGAACGTGGATACCGTGTTCATCCCCGTGCACAACAGTGCACACTGGACACTGATCGTCGTGAAGCCCGGAGAGAGAACCATCGAGAACTTCGACTCTCTCGGTGCTCTCTCCCGGCGCCACGTGGGGCTGGTGCAGGGGTGGCTCCGTGCCGAGCTCGGCTCCCGTTACGTCGAAGAGGAATGGACCATCCTCCCGTCCATATCTCCGCAGCAGGACAACGGCAGCGACTGCGGCGTATTTCTCCTGTCAACCGCCAAGGCGGTGGCCATCGGTATCGAGCCGCAGTCTTACGGCGCGAGGGACATGGTCCTTTTACGCCGAAAGATCGTGGCGGAGCTGATGAACGGAGGACTGGAAGGGGATTTCGATCCTACTAGGGATGGCCAGACGCTGCTATAGGCAGCGAGGTTTCCTCCAGTTAAAAAAAAAAAAAAAAAGAGGCGAAGAAAAGAAAAGAGAAAGAAAAAGCACAATGTGTGAACACTGTACGATCACTTCCGTTGGCCATGTCGTATAGACTGGTGAGGACGGTTCGGCTGCATTTCGGGCGTCTGGAGGCATGGGCATGGGCATGGGCAGGGGCAGGCCTTGGTGACTTATGATGGAACGATAGACATGGGGTCTGCAATGTACTGTATGGGTTTACTACGCGATATCAGCGTGGCGTTGTTTTTTTTTTTTTTTTTGTTTTCGGATTGGGTTCTCTTTCTTTTTCTTGTTTCGAGACTCTTTTGAATCTGGATACCCCGTCGGTCGAAGCTGCGGCTCCTGACTTGAGCATGCATTGTGGTTTCAGTATGCTTTCTTCGGTATCTTACGACGCTGTGTATCTCTGTCTGATGTCTAAAAGGAAGAACCCTTTGTGTAGGACGAAATCTACTCCTTGTCCAACCAGTCTTCTGGCTCATCATATTCAAAAATCAAAAATCGGGATACTTGTCTTTGTTTAGGTATGGAGTTTGGACTATCCGGAAATCCAGAGCTGAAAGTGTTCATTGAGAGGACCAAGGAGTTGACGCCCAGGAATATCATGAATACTCGACGTCGTCCAGATAACACGGTCTCCGACATTGGCGTCCCCGCTTCCTCTCCGAGAGACGATCGGCTTCCTCCAACGCTTCCACGTCGTCGTCGGACTCGGGCTCGGAAGCAGATCGAGCCACAGGTCCACGCATATGTCTCTCTACGGGAACAATATCATCCGGCGCATTGCGAAATCTCAAGGAGGTATTGTACGCGAATTCGATCCACTCGATACCAACATACACACTTTGTCCGACAGACAGATCGCCGGTCCAGTTGCCCCCATTGCTCCACAGATTGATCGCCATGATACTTGGTAGACTGGGGACACCATATCTCTTGGAGGCTTGCAGTTCATCGTTGGCGTACCAGCGCGAGATATCGTGCAGCCAGTCGACGCGATGCGTCGTGGGATTCGTCCATGGTTCCGACAATATGCCAATCGAACCAGCTTCTGGGATCGCGGTATCAGTTACGGGGTCGTAGTCTGGTTGATTAGCGTACCGGACGACGGTGTGTGGATCTGAGGTCAAGATCTCGATGTCAGACTCGCAGGTGGAGGAGCGATAGATGAAGATGCCCGCACAAGCGCCGCTGGGGACCGTCGATCCCTGGGTAGTGGTGTTGTTTGGCAGATAATGTCCGTACAGCTTGGGCTGCTGTGCCACAGACGCCATTGACATAACGCGCATCCGGACTCGGAGAGAACAATGGAAGACGTTGCGCAGGTAATGCTCGATCTCGGCTGTTGCGGTGTGGTCTGAAAACCGTGTTGCGCGCAGAACGAGATGGGTGGACTCGGGATCGTCTTCGTCCAGAGGATTTCTGGCAAAGAAGACGTTCTCCGGGGAGTTGAGCAGGGGCACGGGGCCCACACTATTGCTATGCCGATGCCACTTTTGCGGTTTCCAGTCATATGCAAACGCAGTATGTGAGAGGAGGAGGGTACTGGAGTCATCCTCATCGTCGTCCATCGTGGTCCTATTGGTACTGTTTGTATCCTGTGGTTCGCTCTCGCTGTTGTGAACTCTTCTCTTGGTCAGCAGTAGGGGATTGGAGCTGTTGTCGCTTTGTTCGACGTTGACCTTCCTGTCCGGCAAAGGAATCCTTCGAAAGTCCCAAAAGGCATAGTTCTCGAAGTAGCCCGGCTCAGGGCCCGACACGACATAACAATCGCACTGGCACCTGTGGTAATCGAATGGCAGCTTGGGAGATGCGGTACTGCGATCTCCTGAAACGAAGGGAAAGAAGGCTGTTGCAGCCAGGAGTGGCGGCAGTAGGGAGAGGAGGAGTGTCTTCATCATTGAAACAGAGAGTGTAGATTGATGCAGCGTGACTGATAATCAATAATGTAACGTATAATGCCAATGGCTACAAGAAACAATGTGCCCAGTGATCAGGTCCAGATGAAGCGATATATGCCAGCATTGATGGTCGATCCTGCGAGGTATATACTGCGGCCAGGCAGGTGCGCCTTGGGCTGCCGACCAAAATAATAAAAACAGGCATTGTCTGAACAATGGGCAGGAGCAAACCCATCGGATAGGAAAGCTAGCTTGGATCTTCTTTCTCCATCATCAGGAAATGACTTGAGGCCTTGGTCGCGGTCGGTTCTCGCCAGTGGGTTGTATACTCTACACAGTAAGTAGACTAGAGAAGTGGCCCACTTTGTATGGGAAAAGATATGCCCCCGGAATGACTTTCGGACCCGCGAACGTTTGCACGCACGATTGTAGTCCAGATACGGTCGGTGGGATTATGAAGGTACTTGTTTCTTACCTGACCCTATAACTGAGCTATTTTTTATACTGTCTAAATGCCTGCGATGAACTCGAGTATATCTAGTCGACGTTTACCTAGAAGTACGTCTGGACGATTGCAGGGAAATTTGACCAAGTTGGGCGACCAACTGGTTTAGACTGGCTTACAGTTATTCTTGGAGATGACGGAGGAACAATGGTAACAGTAATACCAAAACCCATTTCAGTGATCAATCGAAGCAACCCAAGTGGCGCCGACCAGGAATTCCTATGATCCAATTGAAAACTGCGGCGCTGGGGTGGCGATAACAGAGCAGCCACTCATATTGGCTGCTGTTGAGTCAGCTGGACGCATAGGGCCGCAGGGGTAGCTTTGAGAGACCGTACGGAGTATTGTCATCGGTACGGTAAGACTGTACCGTTTCAGCAGCAGTCGCTCCTCCTGGACAAAATGGTGGATATAGACACTTATTGAGGCTTCATGCTCCAATATCTATATGTTTACTGGAAGGATATTTCCATATCTCCAAACTGGTCAGAAAAGCCAGATGTTGAGTGTGGTTGGCGTTGTGGGCAGGGTTGGATGTTGCTTGTGCCACGCAACAAAAGCCAACCTGATGAAAGGAGGGGAGCGTCAGCCGGACTGGGCAAAAAGGGAGAGTCTCACGCTTCCCACGTCTTTTTCGCTCCCTCCCTCCCTCTCTCTCTCTCTCTTTTTTCCACCATCACATACATCATCCTCTATCATCAACCCATCATCACCCATCACGTCCATCACCATCAATATCCATCGGATTTCACCGTCAAAATGAGCTCCATTCGCATATGAATCGATTTATATTCGCACATGATATAATATTCGATCAAATTCCGCATTTATTATCCCCGTTATCGGCTATATTCCTACCATCATCAATCAACATGACCACCACCCTTGAACGAAGTCTTTCTCGTACATCGAGCATGTCAATTCCGGTCTCCAGTCCTAGACTCTCTATCAGAAATGACGTGACACCCCCTATGTCCTTCGAGCCCTCCTTGTCTCAAATCCACGATCGATTGAATCTACTCGACTCACGTGTTCTGGAGTTACGTTCGACCGTTCTCACCAAGGACGGTTATGTAGACCGACGGAACCGTGAGGATGAGCATATTCGTCGAGAATTCGAAGCTAACCGTTCGATTTCCAACCGAATCGATCTGAATGTGGTCGCTCTGAGGACGGATGTCGACCAGCTCAAGTCGGGTGTTTTTCAACTGAAGTCAAGCATCGGCCAGGCGGGTAATGAAACCGTCTTCCTTCGCAGTGATGTGGATCGACTCCAGAAGAATGTCGACCAGGTGCAGGCCGACCTGGAACAGCTCCAGACCGATGTGTGCGGATGCCGGATCGAGATCAGCAAGCTCCATGGTGCGATCAGTCAACTGCGCACTGATCTGATCACTCTCCAACACGAGACTTCGCGCCACCTGAGCGCGGTCTTCAATCGGTTCAACCTGATCGAGGCTCGGATGAAGCATTCGGAACGCGTTCGGTTCAACTCTCTCGCCCATACAACCCATGCACCTATCACTCCCGTTCCTGTTGTCGAAGAAGATGGGGCCCTGCAGTGGCCTGAATACTTCCCTCGCACAGTGTGGAGATTTTGGTGCCTGAAGAAACGAAGCCGCAGTGAGTGACATTGTTCTTCTCAGATAAGATTCCTCTCAACAATCCTAACCTCCACTCCAGTCAGTCGACTTGTCCAACTCGCCGAATTCTATGAATTGGGAGGCTATGAGTATTGGGGACGTATGCATCAATCGGATGTCATGTTCAGCAACGACAGCGATTCCAGTGACTCGAGCGACTACCCGTCCAACCTGACTCGGGCTGAGGCTGTCCGGCAGTTCCCCGAAGCAGCACACCAAGCTCTTGCTGCCACTCTGGGTCTGGTCTACTACAAGATCCGAAACGAAGTGGGTGAGGGCCCAAATACTCACATTCCTCGCCCTCCGAAGCGCCAACAGGAGGAGGTGTCCTCGGTTACCTCCAGCTCCAAACAAAAGCCTGTTAAGATGGCTCGCCGTCCTAACAACCTTTCCCCCACGACACTCCACCGGCTCGTCACAGGACCGTCCTTGGAATCCAAGTCTTTGGTTTCGGAAGAGTCCGACAAGCTTGGGTGGAATGTCCATTCAGATGTGTCCGACGACGCAATGAGCAAGCTTCGAGGCATCGTGTCCGAAGAGGTTGGTACGCTCCTTCGAGCCTTGGAGCAAGGCCGTCTCAAACTCAAGCCGAGTCGGTCCGAACGATTGAACATGTCCCCGACCGAATCGAAAGCCGGCTCCTTTATTGGTAAGATCGGTCATGATGGAGCTCAGGACGATGAAGTACGGACAGTCCCGAACACTATCGCCACGGAGATTGTCTCGCCCAAATCTCGAAGAAATGAAGACCACGATCTTCCAGACACCGCTTCTGATACCACTAGTCCACTGACTTGATTCATCATCATTGTCGCCGTACGGTGATACCGCGGCATCCTCGTGCAAACCAGCTATCCTCGCAAGCAGATTATCTGGAGGAAAAGCAATTGCATACTGAGACCCCGCCGGGTCTCCCCAGGCCGAGACGGTCCATCCCTGGTGTTCGGAATAGCCAAACGCTAGTTGACAGAAACCTGTCTCGGCCACACCTGTCGATCATACCTGCAGGCGCCCACCCCAACCCCCAATCTGTTGGAACAGTTCAACAGTTGTTGTAACGAACCATCTCAAGCATTAACAAGGCGTCCAGGATGATGATTGCTTTTTCAAGGATACCCATTTGTTCTGCCAGATTTATTTATTTTCCATTTGAGTCCATTTATCTAGATACCTCAGCATAGCCTTGGCGTTCTATATTTTGACAATTGATTTTGGATATCGTTCATTGACCCTGACGGTTTAGTCTTGATCATCGATCCGATCGAGACGTGTCCTCGTGTTCCTCGTATCCTCCGTACGATCCAGAATTGAGTCCGTCGCGGCCCGTGGTTATCCCATCAGGAGACGTTCGGCTCAAACATCCCTGAGCGATCTCATCTATGCGCTACAAAGCACATGCGCAAGAGAAATTGTCCCCTGCCAGTTGACAGGCTTGTGGAAGTAACTGGTCTCCAGTCGGTTTGGTGAGTGTCTAGATATTAGATATGGCCGATATTTACAGAGTTATTCCACCCAACGCCAACATATTCCCCCGAATGATGCAAGAAACGACCGATTCAGTGTGCTACCGAGCAAGCAGTAACGGGTTCGAATAAATCCTGCTTCAGCACTTCTAGCACCTTCTTTTCGTCGATTTGCCCTAGATCGATCGCCTCCGACTGGCCCTGATCTACCGCTGGATCTTGTGGGATGATATCGCTCAGGTCTGGTTCTGGGCCCTGTGTTCGTAGATACTCCTCCTCTAGAATGAATGCTGGGTTCTCTTTCTCTGCGAGTATCATCTCTGGAGATGCCCGTAGCGCGTAGATGGTCGGGAATTCCACAACAACGCGGTCACGAAGAGCAGATGCTAGAGCCGAGCGGGGCGCCAAAGGAATGAGGACGGGTTGCTTCGTGGCAGTTCGTGGGCGATGGAGATATAGATAGATGCCACGGTGGGAGGTGGTTTCGGCCTGGTCTTGGGCTGGTTCTGACGGAGTCGGCACCTCTGACGGCGCTGGCTGGTCGCCGGTAGACAAGACCTCGGGGGCCTTTTGCCCTTCCTCCTCTTTCTTCTTTGCATCGTCCTTTGACACTTGGTTGTCCTCTTGTTTCGTTTTCTGATCACTCTCGTCTGCTCTGTCCTTCGGTTGAGGGTAGACACGATCATACGCATCAGCCAGCACACACGACTCCAGACAATTCCGCGTCAACTTGTCCCCGTCTGGGGAAACCCAATCCACCGTCCAGCTCAAGCACTTGTGTCTATAAACTATTAGCAAACCCGAACCCCCCCCAAACACCCACTTCAAGCCCAAACAGCAGACAGTAAACATGAAAACATACTTGGGATGCCACCTAGACGCATTCGCCTTATTCCGACTCATCCCCCTCGGCGCCCTGATAACCTGAACCCCAGCATTCTGCGCGCCCCGCAAGAACCCAGTCTCCCCCTTCACCAATCCACCCTCCGCAGGCCTCTTCCTCTTCCTCCCCGCCTCATCCCCGACAACCTCACTCTCAAGCCCCGTCACAGCCGGATCCGCCGACACGCCCGCATTCACCGCGATACCTCTATTCTCCGCGTCGCGCTCCGCGCGCTCGAGGCCGCGCTCGATCGATGTGATGAAGTTGAAGTCGCGGTCGAAGGCGGAGTCGGTGGCGAGCTCGCTGCGCCTCAGGTAGGCGGCTGGGTCGCGCACGCCGGAGCACTGCGACCAGAGCTTGTGGCGGCGCGAGCAGGGCAGGGAACAGGTGCGGGTTGAGCAGCGGGGACAGCGGTATTTGGGGGGGTGGATGTGGCTGTTTTGTTGTTTGGGTGGTGGTTAGTTTGGGGTGTGTTTTGGGTGGTGGGTTGGAGTTGGAGTGGACGAACCAGATTGTGCAGAGGTCGGAGAGGAGGGAGTCGTCGGTATTGGGCTCGGACATGATGATGATGGGGGTAGGGGATAAGGATATATAGGATGCTGGTGATAAATAATAACAATTAGGATGGTAGATAGGTAGGTAGAATAGAGAGGTGAGGCAGCGCTTGAGGAAAAAGTTTCGAGATTAGGATGGACGGAGGCTTATCGATAAGAGTGGCTACCTTGGATTTCAGGCTGCCAGACGAGTCGATGCCAAAGCACCAGATGATATCATCGCGATTACTGATCGTGTTCCCCCGTGCATTTCTAAGCAGCTGCATTGACGAAGGCCCGAATGGAATCACGACATCGCAGTATGTAGAATATATAACCCAAGCGGATGCCTGTTGATCTCATCCAAGTAAACCCTTCCCGTACATATCACTTCATTTACTAGACAATAACTACCTACTGAAATGGCTACCAAAGCATTCGCAATCATTGCCGGAGTCGGCCCCGGCACGGTATGTCACTTCTAATTGTTCAATGATATCCCTGCTAAGACTTGACCAGGGCGCGTCCATCGCCAGACGTTTTGCCAAGGCATATTCCGTGGTGGTGCTTGCTCGCAACCCCGCGAATTTCGAGCCGCTTGTGCAGGAGATCAACGCCGCGGGCGGCCAGGCATTCGGCATCAGCACCGACCTGTCCGATACGGCCAGTGTCAAGTCTGCCTTCGACAAGATCTCCCAGCAGTATTCCGGCATTCCGCTGGCAGCGGCTGTGTTCAACCCCTCGGGGGGGTTCATCCGCAAGCCGTTCCTCGAACTCACCGAGGAGGAGTTCTCCCAAGCGTTTGACAACCAGGGGTAAGCATGCCGCGAGGCTCCGCCGCTCTGGTGAATACAGATACTCACCAGAATACACAGGTTGGGGGGCTTCAACTTCTCCAAAGGCGCCTTGCCTCTTCTCCTTCAAGCGAAGGGCTTGCCGCACCCGCCTACCCTGATCTTCACCGGCGCCACAGCCAGTCTCAAGGGGTCCGCGAACTTCGCGGCCTTCGCGGCGGGCAAGTTTGCGCTACGAGCGTTGGCGCAGTCCCTGGCTCGAGAGTACGGACCGAAGGGCGTACATGTGTCGCACGTTATCATCGACGGGGTCATCGACATTCCCAGAACGAAGGCCTGGACGTTCGAGCATGAAGATGCTAAGCTGGACCCTGAAGCAGTAAGAACTTTTCCCCCTCCCCTCACCGTTATTGACGACGAGAAATGAGGTGGCTGATCGGGATTTTAGATTGCCGAGTCATACTGGCATCTGCACACGCAGCCACGCACAACATTTGGCTTCGAGCTGGATCTTCGGCCATATGTAGAGAAATGGTGATCGCACGATGGCCACAATAGTTTGATAGTGATAGTGATTGATTGATATTTTTTAGCGCAATAGTATTATGCACCTATATCTCTTCCCCTCGGAGTAGCCTGCGCGTGAGCGGTGAAAACCTCCGTGTAGATCACTTGACGGAGGAAGCCCCGAGGACGGACTTGTCGTGAATAAGATGATGGTCTCATTAAGTCTCACTCAAGCTGATTGGCGGCCGCGCGGGGGTTAAAAGGCCAGATGAAATGGTATCTCGGATAACCAGGATGGAGACCTCGACTGTAAAACCTACGAAGCAGGAGCGCATGTTCTGTGCTCCATCCGCCGTACAACAAACCAGAGCAGCAAGATGCGATCCCCGATCCTCCTGGGCCTTGTCTCCTTGACATGCGCAGCAACAACTCTCATCCCCTCTCCTTGCTTCGACTCCTACTCCTCTCTGGAAGAATACTTCGCCTACCTGTACCCTTGGGGCTCAGACCATAATGGGTCCGCGCAGATGGGCGGCAACGCTTCCGAGCACGAGTACATCTCCATCGACTCGTGGGACGCTGGCGCTGGTCGCGAAGCCAGTTCGCGGCCAGCCTCCTACCAGCGGAGGGCTGGAGATCAATTATCTCCCCGGCGCGGTACACTCGGCCACCACCTTCACCGTCGAGGCCGGGTCAGGCTTGGATATCCAGGCTGAGTTCCAGGCTCCGGCGGGCCGGGGCACTTGGCCTGTGTTCTAGCTGAATGGGGCGGAGACCTGGCCGCCTGCGATCGATATGGCGGAGTGGAAGGGTATGCAACCGACATGTTCCTTGTTGCCCTTAAGAGATCGACTGACTGGTTTTTGCAGGGACCGGGGATATTAGTTTCAACACGTTCAATGTGAGCAGAATAGCGCTGTGAAGAGTGTTCTAATGTTAACCCGTCATCGCGCAGACGTCCTCCGAGGTGCAGGCTCTGGAGATCGCATACTCGTCCCCAGATGAGTTCCACAGCATCAGAACGGAGATCCGTGAGTGATGAAGACGGCAGCAACATCTCTGTCAAGTTTTACCTTGATAGGACGCTAGTCACAACCCAGTTCGCGGGTGACTATATCGGCAAGCCATTACACTTGTATGTCTTCCTGCACGGAATTATAGGCAGATGATCGTAAACTGACTGCGTAAAATCATCAATTTGCCGATGGAGGGATCGTCTGGGTCACCCGGCCCGAGGACAGGTGAGCATTTTCAATGAGGAGAGGTGAAAATCCACTGACTGAACAGATACTTATTACCGTATACGCAATGTCTCGTTTGAGCAGTGGAAGTGTGGTGAATAGAATGATTTGGTAGTCTACCATGGTGTTGCTAAGAGTATTCTTCCATTCCATCATACTGTGTACGTTGTAGAAGAATAAACAGGACATAAAATCGCTGCGAGATACCCCCGCTGACTAAGCTGCACAACGTCACCAACCAGCTAACCTCGAACTTGCAGCTCTCCGCACTTCATCACAACCCATTATTGCTGCTCATTCCCTATCATCCAACTCTACCAAAACCACCTTTATCCCCCCAAAATGACCATCGACGACGCCTCCTCGCAGGCAAACAACCCCTACGCTCCCGATGAGGGCCGGACGAGCTACACGCCAGGCCACATCCCACTCCCCAAACACCCGCATCTCGTCGTGAAGACAGAGCTGCTCGCCCGCCCAGACCCCTTCACGCTGTACTTCGGGTTCTTCGGGTCGCGGAGCTGGCAGGCGAACGCCGCACGCGGCCTGTCCGAGCGCGTCGACAATACGCAGTTCCTGCTCAACCGGCTCCCAACGCAGGACGAGCTGGACGCCTTCACCGTCTACAGTAGCCGGTACATCTACCACCAGCGCATGGGCGCGCCGATCGCGGGGTCGCTGTTCCTCGCGCGCGCGTACATGCAGGCGCGCAGCTCGGCGGCGCTGGCGCCCTTCATGCCAGGGCCGGGGCTGGCGGACGGCGCCAACGCCAACGCCAAGCTGACGCCGACGCCGAAGCAGGTCGTTGATGCGCTGCGGGTGTATGCGCGCGTGGACGCCGCGGGATTCCGGCAGGCGCTGGTGTTTGGTGGGATCAAGTGGGTTTTCTGGACGCTGGCTGGGACGGTCGCGTCGTCGATGTGGGCCCTGTTTCACGATACGCGCGAGTCGATGGCGGATCCGCGGTTGCGGCAGTTCATGGCGGAGTTGAGCCAGCACCCTCCCAAGGAGATGCGGAAGCGGAAGCTTGAAGCGGCGATGGAGATGCAGCGGCAGCGGCATAGCGAGAGGCAACAGAGGGATCTGGGTGTGGCGCGGGAGTCTGCGTCTGCGTCGGAAAGGGAACCCGAACCGGCGCAGATGGAGACGGGCCATGGTCACGGCCATGATCAGGGATACGGGGAAGGCAGTGAGGGCACTGGTGCCGGTGCTGGTGTTGGTGTTGGTGTTGGCGTTGGTGGCGGCAGCGGCAGCGGCTACGGCTACGGCTATAGTTCACAGGACGCAAACTCGTCCGCGAGACAGTCGGCTCCGTCTCCGCAGCAGTACGGCGATGCGAGCAGGGGCTCCAGCTCCGGCTCTGATTTTTTCGACGGCGATGACGCGAGCCCCGTGGCGGCCGACTATCGCTCGGAAGGGTTATCTGGACTGCAGGGCAGCGCCTGGGATCGGATCAGACAGCAGTCCGGCGCTGTCTCGCAGGGAAGGAGTAATCCTATTCTAGTCTCATCGTCACCGTCGCCGTCGCCACAACCGCAGTCGCAGTCGCAGTGGGGTTCCTGGAAGAACCAGGACCACAACTCTGCCGCGGCAGACAGCGAGCGACAGCAACGGGAGCAGGCGCAGGCTGAGTTCGACCGCATGCTAGAGGCGGAGCGGACTCTGGGCAACGAGGCGCCCGACGGTTCTGGCCAGAAGAAGGGGTGGGGGAGATGGAATTGATTGGCGTTAGATTGGACTGTATCACCACTTACTTGTTCATGTATTATAACTCGTATCGCATTACCTGAGTATATTTGAATGCATCACTTAGCGGGATCTCGCTGTGCAGCATTGTAGTACTATATCTACTTTTCTACCTCATCTACGAGTTGCAGCTTCGAATACAGGACACACGAAAGTGTTGCACTACTTGATGAAACGAAGGGGGCACAACTTTTCTTCGCCCTTGCGGGCCAGACTAGTCTTGGGAAGTCAAAACAGCGCGCTCGATACCAGGGATCATGATGCAAGAAATCACGCAAAGTCGGAGAAATTCAGAGGAAGAGCAGGGTATAGCGAGGAAAACTCATCTGCTATATGAAAAAACAAAGATTGCAAATCGTAAAGGAGGGAGGAGGAAAAGCCAATCAGAAGCTAATTAGGGTTCATGCAGTAAGTCATCAGTCATCATTCAGCATCAAACATCCAATGGAGCCCTGGAAAAGGGGAAAGAAAAAGAAAAAGCAAAAGAAATGTAGCGTATGAAGAAAAGAAATTCAAAAAATGACTCGAATATTCCAACTAGATCCGACTTTGCGACGTCTGTAAACTTTCATATGGCAGTGCAGACTCAGATGGGGACCCCCACGCGTCCAGGCCCCGGCTGTTGCTGCGCATGCGTGTTAGATTGCGTATCTTATGCGAGAAGCTCTCGTTGATGCTTTTGCCCCGTCGGTGTTCAAGCGACGTAGGCCGTCGCTCTATTATATGGTGCATCTCGCTGCCGATTGTGGGAGCCGCCGTCATGGATCGAGGGAGCAGTTGTCCCAGGTTCTCGTTGTCAATGGCAATGTCTATAGTTCCAGATGAGGCACGCGGAGAAACAGGCGCAAGAGGAACGGAAGGAGCAGGAGGTGGGGGCGGCGGGGTGTTGTTGAGATGCTGCAGCTCGGGTAGGATGGGAGGATGTTCAAACTCCCGCAGAACGGTACCGTCCTCGTTTGTCTCCTCGATACTGATGGCGACCGGAGACGAGCCGTAGGTTCCGGCTGCCAATTCGCGGGAACTCTCTCGATGATGGCCCGTACTTCGGTTCTTACTGGTCGATCGACTTTGGGGAAGGTGAGGGTTAAATCTCGGGTGGGTTGGCAGGTCCATGGGCATGGGCCCCGGTTGATGCTCCGGCACGGGAACTGACATGGAACGAACGATCTTTTCCGCTTCACCCTGGTACCTTGCATCGCTCAAGGTCAGGAAACTATCCGGCACGCTGGGCACGGACGAGACGGACTCTTCGTAACCGTTAGGGTATTTTGGATGCCGCATCGCTTTAGGAGTTGCCGGTAGTCCCATTGGCCCTCCAGATCGTGATGACCCTGAGTCCGAGCTACTAGGATACTCGGGCGAGCCCTTGCTCATTGACGCTCTTCGTCTTGCCGGGGTGCGCTGATTGATGGAGTTCCTCGTCACTGGGGGGCTACTCGGAGGGCTTCGTACCCGCTGCAGCTCCCCAGGAAACGGGATATTCGGCGCGGAGGGATTCCGCGCAAGCGAGAGTCGCCGGGCCTCCAACTCGGCGGCGGCAAGCTCCTTTCGTCTCCGATCGATCAGCCCCGGGATTGGCAAGGTTGCATTGCTGGCATTCTGAGCTTCGATGTAAATCTCTTGGGGTTCGGGAGCCACCTCATGTGCGTGGATGCTGATCTGAGCACTGCTGTCGGCTGCCAGCGTGTCCATATTTGTATTCGACTCATGCCCCTGGCGGGTGCGTGAGGTCGCTCGCGAGTGTCTGCTGTCGGGAGAGCCATCTCGCCGGGATCCAGCTACTTTGTCAGGACGGCGACTGCTACTGCGCTGGCGGCTCCGCAGCCGTTCTCTATCACTGGTCACCAGCCTTAGAGCGTCATCTGCCTGTGACATGGGTAAAGGGGAAGATGGCGATCTATCGCCAGAGCTCTGTCGGTCAACGCTGCGGCCCCGGTACGCATCGTTCTTGTCAGCAGCGACCCGGCTGGTGGGCTTTCGGCTGGTGGAACGATTCCCACGACGTTCGGATGAATGCCGAGAACGCGGTTTTCTCACCCGACTTCCAGTACGCGATTTAGAGGCGGGGGCCTTGGTTCCGGTGCTTCTGCTGTATTGGGCGATTTCTCCTGGAGACATGGGAACCGGAGAGGATGGTGATCGCTTGGCCGGTTGAATGTATCTTCTTTCGTTCTGACCACGAGTGGTATCCTGGGAAGTTGTTCGGGAGGTGATTCGCCGTGCTGAAGTCTGGCTGGCGTTATCGTCTGTGTTCCGTCTGCCGCGAGTGTATTTTCGCGAGTGGTAGTTAGCTTCATCGAGGCTGCTGATATACTGGTCAATGCTCCGGCCGCTCACGCTGGGGCTCTTTGCCGAGTTGTAGCTGTTCAATGTCGACGCCGGACTTCGAACATTGGCCATCGTGCTGCTGGGAGGACCAAGCATACCGCTGTCGGAAGCATCACTCTGGTATAGATTCAGCTGTAAGCCGTCCGGCTTTCGGTCTCTCGATCCGTTCCGACTGTCTGACCGCTCTTTGAGGGCTTCAAAAACTCCAGGCGCCGGAGAAGGGAGGCCCTTGATGCTGGCAAACTGGTCTGCGTGGTCTTGGACAGCAGTTTGCGGACTTGGTTTGTATGAGTCTTTGTCAGGGTCATACCTTGCAGACGACAGCAGAGATGGGCCCAGATCCTCGTCTTGCCTCTGGGATTCATCCTGGTGACCGTTGGCTTGCTCAGCTGATGAAACATACTCCGTGGATTTGCTGATACCATGCGGAGGGAATGAGGGCGGATGCACGTCTACGGGAGTCTCCCCGATGGAAGCTAGACGTCTTCTGGTGAAGGCAGGGGTGCCTGTTCTTGCGTTCATCGCATTGTTCAGACTTTGGATATTGTTCGCTCTGTAAGATCCAAGTCCCCCGGGAGATATAGCAGACCCTCCCACGGCGGATTCTGCGATGGGGGTAACCCCTGGAGCATTTGTGGGGGTTCTATCGTCCGACTTCAGACCCGGAAACCGGAATTTGTTGGGCTGGGGATCGAAAGAGGTAATCAGCTTGAGAGCCGGGGTCTTTAGATTAGGCCGATTGTTCGCTGGAACCTTGGGCTGGGAGTTCGCACGCAGAAAGTTGGATCCTTGAGATGGAGGTCGTGGCTCGGGGGACGTCATGGGCGATCTTCCGGAAATCATCTCTGCAAACGAGGTGGCTTGTTGAGCAGCCGGAGACATCCAGGGGTCCGACGGCTCCACACCGGTACACATAAAACAACGGATTGCAAGCTGTTGTTGAGCATGGGAAACAACATGCTCGCCCCATCGGCGGACCAAATATGACTGGCGCTGCCAATCCGCGGGAGTCAGAAGACAGGTCATCAGGATAGCTTCCATGTAGTAATTTTGCGAAACATAAACCTCGATGGCTTCGTTCTTGTCCCCGAGACCGAGCAAGATAGTAGCGGAAGTGTGTATATCGCCAACCTCGAGCAGCTTCTGCGCAAACGCTTGGCCAACTTTGTTTGCTTGGGATTCCCCCGTCATCTGGCTCAAAGCTACCAGCATCCAATCAGTAAGTGACGCTGGTCCAGCATCGATCATGGATGCCGTCTCGTCTGTGTCAGATCGGCCGAGCCATTGTGCTAACAGAATGGCACTATGACTGCTAGGAGGATGGCGGAATACTGTAAACAAGACGTCAGTGTTCTGGTACAAAAAGGCCCGATAAAGACCCATGACTTTGGCTTACATTCGTCTTTGATTAAGTCGTGTATATCGCCGTCCCATCCAAAGACGACACTGAGCATCTGTCGCCGAAGATCGTCCGGAGTAAGATGAGTCTCATCCAAGGGACGATGGCTCCGGTAAGGGACATCATTTAGCCGCGCGCGTGTGAACGGAAAAAGGTCTACGCGCTGCTCTGCCGGGCTCAGATGAACTTCGTTCCGCAGGCGGGACCCCGCACGAGAGCTCTTGACGGACGACATCGACACTGAAGAGGCATAGGCGTAAGATGCCCCGGAGGGTTGGGGGGTTTCCCGCCCACTCGCCGAAGTGATCGAGAAAGAAGTGCCTGTTTGCCCGGACCTACTCGGTGGCGAGAATGGTACCACCCTATACTTTCCCGATGATGCCTTGGAGCTGACCGAATTAGCATGGCTCCGGGATGAAGCCGGACTTCCTATCTCTGCACGTTGCTGCCGGACCGCGTCTATTCCGCTCTGATCAAACGGGGCGTGTCTGCTACCATACAGGGGGCCTTGCTCCCTGAGGTCCGGTGCATCTTGTAGGACGCGTCCGGACCGCTCTGCTGAGGCAGTAGAGAGAGGACGGGGAGGAAGGTGCTGCACATTGGCAACCATCCCCGGGTTTTCCAGGTCATACTGCTGCACTGTATGGTTTGGTCCCAGGGTGAAAAGCGTGGCGGTGGGGCCATAACTTGCGAAACCCCGGGGGTTGTCTATGGTCGGGATCGGCTCGTAAGTAACATGTTTCGTTCTGACATCCCACGCCCATGTCTCTCTGTACGTAGTGGGGTTAGTGCTTGGGGGCTGGCAGAAGAAAGAATAAGCCGCAACACTCACCCGTCGAGGTACTGCACAATTCGCCCATTCTTGGACCAGGCCATCCATTTCGGCTCCGAAGACGAAGGATCGGATCGCTTGAGGAAACGAATGACGCGAGGAGCCTCTTTACCGGGTGGCTTTGCGACGCTCCACACCCGCAGGTCTCCGTTGAATGATAAGGTTGCAAGCATGTCGGACTTTTGCTTGGACGACGATGCATGCCATGCTAACGAGACGATGGGAGAGGGACCGCGAGAGGTCGACATCGTATGTAAGATGGTGAAGGTAGGATGGAGGGTGGCGATCAAGATAGAACCATTTTGATAACTGAGTTTCACTGTCAGTTGGAAGAGTTCTCCTCCGCAGCATCCTGTCCTGGGTACATACCCAATAGCATATGTGCGGCAGTCTGATGCCGGGGCCAATGCTGTAATAGGGTCAAAGATGGTCCGTGTCGAGACATGCTCCGAGGTGGATGGTTCAAAAAGAACAACATCGCCCTTGCCGTTTCCTTCATAATCATCAGCGGGGGGGGGTTTTGCTAGTCAAGAAATGGATCCACGGCTGTCCTCACCAAACGCTACGTTGCCATTGCGCATCCAGGCTGCGACCCTCAGATGCTCGAATGCCGCAAAGCGAGCGAGCTCGGCTCCCGTGAACAAATCCCACACAATGGTTGTCTGTCCCTGATCATAGCTCGCAACCAGCCTCCCCGCACCTCGTTCGCTGACATTGTCGACAGAGATGAATGAAATATCGGCCTTGTGGTGGTCGAACTTTCGTTCGAGGGCCAGCGTGTCATGATGCAGGCAATTTATCACGGAGCCTTGGGCGTAGAGGAAGAGGGACGCCGTGGAGGCACATGGTTCGAAGGTTGTTTCCGGCGCCTGGGATTGCGGCGTCGGGGGCGCGATGGGAGGCGCCATTGACTTGATTTTGGTCGGTCGAGATTCGGGAATCGGATTTCTGTTCCATGTCAATTCGACCATGCTTGAGTGCGTCGCGGTCAAGTATCTCGGGATGGGGAACGATGGGTGAGGACGGATTCTGACGGTCCCCTCCTTTGTCGTGCCGCTGGTCGTACAACCGCGCTTATAGGACTTGTGATGCAGGCTCGGAATGGAATTGGACAGGTTTGCAATTTTATCAATCGACGAGACTGGACAAAGATACGTATTGTCGGACAGTGGCAACGATCATCGGCATTCCCACCACAGCATCTGTGGCACTTGACGAGTAGTCCGACAACCCACTTCTTAGGTATCGAATGGATGCGTCCAAAGGAACAGGAACGATGCGAGATCACTGGAATCCGATGCAGCCAGCTTGAGTTAATACCAAGCTTTCGATCTCGAACATGGAGACATGAAAGATTAGCTGTTTGGAGAAGGAGAGGAAGCGAGAATGAGGTCCGACAAGGCGGGCCGGGGCTATCGGTACACGGCAGGGACGAGGGAAATGGGGTAGATCGAGACAAGTAAAAAAAAAAAAAAAAAAAAAAAAAAGACAAGAAGCTAGGTAGAGCAGTGATAGGTAGAATTGACCAGTCCGGGAAACCAACGAGGAGTGTGATGGATGATGGGATGGTGAGGGCCAGCAACCCGCAAAATCTTTCGCAGCTGCAGGAGACGAACAGGGAAGAGCAGACACTAAGCGGGCCACCACGTTGGTAGTCGCATATGATAATAGAGGGGGAAGAGGGAAAAAAAAAAAAAAAAAATATGGAATCACACAGAGATGGGGGAAGAAAAGGGAATCATGAGAGAGATCCTAGCGACGAAGGGTGAGGGATGAGAGCAGGACGATTTAGACTCGACTATGACGGTCTGCTTCCTCTGAGTTCTGATGATAGATAGACATGACTCTTCCCATCCAGCTAACCAGATAGAAAGACAAGAGTATAGCTACGAAACATATTCCATTAAGGCGGCAATCCAAGGTGATGCCAACTCTCCAGCCACCAAGCACTCAGAGCACGCGCCAAGGGCAGTTGACGGCGCTTCGTCTGAGCGAGGCATGACTTGATTAGCGGAGAAGCAGAAATGAGAGGCAAAAGAAGTATCCAGTAACCTGTCGAGTTGGTCGATGGGTTTCGAGACGCCAAGGGAGAGCGAGAGACTAGCGAGTATCTATCTCTCGATCTAGCGATGGAGTGAGATGAGACCTCGCGATAGATGAGTTGATACAGAGTTAGGTAGTTAGGCGAGTGTAAAGTGTAGTATGTAAGGTATTTGACTACCTACCGTCACAAGAGGCAGATGAGGACCAGGCAGGCAACCCGATGCGGGTGGTCTACATCCTTAGTTCTTAGTAGTACCCAGTAAATACCTAGTAGGTGGCAAATCCTATGCCTAGTATGTGTACCTAGTTGGTGGCCTGATAAATAATGATAACTACAGTAAGTACTAAGTACTGTTCGAAACTTCGAATATAGGTAGTTAAGGTAGATAGTATGTGCCAGCTGCGAGATTGCTGCAGGTGAACAAGACGGTGGTCTGTCTGGGATGGGAAAGTTTTGACCACACAGCCAATCAGCGGTGTCCAGGGTGTACGGTAAAAACATTTCGAGATGGATTCTGCAGGGATGAGTGGGATCCTCAGCAGTGATTGGCTGGAAGCAGGCGACAAAAGAAAAAGGCGTTTCTTCACGCTGCAGGTCTCATCACCCGTCCAGCCAATCACCGGCCAGACCAGCCCTCTTCTCTGTCTTCTCTTCCCCCCCTCAAGTGACCTTCTGGGCGCGTTTTTGAGCACATTCGAGTTCGATCACTGGATCACCGGGCCAATAGCAGGCACAGACCTGTTTTCCAGGAAGAGACGGAGTCACGGGAGAGTAGGGAGACTGAGCGGGACAATACCTTACCTATCATACCTAGGTACCTAACTAGGTAGTAGGTACTGGTAGCAGTATACTTGCTGGATACCAGTCAATCTGGTAGGTACCTACTATGATATATGGACTGGACCTATAAGATGGATTGAAGCACCATACGGAGGACATCCCAACAAGAGGCACAAGTGCCATGAAGCAGCAACTGTTGTATTGTCGGTCGTATATTATTCTTGTTGACTTCCATGTTGTCTGTATCAAAATCAGCTAGGTTCGAGGATGCTGTGTTACTGAGAAAACAAGCACTTGCAGTGATCTACCTCAATTGTGCACTCAGATGGAGATGTTCCCATGCAGTGCTGTAGTGATCTGAGTACAGCTACAGCTACAGTAGTACTACCCCAAATAATAGAGTTAAGTCCTACTAGGTGATGAAGACATGGTATAATTTACTGTCACTTGGTCTATCGATATAACTGTACAGAGTGCAGCTTGTACCTACTACCTAGTTACTACCTTACTACTAAGGCGGGGCCGTGCTGACAAGAAGTCTTGACTCTGGACGGTCAGATTTTAGTGGGGTCCAAGCGACGGTTGAACTGTCATGTCAAAAGCTCCGATATTCGCAACAAAAGCAACTAGGTACCATTGTTTCCTAGGAGTTGACACGGCGCAATTGGGATTCACGTTTGGTCAACCTTCAGACCATCCATCACACCCCCTCTTCTGCTATCAGACTCCGATCACGAGATGACAGAAGAAGAAGAAGAAGCATCAGAATGGCACGCCTGGGATTTCTCTTACCGAATCACGGGGATCAGCTTGTCTCCGTCTATCGGTAGTAGTCGCTCTTAATATATTGTCGATTCGAGTTCCGCCTGCAAGAACGAGGTGTTTGCACCACCATCGTCTGACAGTCACATTCATCACCTCACAGCTTGATCGTCACAGTCCAAGATGAAGAACGGAACAATCGTAGTCATCGGGTATGTCACTCCCTGACTCTTCTCTCCTCCCCCCCCTCCCTCCAATAACCAGCCACTGATCCTTCCCAGATCGGGCGTAATCGGACTCTCCACAGCCCTCCACATCCAAGAACACCTACCCCGATCGCAGAAGATCCTCATCACCGCTAGAGAATTCCCCAATGTCACCTCACTGAACTACGCCTCGCCCTGGGCCGGTGCCCATTACCGCCCCGTGCCAGGGTCCTCCGCGCAGGCCGCGCGCGAAGAGAGCCAAGCCCGTCGCACGTACGGATACTTCAAGCGGCTCGCTGCCGAGGACCCGTCGTCCGGCGTCCAGCTCATCGACGGCGAGGAGCACCTCGAGGCTCCGCCGCCCGAATACCTCGATACAGCTCTCATCCACCACTTCTACGCCCATCTCGACGGCTTCCGCCTGCTGACGGCCGGCGAGACGCCCGCCGGCGTCAAATGGGCCGCACGGTACCGCACCTTCGTGATCAACCCGCCCGTCTACTGCGCCTACCTGCTCCGGAAATTCATCCTGAACGGCGGGCAGGTGCAAGAATACACGCTTGTCGACCCGATGGAGGCGTTCCAGATGGCCGACAACGTGCAGACGGTCGTGAACTGCTCCGGGCTGGGCTTCGGCGATCCCAAATCGTTTATTATCCGCGGTGTGTGCCCGTGACCCTTCCCCCCTCACCAACTTTCCACCCCCCCCCCCCCAAAAAAAAACTCCGAACCAGCGGTTCCTTGTTTTCCAGCTAACACACCCATCCCAGGCCAAACCTGTCTCGTCCGCAACCCGTGCGCCGCCACCGTCACCCGCCAGAACTCCGACGGCACCTGGTCCTTCTGCATCCCGCGCCCGCTGGGAGGCGGCACCATCATCGGCGGCACCAAGCAGCCGCGCGACTGGACCCCGCACCCGTCGCCGGCAACGCGCGCGACCCTCCTCGCCAACGCGGCGAAATGGTTCCCCTTCACCGCGGAGAGCGGAGGTGAGTTCGACGTCGTGCGGGATATCGTGGGCCGGCGGCCGGCGCGCGAGGGCGGGATGCGGATCGAGGCGGAGAAGGTCGGCGAAGAGCGGACCATTGTGCATGCGTATGGGGCTGCCGGGCGCGGGTATGAGTTGTCGTGGGGGGTTGCGCAGGATGTGGTGCAGCTGATGGTTGAGAATGGGTTGGTGCAGGAGAAGACGTCGTTGTAATGGCCCATGCAGAGTAATCTACAGCATCCTAAACCTACCCCGAGAGCCCAAATGCTATGCACAGCTGCTCCTCAAACATAATACTCTGGCTATGGCTTAGCTATTTGGTGGGAAATAATCCAGGGAAAGGCGGAGAGCGAAAGCGAAGCATTGATATGATGCCTATGTAAACGCTAAATCTAATAATAAAAAAAAATGAATCATTTTCTACGTACAGAGAGAGCCCGACACCGGCAAAACAGTGCCACCACTCTGTTGTTCTGCGTCCACTCATCCGTCCCCATCCAACATTGCTTTTTTGGCTCCAGATCTTTGGTTTTGACCGTCTGCTGTGGCTGTTGCTGATTCCCTGGTCATGCTCGGCGCATGCAAAGCTTGACATGAAGAAACATCGAGGAACTAAGGAACTAAGGCAGCCGAGCCCCAACGTCCAACCGGCAGATATCATTTCAGTCCTGGATGGTCGGGAGCAGCGCCGGTTGGGTGGGGGAAGGGAGGCAAGAAAAACCACAAATAACCAACAGCGCTGCTCATCGAACCAATCCCATCAAACACGAAACACCCCAACACGGGGGGAGCCCGGGCATCCGGCTGGAAAAAACGAAACACCCCATTCCAGTGAGGCAGGTGCCGTGCCCGACTTGCGGGGCCCAAGTTGTCAGCATCTTGGGGAGGGGTGTGAGTCCGCGGGTGGTCGGCTCAACCCTCGCCTTCGAGCGCGACGGCCTCGTCGGCCGAGACCACGGGGATCGGCCCACCGTTGAGTCGCGCGAGACGCTCCTCCTCTTTCCTCTCACGGAGGCGCTCGGTCTCTCGTCGCAGGGCTTCCAGGTTCCATGTGCCGTCGTCCTCACCCTCCTCGTCGCTCTCGTCCTCGGCGCGCCAGTTGCCGCTCTCGAACAGGGCACGACCGGTGGCTTCCTTAGCCTTGCGCGCTTGTTCCTCCGCGGCCTTCTTGTCCAGACGCTCCTTCTTCCACTTGGCGAAACTCTCCGGCGTCACGGGCGTCAGGTTGCCCGTGAGCTTGTGGCGTTCGGATTCGAGCCAGTCCTCGAGGGTCAGCGTGTTGAGCGGCGACTTGTCCATCAGGGCCTTTTCGGCGGCTCTCTGTTCCTTCGTCTTCAACACGAAACTACAACATATTGTTAGCTGGAATCACAATTGAGGGTATTGGAAAAGAAACATACCCAGGCGGCAAACTATGCTTGTACATGCACTTGTCACCTCCATTAGGACAAACCCAGAACCAACCGTACTTCTGGTTCTCGACCGCCTCGATGAAGTACTTGCAGACCTTATCGGTCGTTGTCCGAGGATTACCGTGTTTGCTGAGAACGACGGTGCGGAGCTTCTCCTCGTCCCACTGGTCCATGGTATCGCCTTTCTTCTCGTCCTCTGTTTCTCGGGAATCGGTGTACAGATCCTTCTTGGCGGCCTTTCGCTCCACATTCGGGTCATGGCTGAACTTGCACTTGCGACCCTTCTCGCAATTGCCCTGCTTGAAGAACACACACAGCACGGTCTTGGGGTCGACACCGAAAGGAACTTTCTGGACCTGGACGGGCTTGAAGAGTTCGGCGGTCTCCTTCTTCGCTAACTCGGCAGCCTTCTTCTCGGCTTCGCGACGGGCCTTCTCTGCTTCCTTCTTTTTGGCGTCGGCGGACTTGTTGTGTGCGGCTTGGGCCTGGAGCTGTGCGATCTGTTTCTTTGCGGAAGAACCTTTTTTCTGCGAGGATGGTCAGCCGAGCGAGTCCACGCTCCGTTAAATCCGATCTGGTAGATTTTGTAAACGTACGTTTTTCATGCCAAAGGTCTATCGACGAAGAGTGAAAAATGTTAGCGATTGTTTCTGGACATCCACAACACAGCCCCGACTCGAGGACGAACCTTGTCTTCGACAGAGGCCTTCTTCTTCTTGGCCGGCTCAGGCTTCTTGGGAGGCATGGTGGCGGTATTTTCTGAATTATTTTATCGGAAACTGTAGGGTATAATAGAAGGACACAACCAGGCTGCGCAACGGTGGCGGGCCAAACTGCTCAGTCGATGTGCGTGACTGAGCAAGCCAAATAGGGCTAAATGTATAAAGGAAGGACTAAAAAAGAGGAAGAGGGTCAATCCAAGTGCCTAAACAGACAGATGTATGTTGACACCTCAGATGCGACAAAGGCAACGATCGTGAAGAGAGGTGCAAGCAGAGAAGTGGGTGGTGGACAAGAACATGAAGGCCCTCCACATTTTCAAGATGAGTGAGTGATGTGGGTTTCCAGAGAAATGTGGCGGCACCACCTTCTCTCCGCCAATGACTTTTCGACGCCCAGAATGCGGTCGAGCAAACCGACCCTCGAGTCTTGTTGGATCAACTGCTGGGTTTCAAGCCTTGCAGATGCCCATTATTAATCGCGGCCGTCAACCGAGGACAGCCTGATTTTGTCGCTTTCGAGAGATATCAGCCGTGCAGGTCGGTCAATGCTGGCGCCTAGGCGGCTCAGGGCCTCAAATGTCACATCACTTGGGACTTGATATCGCATCAAGAGGTGTCTTTGAACTGATCCCGAGTCTTCGGGACTCATTCTAGCTACGGGTAATATCAAATCTATCGTTGACTTGCTACAGAGGTACTGGCTCAGCAAAGAAGCCCACTAATAATGCACAGAGAGTCAGAGCACCATGAAGAGCACAGGCGAAGCGTATCTCATCATATCATTCGGAAAGGTTTCGGTATCATTTGGGTGATTAACCACTATAATGACCAAATGTCCTGAATCCCTCCCGATCAATCTCAAAGTTATACTGGATCACAGCGTTATGGTATAGCCAGAAATGAGCAATACTCATTCGTCGTTGAGCAATTTTCATTCATTACTAGTTGGTTTTGTGTGTGTTTTGTTTTCAGTGACCGTCGCGCTTCAGAACTAAAAATGACGATTCACGACAATTTAAGACACCTCCTGGATCTTGGGGGTCTTGACCTCGCCCTCGAGCTCAGGCATCTCTTCATCCTAGACCGACTGTCAGCGCCTATTCAGGTTTTTTTTTTCTTGTGTCGATGCACCAGGAATACATACCTCCTCCTCAGCACCCTCGGCACCTTCAGCGCCTCCGAAACCCTCGGCACCGCCCAGGCCCGCACCGAGCTTGGAGAAATCAATGTTTCCCAGACCACCCTGGTCGAGACCATCGAACCCACCGAAGTTGTTCGCATAGTCATCATCAACGGCCTCGTCTTGCTCGTCCTCATCAACCCACTATATTCCGTTAGTATCAGACCTTCAAGAGTTTGCAGGATATGATGTCATACCTTATCGAAGTCCGTCTTCAGGAAGTGAAGTCTCTGAGTCGTCTTGACAAGGCGGGGCCAGTACTCCTCCTTCAGCTCCTTCTTCCGCAATACAAGCTCGACCTCGCGGTCGGTGTGGTTGACCTTGCTGTTCTCGGGGTCGATCTCGCCATAGAGGTCCAAGGACACGTGGTATTTTACGCCCTTCTTGGATTCTCCGGTGAACGTGACATTAGTCGGGGTGATTGTGAGCTCGGAAGCGGACTTCGGAACATCGGGAGTCTTGAGGCTGACGTAGAGGTAATTGCGCTCAGGGTCCGAGTCGGATGAGCGCTGAGCCCATGTGACTGCAACGACGCTCTGTTAGTAAACATAATTATCGCAATGGGCTCGCGAGCACGATTTTCATTCGAAGTCCCCTAGGATACTGGAATTGCCCGCCCGGTGATTGTGTTGCAATTGATGCATGAGGCCAGAAACGTGAATCAAAGCGGGGAAGTGGGAGTGAATGCAAGCTCACATACCTTCGGGGGTGACTTGAGGAACTTCAGGCATGTTGAAAAGAAGTAGTTGGGATACTGTGAGGGAAAGAGGATGAGGAAGAGTGACAGATAGCCAAGTGTATTAGTGCAGTGGTGAAGGGGGGAGGGGAATGAAAGAGCTTGGGGACCGAAGAGGTTCTGATGATGAATCCAGCCCTCTGAGGTTACTTTAGCGCAGCTGCACTCCAAAAGGTGGAAAAAGTGGTGCTAGAAAGTACTGGAACTGTCTTACTAAGTTACTACACGCTGACCCAACCGTTTGCTCTGTTTGCGGTATCTGTGCTGCCTGAGGCTGCTCGTTTGTTTTCCAACCAGGATGCACGTCACTCTCTATGACTAAGCACAGTCTGGGCGCCCCGTTTGGTGGTGTTGGTTCCTCCAGGCACTACTACTACTGAGTCGAAGCGACGATAAGGACGCAGGCTTTCACGCTCCTGATTTAGATGTCATAGTGTTAGCTCTATTTGTCCTGACACGATCGTTCAAATAACCCGCTTATCGACCACACTCCTGCTGCTACAATCTGGTGTACGGTCTACCGGTTCGATACTTCGATACCCCACTTCGTCTGACGATCCATATCCCCGGTCACAGGAGTACTTTGATGCCTTTTGCGACAATCTAATTTACGACGCCTACGGGGGCGTGAGAGCCTCTACTGCTACATACCATTCGACCCATTATACCCACTAGCGAGAGAATCCTGTCAAGAGAGGTTTGACTACGGACAGAATCGCCCACCATGGAGACCCTCAAAGCCGTCTTCTTTGGCCCTGATCCACAGGCCCAGGTACGTTTCCAGACTCCAGCAGCCATGCTCCCAAATGCTAAATGCGCTCCGGCCATCCGCAGATGCGGAAATGTAATCAACTCATCAGAGCCAATACCCGCCAATTGGACCGCGACATCGCTCAACTAAGAACACTGGAAAGCAAGACCCGCCAATACATTGTCAATGCGTCGCGGAGGGCTCAGCGGAATCCCTCGCAGGCGAAACAAGCCACCACTGAGACCAAGACATTTGCCCGAGAACTGGTCCGGATCCGCAAACAATCCGCACGTCTCACAACCAGCCGGGCCCAGCTCCAAAGCGTGCAGATGCAGGTGAACGAGGCTTTTTCGATGCGGAAAATCCAAGGGAGCTTGAAGACGTCGGCGGGGATCATGAAAGACGTGAATACGCTGGTCCGGCTACCCGAGCTGACGGGGACGATGCACCAACTTGCGACGGAATTGGTGCGGGCGGGTATCATCGAAGAGATGGTCGATGATGCGATCCCCAATAACGAGCTGCTGGAAGATGAAGAGGATGAAGCCGAGGCAGAGGTTGACAAGGTTCTGCAGGAAATCCTGCAGGGCAAGCTCTCCCAGGCTGGAGATGTCAAGGTCGAGGAGCCTGTGGAAGGAGAGCCGGTCATCGAGGAACAAATGGAAGACCAAGAAGCAGCTCTCGAGCAGATGCGCGGTCGTCTAGAGGCTTTGAAGAGTTGATCTCCCCGACACGGACATGCTTGGCGAATGTTCTCTTGAGAATTTGTAATTGAGTCATACAGAGGGGGTGCTTGTTCGACGTGTTTTTAATGTTCTAGGAATGGTGTTCAGGAGGGTGTGTTTGGGCGTTTCTTCTTTTTCTATGTTTCTTGACTTGTTACACATTTTGTTACAAGGCTGGACCTAGCATCAATTGGTATACAAATACATGATACACTGCTCCTCCTCCATTACCCTTGCCTGTGGTAGTACTGTTTATATATCTTTGAAAGTTGAATACTAACTAACAACAGCCCATCGTCAATTCCACAGTAGAGAAACAAATACTGTCATGGACATCTCTCTATTCAACTACTCCCTTCAATCGGATATGGTCTTCTACTATATTTAGTGTTGAGAGTGGAAGCATTGACGTCCATGAACAATGGAGAGTTGCTGTTTGTTGGGCTCAAAAGCGGATGCCTCAGGCCTCAAGAGACATCCCGCCTCCCAATCCGGGTTAGCGTCAAACGGGACTCAGCCTCCTCCTTCTCTTCTCTCTCAGCGTCCGCCTTCGCCCTGGCGTAACTTCCCATCATCCGTCAATCTCAACGCCCAACTTCCTGCATCACATTGTTCATCGAGACGTCCTTCTCTCGAAGCTATCCATCAAGACAACATCTCTTCAATCTGTAGCTCGAGCTCATTGGCCATCGCCTGCAGCTTTTGAGCAAGTTTATCCTGCCCTATTCCGCGAACCACACCAGTGGCGCAACACACTCGTCACGGTCGCAATCCGTGAAACTTCTCGTGTCTCCGAGCTCTAGCCCTTCTCCTAATCAATATTCCAACATCAGCAACAATGTCCGGCAAGCTTGACAAGTCTCTCGACGAAATCCTCGTCAACCGTCGTCAGAACGCGCGCCGCCGCACCCGGCGCCCAGCTGCTTCGAAGCCTGGCAGTGCTTCGGTCCCGGTCGGAGGAGTGAAGAAGAATGCAAAGCCCACCAAACCCACTGCAAAGGGTGTTCAGGGTGGACACCCCGTTTCCTCAGAGAGCAAGATCATGGTCAGCGGCTTGGTAAGTTCCACAAATTCCGGTATAGCTCTGATCTAGTGCAGTTTCACTAACTGGTGCTAGCCTTCCGATGTAAATGAGGGCAATATCAAGGTATGTTGATCGAGAGGCCTTCGCCTTGGCTTTCTATCGCCACGTCTGTTTTTCGAGACCGTTCGAGGCGTCAGCGGCCTGCACTCGCGTTCGGATCCTCTACACGTCCCTGCTACAACCTCCTGATGGGGTCTGCAGCACAGGCACTACTCCTTCCCATCTTTGTTTGGCAGACTACAAGATGGTTGAGGTTGAGTTTTGCTGAAGTCTAGCGAGCGAAGTGTCAGCTTGGAAAGCGGAATTGCCATTCCTGCACTTCTGCCACCTAGCCACGCCGCAGACTGTGCTCGGGAATTTTCTTGGTGCCTGTTATGGCCATCATCCTAGTCTCCGCCACGCGTTGTTATTCTCATTACAACGATGGGGCATCAGCGAGCGCATTAGCATACAGCAGCATCACACAAGGCTTTGCAATGAATCATTATTCCCCATGGGGCACCGTAGTTCCTTGTGAAGTGTGTCAATATACACGGGCATGCGACACACTCTCAATGGAACTATTGGCGGGGATTAGCAGCCGGGTCAATTCTCCCATATGAATCATACTTCTATATATCATGCTGTCGGGGCGCGTGGGTGCGTGCAGCGGAACATTCATGTTCTTAGCCATATTGCCAAGAATGATTGGAATTGCTTCGGTGACATGCAGTCATTATTGGACCTGCGATATGGATATCACTATGCTGGTACCGCGCGCATTTCTCAGCCAATGATTTTCAAGTTCGACCAGTTCATGAGGGATAGCTATTGTTTTGGGATTTTTAGTGGGAAATACCGTGATGTGGAAGTCAACATGGATTGCACAATCATTTTGGCACGGAGATTATACGATTGTGATGCCGAAGAAGGGTATCATTAAATGGATATCGCGGACTAACGCTGTGTGCTCGCTGATGCTCGTTGCTATCGTGTTTGGGGCCGTTGTGCGCTTTTCTTTCGGGATTTCGTTCATGCCGCCGTTGTCTCCAGGTCGCTACCGCAATTTGACCGCATTACTGATAACTTTTTTCCTGCTTTATAGGAATATTTCACAAAATCCGCAGGTCCCGTTAAGCGCGTCATGCTCACTTACAACCAAAACGGCACTAGCCGCGGCATTGCTTCGATTGTCTTCAGCAAACCCGACACAGCTGCCAAGGCTGCTAAGGACTTGAACGGATTGCTTGTTGACGGACGACCTATGAAGGTTAGTTTTATGGCCGTGCATGGATGTTATTTGTCACTAACTCTCCATAGATTGAGGTTGTAGTTGACGCCTCTCATGCTCCCAGCGTTCCCGCACCCAAGCCTCTCGGCGAGCGTGTCGCGTAAGTCTCAGTAATGACCACTCAATGAGTGCTTGCTAATATCAAGAAGTCAAGTCAAGTCCCAACCTAAGCCCGCTACTGCGGCCAAGACCGCCGCCGCTGCTCGAGGACGTGGACGTCGCGGCCGCCGTGGTGGCGCTGCTGCTACTGGCCGTACCTCGAACCGCCCTAAGCAGAAGACTGTAGAGGAGCTTGATGCGGAGATGGTTGACTACTTCGCTGGCAATGAGAACGCAGGTTCCGCTGATGCCAGCGCACCGGCAGCTGCTAACGGTGCTGCTCAACAGCCTGCCGCCGGCGGCGAGGATCTTGGAATGGCTGAGATTTCTGTAAGTCTTTCATTCCTCCTAGCCTTCACTCTCCCCAAGTACCTAATTCTTTGTGCAGTGAATTCAACCGTGAGTATCTTGGGTCTCGGGTCTCGAGAAGTGGCAGGTCACTTCTACGTTGATTGATCAGATCGTCTACTTGCCGTTGTTTCTCAAGTGATATCACCGTTTCGGGTTTCTCCTTTTCCCTGCACTGTTTCTTTCAACTTTTTTTGTTTCATTCCGGCATTTTTTTTTTCCTTTTCCTAATGTGATTTTTTCCGTTCTGTCTTACGAGAAACTTCGAGCAAGTTTGAATGTATGCAATAATATCATAACGAGCTTGGTTTGACTGCAGCGTATCCTCTTAAAACTCGACCAGGCCCATCTTCATGACCGCATCGCATGGACATCGACCTTCACCATGCTCCTTCTATGACGATGCCTCAAGTCCATGTTCCATTCGGAGGGCCAAAATAACCAACATCCGGCACCGGTTTCCACGCTACGCCCTGCGCATCCGCCGTGTTGAGATACACCGTATTCCCCCACCAGTTTGGAAACACGGCGCCTGGGTACGAGATACAGAAGAAGATGACAATTCCACTGAGCGCCAAACCAGTATCCAGAGCCGCCGCGAGGACGTAGTTATATTTCGTCCACCAGGCAAAGAACCGGCGCTTGATGACATGATTGAAGGCGAAGTTGACGAGCGCCCAACTTGAGTAGTTGATTCCGGTTGCTGTGAGCGAGCGATATTTGGTTAGCTGCTTGAACTTATTATTATTAATACAAAGTGGGAACCGGACTTACCTGGAGGAACGTTCCACGTGCCCACGAAGATCAGCGGCCAATTGATGGATTTGAAGATGCCGCGTTTCGTGTACTTGTAGAGGAGGTATGTGACTATTGGGGCGAGGGCGCCAATCCAGAAGAAGTGCAGGAGCGACGAGTAGATCTGACCCGCTGAGTAGAGACGGCGTGGACCGACGAGACCCCAGATGACGGAGGAGGAATAGACGGTCCGACCGTTGGGGCAGGAGAAGCCGTCCGGCTGGTCCTGGGTGCAGATGTCGTCGATGTTACCGAGCATCCACAGGGTGACGCCGACCTGGGTTAGGGCGCCGAGGATGGTGGCGGTGCCCTGGGCGACGAAGAGCAGGCGCGGCGGGATCTTGAGGTAGTGGCCGAGCTTCATGTCCATGGCGAAGTAGACGCCTTGGCCGACGACGTCGGTGCTGAGGATCTTGAAGAGCATGTTTGCTAGCGGCTTGCCTTCGAACATGTAGCCGCCGATGAACTCGCTGAGGACGTTGAGCTGGTTCGCATCGACGTTGGTGATGCCCTGGACGATGCCGCAGGGGACCATGTAGATGGTGGGGACGACGAGAGCGAGGAACACACCGTAGACAGGGAGTTTTGTCTCGTAGACCTCGGCTAGCATGATGGCGATGGCGGTCATGACTACGATGACGGCGGCGTACCAGTACCAGGGAGTCCGTTTGTAGGTTCTCATGAGCCGAGCGTGGATGTCTAGCCTATTATTCCCTCGGAGGGCTGCCCAGATGTCGTCCTTGTGCCACACGGCGATGTGCGTCAGCACCGATGTGATAGATGCAAAGGCTAGTCCGTAGACGAACGCGAAGGTGGCACCGAGATATGGAGGCGAGTACTGCCTGTATGCGTCGATGTCTAGACTGTTCTGCGGACTGACAACACGGGTTGTATTGTAGACCGCGGCAGTACGGTCGTAGACATCTGCAGTCATCATAGGAAGATACGCCGTGTACCATGTATTGGTGTAGTATAGAATCGGGACGACGAGCCAGAAGAAGACGGCAAAGCCGGCGAAAAAGTTCACGGCAGCCCAAGACGGGGACAGAAGGGGGTTTGTGTTGTAAGCCACCTGACTCCAATCAAACGTGATGGGACTCAGCCCGAGTCCGGTCTGCATCCCGAACAGCTGATTGACAACCACATTGTTGGGCACGATCCAGCAGATCCAGGTGAAGTACGAAAGTGCTGTGAATATCAGACCGGGGAAAAAGTACCACACGAACCCCATAGTCGTGACACAGAGGAAGAAACGTAATCGAGAAATCTTCCACCCGTCTGCAACCGAGTTGGCCCGCGAATGAAGAGTTTCCAGCATGGCGCAGTTGGAGAGAACTGCTGGCCAGATGATGCTGGCAGGCTCTACGAGCCACGGCGCAGCCAGTCCAGCAACTCCGAAGCCCAAAAGCTGTGCGCAGATGACGACCAGGACGGAGAAACCTGCCTTAAGACCGAAGTTGTAGAAATTGGGGCTAGCGGCCTGGATGATATTGGTGGCATCGGCACTGCCGTACCCAAAAGAGACGTTGCTCATGATCACGATGATGGCGTGTTCCTTGATGTTAAAATGACGATCGGGATTCAGGGAAAAAGAGCCCAGCCATCCACAGTGTATCGTCAAGATAGGTAGTACTCTAGCAAGAAAGACGCCACATGGATAAGCGAGTAGTTCAGCCACAAGCGACACAATGTGTACGGATGGATATCGCAGAGAGAAGAATTGATTAATCCCGGATCCTAGAATCGTGAAGACAACCCCGAGTATCCACATTCGGAGTGTGTTACAGGCATATGTGGATCATCGGTCTCAGGAACAACTGCTCGCACTGTTGGAGTCAAGCGAATCAGCTCAGGGTCCTGACGCCGAAGGGCATTCCGAGATATATACCTTCAGCAAAAGGGGAATGCTCTGCTTCATAGGTATACTCCTGATCCTCTTTCAACGTGGAGTCAAGGTTCTCCCGAAGCTCATCCAAACGACCGATTTCTACTTCTGCATTTTCCTCGACAGGCAAAGTCTTGAGACCGAAATCCGGTGCTTGCTCTTTCGAGGCCATGATGATCGACCACCGGCTCGTTCTGATACTGCCAAGTTGACAATTGACATGAGAGGGGAACGGAGAGACCATCCATGGTGAGATGCGATCGCCTGGGGGGGCATTTAAGGCTCGAGATAAGAAGCTTGAGATCTATCTTCCTAGACCTACTGTTAGTGAAGTCGACACAGTGCGGGGTCATCAAAGATAACGCATGTTGCGTCTCACAGGGGGCTAGATCGATACTAGGCCAGGATGCTGATTTTGAGAGATTGCGAGGCATGAATTGCGCATAGGACCTCGCATCCTGGCAAGTATCGACACGGAGGATGAGGCAGGACCATTTGGATAATTGGATCCGATCGTAGGACGTGTGAAATTGGGACCTGTGAATAACATATCACGTCATGTCATGATCATTGCCCCCGCCTTTTCTCTGTTTATCAGTCGTGAGTGCCGATTTTACATGCCTGCCTTCTCACTTCTCACTTCTCACTTCTCACTTCTCACACCCCACCTTCTCACGTCTCACTTTCACACCCTACCTTCTCATCCACCATGGACTTCCTCGCGTCGCAGTCATCTTCTGAGTTCTCGTCAGTTGAATCCGAATCTGAGGATCCTCTTGCGCAACTGGCGAAGGAAGTGACGCAACAGCCATTCACCAACAACAAGCACTTCCACAAGTCCTTGGAATGCCATCAACGAGCACTTCAGCAAGATCAAACTCGGGATCAGTACCTCGTCTTCACGTCTGTTCCCCCGAAGCAATTATCCAAACTGAGTAGTGAATGGTCGCGAACAAGCAAGTCCAGTCGATTCTTTACCAACGCAGAAACGCGAATCTTGATCGTGAAATTCATGCCGGGTCCTGCACACGAACTTGCAATAAGACGGTTTGATTTGCTTATCTCTCTTGAGTTGCGTGCGATGAACGTCGATAATGACATGAGCTCTTTGGGTTCGACAACAGTTACGGTTGGAAATTGGACGAAGGAAGCTGACTGCTGCTGGGCTCCGGCTTCGCCAAATGTAAGGCTGAGTTTTGTGGTGGAAGTAGGATTGTCAGAGTCTGCGCGAAAACTTGCTCTTGATGCGCGCGGTTGGCTTGAGACTTACTCCTCACCTGTGAAACTTGTGGTTACGATCAGCATTAATCGCGATACCCCCGAGATCATCTTGCACCGATGGGAACTTGCTCCTCCCCAAGGATATAGAGTCATTACGAGGTCAGGCTCTATTCCAGCGCGTCGTACTGCATTCCTCAAATTATCTCGAACGAATAACACGACGTCTGTTACTGGAGAGTCCGACAGAAATGGTACAACCACGACTACTACACAGCTGGATCTACCCTTCGACAAGATTGTTGGCCGTCCTCCTCACCAGCCCCTAGAGAGAGACTTAATGATAACCGAGCACGAGCTGAGAAGGTTTGCCGAGGATATCTGGATCCACCAGAGTTTCCTATAAGTCGTCTAGATTCTGATATGTTCCGTTGGCCATCAAGCGGCAGACCTCATGGAAGACAATTTTATACTCACGCAGGACGTGTTGATTTGAAAGACTCCTGGGGAGGTGCAGGGCTGCTCGAGACTCAAGCCAGGGTCTCATCGAATATTCGGCCTCGATTGATGATGTCTCATGCGTTTATGCTGATGACTTTTCTATTTGTTCCGTTGCTTGACTAATCGTGGGCCTCTGTATAATTAAATTGCTACTTTGTCTAGGCCGTCTTTCTCCCTTCCTTTATTTTGCTCTCCAGCCTTGTTGTCTTAGCTACTAATATACTTTATCAATCAATTTAGAAAATACCTTAGCATCCACTGTAGGTCGAGTGGAATTGAAGAGGGTTGCTGTCCGAAGTTACAGGTGGAAAGGCGGCCGTTTCTAGCGCCAGAGGCTATCATTTTCGGCGTCGATTTCACTGGTCCCCATATTCTATGTGTAAAAAATTTGAGGTCATTCAGCCATGTAAGAGGCTCAATCATTCCAGGCGATTTTATGCCAAAAGGAGCTGATTTTTCATGTGCTTGCTTTGCTCAGATCTCGATGGTGACCTGTCACTTGGAAGATATCTTGTTTTCAACCTGATCGGGCAATTAGAACTAATCGGCACAGCCTCACACACATGACTCATGGGGAGCACCAGGAAACCTAGAAATCACATATTTAACCAACCTGGACGCTGGAAGAAACAACCACCCTATATTGATCAGAACAAAGAGGGGAGTCCATAGAATCAGAGGGATCAAAATGGCGCAACCCAGAGTAGGAGTTGCTGTTGTCATTCTGAACCAGGAGGGAAAGGTTGTCCTGGGAAAAAGAAAGGGAAGTCATGGCGCCGGTGAGTTCAATTCTGAACAACTTTCTTTTCTTTCTTTTTTTTTTTTTTTTTTTTTTTAATTACTGAGCCTAGACCAGGGACATGGGCATGCCCGGGTGGACATCTCGAATTCGGCGAATCCCTCGAGACATGCGCAGAACGGGAGGTGCTCGAGGAGACGGGCCTCGCTATCCGCGACGTGCGTTTCTTGACAGTCACCAACGACGTGTTCGAGGTTGAAAAAAAGCACTATATTACGGTGTTTGTAGGTGCAGTCCTCCAAGATGAAGAGGCACAACCTCAGGTAAGTTACGCTTACGCAAGCCCTCTGACAACGGTGACAGTCTCCACTGACCGCAAGGATGCAGATTCTGGAACCTGAGAAATGCGAGGAGTGGCGATGGACCGCCTGGGAAGAAGTTCGCTCGTGGTATGACAGGCAGGCACAGGCCAAGGGCAATGGGTCGAGTGCAGGACCGACACTGTTCATCCCCTTGCTGAACCTCTTCCGGCAACGGCCAGCCTTTAACCCTAGCCAGAGCTATGCTTCTGCGCACAAATGAGTCATGTATACGTTTAAAGCATGCATCTGCCTTGATATTGTCAAGACGCGGAATTTATACGTCAACGAACTGAAATGAATATTGTTTTCCATCAAAGTTAACCGATGTTTGTCATTCTTATGGAGATATTGTAGACACTGATCCAGTTCTCTTCCTTGATGATTATTTCGAACTAATCTGGATATACAACATAGGCAGATATACTCCAAAGCACGGACGACACAGCTCTTGTATGAACTGCTGCTATAGTCTATGGCCCGGCACTTCCCCCAGAGCTGGATAGCAAATCGAGTCCTTAGGTACTCCCCCGTATTGGCAGAAAGCCAAGGTACCGGAGTAAACATCAAATAAACAAGCCCAAGGACACGATTGCCCCACCCGAGTATAAGATGTGCATACAACGATGGAGTCGCAAGAGTCAGGAGTTACAAAACCCCCAAACAGACTTTGAACAACCAGATTTGCCGCAAGAGCTGAGGCTGCAGCTTCTGCCCCGAAGACATCCACCCAGATATACCTGCGAGGACATGGTTCACGACCAGTGAGCCGGCGCCAATGATGAACGTACCGATGATCTTGACGATCCAGTGAATCCTGCAAGACGCGGCCCCAACCGTATATAAACCATCCGTGAGGTGTCATAGGGGCGAACCATTTCATTAGGGCTAGACGGTGACTCAGGTTGGGCAAGCTGTGGCGCTTGTCGCTGCGAAGGACAAAAAACACAAGACCAAAGATCATCTGCCTGCTATGGATCGGTACTGCTCTTCAACTAGTGTCGGAAGGGCTGTGAAGAGCAGGAAGATGAGCCCAGAGAGTGTTGCTCCGTAGAAGGATAATAGCATGGCAATGGGCGGGAAAATTGGCATCTTAGCTGGGCGTATCATGGCCTTGCGGAGCTCTTGGAAAGCTTGATTGTGATCTGTTCCCGAGGCAGGTGTTGTGTTTCTGACCTCTGTTCTAAACCGATGTACATTTCGTTTACGAAGGGCGTTGTCGGATGATAATCAATGAGACAAGGCCTAACATGCCAGACTGAAAAGCTTCTGCAGTTGAAACCAGTCAATAGGATATCGATCGATACTCTCTACGACAGAACCCCCCCAGTAATAGGCCCAATACCCTTACAAGCTGACGCTATTAGATGTGGACGGGTAGGGCGAATATCAATACTGTTTCTCAACAGCTTAAAAGCTCAAATACACTATGCTTGAAAGCAACTATATAGATACAATCATGAATCATGTACAGATCAAGTCAAGTCACTACCTTATATACCCCAACCACCTCTCCTTACCTTGAAACCATGGATGTTTAACCACTCTGGTTAGCGCAAACACCAAGAATGCAAGACAAGGGCCGGGAGCAGTCGCTATCACTGAGACAGGTGGTACCGGCACAGTGTCCCTTTCTGCTACAATCAAGACTGGTATCAACCGCACAGGCGCCATCAATGCAAGCAAAGGGATCGGAGCACTGGTCGTTGGAAGAGCACGAGGCACCGACACAGTGGCCAGCCCACTGGCAGGTAAGGGTGGGGTCATAGTTGCAGAATCCGTTGATGCAGCCAAAGGGATCCGAGCATTCACCGTTGTTGGAGCAAGCAGTGCCTAAAATCGTCAGCGAGAGCGTTCCTTCTCGGGAACGAGCCGACCTACCGAGACAGTGGCCCTCCCAGTCACAGGTGGCGGTGGAAGTCGGCGCGGTGGCGGTCCTGGTCGCAGTGGTGGTGTGAAGGGTGGTGTGGCCGCCATCACCACCACCATTACCACCACCAGAAGAGATACCCAGCTGGGAGGCGAAGGCGTTGACAAGGCTATCACCCATGCTGCGCAGCTTGGTGAAGTCGGTGATGTAGTTCTTGTTGACGGCACTGCTGGGGAGGACGGAGTCCTTGCCGGTGAAGAAGATATCTGCGAACATTAGACCGGGCTTGAGAAGTTGTGGCGGGTTGGACTTACACGTCACGTCAGCGGGGACATGGCCCGAGTCACCGTTGAGGTTGTCGTTGGGGAAGCAGGTTCTGGCCATCAGCCAGGAGGCCTCACCAATGACCTGCGGGTGATCGCCATCAGTATCACCAAAGATACCGTAGAACATCTTGCCATCGCTAGTTTGGTCAGCACAACTTCTCGAAAACTGAGCCGCAGGGCTTACCAGATCACCGCAACGATGTTGTTTCCTGGAAGCGCCGACGCGTAGGTAGTGGCGAAGCGATCCGGGATAACGACGAAGGGCACCTCGTAGGCAGCCAAAGCTCCGAAGTTGGTATCCGGCTGACCATCCGGGTTGCCCTGCTTCTGTTAGTTTCATTCTCTTGACGGACACTTGAAGAAGAAGCATACCTTGCAGTTATGATCAAGTCCGTCACAGTCGACGTCCATATCGGCGGTGTAGACATAGGCAGCGGCCTGTGATTTATTTTAGCACAAGGAGCTCAAAACATCTCGGCCAGAACATTTACAGTAGGCAAAGAAGCCCAGTCCGCGTGGATAGTCGCAGTTGGGCCGCCATCCTGGTTGACCGGGTAGGCCGCGTTCTTGGGGACAACGCTGGCCCGGGCCACAGCGGACTTTAACGCCGCGACGGGCATAGTGGGCGCAGCCGCGAAGAAGCTGGCGGGAGGACCGGCAGAGGGCTTGTTGTACTCCGGACCCTGGACTTTCTGGGCCAGAGCCGGGGTGAGGAGGAGGAGAGAAGCAGCCGCATGGCTGAGGGAGGACTTGAAGATCATGGTGAGAGTGCTGTGAGGAGTTGGGCGTTGCTTGACCTGTTTCTTCGTCGATGGGGGTTTGGGGAATAGGTGTATTTATATGCATTCCAATCCCAAGTCTGTCTGTATGTATGTATGTATGTATCTATCTATCTATCTCGCTGAGACAAGTTGACTATGGCATATGCCTCACTCCCGATGCAGGCAACGGAACGAACGCACGGAACATTCCTGATTGTCAATAGTTCCTGGGGCCAAATTTGGGGGCCAAAATGGATCAGACCACAAGGGTAGGATTCAGGGAGATTAAATCGTCAACCCGGACAGAACTGTTCTGCGTGATTGGCTATACTGGTCGGATCTTCAGGTAACATGATAACTCCTAGGACTGCTACTCCAGCCGTGACGTCGAGTGTCCACTACCTATACCCTCATCCACGGTCTCCGATGTGAAGGCACGGGAGATATCTGGCATTGCTGGATACAAAAGATCGCCAACAAGGGACATATAGACAAGGAAGAGTAATGCACTTAACCTACATGTAGATTCGTCTCTTCTTGACTCTATATCTCAGGGAGAAAAGTGCGATCATGGCTGGGAAGTGTGCATTCGCTACCGAGTATGCACCGATCGCCGACTGAGACATCGGATGACACTTAACTGTCAAAGTGTAAAGTGTACGGAGAAGAAGAACTGGGGCTATAGCTTAGTGAGCTCGGCTGTCTCCAATGGAGCCACAATTGAGCCACAAGTGAGCCAATGAAGGAATTCAAGCTTATAAGCATCAAGCAATCGCTTGACTGAAGGATCCATTTCTGGCCCTAGTAAGCATTCCCTGTCACCGGTCAACTAACTGGTTTTTGCCGGAATCGCCGAGTTGTTCACTGCCATCATACATGCCATTATGCCGTATCATCATATGTGATTCATCTGCCTATAAAAAAAAGAAAAAGAAAAAGAAACAAATTCACGCAGACTACTTCCTGCATCCTGCATCCTGCTTCCTGCTTCCTGCAGTCAAAAGGCAAACAAACAGATTCTACGGATTCACCATGTTGCTCTCTAGCGTCTATCTGCTGGCGCTCCTCCCCTATGCTCTCGCCACCTCTATCATCGACTTCTCTGCAGCACGAGGGGATAACCCTTCCGTGCTTGGACAGATGAATCTGGAGGCTGCTCGTGACGATAAAGTGTCCGGCAACACAAAGGATCTGTTCATCAAGCTGGGTACTGACCCTCATGGCGCTCCTGCGTTGCACTTCCACCGCATCAAGGGTGACATCCGCGCCGAGTACCATGCCCTGTCCAATAAGGTGGCCGCCGATAAGACATACTACATCGGATATCAATTTAGACTGGGCGCAATTGAGCAGAGCTTGATGGTGTGGCAATTGTCTGTTCTCCCCCTGTCCGTTTCCCCAGAGAACCCTCGGGTACTGACTCCAGCAGTAAGGAATACGCTGCCAACAATGCCAACGATGGGGGCGCCAACATCCCCCTGTCCCTGGAGTTCAAGAGCGGGAAGCTGAATTTCCAGTACCAGGACTCGTACAGCGGAAAGCGAGTCTCGCAGTGGTCAGCCACACTGAAGACCGACACGGTCTACTCGATCGGACTGGTCATCAACACCGCGTCCCCGGGCTGGGTGGAGCTCTACTGGGATGGAAAGCAGCAGACGTTCTCAAGCAACGGAAAGACGAGGCTGCCCGCCAACACCTTCCCTGGACGCGCGGAGCCCAAGTTCGGTGCGTACCGTGGTGAGGAAGTCGAGATTGACAACTACGTCTACCGGATCCAGATCGGTACCTCGATCAAGGATATTCAGGAGGCAGCCGGCTTGGGAGGCGATGGCGCTGTTTCCGCTCCTACCACGACGCTGAAGACTACCACTGTTCCGGCTACCAAGACCACGGCGACGACTTCGGCTCCTACTTCTACTGGGCTGTGTGAGTGGGAAGGACACTGCCTGGGTATGTTCTCCCCGCTTTAGTTATTCATTAGTCTGATGTTTTAGATGCCGCTTGCGCGACCAACGATGATTGCTCGGATCCCTGGGCCTGCATCAACGGGAAATGCTCGGTGGATCCTAGCATTACTTGCAGCTGGAAGGGCCACTGTGCTGGTATGTCAACAGTTTAGAGTCAAACGAGGCGTGGCTGACTAGCGACAGGCGCGACATGTGTCTCCCATAACGACTGCGATGATCCGTGGGCGTGCATCTATGGTGTCTGCGCCATGGATCCCACTGCGTAGTTTGGCACACAGGATAGGACCCCGAATTCTAGTCTTCAGCCATAGAGACTCGTATATGCTTTTCTACGCTTCAATATCAACTCCACTGGGCAGACCGAATACCTGGCTATCCAGCTCAAATCCACAGACATCTATGCCTGTACCTTCTGTCAAACAAGCACCGGTATGCTGATTTTGCAGGTTGCCAGTGATATGGTATGTCCATCTCTGGCCGGGGCGCCCTGTGCATGGCTTGACCACCACATTATCTCCTATGGCTGTCAAGCAGTGGGAGGTTCGCGAGAGCGGACGCAGAATCCCCGACTCTTCCACCTGCCAGACTTGCAAATCTTGTCCCCGGCACGGCTCGAATGCCAGAGCCTCGCCATCCGTAAGACAGTTCCCCGACGCTGTGTTGAACACAATCCCTGTAGGGATCACCATGGGACAATCGGGGGGAAGAGACACCCTAAACACCTCCGTAGCATGCGAGTCCAGCTGTACTTCGATATCCTCCTCAATTTCCTGTATTTCTCCATCCCAGAGATTCTTCGCCTGGTATGCACATCTCTGCAGCCCCATCCACCCCACCGGCACCTTGACGGCAAGACCGCCATCCCCCCGATTCAAAATCGTCACCAACCGATCCCCACCATCCAAACTCCTCGTCAGTACATCAAGGTGCTCACTCCGACTCGCCAGCGTCGCCTGCAATCCCAGTGCATCCTGATCCACCCGAATCAAGTCTGCGTTGGTCAAAACCGCAATCACCTCCTTCGACAACCCCGGCACATCCGCACTGATAATCAGCGGCGCCCCAAACGACGCCCACAAGGCGAAATGCGACCGTTTCTCCACCAGGCTCAGACCCGGATGATCCGCAATCAGGAAATCCGGATCATTAAAATACCCAGGACGCTGGTACCTCGCCAACAGCGTATTATAGCGGTAATTCACCATGATACTCTGCCATGCGCTCCCCTCGCCCTCATACACCAGGATATCCGTAGAATGGCGCGCCAGCTCCCCATACGCCGGCACCCAGTCCATGACGCCATACCACGCCGTGGCGTTCTGCGGGTCGACAAAGTACGCGGGCGCGCTCTCCGAGAACACCAGCGGGTGCGGCATGGCGCCGAGGACAGAATGCCAGCGGGCGTACCGCGCTCTGTACTCGTCCGCCAGCGACACGGCCCCGGCAGGGGAGACATTACACCCGTCCAGCTTGAGGTAATCGACCCCCCACTCGGCGAACGTGTGGGCGTCGAGTTCCTCGAATCCGTAGGACCCGGGGTATCCGCCGCAGGTGACGTTGCCGGCGTCCTGGTAGATGCCGAGGCTGAAGCCGAGGGATCGGAGCTGCGCAGAGAGCCAGGGGAGGCTGTGGGGGAACTTGGTCGGGTCCCAGGGTAGGGAGCCGTTCGGGGCGCGGTGGGATGCCATCCAGCAGTCGTCGAGGTTGAGGCGGGTGTAGCCTGCGGCGTGGAGGCCGGTGTCGAGCATTGCGGCTGCGGTGTCGAGGAAGAGGGATTCGTTTAGGTTGCACATGAAGCGGGCCCAGTTGTTGAAGCCCATGGGGGGCGTGGGGAGGAGGTGGGGGTTGCCTATGGAGGCGCGGACGAGGGGTGGGAGAATTGCGAGGAGGGTCATAGATGGATGCATTGTGATTGTCTGTTGGGTAGTTGGTCTCGTAAGATGTGAGTTTAAGGATTGAGGACAACAGGGAGTATATATACGCATCTTGCCCCCCGCTCTTAAGTTCTCAGATTAAGTACAGGGGTGGTGTTGTTTTCATGGGTCCCTGCATCTACATGCATGATACCACCGTGCCATTGCATGAAGCCTGCTAGTCCTGGTCGATAGATAGAGCTTGCGTCGAATAAGCAATGTCCAAGAGACCACACAAGCGCCACTGTGTCTAACTAGTGCCCTATTTTACAAATCACTGCTGATCCAGTTTCTCAATCCCATCGAGAGGAGCAAGCCACGGGCGACGATTCCGCTGCCAAAGCTCGATGGTTGGCTCCAACCCATCCCGATCATCGATGGTCCCGCTCGACACGGAGACATATTGCGCTTCAACCATACTGTTGTTCCTGTGGAATAATCTGGACCCGCACGTTCCGCAGAACGAGCGTTGCAGAGGCTCGCCTGTCGCGGTGGCCTTGTCGTTGTAGACCTGGATGGAGTCTTGGCCCTGGGTGATTTCGAGTTGCTGCGCATGATTGTATCAGCGTCTCTGTTGGTGAACGGATGACAAGCAAGTACTTACACTCTCTTGGTACCAGCAGTTGGCCATGAACGCTGAGCCGGTTGCTTTCTGGCAGCTCTCGCAGTGACAGATGAAGAGCTTTTCGGGATCGCCGGCGAGCTTGTACTGGACGGCTCCGCAAAGGCAGGAACCTGAACGGGTCGATGTCATTTTGTTTCTTGACGCAAGGAGATAATAATCAGATATTAGAAGCCCGGTCCATCTGTATCTTGGAGATATTTATACAGAGAGCATACGGCACCATGACTCAGAGGTAAGCGGGGAAGGAAGTCAGACAGCCTGATTCTTACACAGTAATGGAAGTAGTGGAATTGAATGGAACCACCTGGAGTATTCTGGAGTACGAGATGATCTGCAGCCTGGTCCTAAATCATGATCTACAGCCAAGAAGTGATATCACGTCGTCCTCCCTCCCCCCATTGTACAGCCACCAGAACAACTGCCGATTCTCTACAGTAACCGAACCAGCAAAGCCTTCCTGGAAATTGATTGCATCTATGCCGTCAGTCCTGCGATACTAAACAGATGATCTAACTTACCAATGATCCGTTTGGGAATCGGCAAGCCCAGAGGATCTATCCGCTCTGCCAACTGGCGCATCGCTACCGCAGCTGCTTCTCGAAATTGTTCTGGAAGACGCAGAACCCAGGTAACCCACAGCCACAGCACGATGGCCCGTGGTTTGTCTATCATCAGACACTGCGGCTTGAGAAAAGCGTACCACGAGAGCGCCATGAACTGAACCGCCCCGATGCACTGGTAACAGTCCGCTATGACGGTGACTTTTGCCAGCATCTCCAGGCCCACCTGCCATGGGAGACAGCGGTGTCTGCCGTGGATGATGTTAAGGAATAGGAGCAGGGAGTCCGGGCCCCAGTTGTACACGGTGATTGACGTGGTATTATATGATGACAGGGCGCTGGCATCTTTCCGGCCGTCTGTTAGGGCTTTTCGGAGCACGGGTGAGGCGAGGATGAGGTGGCTGGCTGAGACTTGGTAGGTGATCTCGTGGCTGTCTTTCTTGTTATTAGCTATTTTCATTCTTAGATGAAGATATACGAGTTTCTAGACGGTATACCTTCATGATTCTGGGACTTATACTCCCCATTGGCCCGCCTTGTATGTCGGAGACTCACGGTGCGCATCTTGTAGGATGAGGGGGATCTAGAATTAGGGCTCGAGGCTGCAGATGAGGTTTCGTCCTGAAGAAAGCTGAGATCAAGCAGAGCGTTGACCGCCTCTTCATTGCTCAACGGACTCCACTGATCCGAGCTGAGCCATGGAGGTATATTTTCGTCTTCGTTGTAGTCCTCGTTATCAGAGACGGCGAAGGGGGCATTAGGGTTGAGGAGTCTGATAGTGACTTCTCCGCTGGGATCAATGATGTGTGTTGGTTGCTTCATTTGGGAGCGATTATGGAATGGCTCCTTGTGTTTACAGTATGGGTATATATACGAAAGCAATGAAGGATGAATGTCTTTGTTGGATTTTTGAACACATGTTGCACCTTTGTTAGAGGCTTGATGGACATATTTTAAGACAATAATCACATCACAATGCCTACTGCAAACTTGTGAAAGCTTGAAGTAGATCCATCTTCAGATCCTGCCAGTCTTCCAATCTCACACTGATCCGTAGCAGCTTGCGATCAACCCTGCAGTCAGACAAAGCTCGCCACTCAATCAACGATTCAACACCTCCCAGACTGGTTGCATGTTGGAAGAAAGACAGTTTGCTCGGCAACGTCTTTGCGGCCTCCTCATCCTTTAGGACAATGGCAAAAACCGGCCCGAACCCGTTCGGCATTTGCTGCCTCACCCACGGCTCATCCTGCAGACTAGCATGGTATATCCTCTTCACAGCGTTCTGGATAGTTTCTTCCTCGCTGCCTGACCCCGGCGAGTCGACCTTCATCGCTTGATCGAGCCACGCAATCAACTTGGCCGAACTCTCACTCGCCCGCTGCACCCTGATTTCCAACGTCCGCAGACTCCGCACGCCGAGCCAACCCTCCAGATTCCCCATCACATGGCCAAGGGCAGCCCGATCCTCAAGCAACTGCCAATGCCAGTCCGCCCGCTTGACGCCCAGCACGCCACAGAGCATATCACTATGGCCCCCAAAGTACCTGGAGCCCGAATGGAGCACGACATCCGCACCCCACAAGAACGGATCCTGCAACCCCGGCGGGGCAAAAGTACTATCGACGATCAGGTACGCGCCCCGGGCATGTGCCTTGCGGGCATACGCCTCGATGCTGAACACAGTGCCTAGCGGGTTCACCGGCGTCTCAAGCAGAACCACATCTCCCGCTTCGAGCGCGTCAGCGGGACAGTCTAGAGGTAGTTTCTGCAGGCCGGTGAGGCGCGAGAGCACGCCTATCACCTCATGGCTGCCGTGGTAGCCTTCGCCGACGGAGATGCGGCGCGGGTTGAGAAGGACTAGCGCGGCGTGCAGAGCTGCTAGGCCTGTGGCGTAGGTGACGGCGTGAGCGCTGAGAAGCGTGGAAAGGATAGCCTCGAAGCGGGATGCGTTGGGCGCGAATTCGCGCGAGTACACGTAGTTCTGGCCGTTGAATTCGGCCTGCGTGGAGTGCCTTTGTGGCAGGGTGGCTGTTCTCTGAGAGAGGCATTATCTCGACGATGCTTTGAAACATGAGAGTAGAATGAAGGTGGTGTTGAAAATCTCTGGCTTTGATACCCTTTTTCTTCAGAGCATCATTGGTGATGGTCCACTCTATTCAACTTCCCAAAACGGCAGTGGGGCGGATCTCGATGCGATTAAGCATGAACTGAAGAGCATCTAAGCAGTACCATTGGCTGATCTGGGGTGTCCCACTCCTGTCAACTTCCTGCAGCAGGATTGGTCAGATTTCTCAAGCTCCCATTGGACAATGCCTCTGTCAATCCGCCATTGATTTCAAACTGACCAATCACAGAGCATGTATATTGGATTCTTCGGGTTGCGTTCCAGGCTGCCATTGGCATCGGACTCAAATCTGCCTTTCACTGCCAGTCAGATTGCCGAGAGGCGTACGCCCTTTGTTGACACTACTGAGTTCGGTTAGGACAGCCAATTGAACCTCTCGCAGTCCCGATGGTTATGACTCTTAGGCTCTTAGGCTCTTAGGCTCTTAGGCTCTTAGTCACGCCAAGCAGATACTGAATTACTGAGGAATATATAAGGCTTGCTCACCCCCGGATCAACATCGTCAAAGATCCATCTTCAAACATATTCACCACCATGCATCTCCGCGCTGTCCACGCTGAAGCACGCATCCCCAGGTTGCAACAATTCGTCCGTGACAACCCCCTCGGCATTCTGACTACAGCCATTAAATCTCCCAACCACCCCCTCCTCCAATCGAGCCACATCCCCTTCGTGCTCGACGTCCCCAAAGAGAATGACCCCGCAAACCCCGGCGTTCTCCGCGGCCACATTGCCAAACAAAACCCACAAGCCAAAGCCCTCATTGAGGCATTAGCAGCACAACAAGCTGCCGGGCAGACCACTCTCGAACTTCCAGACGAGGTCCTCGTGCTCTTCAACGGCCCGCACCACCACTATGTCACCCCCAAGTTCTACACGGAGACCAAGCCAGCCACAGGCAAGGTCGTCCCCACGTGGAACTATTCCGCCGTGCAGGCCTACGGCAAGATCAGCGTGTTCTGCGACTCCAAGGCTGAGGAGACGGGCGCGTTCCTGCAGAAGCAGTTGACGGATCTATCGCAGCATGCTGAGGGCTCGATCATGGGGTATACCGGTGGGGAGCGGCCGAACCCCTGGGAGGTCTCTGATGCCCCGGTGCCGTATGTAGAACTCCTCAAGAAGAATATCATCGGGGTAGAGATCAAGCTTGAGCGGCTGGAGGGGAAGTTTAAGATGAGTCAGGAGATGGGGAAGGGGGATCGGAACGGGGTCATTGAGGGATTTGCCAAGCTGGGGACAGAGCGCGGACAGGGCATGGCACAGACTGTCAGGGAGAGGGGAGAATTGAAAGATCAAGGGAAGAAGGATTGAGTCTTCTGGGAGACTGAGTGTGGATGTTGGGGATTTCCAAATCGGGAAGTGATGATTGATAAGACCACGTGATCTACCGAAAGATCTAGAACCTTATCACGTGCGCATCCTATCTCCATCCTATCTCCATCCTATCACCCTTATCGTGCTGCAATCATCTGGGCATTTGAAATACTCCATGCTTCCCCTTCAATTGACGCATCTCAACGCATCGATATCCAACGCTGCTAAAAAATTTCATCTTTAGTTCTTCTATACATATATCTTAAAGTCTCTTGCGAGGGATCGAGTATGTCGCAGTTGTAGTCAGCATGGCAGGAGATGTATTCCGATGACAACCCCACTTCTCAGATGACGAATGGAACACAAATGATGGAAGCTTGTTACACCTGCCGGCGCCGGCGGATACAATGTGATAGACTCGGTATCCCCTGTGGAAAATGCCGGAAGGGCGGTCTCGAGTGTCATGAAAAACGGCCCATTAAATGGGTCAAGGGTGTTGCCATCCGGGGCAAGATGCAGGGGTTCTCGTATGATCTGCAGGATGTGACTGATGGAGCAGGGAATGCTTTGGTGAAAGCAAATGATGGTAGGCATGATTCGAGAGACTTGAGAGATACGATATCTGATTCCCAACAGGTCTACGGGTTGTAGCTCCAGGCCTGGAAGATGAAGCTGTTTCGAGCTTGGACAAGGTCTCGAAATATTACCTAGATTATTGTATGTGTACCAACAAGCACCTGAGGACTATACTAACGGCACAGATAATGATCGGATATGCAAACTCTTCATCGTCTATGACAGCGACCAGAATCCATTCAGAAATCTCATCTCTCTTGCCCTGAAAGATCCATTATTGCTCCAGGCTGCTCTTGCGCTGGCAGCGAGACACAGAGCAAATGAAGGCCAATCCTTCGATGGTGCCCAGGCCTTACTTCCTTGGATGGGGAATGCTCAGCAGGATGCCCTGGTCTTCAAACACAAGGCCATCCAAGGCCTGTCACAAGTCGTGGGCGATGCTGCGTCGAGCAGGAGTGACACAACTGTTGCCACCATCTTTCTTCTAATCTTCCTTGACCTATTGGAATCGGGAAATGATAGGTGGAATATCCACCTAGGAGGTGCCAAAACGTTAATGTCGCTGAGCAAGTCGTTGTCCCAGGTCAGTGACCCTGGCCGAACAGTACAAGAGATTAGAAGCTTTATTACCAAACAGATCTATCTGTGAGTGCATTTCTGTTGCGCAAGTGGCTTAGTCTAACAGAAAAAGGATTGAAACTCTGGGCGCAACCTTTGTCCGACCCAATCTGCTATCTCGATCCCCAACCTTGGCTGCGGAGGGGATGTCGCCAGATATGGTTGAGCAGTCATTCCTTGGCTGCCCCGACTTTCTTCTCAGCGCTATCCAAACATTCTCAATCAAACGTGATATTCTTGCTACTGCTAGCCAGAAGCCTTTCCCTGAAGCTGCCACGGTGATCTCTGATCTGACGGCTATGCTGGAATCCATCCACAATTTCGATAGCCTCAGCTGGGCCTCAAATCTGCCTCAAACTTCTTCTCCACATGACATCCATAATCTGGCCAACTTATCACAATGCTATAAACTGGGAGCTCTCATCTATGGCCAGCGTGTTCTCGATATTGTGTTACATCAGGACACTTCCCAAGAACATGTTACGTGTGAGCTCTTCTCCGTGATTGAGGCTCTCAAAGATGATAATGCTCTGTTCAAATGTATTCTGTGGCCGATATTTGTTGCAGGATTAGAGTCCGGATTCAGTGTTCAGCACGATCTTGTGATGCAATATCTGGAAAGATTTTGGATCATCACCAGGTGTTTGAATGTGGTCAACGCAGCCAAGATTCTCCAGGCTTACTGGCAAACTCAAACTCATGCAGAAGCTAAATCCTTGAATTGGGTTTTCAACATGGGCCGTCTCGGGGAAGATTGGCTGCTCATATGATGTGGTATGAGAAATGAAATTATTGCTTGATTATTCTTGTTAACCAACATTTATCTCCATTAATTTATAGCCGAAGCATATCCTCTTTTCGCCGAGAATTTAACCAGATTGATACAGTCCCAAGGCACGAACGTGGGGTTCAACATGGTGATGTTGAAAGGAGTGACAAACATGTGCGTATCAGCAATGGCAATAAAGGCTGTGCCTTTCAAGGCGGGATCAGTCTCGAAAGCCTCACTTGCTGGTTGATAGGTATGTCCGTGATTCTTTCCGGTCACCGTCAACTCGGTGTAAGTGAGGGCCAGCTGCAAAAACCATGCCACAAACGTCGGTTCGCCGGTCATTGTCGAGGTGACGTAGCTGTTGTTGGACCCGGCAGCACCGCCAGGACCATCCCAAATGAGTTCAACCTTGCGGCTAGGGAAACTCAGTGGTTCGTACCGGTCATGGGAGATGGTGGGACCACAGTCATAGCCGGTGACGTTGTCGTGGAAGCAAGAGTCAGACTCCGGGATGGTAGAGTTTGCTGGGATCACTGGTGCGGTTGCCGATGACCTCCCAAGGCTGTGTGGTGTTTGCATTGATGCGGTTGGGACTCGGCTGGCCGACGACGTATAGGTTTGGGAACTTCTGCCACACGAGCCGGGTGTTGTTCTCCGGGCAGGGGGAGATGTACTGGGAGGGCAGGGTCCAGTGCCAAAATTGGGAATGCCGGGAGCAAACCAGATGGGCATGGGGTGGAGACCGAGGGGCTGGCGGAAGATGGCCTGCTGCCGGGTCTCGATTGTGTCGGCTTCGACGACCATGTCGCGGCCTCCTTGTAGGGTGGCTGAGCCAGCCCACATGGTGCTAGACTCACCCCAGCGGGTGACCTTGACGTTGAAATCGATGAACTCGCGGACCGTCTTGAAGGGGTAGTTGTACGTGCATTGCTTCGGTGAGGACTCGCCCAGCATGTTGCTCAACAGGGTGGTGTATCTTGCTTCCTGAATCGCCATGTACTCAATGAGTCAGCGATCCTTCGCGGTCAGACCGGCATCGATGGAATCCTGCTCGCCGAACACTTCAAGACCATAATGGAAGAGATCCAGCTTGATGTACTCGCAACCAACTGGTAGTCAAAGTCGCTCTGAACCATGTGAACAGGCAGGGTGCCGGTTGTATCCACGCCGCCGGCAGGCATATAGGACATAGGCATGGGCTCGGTGAGCTTGCCATCGGCGTTGTAGTACGTGGCGGTTGGATTGGTCTTGGCTGGGATGGGTGGCCGCGACGGTAGAAGGATATTGCAAGGCGCCAGTGGTCGTTGGAGTGCCAGTGTAGGGAGAGCTGGTGGTCGATTCTATACCAAGGCAGGAAGTGTGTGGATTTATACCTGTCGAGACTCGAGACGCCACGGCATCTCTCATATTGTTAAGAAGAGTAAAGTTGATCTAAATGCCAGACTGCTTCAGGCACTCCAAAAAGGTATTCCTACTAGTATAATTATCTAGATTGGACTCCTAGACCTTAACTAAGGGAGGCTCAGCTAAAATCGGAAGTAAAATAAGGCAGGATTTTTAGGTAGCTTTACCCTAAGAGGTACGTACAGTAGATAGCTAGAATTAGATAGGCGACATAGTAAGTAGGCAGTGAATCTGATAGGATACTACCTGACCTAGTATCTTATACTATCTAGAAACAAATGGTGCCGTTCCAGGCTACGATTGGCCAGCCCAGATTTAAGCATGATCTCCGATCCACTGGAACTGAAGGTGCCGTTCTCAGGCACTCCTTAGCTCCTATCCCTTAGGTTCGAAACCATCCTTTCCACTTAGATTCTGACAACCAAAAATAAATAAAAAAAAAAAATTAAACTAATACCAGTACAGTACGGGTACTCTGGCATCAACAGATACTCGCCAAGAATGGCTGGCATTGGAACAATCCCGAGTGGTGTGCCAGTTATGGCGATAACGGCAGCAGCACCCCAATACCCCAAGAGCGATGACATGGCAGACTTCGGCGACTTTGTGCGCACTGAGGACGAGGAGCTTGATCTCGAAGAGGTTGTCGAGCCCTGGCATAAGTACAGTATTAAGGAAACCCCACATGTCTTCTATCCCATTTGTGTCGGAGAAGTGCTCGAGGAGAGGTACCTGGTAGAGCATAAACTCGGCTCTGGGGGCTTCTCCACTGTCTGGATGGCCCATGTCTTTACCCTGTTATCCTGAGAACGATGTCCATGGCGACTCGCATGTCTGCTGCCCAGCAATTGCTAAAGGCATTGGAAAATTTACACAAAGCCGGTATTGTACACCGCGGTGAGTGAACTGTGCCTCCCACTCTTCCCTGTTGGTCTGCATTCCAATGGATATTCGACAGATTTGAATGAGAGGAACTGTATGTGGGGGATGCTTCCTCTCCACAATTTCAACAGGAGTGCTAAATACGAGGCACTCGGTCGGCCATTAAAGCAAACCATACCATTTGTTGAGCTCTGGAAGCGAGGAGAGCTTGTTCGTCCCGTTGAGGTTCCTGAGAACCTACGCACAGAGGAATTCTATCTCGGTGACTTTGGTCTGGCGATGAACCTCGGCGACCCCGTGACTCAACACGGCTATCCGCCTATGCAATTTTGCTCCCCGGATCGACTTCATAAGAAAGACCCAAGTTTGGCCTGCGACATGTGGAGTTACATGGTCATCTTCGCAGAGCTCTACCTGGGCTACCCGCCTTTCCCTACCTGGCTGAAAGGCGGAATTATAGCTGGTATTGTCAGATGTTTGGGTCCACTACCTGAGCAGTGGAGGGGCCTTTACACTCACCCCGGAGGCCTTGATTCCTGGTATGATCAGCGTAAAACGCCCGATCCAAATCATGACCTTGCATCAACAATTGCATACTTCCGTCCCGAAGCTGATCCAATTGAGCGAGAGTATGTGCACTCCCTTATGTGTAAAGTATTTACTTACTGTCCAGAGAAACGTCTGACCGCAACACAGCTTCTGCGGGACCCTTCATTCAGAGCTATCATGGACAAATATGGCTGTTGATATTCTATTCTCTTGACTTCCTATGCTGCATTACTGTTACTTTCTTGTCTGCTCTGGATTTCTCTTTCTCTTTTCTTTTCCCCGGCAGTCTAATCTTAAGTTCAAGGCTTACCTAGTTCCAATAAATACAGACTGGATTTACCATGGGTAAGACAGCATGGCGTGGCCTGACCTCAGAGGCAACAACAGTTCCATGTTTTACACAATAACAACAGCTGCAATTACATCATGTTTCCTCATAGCAATTTGATAGAGGCGGAGAATTCTGCCTGATCCTGCAGGCCCACAATTCACGCGGCGAATCGCCCTCGATGATGTATGGATATTTAGCCCAGACCATAACACATGCTTGTTCGGTCGTTGCTGAAGGCGTGTTCCAGACTAGATTAAGACCGCGATGCTATCGCAAGAATCGTCCGAAATATTCCTTTTCTTCTCTCCCGATTTCACACAAAATGGGCTCTCTAACAACATCTTCTCCGGACAAGATCATCCTCCGCAGTGCGGGCGCTGCCAGTGTATGTCTGCTAATTCTGGTTGTACTACATATGCCCCTGGACTACCCGCTGACAGCTGTCTCAGGCCCAAGGATCCAGACCGTCGCAACAAGACCAATATACTCTCATTCTCCCGAGACAAATATCGACAGAATCAGGAAAGAATATTCTCTGCTCTGCTGTCTACGACGGACAGTACGTCTTTGTATTGCCCAGTTTTGCGAGATATGCTCACAACAGCAGTGTAACGGCCGACGTCGCCATTCACGCCCGAGAAAACCTGCCCCGCTTCATACTCGACTCTCCCGATCTGCAGACAGGCCAGTATGAGAACGTGATTGAGAGCGCGACTAAGCAGGAAGAAGCACTACTTTGGAAAGAGTTCAAGGGCGGAAACGAAGTCTGTGGCGAATCCGGTTCTACACTCGCCGTCTGTCTGCTCGATCTCACAGACGGCGTACTGGTAGTGGGCAACCTCGGCGACTCACACGTTCTTCTCTGCGAACAACAGACCAAGAAACCCTGGGAGGTGGTAAGGGTGCAGCAGGTCCACCTTCACAAGAACACAGCTAACCCACGTAATGTGTATGACAAAAAGCACCGCATCACAAAAGCCCACAAACCCGGCTCCCGGACCGAAAGATCGCGCATTGAAGAAGCTGGCGGTGTTATTAACCAGGAGTTCGGCTCCCCGCGCCTCGGCTCCCTGAACATGTCCCGCGCCCTGGGCGATCTGCAGTACAAAGAGCCGCTGATCAACGCGGCGCGGCCGTTCTCGGTCGAGCAGGAGATCGCGGGGTTCAAGGCCGGGCAGGACCAGGGGGATCTGCTCTCGCGGCTGCCGTCGATCGAGCGGCGGGAGCTGAGTCGAGACAGGCAGTATGTTCTGCTGGTCACGTCGGATGGGGTCACGGATGAGATGGAGGATCGGGCGGTTTTGAACCGGGTGATTGCGCATCTGGGGCATGGGCTGGAGGCGAGGGAGGTGGCAGGGAAGCTGGTGACGGAGGCGACGAATAGGCCGCTGAGCGACAATGCGACTTGTGTTTGTGTAGTTATGGATGGGAATGAAGTCGCCTAGGCCGGTTCGACGGAGGTTGTGGTGTTTTATGTGGTAATGGCGTGTTACGATTCATGACTTTGATATGCATGGACTACTGGCTCAATATCTAGCAATATATTAATGTTACTGGACGGTTCTCACTCAGATACATGCTCGCATTCTTGGAGAATATCAAACCAATGGTTTTACCTGTTTTCTCAGCTCAGGCAAGATTACCGTGGATCCTTGTCGCTGCAGGATCCAGATAGATACGGGTTCAATCTCGCTGAATGACCACCAAAGAGGAAATCAAAGCTATACGGCCCCCCCTGGTTGACGGGGGTTCAAGAATAGTAATTAGTAACGGACTTCGAAATTGCATCGGGAGTCGATACGAACAAACTAAGCTGCCGAGTCTGATTATTAGCAGGCACACATACCTAACCAGTCTATCGTGCAGCCGTCGAATCCGAAGTTGCAGTGCCCCGTTGCAGCATCTCGTATTCAGCCATTGTCTGCGACAACGATCTTCACGCTAACCAGACACGCTTTTATACAACGCGAGAAGAAGGACTTCTTTAGCCAAAGCCAATGCTTGTCGCTCTCGACATGCTATTTTTAGGAATGCCGAGGCTGCTTAATCCCAGTTGCTTCTTGGAGCATGCGACACTCGCAGACACGATCATACGAGCCGGGCCAGAGGAAGATCCCCTTCGCTCCGACCTCATCTGTTCCCTTCGTAGTCGATGCAACACGGGCTCAACTGCAATGTCCAATACGAAATTTGGCCCCCTGTTGCAGATTCCAGGGAGGGAACACGAGCACTCATCTTCGAGTCCATCACTGGATACGAGATGAACTCACCTACTGATTCATGGTCGATATGCGGATCGTCGTTCGGGCAGAGGCATACACACAACATGCTCAGGGACATCTATAAAAACCCTCAATCTACCCGGCAAATTGAGTGCTCCATCATCAACAATATCTTCACCCAGCCGTCCAGTCGAACAAGCGAAAAAAAAAAAACAAAGCAAAAGTTCACATCGACCTTTCTCTCCTCTCCTCAATCGCAATGCGTTACCTCCACATCCTCGCTGCTTCGATCGCAGCCATCCTCCCCGTGGTCAGCGCCTACCCCATCACCGGCGACACCGTCAACTGCCGCTCCGGCCCCGGAACCTCGCACGCCGTCGTCAAATCCTACAAGAAGGGCGAGGACGTCAAGATCGTCTGCCAGGCGCCCGGCACCGACGTCAAGGGCGAAAGCATCTGGGACAAGACCTCCGACGGCTGCTACGTCGCAGACTACTACGTCAAGACTGGCACGACGGGCTACGTGACCAAGAAGTGCGACAGCGGCGGCGGGGGCTCGGGCTCGGGCTCGGGCCACGCGATCGTCACTGCCGCGCAGTCGAAGGAAGGACTACCCTATGTCTGGGGCGGCGGCGGCTGCAAGGGTCCCTCGGGCGGCGGGTTCGACTGCTCCGGGCTCACGCAGTATGCGGTGTGCCAGGCGCTGGGGAAGACGATTCCGCGCACGGCGCAGACGCAGTACGACTCGAAGATGGGCCAGCGGGTGCCGCGGGCGCAGGCCAAGGAGGGCGATCTGCTTTTCTGGGCTACTGGTGGTGATTGCAAGAATAAGGTTGCGCATGTGGGCATCTTCATGCGGGATGGGTGGATGGTCAATGCTGCGCGCACTGGGACGCCGGTTCGGGAGCAGGCGATTTGGACTTCGTATGGTGGCGAGTCGATCTGTCCTTATGTTGTGAGGTATGAATTGTTGGGGGTGTTGAAGTAGTGAGCGGAGCTAACAGGTTGCAGGTTCTGGTAAATGGTCTGCGCCTAGACTATATTCGAGATATCGAGATATCGATTGAAACATCGCCTTCACTTCTCATTGTCTTTGCTTATCTGTCCATACTGTTCTGGTTAGATTCTTGACTTTGTACAATGTTGTCTTGAATACAGAGGTTATTCATATGGTCTCGTTTGGAAATGCATCGCTCCAGTGTATATAGATCTGGTAGCTAAGCTAAATACACACACCTGTCGCAAAGTGTGTTTCGGATGGCATGAGTAAATGAATTGATGCAAACCATCTTTAAACCATTCACCACTGGTCCCTTCACAGTTACATATACTATGTATAACTACAGTGATTACACCACAGAAACACCCCACCTCGGAGTTAACAACAGATTATACAAAAGCCGAAGAGTGCATACAAAGCCAGCCACAACAACATCTCATCTCCAATGGCGCCCAGAACAAAGCTGCAAGTGCGCAACCTCTAACCCCTTCTGGCTCATGGTGCCGCCATCCAGCATATCTATATAAGCCGGACAGATCTTCACTCGAGTCTTGCCAGCTAGCTACAACAGCTTTCTCCCCACGATTGATCTTGATCCATCGCCGAAAATGGCTTTCCCATATAAGAAGATTCTGATTCTGGGGTCCACGTCGGGTATTGTCTTCGTTCGCGCTTGAAAGCCAGAAGGACCTTGTCCGCTAACCCCGACAAAAAAGGAATCGGTCTGACCCTGGCTGAACGGCTGATCGCACACGGATGCTTTGTGATCGGAGCCGGTCGGCGAAAGGAGAACCTCGACGCGTTTGTCCAGAAGCATGGAGAGGGGAAAGCCGCAAGGGTGGAGGTTGACATTGGTGAACTAGAGGCGATCCCACAATTTGTCGCGGAGTGCGTACATCTCTAGCCACCCCCTTCCCCCCCCCCCCCCAACCCTCTGGGGGTAGGTTTCTGGATGCTGGTGCCCTGACAACCACCAGTGTGATCAAGTCCCACCCTGACCTAGACTGCGTGTTCATCAACTCCGGGATCCAGCGGCGGTCGGTCTTCAGCGAGCCCGAGAGCATCAATATGGAAATGATAACAGAAGAGTTCGCGGTGCGTCTGAGCAGGCAGTTTTTGCCACAGGTGCACGCAATCTAACCAACTCCCGCGCAGATTAACTACCTGTCCTACCTCTACCTGACGAAGGAATTCCTCCCGTTCTTCCAGGCGAAGAAGGATACGCCGACCGCGTTTATTTTGTACGTCGCCTCCAATCCATCCCCAATCGGAAGGCCAAAAAAAAAAACAAAAAACTGACCAACCAGCACATCCTCCGGTCTCGCGTTCGCGCCGATCCTGCGCTGCTCGAATTACTGCGCCACCAAAGCAGCGTTGCATCACTGGACGCTGGCGCTGCGCGAGCAACTGAAGGAGACGAGTACGAGGGTCATTGAGATTTTCCCGCCCCTGGTACAGAGTGAGTATTCCCAAGGGCATCACATTACATGAATGTAGAATCGAAATCGGAACTGGAACTGGAACTGACAAAAGCTCAGCCGAGCTGCACGATGCGAAGCACCAGCCGGATATCACGGGTGGAGGGGGTATGGGATTGCCGGTGGAGGAGTTTGCGGACGAGGTGTGTATCCGTCGAGCGGGGAGTAAGTATAGCACAAGACTATCAGGCTGATGGGGGCTACAGACGATGCGGAAGCTCCTGGCGGGTGACGACCAGATCCCCGTTGGGACCGCGAATATTGCGTTCAACAGCTGGGAACAGCAGCGGCAGCAGCAGTTCCATAAGACGGTGGAGATGATGAAGGGGAGTGGGTTGTGAGGGGTCAGTGTTGTTGACGCGTTAGGAGGAGCCAGGATAAAGCTTTGATTGCAACTTCAGTACAATGCTTAGGAGTGGTATATTGTACATACAGGACCTAAGCCCAGTTATCAGTTGATACAAGGATGTGATACTATTTTCGAATCACATCCCCCAATTCTCCCGATCCAGTACGCCCGCTATCTTACCCCAGTCAGACAGCCTGATCACAATGAGTGTTGGAGATTAGATAGATAGTTATTCGCATTGATAAACGGCTGAGGTCTGTGCGTTTTCTCCTTTCAGTAGTCTAAGCAATATATGGTTGGCGGGAATGCCCGGTTTCTACCTTGGAAGGGCCATACTTTGCCTCAGGGTAATGCTGGGTGGAGGGAAATGGGAGGTGAAGGGGAAGGGGAAATAGATTGATTAGTCTATGGATGCTTGATGGATGGGTGCCGGTCTGGTGGATATGTAGAAGCCTGTATACCCAGTGCACAAAGAAACAAAACGAAGCCCTGAATCTACGGAGTAGGTGTTTTGGATAACCAGTGGCTCAATGGTGAAAGATGCTTTGGCTCACTTGACTCCCTGGTACCCATGATTCGATGCCAACAGGTATCAAGTTAGAAGAGCGTAAGTTTTATCGTCACTGGCCCTACAATATGCACAGCGATAGTTGCCTAATCTCAGAGTGCAAAGACTCATTGCGGCGCATCACTTTCGAGCATATTCCTCCGAACGAGGTCAATCTCCGCCTCAGCAAAGCCCAAGAACCTCAGATAACCTCCCGCGCCCCCATACGTCAGATCGATATAAACAAGCAATGCCCGCATCACCTCCCTCGGCGCCAGAAAGTGCTTGTCGATATCCACCTCCGCAAGATCCTCGAAGATCGGGAGACCGAGTACTCTCGCTCTTTTATCAGACACAAGAGGCTCGATCTGTGTCTCAGAGCGGTGGTAATCCTCGATAATGTCTTCGTCCGGGACACCCAGCAGCTTGAGCAGAATGCCAACAAACACCCCGGTCTCATCTTTCCCCAGATCACAGTTCACAAGGAGCGGAGAGGTAGGCTGATCGCGAATATGGGCGAGGATTTCTCTATATGCCGCGCCGGAGACGACGCACAGATGCTTATAGATCACCATGAAACCCGTCACCAAATCTTGGGAGAGGCTGTGGAAGTGTTCCAGCAGGGGCTCTTGGCTCGCTTCGCTGTCCATCGTCGCAACGGTCTGCATGGTGAGGCCCTCGACCGTCTGAACGGTTGTGCCAAATCCCGACCCTGTACCTGTGCGCAGGTTGAAAATGGTCTCAATCCCGTAATGACTGTGCAGGGTGCGGAGGCCGGCTGGAGAGACGTTGCTCAGGGTGGCCGAGCGGAAAAGGAAGTTCTTTCGCACGTGTTGTGTGGCAGAGACTCGGTTGCCTCCGACATCGCGGAAGTTGAATAGACCTAGAACCTGGGGAGGATCTGTTGCTCCTGGATTCTGCGCTCGGCCGTACAGCCTGTCTCTCATAGCACCGAGATGGAGAGTCTTGGTCATTTTGATGGAGTCGTCGGGGCAAGGAACAGGGAGCACCTTTATCCCGTTATTGTGTTACTCCTATCGTCCGTTGTTATAGTCCTTATGGCTTCAAGAAAGTAAGGCTGGCCAAGTTGGAGGTTCTCAGAGCCGAATCTGATACTGGAATTTGGGTTCTGGGACAGCCGGGAAGGGATGACGCTGGGCTGGACGATGGTGGTTACACAGAGTCAATCATCTTCATATCTCGTTTCTATTGTATACAGGATGGTCGTCAAACTATGGTAGCTTTGAACTGAAAGATGTTAAAATATAGCCTTGTCGTCGAGGTCATCTTGCAGTAACGGGTGTGTTGTCTTCTCTGGCAGCAGACCAAACACCAATCACGCGTGCAGGATTTCCGATCTAAATACAGTAAAGATGCGAGATGAGGCAGCCTCAAATGTCAAATTATTGGATATAAGAGGTTCTAGAAACCGTTGGATGGACACTCTCCTTGCCTCACTTTGCTGGATAATCAGCTCCCCGATCTCGATGGCAAGGGGGCATGTACTATGGGCGTATAGAGTCATCTGTTGCACAAGTATATTTATAAATTGAGACAGTATGGACTTTCACTCCCATATATCACACGGAGGGGTACTTGCTCGGATGCTAAGTGTATAAATGAGGTATTGATCTCTCTTCTGTGTGGGGACGCAGAGCTGAGTTCTGATACTAAGCTGAAGTCCTCACGATGATGGTGAAATTATATCTGAAATAGTATCTCCGCAATCAACAGCTTTTACCTAGCCTTTTCCGAGTCAACCATGAAGAAGACCTTTATCTTGCCTCGATAACGCAACAGTGGGAGCATGTCTTTGCCCTCCTATGCAGGGAGTCGTCCGGCCACACACTTTGGTGATAGGGACTCCTACACATATTATAGTCATTGCATTTTCTTTGAAACCCTACCAAAGACGTGCTTGGCGAGCCTGAGCTAAGTGGAATGACTACTTGGTCAGGCAGTATGAGCGTTCGACTACGTCCGCTTGAATGGTGTCGGTACCAAGTGTCAATGTGTTCGAGATTTCTCCTATCCATATCATTACAAGTCCGATACAAGCATTTAGTTTAGATGGAGGTAGAACAAGCTTTGAGCTTACGATTTACCTTGCAACCGACATCTTATAACAGGGAGCGCTCTAGCAGAAATGTTCCATGCTAGCCTTGAAAAAGAGACTCACGCATGCACCATGCATGGTGCGAATTCAAACAGCATGCTACAATGTTTGACTCTCAAACCTAGGGTATAGTACTGTAATACTATCTCGGACAGTTCTCGAGAAAGCAATGGCGATTGGTGTCAAAAAGTGTATCTAGGATCGGTGTGGAGTAGAAGCATCGGAATTCCGAACAAGCGCATATCCATCTATCATTTTTTACCTTGGGCTCAAGTATAAAGTCTCCTGGTTGGCACGCATCTTGGGGATGTTTCAATTCATTCTCTTTATCTCTTTGCCTCGGTTTTCATCACTGAAGATAGGACAAGACAAAGATGGACGTCGTACTGCGAGAAAGCGCATTTGGTCGCCTCCTCAACTACATTTCCGATAACAGGCTCTTCCCAGCCACTGAGCATGAAATACCAAAGGGCGAGTCCTTTGCCCACACAGGCTCGTCAGATACTGCATCCACTGCTGTTGCCCAGATTATAGTGGATTTCACTGGGCGAGATGATCCTGACTTTCCCAGGAACTGGCCGGTCCTGGCAAAGACCATGACCATGCTCAGTGTGATGCTGTTGAACTTCAGTTTTTACGCGGCGTCAGCGATATTCACCCCGAGTATTCCAAAGATCGAGAAGAATTTTGATGCAACCACTGCAGAGGGGACACTTGGGCTCTCGCTCTTTGTCATAGCATATGGTATCGGGCCTCTTATCGTACGTCTATCATAACTAATACCTATGTTTGCCTCACCTTTTTCTGACAATACATTGACTTCAGCTTTCTCCCCTATCGAGTCTGCCATCCATTGGACGGACAGCTGTATACATCCTTGGCTCTGTTGCCTTCTGCCTCTTCAACATAGGCACAGCTCTTGCGAGGAACCTCGAGACGATTCTGATACTACGGTTTCTCGGCGGCTTCGTCGGAAGTGCACCTATCAGCGTCGGAGGTGCAACGTTGATGGAAGTGTACCAGCCGGAAGCCATTCCATATGCTATCGCTCTGTATGCAGTCAGTGGAGTTTGTGGGCCAATTCTGGGGCCTGTAAGTTTATCATCATGGAGCTACTTCGAGCAGTCGACTAACATCGATGCCTAGATTCTTGGAACCCTAGTCGTGTAGGTATTCTCATATTTTGAAGTGAGAACTGTGGACTAATTCCACTCGCAGCGAGCGTTGGAAAACCTGGACCGCGACTCTATGGTTGATCGCAGGTGTCTCAGCATTCACGACAACTTTTATCTTCTTCTTTCTGCCCGAGACCCTGTATTCAAACATTCTTTCTCGCCGCGCACGACGGCTCCGTATTCGAACAGGTAACCCAGCTTACCAGAGCCGAGCCGAATCAATCGCGACAGAGGGAAACCTTGCTGTGCGGATTGCAAAGCAAACAATTGATGATTTCAAGCTGTCTTGCACGGATCCGGTAATCCTGTTTGTGAACATGCATACCATGCTCATTTACGGTGTGTTGTATCTGTGGTTTGAATTCTTCCCATTTGGTGGGCCACGGATACCTACAGTCTGTTTCGTCCTCTTGCTTACAAAGTACATGTAGTATTTGATGGCATTTACCATTTCACACCTATTCAACAAGGCTGTACGTGTCATCCCAATCCCCTGTGATGTTTCCGGCTGACTCACTCTTTTAGTGGCCTTCTTTGGTATTCTTATTGGCGCCGTCGTGTCCGTCATCGCCTACCTGCTCTGGCTATACTTCTCCTACCAACCCCGAGTTGCAAAGCCAGAAGTCACCGTGGAGCCCGAAGCCCGCCTCATCCCGGGTCAGGTAGGGGCAGTTTGCATCCCTATCTGCCTCTTTATCTTTGCATGGACATCTCGAGAAAGGTATGTGAGCATCACCACCTACAGCTCGTGCTCAAAAGACTTATCCTCGCCCAATGTAGCGTACACTGGATCGTCCCCATCATCGGCTCCGCGTTCTTCGCCCCGGGATTCTACCTAACTTTCCAATCTATCCTTAACTATCTCGGCGAGTCATACCCCCGGTACGTGGCAAGTGTGTTTGCGGGCAACACCTTCTTCCGCAGCTCGTTTGGCGGCGCCTTACCCTTGGCTGCTCCTCGCATGCTGGGATCACTTGGGATCGGATGGGCGTCGAGCACGCTAGGGTTTATTTCCCTCGCCATGCTTCCTCTGCCATTTATCTTGGGGCGGGTAAGTTGCCGTCTTCCGGGTTGGGGATACAGAGCAGTGGCTGACGTCCATCAACAGTATGGGAAGCGCTTGCGCTCATGGAGCAAGTATGCGAACTAACTGTCGCTCTTTCTGTTGCTTGGGGGGCATGATTGGAGGACATCACAAACGCAGCATATTATCAGCATCAGCATGATATATCAACCATCCACTTATTTCTTTTCCTTGGCTTCCTCGCCCTTCTCCGTCTTTTTGGTGATGGGGTTTCCATGTGCTGTCTGAAGGGCCGCTGTATAATATATTATTCACAGAGGCCTTCCATGGCGGCTATGGTAAAGGCCAGATACCAATTACTCTACTGCTTTCACAGTAGGGCTATACATGGGTCTGGTGACTACCTGTATTGATACTATTGCCATTTTCTCGGAACTCCGAGCATCGCGGAGTTCCGAATCCATACGCTCAAAAACAAAGCAGACAACCTATCAACGATTTGAATTATTCGCTACAAATTATGCCATTCTTCTTTATATAGTGCCTGACGGCGGGATTAATTTGGATTTACTTCATTGAATAAGTCGATAAATGCATATATTAAGAAAAAGTCATTCTAGAAACAAATCCTAAGGTAAATGGGTAGCATCTCGGGGTCTTGGGGAGAGTTGCGGGGGAAACCAAATTGCATCTTAAGCCTAGTGTCAAGAGCTCATATCCCGGGCGCAACCTTAAAGTGATTGATCCATTGTACACTAGTTATCCCTCCATGTACAAGCACATCACGAGGTTTATATAAACCATGACAGGACTAGTTGGCATGCTATTCGTCCTAAACAGGTTCAAATCTTTGCATCGAAGACAACAGGTTGCCCAACTATCTATATTCTGTCGAGGTGAGCGAGGTGCCGCGATTCCGCGAGACGCCACTGACAACTGTAGGCAAATCTATCACTCGCGAGGAAGTCTTCGCCTATACTAATGGTCGATTTCTTGTCGACGAGCAGCGTCAGATCGAGCGACGGTTTCTGAAATTCAACCTAGATGCTCTTTGCGATGTGGCTGCTGCCGCTGGTGGAGGCACATCTCGGATAAGAAGCATCGAAAAGTTCGAAGGAGGTTTCAGCAAGGTTCTGCTGATGAAAATGGAGAGTGGGAATGAAGTGATCGCAAAAGTCCCTTGTCGTATCGCTGGGCCAGCCACCTTGACGACCGCCTCGGAAGTAGGCGCTTTGAGTTATGGTGTGTTTCCTACCCATGAAGCTATCAACAGACTGACGTGAGACGCGCCAGTAAGGACACATACAAGCATCCCCGTCCCTCGGGTCCTCTCTTGGTCTTCAGATGAGTCAAATCCTGTCGGGGCGGAGTATATCATCATGGAGAAAGCTGCAGGTGTCCCATTATTTGAACAATGGGGCGCGATGGCAGAGATTGATAAACTTGAGCTCATTAAGAATCTCACCAAGCTGGAGGCTCAGCTATCAGCCATCTCATTCCCTGCATATGGTGGGTTATATCTGCAGGAAGATGCGGTCGGCCTAAAACGTCAAGACCTTGATGAGATCATTGATCCAGATACTAGCTTCTGCGTTGGTCCATCACCGGATCGTTCATTTGGCGATGCAACCACGCATCCCTCTCCTCAGAGTCCAAGGTTTGATCAAGGGCCCTGTAAGTATATCCTGTTCTTCTCTACACTCCCGTAGGCTCATGGGTATCCAGGGAATACCCTATCAGATCTTGGGGTTTCAATCGCAGAGCGAGAGTTGTCCCGAATATCAGAAAAGCACCCAAAGACCCGAACAGTGTTCTATCAGGGGACCCTCTCAGAGCAGGTCCAGCTTCTTGAAACCACAAAAATCCTCATGCGGATGCTGGACTCACATCCGATTCTAGCCCGCGCCTCCCAGCCTACGCTATGGCACACTGATCTGCACATGGGGAATATTTTTGTTTCTCCTGACGATAACTCACAGATCGTGTCGCTGATCGATTTCCAGTCCTTGTTAGTTCTCCCATTATTTCTTCAAGCCCAGTGGCCCGTGTTTCTACGGCCTCCATTGGACTACCCCCAGGGGCTGGTGCAGCCCAAGCTACCCAGCGACTTCGAACAGTTCGACGAAGAAGCCAAATCTGCCGCTCTACAAGAGTGGACCCAGACAAAACTAGCGAAAGCGTACGAGGTCTCCACGTTCCTTGAGAACCGAGTCGCACACAAGGCCATGAACGTACCCCGTGTTTTCCGAGAACTATTTATTCGCTGTGGAGAGGTCTCTGAGGTTGGAATCGTGCCACTCCGGGAATGCCTGATTGAGATCTTCCAGAGCTGGTCGAGCTTGGGCTTTGCGGGCCAATGTCCTTATTCCTTTCGTGACGACGAAATCGATGTCCACGGACGCCAATTTGCCGAATACCAGGCCTGGAACGACGTCCAGCAACTTGTTCAGGAATGCCTGGATACGGATGCCGAGGGGTGGGTGGCTCCACAGCTGGATTTTGCTGAAAAGCAAAGGCAGAATAAGGAGCTGCTGTCTGTGTACATCAAGCAGATGGCGGAAGAAAGGTCGGCGGAAGAAGCGAAAGCGATGTGGCCATTTCCTGATACATGAAGGGATTATGGGTCATCTTTCTGGTATACTATGCGGCAGGTGGTGGTCTGTCCCTGGGATTTCGGGGAGTCAACTCAGGAAACCTCCTCATCTCGATGCCATAGCAATGTAGAACAAACATCAATACACCCGGGAAGTTTCAGTAATGAAGGTCCTGGAAGTAATATCTGCGACATGACTTGACACTTCTTTCGTATGCAGAATGCATTACTCCAGCAGTTAGTTCAACGGCCTACGACGGGTAGGTTGGTAGGTAGAACATACCTAGTGTGATTGGTATATGCTTACCGTAGTATATACCTTCAATAGCTAACTAATTACTAAGATATTGGTTGTTCCCGCTTTTAGTGAGTAATAATATGTCTACCGGTCATATACTCTAGCATATAATTATGATGATTTGCGATGTACACCGTACACGCTTTGCTGCTCCTAACATCACCTAGCCCACAGGCCAGATTTTTAACCATTGAACCTGATTCTTGGCGGATCAGGACGGCTCGGGCTGGTTTTCGTGGGCCAGTCAGGTTTAGCAAGCCTATTTACTGTAATAGTATGTCTGTCTGTCTGGCCCTGCTGGCTTCCAAGCAAACTCGGGAAGGCGGCTGTCCCTCACTCGGTTAAAGTCACGTCTGCGAGATGGCATGAGCGCCGATGACAGAGGAGGGTCGGATGAGCCAAGGGAATTTGCCCATCTGGTCAGTAAGTACGGAGTATGCTGATTTGCTAAGAACAGGCCTGGTAGTTTGATCAGCGCTTGGATGTGAGTCTGTAAAATTCCACTCCCCACTTACCAATTAGCTTGAAACCTGTGGGCGCACTGACATCCTTGATCAACAGGTTCAAAACTTCAATGGCCCAACAGCAGCGCAGCGCTACTGCAAACGGGGCCCTGTAGATCATTAGGGACGGCCAATGATCCTTCCTCCACGAACATCCCCCAGTCTTGTCCATATCATGGCCGGCGCCTACACAAACCCCAACAGGACCTTTCTACTCCGCACGATATTTTCCCACATTGTCAGTTCGACGTCTTCCTTCTCCAGGTATTAGCCGTCGAATATGACCAAATGCATTACAAAAGTTATAGCTCCAACTCATTCAGTCCTCTGCCTTGACTCCTTGAATTCCTACCCGCCTATGATACCTGCAGCGACGCTAGTATCCGCGCCCGGGAAGTACTTGCCAGCCCGGTCCTTGAACCAACAGTTCCCATCCTGTTCGCCGTCAAAAGAGGCGGTCAGATTGGCCTGATATGTCACCGCTTTGCAATTCTCGTAGGATTTAAGGCAGGCGTTGATGCATTCCTGAAGAGAGTAAACAGTCGCGCGGCCGAGATCAGCGACGTTCCCATTGCCAGTCATGGCTGGGTCGCCCTTTGGCCAGTCCACGCCACACAGAACAGTGAACAGAGCCCCCGTGGACCCTGCAATCATGGTCTTGTTGATCCCTGGACACTGGAAGTCGGCCATGCCGCTTGTGCCGGAGGTAACGGGGGCGGATAAGGTTGTGGAGGCTGTTGTTGTTGATTGTATTGATGAGGTACTTGGTAGAGAGCTTGTGGGTATTGAGGGGCTACATTTGCCAGGTCAGAATTGCTTTGTCCACTAGGACATGGGGGAGCCATGAATATGGATCTACTTGCCTTTAAGTGGTGGCAACTGTTGTAGAAGCTGCTGGCGTGTTGCTGCTCTTCCTGACTGCCAGTGCCTCGCCTACTCCTCCCCCAACCGCGCCGCCGATGATCAAGGCTGCGGTGGAAACGAGTAGTACCTAAAAGAGCGTTCTTGGTAGACCACAGATCCTTGCCTTCTGAGCCTTCTGACTTTCTTCCGGTTTCACGGGAAGATCTTCGACTATGTGCGGTGCAGTTGCTGCGGGTCTGTACTGTAAACTCTCGACATCTCTGTTGTATTCTAGGCCATGGATTGGCGCGACCTCGAGGCCTTCGATACTAGGCCTTCGCGCCATCGATTATCTGAGGAAGTGGAAAAGATCACAAGTGAGTTGGAGGAACATGCTGACCATCGCTCATAAATCACAAAACCCTGGCGCTGACTTACTCTTCTGATCCCCCTCGTCTCAGCATTAGGCGACTATGTCAGAAGGAGTACAGTCTAAGCGCCACGAAGCAGCCAACCACAAGGGGATTTGCGATTGTGTTGGTAGGCCATTGAATCAGTTATATTACGGAGTACATATAATAATACGAGGACAATTCTATTCATCACTTCTAAACTGACATATTGGCTGGGTCGTTCACATTGTATAAGTAATGTGAGATTGGCTCGGCAGTCAAGAAAACAAGCAAAAATGGATGCGGCATGTCCACCAGGGGAATCCCCGCTGTACTCTATTTGCTAAATTGTTGTTAATTCGTTGAAGTGCCTCTGTTCATAAGAGAGGGATCCTCTTACCATATGGTGGGAGTGGTGCCGAATCATTGCTTATATACCTATCACTGACCCGGTGCCTCCAGAGGCCCACACCTACCACAACCGATCTACATAAACCCGTGGGTTGCTTCTTCAATGGACCCTTGCTCGCTCCGTAGGCATCATAGGCTTCTGAGTACACAGTTCAGCGGGCTTTCGGTGCTCTGGGAAGCCTCGGTTATGGTACATTACTGTGGAGGTAGCCAGCGAACTCTCACTCTTGCTTAACCTTTACTATCTCGACGACGAAAAAGTCGAATGGAGGATAATAGAGAGTTAGAATTGGACTCCTACTGATCAGGCGCCCTTGCTCGGCAACTCCAGCTCTCCACCTGAGGGAAACTGAGGGAAACTACGGGCCTTTTCACAATAGCGACAAGACACTCTTAAGCGCATCGTCTATGTCTTTTGGGGACTGCGATTATGCATTCGACGGAGTTCAATGGGTGGTTGAGTCAGCCTGGCTGGGGTTTAATCGGATTTAAGACGTATTTACGGAGCTCGGAAGGCGGTCTTTCAGCAGGATGTACGTACTCAAAATATATATTTTGTTGCAACCCAGGGTATGGATAATGGCCTTTCTCCCCGAAGGCGTCCCTAAGGGCTATTTAATCGTTATTAGCCAAAGTCTGCACCATCGGTATTGAAGACGGTCATGCCACCGTCCACTGTCATATTCATAACTGGTACAAATCAGTCAGCATATCCCACTATGCGATAGGTGTATGCTGACTTGACACTGAAAGGCGCCAACTCTGGCGTTGGGTTCGCAACGGCCAAAGCAATCGCCTCAGCTTCGCCAGACTACCTTGTAATCATCGGCAGTCGCGTTCTGGAGAACGGCCAGGCGGTGGTCGAGGAAATCCAATCACTCGAGACGACAAAAGGCACCCTCACCAGCATCCAAGTCGATGTCACGGATCGTGAGTCCATCGCGAGCGCCGCAAAGCAGGTCGATTCGCAGTTCGGGCGTGTCGACGTTTTAATCAACAATGCAGGCGTTCTCTCCAAGTCCCCATCGACGAAACTCGCAATGGAAGAGACGTTCGCCGTAAACTGTATCGGACCGGCACTCGTCGCTGAAATCTTTAATCCTCTCCTGCTGAAATCGGATCGCCCTTACTCGATATTCATCTCGAGTGCGCTGGGTTCGCTAACGGAGGCTGCGGATCCCACATCCCCCCACTCCTCTTATGACGGTGTGCCGTATCGGATGAGCAAGGCGGCACTAAATATGTTGGCTGTACAGCAGCATAAGCAATTTGGACCCAAGGGAATAAAGGTCTTCACTTTGTGTCCGGGGCTGGTGAGGTCGAATCTGAGAGGAAAGGATGAAAATGCTATATCTTCTGGTGGAAGGGCGGGTGATCCTATGGTCTCTGCGCAAATGATATTGGGGGTGATGCAGGGTCAGCGAGATGGCGATGTTGGGAAGTTTTTGCAGGAGGATTCGGTCTGTGACTGGTGAGGAGCTGGAATACGGGTTATTCTTTGATAGATACTCAATTGATCTGAAGATCAGCATCCTGATGAAGTGAATCGAGGATGTGGCATGGCTTGAAGCCCCTTTTTAGCGACCAAGGAATAGACCTGTCTGAGACTCCTGCCGGCTCAGGGCGTACAAGAGAGGAGTGGTGAGATAGCTGCGGGTCTTGCATGTACAGGAACGTTCAGGCACAACATGGAATCCTTATCCCGATTCCCAACCTGCGACTGATATCCAGGGGTCATGTTTGCTCGAATCTCAATTTGACTTGACACTTGATATTCATGACGCATCTCGACACTTGTTTCACAAACGAATAGAGTCCTCCATGAAAACCTTGGAGCAGGTGACAGAGACTACATACAAGCGGGCTTGAGGGTTGGGCTGCTTGTCTACCTCCATGTCTCCGATTACAACTCGATCAAACAAGGGCACCACTGCAAATTCTCAGTATTCAGTGAGTCCAAGCCTCCTTCGTTCCCATTGCGATTGGCTCCGGCTGACCGCTTGGACCAAAATCTAGCATAGGCTATCACACCGCGGTTATCAACATGTATGACAACCGAAGCCTGAAGGGGGAGAAAGCCACCTCTTTGCATGATCAAGCTCGTACATTGCGCCTCACGGCCGCCCGGGACGTAGCTCGACTGGTAGAAGTCCGTCGACGAGTATGGGGCCGAGACCGCATCTCTGCGCCCCTGAGTCAATGGATAACTATATCTCTCTGACACCATGAAAATATTTATCCACACGGGAAAGCAAAACTGCATTCGTCAGTCTATGCGTTGCCCTGCGCGTCTCTTCACGGCGTTGGGAGTATTTGAAAGGGCTACTCCGGCTCATCCAGCATACTGCAGCTCAGTCAGAACTTATTATTCCCTCTCGAAGCTGTACCTCTGTTTAAGAATTCGAAAAGTCGGAATGGGCTCTAGAGGATGAGGAGAAGTTCGGTGCCTTGGCTCTGGATTTCTCTACATCATATTGAAATGCGAGAAATTTGCATACTACACTCGGAAGTCGATATACCTCGAGTCTTGTGACTCTCTTGAGGGCGAAGCCGATATCTTGCAATGATTATATTGACTGTCTCCAAGACAAGCGCGATACGATCTTACCGTTGTCCCAACTAAACCCAGCGTCAAATCCCGCGCGGCGTGTCTATTTTTCGACATCGATGCTGAGAATGTCTCGACATGGCTTCTATCACTTTCCTCAATCCATAGCTGTCTCTACAACCAATTCTTTTGCTCCATAGTCAGATGGGGCATCGATCGTCATGTCGTTGTCGTACTTGTACTTCGACCTTTAGTTCTATGAGTGTCCAGCTGAGCCGCTCGGTTAGTATGTAGAAATCTGGCGAATAACACGTTGACCTACACAGCCTCGCCTGAACAGCTTCGCCCCGCCATTGCAGCTCAACTTCGTTTCAATTCAACTCGATCCTCCCTTCTGGTAGTTTTTTCAACCTCAAACCCACTTTGACAGATAATTTCAAATGGAAGTCATTGGCGGTGTTTCTGCTATTCTGGAGATAGCGGCCGCAGGTGTTCAATGCTCCATCAAGCTCGCCGCACTCGCAAAACAGATCAGGTCGGCTTCGGAGCAGATCAGCAACATCGCTGACGATGTCTCACTCAACGCGAGCATACTTCAACAGCTAGGCCAGTTGATGGATGAGAGCTACTCCCAGAATGAGAAACCCAAGTCTGCTTCAAAAGATCGAGCGCCAGGGCTGTTCAGCGCTGAAGGGCTGAAAACGACCGAGAGCTTGGCAGCCCGATGCAACAAGATCTTCAACTCCTTAGAAGAACTGCTGCGGAAATCTAGCAAGCAGTTCAAGCTGGGTTCCAGTGCTGATGGGATGAAACTGAGCCGCTCGGAGATGCTGAAGTGGCCGTTCGTGAAGCCTGAACTCGACGGCATGCGGGACGAATTGAGGCACGTCAAGGATTCTTTGATGCTGATGTTGCAGGTGGCTCTGCTAGCGTACTCGCGGAGTACTGCCAACAGGTATGTAGCGATTATACTGTTTGCTCCTGGCACTTACTGATCGACGCAGCGGTCATCGAGCGAGGAACATCGCACCATACGCCGAGGAAGACCAGATCATACTGGTCAGGGCCATCTACCAAGCGCAGGAGGAGCTGAAAGGGGATAAGGCCGACGTCAATGACAAGCCCGGGGGCGAATTGCCAGAGCGCCCAGCAAAGGTTTCAACACAATCGAACAATGTTGCTCCGTGGAAGGAGCCAGCAGTCTCGAGCACAGATGTGAAGGGTCCAGGTCTTTTTCAAACGCAAGGCAATCCGTCAGCTCCCGCGCAACCAGATCGGAAGAAGTACGTACCCATACGCATCTTTATTTTGAGCTTTCTGACCATTCTCTCTTTTAGGCACTCTATCTTCGCTCCAATACAAACCAGCTTTCAACCTGACGAACTTCTCCCATCGCCGCCACCCCTTCCACCTCCGCCTATCTATCGTTTAACACCCACATATGATATCCAAATGCTGACTCCCCAGCCGACAATAATCAACACCACCCTCGCCGTGCAGTACATCTTGCGCTGCGTTAGTCTTGCACAAGATGTGGTCCAGCCCCAGATCGAACAACAGAAATCCGCCTCCAAGCAGACTGTGCTCGATCGACTCGCCTCTCTTACAGGCGAGGAACAACAGGCTCTGGAATTGATACCGTGGGTTTATGGAATAGAAGTTGAGTGGATCATCCTGGGCGAATACGCCCCCGTCATCAAAGAGGTAGAGAGTCTCAAAGCAAGAACCGTTACACTTATCACCAGGAACGGTTCTCCCGCTCCTCCCCGCGCCACTAGTCGTCCAGCCTTTGGCGCAGGGCCAACCTTCGGTACAGGACCAGCCTCTGGTACAAGGCCCCTGTCTCAGTGGGGTGCAGGATTTGGTTCAGCGCCAGCCAATGGCTCATCGAGGCCGCTCTTTGGTTCCTCAGCGCCAGCTTCAGGGGATCCAAGGTCACACCAGCCAAGACCAAGACTGACCACTTACATACCTACCTCACCCAGTTTCAGTCCGGTGGATGAACAATCTGAGCCTTGGAGCCGTTCGGGACCCGCGAAGCTCGAGGATTACCAAACAGAAGAAACTATGGCAATAATTGACGCTCCTGCTAAATCTCCCGAGACGGTCACAGTGCACGACGACTTTGACCAAGATGCCTTCCAAGAGACATTTGATAGTCTTGAATCTTATTCTGAGATGGAAGGGGTAGTGGATGATCTATTGGCCAAGTATACTACTTATCAGGGTTGAAGCCACTCTTCATATTTACCTTCTTGCAACTGCCTCATTGACATATATCAGCTAGCTTGCTCAACAAGCCAACTTCCAGTAGAGGAACGATGAGCCTCAATAACAATGGGTGGATTGCCTCAATTGAAAGAAACCAATCATAAACAAAATAGACTATTCACTCTATCATTCATGAAAGGACAACTCAATACATGGGTGAAAGGGACAATCAAAACACATATCTATGCTCACTATCCATTCATTCTCTCTTTATCAAATAGATCAACAATAGACAGTAAAGCGCCATAACACAAAAGCAGTGGGTTTGGAAGTCTCCAGAAATCGGAATCTGCATAGCCCTCTCAATATAAATTCATCTCCTCTGCCTGCCATCATTTCACTTCTTTACTGAACCTGTCCACCCAGCTCCAATATCTTCGCACTGTCATAAAGTGCAGAGTCCTCTAGGACAAAACAGACGACAAACTTCTATATACCAGTACTCTTCTTTTCTCTCTGGCTCCAGTTATATACCACGCCAAACCAGCGACGTGCAAAGACACCACGACAATCAGGCGACAAGAGATAAACAACATGCCTATCCATGCACCCATTACCACAGAAGCGCGATAGCTCTCCAATAAACGTCTAGACATAGACAGCTTTCGCGCAAAGATTGTCATACAGCGTTGCCATACAGCAATGTGAGCACGCCAACTGGCAAGGCCGGGAAGATAGCTCGTTCTTCGCCCGCTTCACGGGTATGACGGAATATCATCATCTTCACCATCATCTTCAATATCACCACTACCATTACAAATTGGTAGCATGTCCTGGGCCCATGGGTCAAGCGGCAATGGAAGGTTTGGTCGATCAAAATGAAAAAGTCATTGGTCACCCCAAACAAAAGGCACGTAAATCTTTCAATGAGAAGTTCTATTAATACTAATCCGCATTATAGGACAACCAGTGGGCCTGTGACATATGGGATGACACTGCACTTGATAGTCATGCCTTGAGACGCCTTCAAGCGAATCCAGAACGACTTGCTTCGTCTTCACTAGATCTTGTGCGCATCCAACATTCCTAAGCCGAAATGCAGGCTAGATCTCCTTCTTCTCACTGCCATATCTTTGGGGCTTATATCTGGTCGACCAGAAAGGATGCCAATGGCACATCGAGAACATGGTGCACTGCTGCGGCTTGGAAGTGATTCTCGACCTCTCTCTATCTACAAGCAGAAAGCCTCTGGAACAGAAATTCATGGAACGGCAGTCAGATACGCAAGCGATCCATGCATCTCTTACCTGACTATCAAGAACCCAACGACAAGTGCCCGAGCACTGCAGACTTGCCCATAAGCTGGCCATGTGTGCGGGCAGCACACCTGCAGAGGCCACCAGTATACGCCTCAGCTTAAGCACAGAGCCAAAACCAGAGCGAAAACAGCAGTCGGGCACCGGTATTGAGAAGCGGCAGAAGAAATGCAGGCCTCTCTTTGCCTACGAAATCCATGGCCGGCGCTAATCCAGTCACAGCCCTGTGCTGCATCCTCAGTGTTCTGTACAATTACAACTTCGAAAGCATTATTGTTCGCATTGAAACTGCAAGACAAGACGGCGACACCAGATATACCTCAGCAGAACCAGATACATCTCCCTCAGCTGCCGTGTAAACCGTTCAGGCACTGGTAAGCCTCGCTGTCAACACTTCTAGCCATCAAGGTCGTTGGAACTAGATCAATGATATCATCTTGTTCAAGCAATGACATTGACTCGTTTGAGTCCCCAGGTGGAAATCACCCAGCAATATTTCTAAAGAGCAGATAATCAAAGTAGTAAATCTGTCGTGTGTTGACTAGGATCAGAGATCATCGATACTCCTGCTGATCTTCTTTCTGAGACTGTATCCTCAATCTATGTGGTTCAGCGATGAAGAGGATGTTGACAGTGATGCAGGGCAGGAGAGCCTCTCTGCAGGATCCGTCAACGTTATGACCAGCATTGTTTGCTTGCCCAATCTTGTATTGGATTTCGATTTTGATCTTAATTTCGCCATTGCATCGAGCGACCAATCCAGTGAAGCCAATGGCATATGAGTAGACTGTAGCGAAGCCCCTGAGATCCAATTTCCATCCCTGCTGAAAGCTGAAGCTCAAAGAAAGGAGCAACTCCTCAAATCAAACCTTCCAAGCCAGCATCCATTCAACCCATCGTACGGAGTAGATAGAGAGCGCGGCGTCAACACCAACCGATCTGGCCAGCTATCCTTCCGGCAATATTCACCGCATCTTGAGATTTGAAACTGGGGTAGATAGAACGATCTAGAGCCTACCAACGATCCAACTCTATTGCCTGCAATCGCTTAGCCAAGCCACTCGACAATTAACCTCGGGCTAGAAAACGGCGGAGAACAAAGAGTTGAGCGAACAGTCACGGAGCACGCCTTGCTCCGCAGTCCGCAGGTCCGCATCAAATCAAGGATGCGGAGACCCGCGCTCCGAAGGGAAAGGAGGATGGATAATAACGAGTGGATACTGGATAGACGCAAGAAGTCAGAAATCAGGACTAAAATCTTAGGTCTAAGGTCTAGGGGCGAGATCATAGTCATAAACAGGCTACTGAGGCTAGCCGGGGAATCACCGGAGTCGTCAAAGTCAATCACGAAACCTAGCTGACTACCCCGTATTCACCGCTGGTTTGAGTCAAGATTTCGCATACTGATTAAAGGAGGGACATGGAGATACGAAATTGATGGTGTTGGTTGATTGTTGAAAGGTCTTTGTCGTTCGGCCACGGGGAAAGGCGATCGGGCAGGCAGATGCCACAGCCCACAGTGCCATGGATTGATTCCATTCATCGTGTGTAACCACTCATCAGTGATCATCCTACTTTGATAGTTGGTAGTCGCTCACGACTAGCCCAGTTCAGTGAAGGGGTCACTCTGTATATCAAGAACCAGTATGGAGTAGTATTTTCCTCGCTGCGCTGGAGCCGAATTCACCGCTGATTCTCTGCATTCTCTGCCATCACATCACGACCAGGAAGCGATGGCTAAGTGGTTGATGAAATTCACCATACCACTTATGCAGAAGCAAGCAAGATGGGATGCCGTTAGAATATGTAACAAAAAAAACAAAAGTCCGGAAAGGAAATCCTTCAGAGGGGGGGTCATGAATACGACACATGGAGAATGGAAAACATGGAAATCAGGGATGGAAATAGACATGTGGTTGTTGTTGGCGTTGGATGGCTTTCTGGTGGCTGATCTGGCTGTCTTGAATCACAGTAATGAACATGGACTACTGAGAGATCCATTGCCAGCTGTCCAACTCCAGACCTCCAGATCAAGAAACACGGAGCAGACAATAATAAGTAGGATAAACCAGCGGCGAAGGCGCTTCGCTAAATTCCCCCAACTGCTATGGCGAGGATCGCCACCAGAGAGTCTACGGAGTACACTCTACACCTCTCCTCCACCGTCCTACCTATCCAGACACTGTTTGTGTAGATAGGCTGTAGAGTGTGGACTCATGCGGAGTACTTGACTAGTAGACAGACGGACAGCTACATGGTAGATAATTCATATTAAGCCAAATCACCACGAGCGATCATCGAACCCATCCATCCATTTAGTCAAAGATAGCCACTCCACTATGCCTGCACGATCCCTTCAACTGTTCCATCTAGAAGTCTTCTGGAAGACCTTCCATCCGGGTAAATTGCCAAAATGGTCAAACGGGCCAGGCTTATTACAAGGGTACTTAATAATATCCGTTGGACGCTTACTAGGGAGGACTGTTCGCCTGTTGACTGTTCCCCCCTCCAGAGTCCAGACCCTAGACAGTGTTACATATGGGTCCCCCTGCCCCTCTACTATCTATGTACCTAGTCTCCCTGCTAAAATATGTGGTGGTTTAGGACATGTTCACGACAACCAACCACATCGGAGAGATAGCAGTGTTGGACTTTGGTTGGGTAGGTACATAGGTAGGATGGCTATCGAAACGTCCAGAAAACGCCCATATCAGCCTTGTGGGGGGGGTTGATGAGACATGAGACGGGGGTGCTGCTGCGATGGTAGCAACCATGAGGCGAAAGATTGGAGGATCTGAGGTGAGACAGCGTTACATCCCCATGTTATTGTTAGGCATCGGTGATATAGTCCGCAGATATATGATTATTCTGCTTTAGTCTTATGGATTAGTTGTGATTACTCGGGCGACTGGAATCATGAAAGTCAACGGCAAACGCCGGATGGTATAGAGAATATGGAGCGAGTATCTAGAGCATCCTTGTACTTATTATGATCAATGAGGATTAGTTGGCTTTTGCGCATGGCAGATGTCGCCTCATCCTCTGTCATCAGTGTGCGGATAACAGCTGATTAGGTGGGCATAAACACATGGCACAAGATATATATATAACCACTTCACATGGAACATGAGGCTGATTCAGAGTCATTGCAAACAATCAAGTAACTATTCAATGCTTACCTCTGTAATTTTTTACTCCTACGTAGTACGTTCTATCTATGATCTCCCGAATATTCCAAACCTCAGATCCTTCGGTGTATTCGGTTGCTCGGCTCAACGCCGCGAGAGTAGTTGTTGACACGATGCCTCGGTTATGTACACAGCGCAGCGGCGATAGATCGGTCGCGTTGGAGTTTTGGGCGTCAAGGTACGGAGATTATTCGGCATACCCCCATACTCCCCTCCCCATCAAATGATGATGTCAGTTGATGAAAAGAATCAGATGTCAGTGTCACAGACTACCCCAGTCCCCAATCCCCAGTCCGCAGTCTCCAGCTCCATAGGAAATATAGGATAATGTGATTGTTTCAACTTTACTTGCACTTAGCTACGGATAGTAGTTAGTAGTTACGCAACAGGAATCTCTCGGAGGGTCTGCGGTCAGGTCAAGCCCGATGACAGTGAGGCGTGAACAGGTTCGAATACAGGAGACCGAGGCATGGCATCCAACCCAACCGTGATGACGAGGTGGCTGATAAGAACCCGA